GTACGGAGACTAGCGTTTCGAAGCGCTACTTAACCCGAATACTTAGGTTAGCTTATACCGCCCTATACTAAGAATTTGGGTTCTAAGGCCCTAAGGAAAACTGCCCTAAATTTAAAAGCCGGGTTTTAAACCTAAACCGCCCTAAACCGCCCTATAGAGGGGCCTATAGTATAACCTTTTCGTACGTACTTAGAATAACGCTTCGATTTTATACTAATTATATACTTTAGTTTTAGATCGCTTAGCTTTACCTTTATATTTCGATAACTAAAGTAAGGAGCTATTTCGGTACTAGCCGCGACCTTTAAGGAGAGTTAGGTCTAGTATTAAGTAGAAGATATTAAAGATATAACGGAGCTTATAGAATTACTAAGATAGCGGACCTCTATTACTTAAGGTTCTAAGGACGGAACTAGTATAGAAGGGGATAGTATTATAGATACTATTATAATAATTAGTAGAGTAAATAAGTAGATAGGAAGATAGAAGTAGAGGCTTCCGCTCTTATAACTAATATAACTAATACTTCTTCGATTAGTTAGATTAGACGCTACTAACTAAACTAACCGCGCTACGATTAGTTAGATTAGTTAAGATATAAATCTCTTATATATATAGAATAGATATTTCTTATATAGGTAGTTTGTATTTAGCCTAAGTTACTAATCTACTAAAAGGTTAAACCTTAGAGTAGTTACTTACCTAACCTATCGCTAAGAACTTACTCGTCTAACGAGCTCTAACTCTCTTATACTATAGGTATATAATAGTAACTCTCTAAGTAAGATAGGTAGTAGAGCTTTAGAGATCCTACTCTATTACTACTAGCGTGCCTACTAATAGTATCTAGTAGTAATAGGTAAAATCGCGGCTACGCATTCGGCTAATACGTAGTTCGTTATAGGTAGGACTATTTCGGTATCCTACGACGGCAAGGATATCGACTATATGCTTTATAGTGAGTCCGGCGTTGTAATGGAGCCTATCCAATATACTTATCAGTCGATGCAGGCGCGGTCTTCGGCGTGTAAGACCTCTACTTCCACATCGGCACGCTATTCTTCTATCAATGTGGTCAGCCTATAAGTCCACGTCCATGAGATGTGCTTGCGGGAGGAACACGGTGGTTGCGAGCTGAAAAGCGCCTCAGCCGCTGCACCCTGCTGCCAGACACCGCGACAGTCAGACGTCGCATCATTGTCGGCGTCCATATCAGATACCCTCTTCAATCTGCTAGAACAGCATGACCGATACTCGCCTGTCTATTGATTCGGTGCTGGCAACGCAGGCTTCCAGGGAGGGGGCGCGGGCTAATTCACGGGCCGTTTAGCGCACAGATCCACCTTCTGCCCAGTAGGCTTTCCTTGTTCCGAGAGTCCCCAGCGTCCCGGAGCACATAACTGTAGGAGGTCCACGATTACCCAACGACCTGCCCGTATCTTCTGAAGCCCGGAGCATGCGCGGCCGTCTTGCCTAACGCTTGGCGCCAAGGTTTTAGCGACATGCAGCCTCGTTGCGTAAGCAAGTCAATCTGGCTGCGGTTTTATTGTCAAAACGTTTCTCGCAGAATGATTCTTGGCAAGAAAGAGCCACATCTTACTTAGCGTTTGATGTGCAATGGCCTATCTTAGAGTGTCAACACGTCCATTCTACCTTGCTACTAACCTACAGTACTATGATTGTAAGCGTTGCACGGACACCCATTGGAGCCTGGAGTGTACATACACGCGCTAGCTCCCACAAAGAGGACAATGCCAACACACTGCAACAACGACCGCGCCTTCCTCCTTGGAGACTGTAGCGGAATCACATAAGACCTGCTGTGCCACTCGCGGAGTGTGCGCCAGGTTGACCGGTGTACCACGCGGCGATCCAAGGAACTAGAGCGGAGAATGAGGCTCCATCTAGAGCAGAAGTGATGCTCCAGAACATTTGGATCGGACGGACTGTGGCCTGCAAGGTCATTAGAAATGAAAGAGTATTTCGACTAGCGTTTCAACGAGCTACAAAAGGACTTGTGCTACACCTTGGCTGACTTTACGTATGCAATATATTACTGCTCAGAGAACTTGAACGTTCCCCCAACTGCACAGGCTGGAAGAGCCCCTGACCTAGAATTGAACGCACTTTGCCAATCGAACCCAGGCGCGCCGCCCTTCGTTTCATCTGAATAAATGTTCTGGACTGCAGCCCTATCTGAAACGGCCATGTTTTGTTCAGGAAGCCTATCTCTGCAAAGCAACCCAAGCGTATGCTCTATCGCATGCCCGTGACGACTATAAGAGAGCTCCTAGGCTTACTAGAAGGCTGCTCACATCATTTTCTTTGGATTTGCTTCTACTATCTCTCTCCTCATTCACGTCTTTCTGTTACCCACCTCAGTCACTCTTTAATGAACATCAAAATGGGCCTGAACATCGCACTATATCTCCTGGTCACGCTGGGCGTGGCTTCAGCCCATACCATCATGCAGGCAGTTGGCGTCAACGGCAAGGCATCCGGCCAGGGAGTAGGCATCTACATGCCGTCTGACGATAGCTACCAATCGGACGTCAAGTCAGACTCCATGGCCTGTAATGGATCCCCGGTTACAGGATTCACGTCTTCCTCCCAGATCATCTCTGTAAATGCCGGCGATACTGTTACCGGGTCTTGGCTCCATACTCTTACCTCCACAGGTGCGGATTCCGAGGCGGACAACAAAGTCATAGCCTCATCACACAAGGGACCGGTCATGGCGTACATGAAGAAGGTAGCTGACGCGACGCAAAACCCGTCCGCTGGTCCGGGTGATGGCTGGTTCAAGATCTCGGAGGCCGGTCTAATCTCGAGCACGGAGTGGGGAGTGGATGCTTTGATCAACGCTGGCGGTGTTCAAACCGTGGTCATTCCTTCATGTATCGAGGACGGCGACTACCTCTTGCGCTTTGAGCTTATTGCTCTGCACAGCGCTTCGAGTGAGGGTGCCGCCCAGTTCTACGTTCGTACTGTACGGTTCTTCTCCAACATTGCCCTGATTGACAGCTCTTATAGATGGAGTGCGCCCAGATCTCAGTGTCTGGTGGATCTGGCGCTTCCACTCCTGCAACTTATGCGATTCCCGGCATCTACTCGGTAAGTCTAGTCCTACTATCCCGCTAAGGAAATTCGCCGACCGTTCTCTCTAGGCTACCGATCCTGGCATTCATGTGAACATTTACAACAACCAGGGTCAACCGTACCCGTCCGGCTATACTACACCCGGTAAGCATTTTTGATTTGTGGTGTGGTTCCGTTTTCAATCGGCTGACGTCCCGTATCAAAGGCCCCGATGTCTTCACCTGTGGTGCTTCTTCCGCTAGCAGTAATGCGACCACTAGCAATACCGTTATCGACGCAAGCGCCCTCGTTGGCAGCGCCACCAGCTATAGCGTTTCCGACGTCAGCACTCTCGTTGCCAGCAGTACTAGCCCGGTTACGGTCACGTCCATCGTCCCCGATGGTACCGCGACTTCCAGAATCAGCGGCCCAACGATTTATCCTGTGGCGTATAACGCTACTAGCAGCTTTAGACCTATGGGCAGTGCTGCAAGTCAGCCTGTCGCGTCGACCCTCATGACCATGCGGAAGCCTTATCCTTCTAACCACCACGACCATGAACATTCATGCGCGTAAATTCTGCTTGGGACCTGCGAGGACGCTAGAAGAGGGCATTGAGGATGTGGTGGTAGGCACTTGAACATAGCCTGCTCTTTTGAAGAGGGAGATGTGGAGATGTATTGGATTCGTAACAATAATGGTCTCCCTAGATGGAGTACCTGTATTCACTTCACCAAACTTTCTAATTCCCTCGTTTCGCGGGCGAAGCTGATATCCACGGAAACCGCTGTAGTGGCCGAACTCGACATGGAAGTAGAGCCGATCCTAGGCAAAGATGGTGTTGTTCTTCAAAATAGATTGTCTTTCTGCCTCTACTGCGTCGTCACCATGATTACTGGCATTGTTAATGTCAGCAGATCTACGCGGTACTTTCGAACTACTAGTATGCGGGAAGTACAGCGCGATCCTGGACCAAGGTAATTCCGCCGTGATTCGCGAATGACGCAGCAAGTCGTCCGGCTCCTGCGTCCAATCTTGGCCGGGGTTTGTGTCGTCCGTGAGTTCGCAACCAATAGAGATTCTAATGCTGTGCCTAAAGTCTCCAATGGCCGCACATGACGCGATGATCAAGACTTCGTCACAACTAAACAGACACTTCGCAAGGCAGCGACCCAACTTGGGGACTTATACCGCCAAATAGACTTTCTCCGATCTAGAATCCTTCTGCGCCATGACGAGCACGCCTTATTCCACGTAAAGAGAGTGCCAGCGGAAGAACCTCTAGAGGTGGCTGTCCAAGCTGAGTTGAGATCACTTGAGGAGCTCTACCCTTAGCATGAAACTGTATTCCGTCTGCTGGTACACGTTCAAAGTGCCCTGGCGGCCTTTCGACTTAGTCCAGCTCCTCCAGTGAGACCAGAACCGAGAAGCACCAGCAACCCTTTTCTGCCACCACAGATGCTGCTCCGTGCATTTTTACCAGATTCGCATTCCCCTCACCCACCGTGCTTGGAATTCCTCAGCTCCGGGTCCTTCTATATCAGGCCGCCTTCTGGAATCCAGACCATGACTGATCGTTCGATCATAAACAGCGAGTCCAGGCAACACCACTGCGGGGGTGTAGCTCATCCGTCGCCTTGGACTTCTTTGACTGAAAATCCTGTCTGGTTATTGAACAGGCGTAATCTCTGTCACTGTCCGATCAAATTAGAAGATCGTCGCAGAATCGCATTTGTCAACGAGGAAAAGCTGGACAGAATGGGTCTCGTCTACCATAGATCTGATCTGATAGCAGCTCAAGCGAAGATCCAAATATCCACCGCAAATAGTGACTCTGGCGTAAAGTTCACGAGTGCCAACCACTGGCTGGCCTATGCGTGGATATCACCTCGATGTATTGAAATCATTATGAGCTTAGGCTCATTTCGTAAGGCTGGTGCTAAGCAGCATGTGAATTGTGAGGAGGCTTATTGGGAATTTCGGCGAGTTTATTGCTGACTGTAATGCCAAAGGACGAAGTGTCCTCAAATCTGTGCCGGAGAAGTTGCTGTCCAACTTGACGCGCAGCGACCTAGACTTGCCTGACCAAGGAAAAGGACAACGTTCGTTGACTCAGAGGCTAGACGACCTTACCATTGTTGGTCAGGGTCAAGCACAACAATGATGCTTTGCTGCTTAGCGATGTTGAGCCTGGATGGAGAAAAGATTCGTGCAGTAGCGGACTTACCGGTCGATATTCTCCAAGATACATCACGAGTTGGGAATGGATCGCTAGATGCGTGACTGACGCAGTCACGTGTCCGTGATTCTCCCATGACTTTCAAAAACATCTACGCAGTTATAGCAATACCTTTAAGCAAGCGCGCAGGTTCACACTCTACTGCATCAATGGTGCAGAGGTCATTGCCAGATCAGGTCGCTGGGGCGATTGTGGTGCTGGAGGTGAAGGTAGTGACGACGAACAGGAGGGGGGCTGCACTACGTCCTGCCCAAGCGGCTACTCCTATTGCAAGACTAAGTCCTATTATTATCGATGCAGCAGCAGCGGCATAAGGTCTTGGTCGCGACAAGATGCCGTGTGCAATTAAGCTTGTTACTGCAATTGTCCCAGCTCATGTCGCACCTGTTTGTACTGGACTAAGAAGGTGTGATCGGAAGCTGGCTGTTCTTGCTTCAAAGGCGATTGGTACAGGAGAGAGTGTAGGGCTGGCACGTGCGATGGATGCTCCCGACATAGCTTCAAGCACTAGTATGTAATCCGGGTACTCCTACGTTCTGTACGTTTCTACTGGTACATCCGTAGGGTAACAACCTTCCGACTTGAAATAGCGTCTCCTGTCCGCATAACACTAAGAGTGCGAGGAACAGACCTCATGGCTGAGTACTGCAGGTATCACTATCGACTCTTGTGATTAGAACTATGACGATGTGGACCCGTAGCGGGGTACGCAGTCTTCACGGCAGGAAGATGGGCACGAGACTGGAAAAGTTACATCATACGTACTTGAACAATCCGGTTTGTTGTTGTTACCAGCGTCACAAATACTACACAATCCACCTCCAAACTCGTCACCTTCCTCCATCCCAGCTCACACTCATCCAAAATCCACCACATTACGAACAACAAATCATTCCACCCTCACAATGACGGATAGCTACAACTCCAGCAACACCCTCGGCAACGAGCGCAGCGGCCAAACCGGCACTGGATCCAGTGGCCTTGCTGGCTCTGGTACAGTTTCCGGCGTCAATCCCAACGAGCTCACTGGTGCAAGAGCAGACGCCCTCGAACACTCCCACCACGGCGGTGACCAGCTCGGTAGCGTGCGAGCTGATCACGGCGATTCTCGGGGTATGGACTCCAGGCTTGGCGGCGACCATCACACTGGGACCGGACACACAAGCCACACCGGTCGTGATGCCACCCTAGGCGCAGGGGCAGGAGCCATTGGCACTGGAGCACACGAGAAGCATCACCATGGCGATAGCACATCCCGCTCAGGCCTGACTGGTAGTGGTATGACAGGCGGTGGTCAGCACGCAGAGATGTACGGCGGATCCAGCAAGAGTGTCGACATGCCAGATGCCACCGGTCGCCATGGCCAGTTTGGCGAGATGGGTGAGAAGAGTGCTTCATTGAAGGATAGGCTAGTGGGTGCTATCACCGGACACAAGCCTGCTGAGAAAGATACCCAGCGATTCGAGCCTGCTGGTACTGAAGGCGAGAGCAAGCACCACGACAAGCATAGGGCTGAGGAAGGTGCAGTCGCCGGAGCTGGTGCGGGTGCTCTTGCGTCTCACGAGCATAACAAGCATGACAAGCATCATGACACCCGCGATAAGCAACACGGCACACACGGCACACACGACAAGCATGACAAGCACAGAGCTGAAGAAGGTGCGTTGGCCGGGGCTGGTGTAGGTGTTGGTGCCGGTACCCTAGCTGGCCGGGAGCATGAGCGAGGCAGCGGGCTCGACGAAGCAAGAGAGCGTGGGGCAGGCTACGAGACTGGAAGCAACCCTCATCACGGCCTAACATCATCCACTGGTAATGATGTAGCCATCGGTGGTCGTGCTCCAGTATCTGACCCGATACGCGGAGACCCTGCTCTTATGTCGACTGGAGGCGAGCGCGGTACAGGTCTGGGCTCATCTACTACAGGTACTGGACTTGGTTCGACTACCACGGGTCTCGGCGCGTCCCACACAGGTTCAGGTCTCGGCTCCTCATCAGGGACAGGTCTAGGCTCATCTTCCACCAGCACCGGCCTTGGCTCATCCACTCTTGGGCAAGGAGCACACGATCAGTCCAACTTGAGTGCTGGTCAGGAAGGTCTGATTCACGGCCACCACACCACCATGATCGGTGAAGTACTAGATCCCCATTTGGGACAGAGCTCTGAGAAGCGACTGTAGGACGACACGATTGTACATACGCTGAAGTGATGAGGCGGAGAAGCATGGAATGGGCGAAACAGGGTTTAGCCATCGATTAGCAGCCCGGGGCAGATTTGTGATAGTCAAATAGCGCATTGTCCTAGTGGCAATGGAAATATTATGGCGTCGAGGTAGTATACAACTCAACACCCTCACCAATCTCAGCATCATTGGCCAGTCTGAAACTTGAGCATGTCTATAATGCCTCAAACCCAAAGGTTCAATAATCGTGGTTTGTGGAGCTCCATTCGAGCCGAGGTTCAGAGCTTCGAAACGTAGAGCTCTTCTTAAGCTGTTGGACCTGTTGGCAATGATCATATTCATGCTGGCCTGCAGAGATCTTGATCAATTATGTCCAAGAAGAAGATAGAATGCTATATCGATTGCGGTACGTGTAGCCTGTCAGATGAGGTTCTGGGCTGACAGGGATGCTCTCAGTTTCACCGTACAGCTATTTCGCATTCGTCTTTTTGAAACAGAACCGAAGCTTGCTAGAATCCTATGGATGTACTGTAGAGTGAGTAGCATTTCTTCGATTGACAATAAGTAGCAGAGAAGCGGTGTCACTGATCGACTCCCAGATTCATCCCAGTGTTTCTTGGAGGCATCAATGTAGGCACCGGTACAACAATCCAATGAGTACCGATGAACCGGGCTCGTTGCTAACAAATCCAGGCAACAAACCACCAGGGACAGTCCCAGCCAAGTCACGATACTCTCGCTATGATATGAAGAGAGCACAAGCCTTCTTCGGCTTGAGCTTCACCACGCCTTCGTTCTTCCCGATTCTTTCTCTCCTCGTAAGTACGACGGTGGTCACCGGTTGGCCGTCCTGACCGACTTTCGCAGCCACAACGCTGTCTTGTGTACGCCAAGGCGAACTACCCTCGTGAAGCCTACGAAAATCTGTGGCGCAAATGTTTCGAGGCCATGTGGGAGCAACATCTCGACCTCTCCGTCCCTGAGAACATGCATAAGACGATCGATCTCGCATTTGACGGACCAAAGGACGTTCAAGCCATACTAGCATCGGCCAAAGATCCGGCGATCAAGCAGCAACTCTCTACCAACACCGAGCACGCCTTCCAGGAGCTCGGAGCCTTCGGATGTCCGTGGCATTGGGTATACGATGAGAAAGGGAAGGCAGAGCCCTTCTTTGGCAGCGATCGATATCACTACATCTGGGATTGGCTGGCTTTGCCACATTGTGGTATGAAGTTGTTGGTGCCCGGCGCGGTGAATTCCGCAGCATCTCGTCTGTAGCGTGGGCTCGTCCGGAGAGTCGTGAGTAGTGGCAAGATTTCGCTACCATCGTAGGACGCCCTGTATGACAAATTCAGCGATAGATCAAGTCTTGTGAGCTACCCTCTACTGCGAGCTGAGATTGAGTCAGCTGAATTCCCGCCTAAAGATGTAAAGTATACGCCATATCAGCAGATACTTCTATGTAGTAGCTCGGAGATCTGCAAAAAAGATGACTACCGTTAAGCACTTCCCATCGGAAATCTGCACCGTAGCCCTGCTACGATTTCTTGGCCTTCATCTCCACAGCACTCCTTACCTTTCTTTCGTCCTTACTCATCGTCCTTGGCACCAGACCCTGATCTGCCCGCTCCTGTCTCTTCCAGACGACCGAACGAAGCTCACTTACCGGCAACAACGGCGATATGTATAGTTCAATGCGTGCAGACTGCACGATACTGAACCACCCCTGACCTTTCGCTCGTTGCTGGAGCCCAAAGACGTCTCCAGTACGTATCTTGTCCATCCATGATGGGCTTCTATACCATTCGAAAGGTGGCAGACCCAGCATACCTTTCCGTCTTGGCTGCTCTCTTCCAAATATTATCGTGTATTCGCGAGGCACTGCGTAAGTCTGGAGGTTATCAAAGAGGTAGCGTTGGTCGTGCGGGCCCCTTTCCGGGCCGAGATCAATCTGTTTCCCATCGTGATGGTGAGCTGAGATGTCGCACCAGGTTTCATCCCCTTCGTAGCTGCCCCAGCCGTACTTGAAGTAATCAATGCTTTTACCTTGATCGCCACTCATCACACGATATCGCATCTCGCGCAAATTCGATGAGTGCTATTTATGTAGGGGTGGCGCTCGTAAATACACGTTCTCAGGATAGCGTTTGTGTTCATTGACAGCAATCATGTTCTTTCGAGAAGTGTACTCGCATAGCCAATAACTCGCTAGATCAAGGATCCGAAGGCTTAAATCACGAGTTGATCGATGATTGAAGGTAATTTCGAGAGCTGCCCACGCGTCCAATGTGTCCGAAGCTTGGGAGGGGAATCTATCTTTCTTGCCTGGGGCCTCCAGAAAATAATCGTCACCTCGAGCCTGCAACAAGTCCATTACGATATCACCAAAGGCGTTCCTGACATAGAGAAAAGGCCGGAAATTGTCTGAAGTATCCAGAATGTTTTGGGTATGATCATCATCCCCAAAGAGCAGTCGTAAAACATCGTGGGTAGGGGTGCAACTGTCGTCGGCTTGCGCGTTGACATTCGCACCACGGCTGCACAGCAGTTCAATCACACCATCGTTAAGACGTGTTGCTAGATGCAGTGGCGTTCGGCCGTCCGCTTGTGGTAGATGCACATCAGCGCCGCGGTCGAAAGGCTTTTTAATCGTCTCGACATTCCGCTTAGGTAGGCTAAGAGCCGCGTGCAAGGGGCTCTCGAATATCGTTCGTCTCAACCGCGTTGCGCCGCGATCACAGATCAAATTCGCTTCGTTGCCTTCGTTGATGAGCTGCTGCATCCGATCGGGTCCATAGAACTTTACAGCTTCCTCAACAGGATACTTCCAGCCCATCATGGGTATCATGCCGTGAGCTTGAGCGAGGGGCTTGATCTCGCGCACTTCATGCTCATCTTGATCATGCTCATGAATATTTTGTCAGGCACTTCCTCTTCGGGTACTGACAACATTTATATCTGTTCCTGCTTCTATAAGCAGCCTTAAGACAGCGAGAAAAATTTTCGTCCACTGTTTTCCTAGTCCGCGACCCGAATTCCACACCAGTGGAGTGCTTCCCTGTTGATGTCTGGTACTCGTTGCGTCTACATCCGCACCCGCCGCGAGCAGTATCTGGGTAGCATGGAGAGCATTCCCTACAGCGCTGAAATGTAGTACAGCCGCACCACCCGGGTCACGAAGATTTGGAGGGTAACCACGCCGTAGGCATAAGTTTTATCACACAGGATAGATCGTAGAACGCAGCAGTGTGTAAGAGGGGCGCCCGGAGACCTCGAGACCATTGGCTGCGCATGCGCGGTGCTCGGCGTCCTGCAAAGTAGAACAAGTTGTTCAGCCAAGCTTGATAAAAACCATCATCGCTTGAAAGCTTTCTCCCTATCGTCTTAAGCTCATCTTCGGTATACTCTGTCATTAGCATCAGCCAGCGCGCAGTGCTAAATTCGGAGCTGCAAAAGTCGCGCAAGTGCATCGTCTGGTTCACATCTGACAAAGTCATGGTACCAGCCGCTTGCTGCGTAGCCCAGAAACCCATCATCACGACACGGAGGGAATTTGTCGCTGAATCGCTCGCCCAGCTCTCGAACAATAGCCTCGGGAGGATCCCTCTCTTGGATGACAAAGTTGTATGTGCTCGCAAGGCTTCTCCAGTATGCCTGTTCAGAAGTCTGCAGTCGCTTTTCAGACAAGTTCAGAGCCCTCAGGCAAGTCTTGGCCATGTTGCGGTGCGCGACTGAAGCCTCGCAAGCCATAATCTTCCCGCCAACGTTTGTGACAGCGGATGCATTGTCGAAGATGAAGGCACTTGCTGTCTCGTGAATGGTGTTGACAGTCCCGTTTATATCCGCTCGTAAGAATGACCCAAGGTACTGCTGAATTCGGGCCTGTATGAGGCCGTGCTTGCTAAACGCGATCTCTAGCTCATCGACACTCAACGGCCTGCGCGTGCAAACCGACCAACGAAGGACATTGAGGATCGGCTCAATAAAGACTACTGGGTCAGCAAAAGTTTTCGCATGTCGGAGTATGATCTCGAGATCTTGTCGATTCAATTTCGCAACAGAAGGAGGCTGTCGAGAGATTATCTCCCAAACGTCGTCTTCAAACGCTGGTGCCTCGTCACGAAAGACATCCGCCACTAGGCTCAACCACATGAACATACCACCCGCTGTCTTCAACAGCTTTGCGCTTGCTTCCTCAGGCAATGTCGGGCTCTAATCTTCCTTGTCCTCCGCGATATCGTGGAGACGACTGGTGATGTAGGTTGCTGGGTCGTCTCTGGTGTCGTTTTCGGTGATATTCTTTCGCGACAGAGTGTCACCAATACTACGCTGGAGCATCTGCTCCCGGAAGTTATTGTGGCGACTCACGACCAACGTTTTACATCCCGAAGGCAGTTGTGCCAGGAGCTCGAAAAGCTTCTCGAATTCTGCTTGGTTCTCCTCGAGCTCGGGATGACATTCGTCCAGTCCGTCAACGATCAGACGGACTGGCTTATGCTTAATTTCCGCTTGTTCCAGTATCGCGGTCAGTATTTCTCCAAGCTCAGATATGCCCTACCCCTGATTATCGTAGTGAATTCTTGCAATGCTGGCAACATCCAGATAGGTATCTGACACGCCTTTTCGTTTCTGCAGTAACAGGTGTATCTAGTGCCTCAATATCGCCGTAGCGCTCAGGGTATCGGAGATATCTCTCGTATAGAGGAAATATGCTGTGCCGCCCGGGTCGACCCGGAGTAGATCATTGACAATGCGCACCGCAAGATTGGTCTTACCGTAGCCAGGCTTTCCAGTCAACCAAAGGACCCTGATAGTCTCCGTCGAGCTTGACAACCACTGACTCGTCTCGACTTGCTCAGCAGTATAGATCAAGTCGCCAGTACCACGCATCCGTGCAGTTCCCACCATATCGATGCGCTCCTTCATCTTCACTTCTTTACCTAGCCCAGCCAGCCAGCGGCCAACGTCCGATTTGAGTCCATCTCTAATGTCGTCCAACTTGTCGACATTACTTAGCCCCAGAGCTTACATTTGTTGCAAAGCATGGTGTGTCCAGTCGTTATCATCTTTGTTGTTCTTGAATGAGGTAGCAGTAGCGATCTGTTGAGCGTCTTCACAATCACGTCGTACCTCTTCGATTAGATGGTCGATCCGATGGCGCTTCCCCCGTCTGAGAATCGGCTTTGCGTTCAACCACGCTGTCACCGCAACACAAAAGGTCGCATAGTTGTTCGGAACTGAACCTATCACCGACAGGTCAGCGAATGGCCTGGCAGAGTCCTGATACAGTGCAGTCCGTCCGCTCAGTCTCCGGAGTCAACGCTCGACACAATGCCACCAGTGTTTTCTCCACGAGCTAGACGCAAACGAAACGGTACTTACTGATTGCACTCTGAACTTCTGGTGAGGCAGCCGCCCTCTCTAGCAGATTGAAGCTCTGAGAGACGATTGCAATGCGTTTGGCGAAATCAGCAAGGTCATTAATTAGTTTGAAATGCTTGTAGATGCCATCCAGGAGTAACCGTAACGAACGCCACACCACTGGGGCAACACCATGTGTGTCAAGACCCGCCAGCTTCGTTCCCACGTCCCCGACAGATCATCATCCTTCGACGATAAGTTTGACAGCTTCCATGACCCGCACGAGTCCACTGTCTCGCTGGTATAGCGAGATTTTCTTTTCAATGTCGGACATCGCATCCTCAAGCGTCTTGGGCTTAGCCACTTCAAGGATTTTTCTTTGCTCAGAAGACACATTTTCGCTGTTACAGAATCTCTTGATCTGTTCGATCCAGGCGATTTTGCCGCTTGACGACAGGGCTGACATGTTGTCAGGAAAGTTCAATAGACTCCGCGATAGACAACAGGTGGTTTCACGCTATCAATTGTTATTCCAGCATGATACGCGCCAGACGAAGTGGAACAGCCATCTTTACATATGTTACTTGATTGCAAGGCACCTTCAAATGATGTCACTGTACTTCTGCATGGGGGCCGTGATGAACTTGCTTGGGGGCCAAAACGTTTGCATACTATCACGACGACGGATCATTGGTCGTATGGAGCGGTTCTGCCTTATATGTCCACAGGATCAGCATGGTGTATGCTCCGATCGCATTTGCTTGACCGCATGAGTGACGTAGAGCCTGTCGCAATCTCGGATCAATGCACAGTATCCAAATGAGCCATACTCATGAGGAAGCGTACCTGGTAAAGATGGCTTCAAGCAGGCAGCAGAGTGCGGAACGATCGGCTTTGACCAAGGTTGGACATGAGCAACCTGTGGAAAGCAGGGTTCTCTCAATACTGTGCAATGCGCTCCGCTTTCAACAGCTAGCCGGTCGCAGCGGCATACATGTCTCCTCAAGCTTGACCATTTGTCCATGCTGAGGCTTTATCGCAGAAAATATAGATCGGCCTCGTCGAACGCAGAGGGTCATCGAGCCACGCCGATTCCGCTGGTCTCGGCCTGTCATGGCTGTGGTGTTCGACGAAGAAGACATACCGGCTTGGCTCCAGCCCAACAAGATAGAATGCGTATATCACCGGCGTCTTCTCTGGCCGTCGGATGTCTTTACATTGAAGACAATTCTCCAATCCAAGCTTACTACCAAGTTTCCTGCTTATACCTCCCCGCCTTCTCCATCCTATCGAGGAGACCCTCCGCCTCCTCCCTTACCAAGCTTTCATCACCGTCGCCACCCATCAGCACATCCACAAGCGCCTCTCTAACACCCTTCGGCATATTCCCCGAACTGCCACAAACATAGACTCTGCCGCCAATCATCAAAGCCCTTCTGATGTCAGTCCTAGCTCCCCTGATCTTATCCTGCACATACTGCCGTGGACGTCGCTGATCTCGGGAGAAAGCAGTAAGCAAAGTAAGGTCTTCGCTCGTGGAAATGTCGTCCCATTCATCATGGAAGAAACAGTCTGCACTTTCATCCCGACAGCCGAAAATGAGGATGTCGCCCGTCAGTCGTCGCCCATCATGCCTTACATCCATCTCTCGTGCCCAAGCCAGTCGTTGATGAATCATACTCCGCATTGGAGCCAAGCCCGTACCAGGCCCGATCATGATAGCCGGAACATTGATCTCATTCGGTTTGACGTCCAGGTAGCCGGGCTGCATACCAATCGTGATGCTTTGGCCTGCTTCGAGCGAGGTGATGTACCTCGTACAGACTCCATATCGTCGTCGCCACTTGATAATGGGACTCGGCGGATCCGCAACAGCCACAAGCAGCTCGACTTTCGTCCTTCCCTGCTCATCAACCTTCAGCAGCCCTCCGCTAGCAATACTGAATTGTCTTCCTTTCATCAATGGCAAAGCAGTAAGCACATACTGCCAAGGAATCCTGATGGTGGTGAAATCCATCATCACTTCCAGAATTGTGCGCTTGGGCCGAGTCGTGTAGTCCCATAGCTCGTCAATCAGCTCGGGATTGGCCAATTCGAGGAGACGTTCTTTCTGGTACTCCTCATCCTCCGTCTCCTTGCCAGCGAAATGGGCGAGGGAGGCGAAGAAGGAGCGACGAGGTATGGACATGATATCCAGCACATTTTCGAGCAGCCAGCGAATAGTCACTATTGTGCTAGTGAGGTCGAAGTGGCGTACCGGTGATGGCGATGCAAGTACTCCTGCCGTCTGATCTTCAGAGGCGATCAGTTCCAACGGCCGATCTGCTACTCCTTGCCATGCCATTAGCTCGATGAAAGCTTGGATGTCTTCTGGGAAATTCTTGGGGTAGATGACTGCAACGGCACCAGGGTTGTACTCATATCGATCATCCAGTTGGAAGTCAAGATGCCGGACGTCCTGAAAGTGGCTCATAGGCGTAATACGTTTATTATGTAGGAGTGTTGCAGTGTAGGCAGATTTGATAGGTAGAATATCGTCGCTCGGCACTCCATCCTCGCCCTGCCTGGCTGATGAAGCTGAAGGCAAGTCTCTAGCGCTTTGAGATACGACTTTGTTAGCACCATCGATACTGGCCCTGGCATGCTCCAACTGCAACTTCCACTTCGGCTCCAAGAAGACATCATCTTCAATCGGTGACTGATCTTCCGGAAGTGGAAATGTTTCAAGCAAAGATTGCCTCAAAGTCACAACAAATTCCCTCAAACCCACACTATGCCCCTCAGGATGCTGTTCATTACCCTCGCCTCGTTCACAGAATGTCCTGGCACCAAGCTGTAGCATTCGTCCACAAAGCATCCGATGCGCGGTATTGAACCTCGCATAACTCGAGTCACCGAGTCCAAATGATGTGAAGCGTACCTTCCTTAGTAATCCAGGCTTCAGGGCGCTAGACAGAAGCGTCTTCCAAAACCGACGGGCGTTCTGTGGGAACTCTCCTTGGCCAGTAGTGGAGATGGCGAAGACTACAACAGAATACTTGATCAGGTCTCGGAGGGAAACGGAGTCTAGGTCGAGAACAGTGGTTGTGAAGTGTAGGCGTTCTGTCAAGCGACCAATTTCTTCTGCTATGTCTTGGGCGTTGCCTGTTTCCGAGCCGTAAAGGATGAGAGCATTTCGTGTTGAAGTGCTCTCGATGCTGCTACTCATGAGGCTGACGTCAGCTAACGCTTTATGGTCAACATGCAGAGTCGAGGTGCTACCATGCGCAGCACCATTCATTTGGAGTCTTCGAGAAGGCACTCACGTTGCCACATGCTTGCCATTCGTGCTCATCACTTCACGGTCGGCCCTTCCCATTGATGGCATACCGTTCGTACAATCTGTTCGGCCTGCGTAACATTTAGAGATACGCGTATATGAGGGCGAAACGGTGGTGATGTTGTTGTGAAGTCGTTGACATCCGAACCATTCACTTCAGGTTCTTTAACTCACTTGATGACGAGTCACGCGACTTCCGACCCTAAACGGCTAGTGTCAAACGGCCTAGCGTGGCACTTTCCCCGGGTTGTGCATGCGGCGGCGAAGGGAAGGGACCGAAATTCTTGAGCAGGTGCACTTTGCGACGCTCTCCCGATCTCCTTTCCCTTCTTCTCTTCCCTCCATCAACAGTTCAACCACACACAACACCAGCTGTCAAGTCAATCAATCGACTCGGCCACGAAGCTCGCCATTCACCCAACTCTCCGTAAGCATCACCTGACCTGCACATGAACTGAGTGTCGCCTGCAACAAACAAACACCAGCTGACCTTTATTCTCTTGCCAACAGCTCTTCAATCTCAGTGTTTTCCACAGCACCCGACAAACCACCAACACTTCTCAAAAGTCAATCAAATTCAATCAAACATGTCCGTCGACGCTGCCACAAGCCAAATGGCCACCACCACCCTCAACGAGCCCTCGTCCACCGCCCAAGGAGCATCCGTTGGCGCGGGCGGCGACCAGCCCATCAATGCCAGCCAGAACGAGGCCGTCATTGCCAGCGCTGCTGAGGGAAGGAGATTGTATATTGGAAACCTCGCCTATGCGACCACTGAGGGAGAGTTGAAGGACTTCTTCAAGGACTACCTTGTGTAAGTCTCACCCTTCACCTAATTGGGTAATCGGACAGCTACTGACTTGATGATCCACACAGCGAGACCACGTCCATCCCGACCAACCCACGCACCACCCGTCCTGTCGGCTACGCCTTTGTCGATGTCTCCACGCCTTCCGAGGCCGAGCGTGCCATCAACGAACTCAACGGCAAGACCATCCTCGACCGCAAGGTCTCTGTCCAGCTCGCCCGCAAGCCTGAGCCAGCAGCCGCAACCGAGGGTGCAGCCGAAGGAGGCGAGGGACAGCAGCGCCGTCGTCCATCTACCCGCGGTCGTGGCCGTGGTGGACGAACCCGCTCTGGCCGTGGAGGCCGCAAGGGTGGCAAGGGTGTTGAGGGCGCTGATGGAGAGGGTGCCGAGGAAGGCGCCGTCAACGGCGGGCCCACCAACGTTCCAGGCCAAGCAGCTCCTCTCACCTCCACCACCAACGAGGCTCTTACTTCCGAAGCCGGCGCTCCAGATGCTGACGCCAAGAAGACTGGCAAGAGCTCGGCTCCCCGCGAACGCAAGCAGCGTGGCCCACCTGAGGATGGCGTTCCCAGCAAGACCAAGATCATGGTCGCCAACCTCCCGTACGACTTGAAGGAAGAGAAGCTCCTCGAACTCTTCAGCGAATACAGCCCAACCAGCGCCAAAATCGCCCTCCGTCCCATCCCCAAGTTCATGATCCGCAAACTTCAAGCCCGCAACGAGCCGCGCAAGGGCCGAGGCTTCGGCTTCGTAACGCTCACTAGTGAAGAGCTGCAACAGAAGGCGTGCACGGAGATGAACGGCAAGGAGATTGAGGGCCGAGAGATTGCCGTTAAGGTCGCGATTGATAGCCCGGGCAAGGAAGATGAGGATCCCAACGGACTGGGAGACGGGGGTGCGGATGTAGAGGGCACACCTACCACTGCTGAAGGGACCGCTGGGTTGAATGTTACTACTGCCGCTTAGGTACAGTAACGCCCATGGCCCCTGCACACCCAATTGCGGAACAGCTTCAGCGCTCCTGGCCACGACTCGACTAATTACCTCTTTCTTCGAACACGACTGCGAAGCAGAATACAACACAAGCTTATCTGGTATGGGCAGTGGCCGTATGCTTTGAGGTAAGAAGGAGAAGAAGGGTAGAATGGCGGTCGGTGACGGGATACAGGAGAGGTCAACATCAAACATCAAGAATCAACTTAAAGCCGACATTACACTTGCGTGCGTGTGTCATGGCAAACACTGTCATATTCTAAAACTTGTATTCCATGTACTTCTAGCTCAACTCGAGAGACACAAAAGCATTGACATGAGACTACCTTGATGTTCGTTACGTGGACTGCTACACATCACTATCATGTCAATTTCACTTCAGATTGACACCTTCATGCCAACAGCTGAACGCAGAGACGCTGACCAATAGCGAGAACATCCCAGCCCATCAAATCTTCTTCAGCACTTTCTTCTCCGTCGCAAACCTAGCAACCATAACAAACACCGCACTCGCCGCCGCCGTCCCACCCGCATAGAAGATGGCCGGCCGATACGGATCCAGTCCGACCTTCGCCTCAGCATGCGTAGCCTGAATTAGATAACCCGCAATAGGCGGTCCAAGCAGATACCCGACCGTCCACCCCGTGATCGCCTGACTCATCGCCACTGCTGCTCTAGCTGGGCCAAACATGCGAGCCACAACTGTAGGCATCGTGACGAAGAAAGAGCCGTTGGCTATACCGTTCAGGACTGCAAAGGTTGCTAGGAGTGTGAGGTTCGAGGATAGAGGCCAGATGGCTAGCATACTTGCCGCGCTGATCAAGGTCCCGATGACGAATGTATTGTTTGCGCCGATGCGATCGCAAGTAGGGCCAGAGGCGAACCGACCGAAGGCGTTGCAGGCGTTGTAACCTGCTACTAGGCCTGCTCCGACACCAGAAGAGAGACCTACGGACCGGGCCATCAGTGGAAGGAAGAATGGCGGGACGAAGAGGGTGAAGGTCGAGAGGGCGGCGCCGATGAAGACGCAGGTATATGCTAGATTTCTGAACATTGAAAGCTCGACAAACGGGACATTGCGAGGTTTAGTGCGGTCTCTCAGCAAAGCAGCGGCCGGGAGGCCCGTGGCGAGAGTCATGAAGCCGATAATGCGGAAAGTCCAAGCTAGGCCGACAGATTGGATCATAGCTTCCGAGGCGAGAGCGAGAACGGTCGCGCCAATACCGCCACCCAGCTTGATCAGACCGTTGGCTGTGCCAAGTTTGGTGGTGAAGTATTGGGTTGGGATGGAATTGCAGATGGTGTAGAGGAAGGACATTCCTAGGCCTGAGATAGCTCCCGATCTATAACTGATGTGAGCGGATACAGGTCTAGGAACAGTGTAGTGTGGTTGGGGTGGAGCACTTACGCAGCAAACAAGGCCCCAATATTCGACGTAGCGAAGCCGGAGAATATCTGAGCAAGTCCAAGGAGAAGTATGCCAATCATCGCCCCCGTCCTGGCACCGAGAAGACGATTGAGGCGAACACTGATTAACCCAACAGCCACACAAGCCGAAGATGCCAGTGATCCGACAAAGACAATGGTGGAGGGCTGCACCTCTTTCATTGAAGTCTCGAGGAGATGAGCTTGCAGAATGCCCCAGCACCCGGTAAAGCCGGTAAAGGAGAAGGTGATGAGGGAGCAGGAGGCGACGATGACCCAGCCGTAGCCGCCATCTGGAGCTGGTGTGGCGATTGTGCTGTCGTTGTCAGGGTGCTGGGAGGCTTGTGCGGTGAGAACGATAGTGTCGTCTGCTTCGGCTCGGGAGGAACTGGGTTTGTTGTTGTGATCGATCGAGTTCTGCGGAGGACTCATCGTGCTGAGCTCGATTTGCGATGTTTCGGTTGTGGTGGCCATCTTGCTAGAGTCGCGATATTTACATGAGAGTTCGTGAGGCGATGTTGGCGCATGGAGTACGAGAACGAGTACGGGAGCTGATGTGTTAGCGAGGCAAGTTTGTTCCTACTGTATACCTGCGCTCTCGACTATGAGTAATAACATAATCTGGGCGAGGTCGGCGGACTTGAGATAGTAGTAGGGCGTGGAAAATCTGTATTCTTCGAATGTACCATCGTTCACGTTGTGCCCATACCTACGACTAACAGAAATTCAGCTCGACTTCTTTTCAGCACGAACCCTCTGTATTGGAGATCAGGATGAGCCCTAGAGTGCTTGGGTAGCATGATTTCAATATGGTTGTAAGGCGTAGAAAGAAAATGCAATCTAGGTGCTTTCTGCGTAAGGCCGCGATTTTCCGCAGTGCCGAGGCAAAGATCGAGCTGCTTGCATTGGCCTGCATGACACCATGGATTTGACAAGCATTGTACATTGTCCTATACACACAAAGCAAAATGTCGAAACTACGAATATTGGTTCCCGTCAAGCGTGTGATAGATTATGCCGTACGTCCTATCGAATCCACCTTCACACCAGCATCACTAACATGCGACTGCTTCCCAGGTCAAACCCCGAGTCAACAAGGCCCAGACGGCCGTTGAGACCAATGGCGTCAAGCACAGCATGAACCCTTTCGATGAACTTTCCATCGAAGAAGCCGTGCGATTGCGAGAGCGAAAGAAGCAACCAGTCGAGGACATCCTTGCCTTCTCCGCCGGGCCTGCGAAATCCCAGGATATCTTGCGAACGGCGATGGCCATGGGTGCGGATAGAGGTATCCATGTGGTAGAAGAGAAGACGGAGTTGGAACCATTAAGCGTAGCCAAGCTCCTACAAAAGGTTGCAGAGCAGGAGAAGAGCAATCTGATCATTTTGGGAAAACAAAGTATTGACGACGATGCGAATCAAACGGGTCAGATGCTCGCGGGACTTTTGAACTGGCCGCAGGCAACACAAGCGAGTAAGGTCGAGATCGAAAACGACGAATGTACTGTGACGCGCGAAGTGGATGGCGGCGTGGAGACACTGAAGGCCAAGTTACCTATGATCATAACTACGGATCTTCGCTTGAACGAGCCTCGGTATGCGAGTCTACCAAACATCATGAAGGCGAAGAAGAAGCCGTTGGAGAAGAAAACTTTAGCAGACTTTGGCGTGAGCTCGGAGAAGAGGTTGAAGACTTTGAAGGTGGAAGAGCCGGCGGCTAGGCAGGGTGGTGGCAAGGTGGACGACGTGGATGGCATGATTGGGAAGCTGAAGGAACTAGGGGCGATATAGATATGGGTATGTACGAATTGATATCCTGATGTACAGAGTTCAATGAAGTCCTCACCCCAGTGCGGAATTTAGGAGTGATGGGAAGCCTAGCCTAGGCGGCAATAATGACTCGAACTCGATCCGATGAGGTGACTCGAAAATCTGTGAAGCGTCGATTGTGCTTCGACATAGCTTCATCGCAAAGCCCTAGCGACTCGGTACAGAAGCTGTAGTCCAGTCGAGTCTTGATTCGGTGAAGTCGAGGACCTCCCACCACATCTGCTTCAGACAGCCAAGTCCTAGCGATAGGTAAAGCTCGAACTGTGAATGGAACCTTGGCTGCTGATGTGAATAGGTAATCACATATTCAGCATTTGACATGTGAGCCGAAGCGACGAAGACCGGAGGTCATCACGTGCGAGACGACAAGCATTCACCTACTTGCAACACAAGCGCGAAGCACGGACAGCTTAGCGTCACGCACAAAGCTCAAGACACCTCCTTACTAAATTTAATTTCTCTCGAACAACACTGACATCCTTGAACCCATCGCCGTCAGCAGGCATACCCAACGACGTCGCACTCCCAGAAGAATCCCGGACGACGGTGACCATGGCGGTTACTTTACGCCACCTTTCGGCCGAGCATAATCAGGTGCTTATGGGTGTCAAGGTGGGCGACTTCATCCACTTCGAGTCGCAAGCCATCTATTCTAGTGCTGGTTGGGATAACGAAGCAGACCAAGAGCCAGAGGATGGTGACGGCGAGTTTGCCGCGCTTGGACTCGAGCATGGCAGTGAAGGGAGCGAGGAGGAGAGTGGTGACAGTGATGGGGGCGACAGCGGCGACGCGAGTGACTCAGCAGACGAGGATGGCAACGAGCCCGATACGATCATGCGGTCTACTCCAGCCAGCGAAGCTGGTGACCAAGATATCCTCAGCCAAGCCCAGTCTCCAGACCCGAACCACGACGGTACTCCTACCCACTTGCCATCTACAGAGGAGTCACACATTGCACCTCAAGCTGACCAGACTTTCCTACCCTCCGACTATGTCTTCTACGTCAAGGAACTGGTCGAGGGCAGCACAGGTGCAGTAGTGGACCTGGCACTACTGCAATGCGATTTCGCGACAAACCCAACCACTCCGTCTACGAGTGGCCGCTTCACTACATATGACGATGAGATGGTGTACCTTGCGCCTGCCACCGCCACAGCGGCGGAAGAAGAAAATGCCGATGAGGATGATGCCCACGCATCAGAACATCCATCGGTCATGCTCCAGGATCTCGCTCAAGACTATGACCTCTCCACTTACGTCATCTCCCTCAACCCTTCCGCATCCTTCATGCGCTCGAAGACTGGTCATGGACATGGACAATGCTGGGCCAACTGCAACGAGGGCTGGCTTCATTGTCTGGATTGCTTGTTCCTCGTCCTCCCCAGCGACATTTACTCCACCGCAGCATTACAACCCCACCGCCCCGTCTGTCCCGCCTGCATGGGTCTCGACCTCCTCAGAGAACAACAAGCCCTCCGAGTCCAGCTCGAGGCATTCCTGACTGTCGACTTCGGCGCTACGGTGGAATTCCTGGGTCGCTTCAACATCCATGGACAGAGCATAGGGTACGACTTCTGGCAGTATGATGAGCGCGAATGGGGCTACCACTTCGATGACATGCTGGAGGACGACAACGCCGGCTCCGAGGGCGACAATGGCAATGATGGGTACGAACACTTTCCCGAGGCCTTCGACCCAGCTGCCAATGTCGTCAAGAGGCCGGCGGACAAAGAGACCATTGCTGCTCTGCCGAGATTCACCTATGAGGAGTGCGGGGGCTCCGTGGAGCTAGGCGAGGAATGCTTAATCTGTCGCGATAAGCTGGAAGACTCGAGCGTCGTGGTCCTGCTGCCGTGCATCCACGTCATGCATGAGTGTGTTACGCGTTGGCTGGAGGAATTCGATACTTGTCCTACTTGTCGTGCCGTTGTGGGTATGAACGACAGTGAAGGCGCGCAGGAAGATGAGAGCGGCAGCGACAGCAAGAGTAAAGCCGCTGACGATTCTACCACGGGGACTGGGAGTCTCGGTTCGGCCGAGGGTGCGCAAGCGGAGAGTGTGGCGGATGCGCAGGGCGAGAGTAATGGAGACACGGGCTACGAGGCGGTTCAGGAGGAGACCGGTGATGAGGCGGGTGCTGATGTTGATGTGAGTCAGGTTGACGATGCTTGGTAGAAACCCAACGTGCTACCTGTCACAAATTGGAAACGGGATTTTCGAGGAAAGTTGGCGTTTCGGCGGCTCAGGCGCTCGTCAGCATCGCGCCTGATGCAGTGAGAGACTTATGGCGTCGGGGCGGCCTATGGAAAGTTCTCATTCTCATTAGGGACTGACCATCGGTATGATCGGAACGGTGGGAAATGGCTGAGGTATATGGGTTCCGGTTCCGGGTGGCGGTGTTGGTAATGTCGCATTGCCATGGAAGTAGGATGTGTACGCATAGGATGATCCGCGATTCTTGTTGTGTCATGTTGATCGTCATGCATTGTAATGCAAAATGGAAGTCTTTATACCCATCATAGCTAACTATGCGGACCTCGAGATGTTGTTGTGTGCTATGTCCCGACTTGCTTCACCTCGAAGCTTCGAGTCCATATATATACTTTCATTCTAAACGTCCCGCGACATTCAGCTATTCCTCCATCTTTACGTCTAGGTAGTTGGATCTTTCTGGATATCACGATGACAATATGCTCATAGCGCAGTAACATAATACCATGCACTAACTAGCTACAAGGGCAGAGTGACAGCAGTAGCCATGTCTTTCCTGGGACGCTTCCTGCAGCCCGGCTTCAGAACCACAACTGGAGCCTTCGCAACCCAACGAGCACCTTTCGTGCTACGAAAACACGCCTTCTTCAGTTCCTCATCGAGACCATCCATAAGACTAAAAGCGTCACGACCACGCTACTACCACACCTCCCAGCCCCAACAAGCCTACCGCCGTCAAGCCTTCAACTACCAGACCTTCCAAGGCGCCCAATACCTCTTTTCCCGCTGGGCTGCCCGACCAACCTTCTACCGCGAAGTCGGCCTCCTCGCCGGCGGGACAGCAACCCTCTACGTTGCGAACCTGGAAAAAGTGCCCGTCTCGGACCGCTACAGATTCAGGATCATCCCATACAGCTGGGAAGCATGGCAAGGACAGCAAATGTATCAGCAGACCATGCAGGAGTTTGGGAGGAAGCTCATGCCGCCTACGAGTAGAGAGCATAGAATGGTGCAGGCCGTGATGGAGAGATTGATACCACATAGTGGGTTGGAAGCGGAAGAGTGGGAAGTCCATGTGATTGATGATCCGATGAAGAATGCTTTCGTGATACCGGGTGGGAAGGTGTTCGTCTTCCGTGGCATCCTAGACGTTGCGCAGGGAGAGGATGGTCTGGCGGCGGTGCTGGGACACGAGATAGCACACAACGTCGCCCACCACGCCGCCGAACGCATGAGTCAAAGCGTGCCCGTGCTCTTCCTCCTCGCCGTCCTCTCGCTCGTAGGCCTCGACCCAGGAATCGGCAACACAGCTCTCAATCTTGCCTTCACGCTCCCCGGCTCACGCAAACAAGAGGAAGAGGCGGATTACATCGGTCTCATGATGATGAGCGAGAGCTGTTTCGATCCCAAAGCCGCCATGGGACTTTGGGGAAGGATGGAGGAGGAGGAGAAAGGAGCTTCGGGGCCACAATTTCTAAGCACGCATCCGAGCAACCATAATAGACTGGAGAAGATCAGAGGATGGCTGCCTAAGGCTGAAGAGAAGGTGGAGGGGAGTGGGTGTGGGATGCTGAGGGGCTATGGTGAGCAGTGCATGTTGTGAGGGTGAAGCGGTATAAGCTAATGAGATGGCAGCCAATGAGTTCCGGCAGCAGACTGGTTTGGTTCGGTGGTGAAGGCCACTAGGAACTGCACAAAACGACTCCACTCACTCTTGATACACGCGCTACAATACCACGGAACTTCTCTCCCGAAGAGATGTACAACCACCGGGTTGCACATATATAAGTCATCTGATAGATGGCGGCTTGCCACTCTGCCGAACATATTAGAGTGAATGCCTGACCATCTGATCTGCTGGCTTGAAGCAGTCGGCTCTGAGGTTTCCGTGTCCTACGAGGGACGACGCTACTGGCTTGATACAACCAACTGCATGACAGCAGAGACAGCGACGACGTAGTCATCGTCTGTAAAGCTTCTAGGCATGCCAGACGAGCGTCGAGATATCTGCAGCGACGATCACAACCCAAAGAGGAAGTTGACTTTATGCAGGCAGCTACGTAAGCGGAATCCTTCACTCTTCCAAATTCGCCTCGTCAAGCATAATCTTGCGGTCTACGCAATAACATCCTATCAGCCCAAGACATCAGAACCTAGCCATGGTCATGAGGCCCACGCAGGATACTGACCTGGGCTCGCATGATGACACCTTTAGCATCCATACCGACCTACTCTTCGACCCACAACAAAAGGCCTTCACCGCAGATACTTCCATCCAGGTCTCCCGCTCCACAGGCCTGATAATCAAAGTATACAAGCGCAAAGATGCACTCCCTTCCACCATCCAAGAACCTGAGATCGATCTCCGCGGCCTCTGCGTCCTACCCGGTCTCGTAGACGCTCACACCCACGCCTTCTTGCATGCATATTCGGAGACACCATCATTGAACCAGATGCGAGATGAGAGTATCATCGAACGCACCATTCGCGCCACTAACCACTGTCGAGCCGCTCTCCTGGCAGGCTACACTACTTACCGCGATCTCGGGACCGAAGGCGCCGGCGAAGCTGATATCCACCTTCGAAATGCTATCAATCGTGGTATCATCCCCGGACCGCGAGTTTATTGTGTTGGCGAAGCCCTCGCCTCCTCAGGGGGGTATGAGATCCGGCACGAGAATGCCATGGGAGGTGCCTCCGCCCCACGTATAAGCGACTCCTGCGACGGACCTATTGGCGTCCGAGCAGGCGTGCGTCGTCGCCTAGGCGCTGGCGCAGATCTTATAAAATTCTATGCGGACTACCGCAAACGTGAGCTCAGATTCCCAGGTAGTCATTGGCCAGGGTGTCCGGAGATTCAATTCCCGCCACAGCAGGAAGGCCTACAAGGAGAGCGGAACCCGAATATACTTCTCTGGCAGCAAGATGAGATGGATGCCATTGTTACCGAAGCTAAGGCTTCGCGGGCGGCGGTGGCGGCGCATGCTAGCACGCCTGAAGCCGTGATCATGGCATCCAATGCAGGTGTCACGACTATCGAACACGGCTTCTTGCCGATGAAAGGAACGAAAGCGATGGAGACGATGAAAGAGAACGGGACGATTTTCGTGCCTACGCTCGCTGTTGTGGAGACAGCCGTAAGTAAGGAGCAGATGCGGGAAGTCATGGCCCAAACCAAAGAGGCGTATGATCGTGGCATCAAGCTCGCTTGTGGCGGCGACACAGGTGCCTTCGCTCACGGAGACAATGCTCGCGAGATGGAATTGTTTCTTGAAGCTGGGATCCCACTTGAGGAGGTGTTGTACAGCGCTACTGTACGCGGATGGGAAGCTTGTGGTGGGGACTGGTGTGGGAGAAAGTTTGGGTGGGTTGAAGAGGGCGTGGCGGCGGATTTTGTTGGGTTCAAGGAGGATTTGCGAGCGAAAGGGGTGGCGGAGGGAGGAGGGCTAAGGAAGGTGGAGTTTGTGATGAAAGACGCTAAGGCGTGGAAGCAAGATGGGACGGCGGTGGGGATGGTATGAAACGAGCGAGCATGCAACTCAATGGATCACACGCTTTCGCTGTCCGCTGAGGACAGAGCAACACTGCTGCAACTCTCTCTTAGCGCAAACTCAAACCCGTCTCGTCAGATGTGAAAGAAATCCGAGATATCCTGCTATACATACTTACAAACATGAACTTGCCGAATCAAAGCTTAGCCTTCTTCCCGCCACCAACCCCAGTGACCTCTCCACCACCGAGTAAGAAGTCAGGATACCGCCACGCACTCCCCTCCCCGCCCGGCCCACTTGTCCTCCACGCCCCACCATCAACAACAAGCGTAGCCCCATTAACATAACTCCCCGCATCGGAGAAAAGATAAACCATCGCATCACTAATCTCCTTGACCTCGCCCCATCTTCCCACGGGAACACCCATCTTACTCCTCTTCACACTCGCCTCGTCGCTCGCCGAAAGCCGCGCCATACCCTCCGTGCCTGCGATAGGGCCGGGAGTGATGACATTACTCGTGATACCAAAGGGACCGTACTCGATGCTGACAGAGTGGGATATCTGATCCACGGCCGCCTTGGCAGCCTGAACGTGCGCTTGGAGTGGTTGGCCTCTGTAGTGGAAAGTAGCCGAGATGAAAATCAGCCTCCCTCCCGTTCCTGTTGGGCTGGCGGGACTGATATTCTTGTGCTGTTTCGCGCTTGCTAAGAGATGAGGCAGGGTAGCTTTAGCCGTGTTATAAGATCCAATAGCATCGATATCCATGACCGTCTTGAAAGCATTGGAACTGAGTTGAGCCATTGGAGCGAGGAAGTTCCCCGCAGCGCCCGCGATGGCAAAGTCCAGACTCCCCAACTCCTTCGCACAACGCTCAGCTGCAGCTTCCATGGCCTTGATATCCCTCACATCAGCCACGAGACCTATGACTTTGGCTCCAGGCCGGACGGACGCGATATCAGCGGCGCCCTTCTCGGTCTTTTCCAGATTGCGGCCGGTGATCATGGCGTTGCCTCCCAGGGCTACGAAGGCGCGGACTTGCATGGAGCAGATTGTTCCCGCGCCGCCGGTGCAGAAGAGGACTTTGTCTTTGAAAATGTCATCGCGCCAGACGGAGGAGAGGAATTTCTCGCGGGGGATGGACATGGTGGCTCGGATGGGGTCGACTCCGGTTCCTGTCTACCGTTGCAGTAGGTTCCGAGGAGGTCTGTTTAGACTCGAAGACAGTCCGATGCTAGATCAGATGGTATGTATGCCACACAAGACGACGTCGTAGATCGGCAGTGACTTCGTATATGTACGCTGCTTTGATCCTCCTCCACACAGTCAGCTTCGGCCGTATCGTTCTGAGTACTACCTCGGTTGTATGCCTAGATCACTGCTCAATGGGCCAAGGTTGTCCGAAGTAAAGAGCAAAGCCTTTATTGATCTGAGACCTCGCGATGGAGGACCAGGAGATAGATATCTCTTGATAATGCACTTGCTTATATAACAGCCCGAGGTCCTGCATCGTGAACCGAGCGTCCCAAAGACGTGGGGGCTGAGTTTGTGGAGAAAGCTCGAGCCACATGGCAGCATGGCGATTTGGCAACGTCAGTGATTAATGCTTAGTAGTAGCTATCTGTCGTTACTATTCTCCGGTACCAACACAGCATCAGAACTTCACCATCTGCGCCACAACCGCCAAGATGCCGACATCAATAGCCTTGTGCAAATTCGTAGGCACAGTGACCTTGGGACTGTTGACCGTACGCGCCTACTTACCAAGGAGCTAGTATGCCAGCAATACTGACTAGAAGACAGGGCGTCTCCTACACCCTCTCCACGCAATCCCTCCCCTCCCTCCTCACCCTCCCCAGCGCCAAACCAGCCGCCTATACCTTGAACCAAACCGCGCGCCTCGCAACCCTCCACATCACCACCTTATCAACCATCTCCTGCATCTCCCTCGCCACCGCCTTCGCCCTCTCATCCCCGCGACAAAGACATCCCTACCTGCTCTGGACATCCCTTGCCGCTGCTTCGAGTGGCCTGCTGAATTTCGCCATGGATGCTAGCACCAGGAGCAGTGCCGCGATCGAGGAAGTGGGAGAGATTAATGGGGAGCAAGTGGAGAAGAAGGCACGGGATTTGCAGTGGGTGGAGTTTGTTCGAATGGGTGTAAGTGGAGTCGGGTTCGTGATGGGTGTGGTGGGGATCTGGGGCGATGGGGCCTGAGGGTGATGGGTGGCGGTGGCGATATAGGTAGGCGAACGAGATGAAGGTTATGATGGTATGATTATTGCATGGCGATCGAGGACAGACGCGTTGTCTGCGAGACGTTGACAGCTCAGCTCATCTTGATAGACATCTACGCTGCTCTCACAAACATCGAGAACAATGGACCTACTCTTGGGATCAGGTGGCGAACACTTCGCGAGCATTTGCTCAAAGCATCTGACCGTGATTTTTTCATGTGATTATCCTTGTTCAAACTGCGGAACGAGATTGCGACACTAAGTCAAATAGTCTACCATCACCTGGTGAACACTAGGACAACTTCCAGACGCAGGACCTCACGCACTATTGCAACCGCCAAAGTCGTCGCTAGCCTTGATCTCTTGAATATCCGTCAACTCACTAGCACGGTCCACGGCCTGAGCGAGCCCGACAGTGCGCTCATCAAGATTAGTGACCACATAGACGGAGCGCAAGAACTGCTGGTTCAACGCAAACCAGCTGCGCGCATGCCCATCCACGACTCTAAGCCTACACATGCTCCGATCTTGGTGTCCACCTTCTGTTCCGGCTTCTCCTTATCGTCGAACAGGTCGCGGAAGTGAATACGATAGCTTGGTCCACTCGCATCACCACGACCACCCAGAAACCGGAGATCAAGACCACCGGGTTGATCGACTATACCGCAAGGAGCCATGTACGAGCCTTGTTTGTGACCTTTGACCAAGCCATACGGCTCAAGCATGACGACCATCTCTTCCACGACTGAAGAAGGAAAGTAGGAATCCGGACCACCCGAGTCCATCATGAAGTGTCTGTTGGACTCCGGGGAGACAACGCTCTTGGAACTCCCATCAGGAGTGGTCAAGGCCATACTTGAGACGGCGACAGCCATAAAACCGCGATGTCACCCCAAAGCCTGGGGTAGGTTGCAAAGGGAACACGGTCAGATTACCCCAATACTTCGACCTATCGTGTCCTCCGAGGATTATACTAGGCTTCCCGCGCCCGTGGTCAAGCCAGAGCGCGACGGAGCGCGTAGTAATACCACCTTGTTCGACCAGATCATCTAGAAGCCTCTTTTGACTAATATCACTAGGACGATAGCCTATTGGCGCCAGAGCCAGGATGCCAGATGTGGGGATTTGAGCTTTGGAGTCTACGGTCTTAGCAAGACCAATAGTCATGTTATGGAGCACTGCGGAACCGATACCGAAACTGTCGCGGATGATATCACCGGTGACATGGGCGTGGTTGAATTATGTGAGGTCCAAGCCTTTATCGGAAACCGTTCTTGCGGTGGCCGATGAACTCACGTCAAAGTCACTGGCTTTCATCCAAGTGCTAGAGCTGCCAGTGTCGACCCACATCGAGTGAGGCTGAGGCGGCGAGCCTATCGTGACGTTGACGCTGAAAAGTTCACCCTCTCTGTATAGCGGAAGCTCGAGGATCTTTTTGGCGCCGAGTTGAGGGCCAGGCGCAGGCAGGGCGAATGTTGGCGGGAGGGTCGACGATGCGAGAGCCACGAGAAATACACGCCGGAGGTTGGAAGGGGATTTCATCCTGGCTAGGTGTACCATGGACAGATTCTCAGAAGCCCTGGGAAGTGGTCGGGAGCAGAGTGCAAAAAGATCGTCGAATTTTGTTATATATCTTCGTCTTGCGGGTAAATGATCATGTAAGTGTTGAGCATCGAAGCTAGAAATAGCAGATAGTTCAAGACATCTTTATGTATACCTGCGGAATACATGGCGTGTGGCCGGGACCAACCCAAGCTCCTGGTGAAGCTCGAACATAATATTAGAGTTCGCACTTGTCCTCACGCTAGCCAAGCCTGGGAGCGTACACGTCTCCAAGCTTACGGTCATCAGATTTGTGGCTTTCTCAAGAGTGCTAGCATATCACACCCGAGAAGTTTTCCATGGGCACGAGAAACTCCAGTTCCAGATGGAATGGGATCTTTCGACAGATTTATCGTCACCCGCGTGCATTCGCGCGCAAATGTCAAGATGTGTACATCCAGCATGGTAATCAAACGGGGGAGCTGCCAAACAATGGCTGGACTGTCCACGGAGATGAGCATCGTCTCGGCAGACAAGAAGACAAAGCTGGACTCTAGCATCTCTTTGTGTCTCCAAGCTTTGTAATGGTGATTGTCATCTCTGGCAGGATGGAGCCAGTCATCCGAGGACAACATCGAGTCGGTCTCGATTATATCTCTTAAGCTATCGCGCCCACCAGTCTGCCAAATTTCCATCGGATCGCTGTCAGGTACAGCACTGTCCAGTAGACCATCATTTCTGACTCCTAACATGAAGATTATACCAACGACCACGCTCACACTCCAGCGTCGGGTAGAAGATCTGGAAGTCCAGCTCGCAGAGAAGGACGCCAAGATCCTCCGACTTGAGGAGACTCTCAAGCAGAAAAGTCGAAATGTGATCACTTCTCGAAAGGACAGCCTGACGTCCATCAGATCCGAGACCAGCTTTCGATCCAGCATAACGAGTAGGTCCTTCCTCCAACCAACTGTAGCTACAAGACGTCGCTCGGTCGCCGTCAGTACCCCGGGTCCAGCTCTTGACGCGGAAAGAAGTCTCTCGGCCATGGATGCCGCAACCACAAGTCTCCCATCACCATTATATCATGACGGACAGTTGATCAAAGAAGCCAACTTTATCAAATCGACGTGGTCTACCATTTACAGGACCAGAGGGAAGTACCGCCCCAGAGATCAGGACAACAGCGAGGAAAATGGCAACGATGTCAGCCCGATCGAGTCGTTGCCTGGCCCCTGGGACCCGTCAGAAGCCAACACCACGTGGAGCGAGCTAGCCCCAGCCGGAATCGAACCGACTTCCGTCTGCACCACCTGCGCAAAGCTAGAATGGAGCGACTCCCACCCCCAAGCCCAGTCCCTAGAAAACCGTTCCCGCCTCTACCCACACACCCGCGACCCCTTTTACAACCCCAAAAACCCAGCATCCGACATGTACCCTCCCAACCGCCTGATGTCGCGGCTCCTGCGCCGAGCTCTTCGCCTCGCGCAAGAAACAGTCTGGACTGCTTTCCGCGCGCACTGGCCTGAAGAACAGCGCCGACGGTACCTCGAAGGGCCAGAGGAGGTAAAACTCGGCTTTGACGAAGTGGAAAGCGCATTGCGACACTGGTCCTGGGGTGTAGCAAAAGAAGGTGAGGTGGAGAAATGTGGCTACGGCAGGAAAGCGGCGTATTCCGCCATGTCAAATATGTCATACCTCCGCAACGCAGTCTGTCATCCCGACTGGCGAACACCATGGAGCGTTGACTCCCTCCTCCGCGACGCCCAAGCCCTGGCCGTCACCATGCGAGACGAACCTCGAGCTTTCAAGATCCGGGCCCTACGAGATGAATTGCAAGCCGCTCAACTGCAAGCCCATGACGAATTGCTCTCCTTCGTGGGTCTCGCCTCCCTGCCCGGAGCGAAACCCTGGTCCCTGCATCACCAGCGCCTGTTCGCGGATGTGACACACGATATTAGCACATCAAGCCCGGGAAAGTATGATCATATCCTACTCCGAGCAGCCAAAGAGTGGGAGACCAAGTACATCCGCCCGGGCCAACTAGATCCCTCGTACCTCAATCGCGCCGAGCGTGCAGCCGACAACATCGAAGTCCCCGAAAAGGCGGACAGAGAGAACATGGCCAGACTGAGACAGATCCAGCGGGTAACGAGAAGCATGTATCCAAAACGATACGAGCAAGCGCGGAAGTATATGCAGGAGACACCGGGGCATGGACGGCGGGCGAGTCTGCCGGGTGCAATGCCAGGTGTTCCGGGGAATGTGCTTGAATTGAAACGTGAGTCTGTTGCGGATATTGTTGAGCAGAGGAGGAACATAGAGCGAGAAGTGAAGGAGTTGAGCCCAGAACAGGAGGAGAGTGCCAAAGCTGCATGGCCAGCTTTTGTAGAGGCGAAGACGGAGGTACACTGGTGAGATAAAGCAGCATTGGGTTGTACAGAGGGGTACATACGACAATCGTAGACCCTTCTCACTTCTCCCCACTCGAACGGCTTCCAATCTCGGTGTCGTTGCAATGACCATCCCTGGTGCCGCTCAGAGCACTCGACACCATCTTGTCCAGCACTCAATCCATTGAGTACCCCTCGTTCCATTCTGACCCCATCTCCCTTCCCTCTTCAGCACCATCCTCTCTCATCTCCTCATTCCCCTCATCATCCTGCTCCTCCTCTCCATCCTCCCAATCGTCATCAGAACCATCCCACTCCCTCCTCACCTCCCGCACCAACCCCTCCCACCCCCCAGCCTCCGCGCCCCTCTGCCAATGCCCCAAAGCCCTGACGCCATACCTCTCCGTCAGCTCAAAAACAAGCTGCTGCCAGTCCTGCTCCGTGTGAAAGAAGGCCCACGCCGTTTGCTCGCCACACAACCGGGCAAGGAAATAGCCGAACATAGCATTGAGGAGACCGTTGGAGCGGTCGAGGATCTCAAGCATTTGCGCGGGTGTAGCGATGGGTAAGGTCAGGGTGCAGAGGTGGGCGATGGTCGCAGATTCGGTGGAGGTGATAGGTGGATCGTCGAAGTCTGGGTCGGAATTAGAGGCAGAGGAATCTGAATCGGAGTTGGGTGGATCGCCTGGGGTGCCGGAGAGGGTGAGGAAGTGATCGATTCGGATTTGGGTGAGCTGATGGAGTTCGTCGGCTAGAGTGTATTGTGCCTGGGTTAGGTTGACGAAGTCGAAGGGTTGGTCGGGGAATTGTGGTTCGTATATTGGGAGGTCGGCCATGTCTTCATCCGAGGTTGAAGGGGAAGTGGAATGCTCGCCCATATCTTCATCTGACGCAGAGGACGAGACGGCTTGCTCGGCCATATCTTCATTTGGGGTGGAGGAAGAAGCGGGTTGCGACATGCTGTTCTCCGTGGCGTTCTGGAGTCGGTAATTATACTTTGATATGTCGAGAAAGGCCGTGATCCTGCGTAATACCAATGCGTGGTAACTATGTGGTGTCGTGCTTGTAAAGTTGTACAAGGTGGCGATGTGGAAGTTCAGGCGCCAGCGTTCCAGACGATGTCGGTATTTGAGGGCAGAAAGGACTATCCAGATCCAAGCTGACTATTAGAACCAGATAGTGCATGACCCGACCCAGCTCCTTCTACATTTGACTCGGGCCAGTCACACCTGCCTTACGCCACCGAGGCGAGTTGCCAGGTCCAGTGTTAAAATGAAACGAGCCGGACACCTAGAAGCAATGTCATATATGAATGATGGAATAATCCTTGCGGGACTGCTGTCGAGTTCGGTGTGACGGATGGCGACGACCAGGTATGCTGAGCTCGGTGGTAGTGCCGTGTAACGTGGTGTGCGTGGTAGCGATGTTATGCCTCAAGAGTCCGAAAGAGCCAGCGCACGACGCGATCGGCACCTCACTGTGCAACAGTAGCCAACCACATCCCCGACAGCACCACCCGACCTCTTCCACATCAACATCTTCCATGACCACGCGACCTCTTCCACACCAACATCTTCCATGACCACACGCACACAAAAGCTGGCCTCAACCGTTCGAGAATAATCACAGCCCTCACCAATCCTTCCACCCAGAAGCCTCACCCTCCTTCTTCCCCTCACCACCATTCCTCAAAGCATTAGTCCCAAGACTCCCACTCCCACCCGCTCCCTTAGAAGCTACCTTTTGCTCCGCCACCGAACCAAAATCATCCCAAAACTCCCTCTTCTCCCTCGGCGGGCCCGCGGGAGCCGCCCCGAAAGAATCCCAGAAATCCTGTTTCTCCGGCGCTGCCACTACTGCCCTACTACCTCCCATCCCACCAACACCAGTACCTGTCCCAGTCCCAGAAGCCGAAGTAGAAGAGGCAGAATGACTCACTTCCGGATCCACGAACCGATTAAACTGCTCCCCGATGCCCTTAGTCCCCTGCTGTAGACTGGAGAAAGTCTGCGTGCCCAATTTCTGGGCTTGAGCCGCAAACTCACCATCCTGCAAAGATTTCACTCCAGGCTGGATGACAGTCTGGTTGAGATTCGCAGCCTGTTTACTCACCGTCGAACTCAGCCATCCGAACCCTTTCGTCAGGGCGGCCATGGGATCCTTTTGGAAGTCGTCGGCTGTGGGGACGCTTCGTTGTGCACCACTAGGTTGTGTCGGAGCACCACCAGAGCCAAAGCCACCATATTTCCCTCCTTGATTGGGAGCGAGGTGGTCCGGTCGAGAATCGTTCTCGGCGCCTTTGCGGGCGAAGAAGGCCTCGTTCTGGACTTTTTGGCCCGGAGTAGATGTGCGTTGGGGTGGCGATGTGATGCGGGAGAGCGGGGTGTTCCTTCCCGAGCCAGAAGGGGTATTCGATGCATCCTCCACCGTCGGCGTTCGGGGTGCGGTCTTGGCTTTCGGCGCGATAGAACCAGGGACAAACTCCCTCCCTTCGACCTTAGCACTCAATCGTTCCTTCCATTCCTCGCCCGCTTCACTATCATATCGTTCGCTTATCGTGCAAGCTTCAAAGTCCCTCCCACTAAGTTGATTACTACTATGTGCATCGAAGAAGTCCTTCCAAGGTTTATTGCCACCCAATTCCATCTTCTTGACTTCACCCGTCTTGAGGGCGTCCATTGTTGCGCTGCGGACAAAGGAGATGTGCACGCCGAGACCGCGGTGGATGCCCGAACAGGCGAGACAGAAGAAGATGCCGAATTTGGGGCTGATCTGGATGATCGTGTTACTATAGATGTACGTGTGAGAGACAGAGAGGGTGATATGAGGTATACCCATTGTGGTGAAGGAGCTCCACAGTCTACACATTTGTTATTCTCGTTCGTCTTCTGGATCTCCTGTAGCTTCGACCGCGTCTCCGGGTCGACCTCCCACATCTTGCTCATTCTTGGCGGCGGCGGTGGTGGGAGTGGGGGTAGCGAGCGGGGGAGAGAGTCGGGATAGAGTGAGAGTAAAGTAAAGACGTGATATGGTAGTTGATATGGTAGTTGATAAGGGTTCGCTAGCAAGTCTCGTGCCCGCCTTACATCCCACCTCGAACACTGGCCAAGATACACCCGAACTTCACCCGAGACCAAAGGCACGCTGACGCAAATTGCTGCTGCTGCTTGCCGAAGAGCTCACATCACATGCTAACACGGCCATTGCCAAATACCATATCATCCTCTCTCAATCAAACCAATTCAACACAATTCAATCAATGTAAGCGCTAAACAACAGCATTCTCATACCATCACCCGACAGTTAATTGGACCATGCCACCCGATTACAGCAAACTCAAAGTCGCCGAGCTGAAGGATGTCCTCAAGCAACGAGGGATTCCGCAGACGGGGTTGAGCAAGAAGCAGCAGATCATTGATGCTTTGGAGGAGGATGAGGCGAAGAAAGGCGAGCCGGTGTTGAGTGAGGCGGCGGGCGCATTGGTGGACGTGAAGGTGAAGGGGACGCGTGAGGAGGAGACAGAAGGGGAGGCGGAGGAGGTTGTGCCTGAGGTGCAGATGGGGGGTGGTGATGTGGAGGCAATGAGTGAGGAGGTGAAGGAGGACAACACGATAGAGGAGGTGAAGGAGGATACTGTAGAAGAGGTGAAGGAATCTGAGCAACACAATACTGAGCCAGAAGCACAACCCACCACCGATGAACCAACCGAGTCCGTGCTTGCAACACCACAGCCCACCTCGGATATCCCCGAAGACAGCGGGTCGGAGTCACGGAAGCGCAAACGGAGGAGTACGACGCCGGAAGTGAGGGAGGGGTCGGTGAGTAAGAAGCTCAAAGCTGTGGAGGAAGCCACGAAGGAGGAGCCTGTGATTGGAGATGAATTCATGGCTGTGGAGGGAGCTAATGGAACGGATGTCGATGCTGTACTTGAAGACGCTCCAGTACCGCTGGATGACACTGCAGATACGACATCAGCACAGCCGTATGGGAGCAGCGACGACGTGATCGAACAACCCACCTCAATCGATGCAGTGACGACAGGTCATCCGTTCGAAGGCGACTCCCTCCACCCCCCAACCACAAGCCTCTACATCCGCGACCTCATCCGCCCCCTCCAACCAACCCAACTGCAAGACCACCTCACCTCCCTCACCCCCTCCAACGACCCCTCAACCATAATAACCTTCCACCTCGACCTCCTCCGCACCCACGCCTTTGCCGTCTTCACCAACACCTCAACCGCCATCGCCGTGCGCAAAGCCCTCCACAACACCGTCTTCCCCGCCGAACCCACGCGTAAGCCGCTGTGGGTGGACTTTGTACCGGAGGAGAAAGTGCAAGTGTGGATAGATACTGAACTCGCAGCTGGGACGAGTAGGCGGGATGCTAAAAGGTGGGAGGTGGAGTATAATAGCACTTATGGTGATGTGCGGGTGGATCTACGAGAAGTACCGGCAGGAACCGTGTCGGTGCAACGGCAGGCTAGTACCAACCAAGGACAAGGACAAGGACAAGGTGCAGGAATGGGTATGCCGAACGCACCTCTAGGCCCACGAGGCAACGCCCCACGCGCAAACGACATATCCACCGCCCCACCAACCGGACCACGAGGACCCTCAAGAAACGAAGCTCAGGAACCCGAGCAAAAAAAAGCAGACACATCCAACACCACCGCCCTCTCCGCCACCCAGCAATCTCAACCCCCCTCCTTCTCAGCCCTCGACGCCAAATTCCACGCCACGACCACGAAACCCAAACTTTACTTCCTACCCCAGTCTGCGGATTTAGCGGAGAGAAGAAAAGCGGAGCTAGAACGGGAAACGAGTCGGTCGTGGCGGAATAGTAACAGTAGAGGTGATGGCCGAGATGGTGAGGGCGAGGGAGTGGATGAGGGGCAGTTGAGACGGTATAGTTTTGAAGATGGGGATAGGCTTGTGGATGGGGGACCGGATCGGGGGAACTTTGGGGCTGGCGGGGGAGGTGGTGGCGGTGGTAGTGGTGGTGGTGGGTTTGGAGGAGGAAGGGGAGGTGGGTATGGTGGTGGGCATGGTGGTGGTCGTGATGGGCCACGCGGGAGGGGGAGGGGAGGTTATGGTGGGAGGAGATGAGAGGGAGAGAGTCTATTGATCTGATGGGAAGCCATACCACACTCTGTCCGTGGAAGCGGTGCGAAGGGAGAAGACAGGGGCCGGCATGAGCACCAACTCTGCCGATGATATCAAAGTAAGAGAGAAGGGGATGGGGTAGAGATGTGTGTAGAAACCTGTAAGTAAGTATTATCTCCAGCCAAACACCTATAAGCTAAACCCAACCGACTCCACTCACTCAGCTCATACGTGTACCCATCTCGCCTCCCCTCGCGCCTCGGCCTTACCTTCCCATTCCTTCAACCGTTAGCCGGTCAGTCGCCGGGGCTGCATACCATCCTCTCCCTTACCAAAAAAACTCCACAGCCACCGTCCCCACATCGGAGACAAAACCCAAAGATGTCGAAAAAAAAGCAAGGTAAAGATGCCCTCGCGCGGGGAAAAACTGGCGGGGAAGCCGAGAAGGCCCTTCTGCCGGCCGCTTGTAGCGGCATGCAGCGGTAACTCTGCTAGGATTTACCGGCTTATGGGGACCCTTGTAGTGGTGCGGTAGGTGGGTTGGAGGGGTTTACGAGCCTCCTGTTCCCGACCTTGGGGAGGAGGATAACGCTAACACCCATCTCTGCTGCGCTCGACCACGTTGATCCCAGCTCGCCCACCGTCTCAAAACCAAAAGAAAAATCCGCAGTCCTTTTCTCTTATGGCACCATCCCGTATTCGTCCCCGCTGAAATGTCGGGACATCAGCGGGGGGTGTTCATGATCGGGAAGGAATGAGGGTTGTGTGAGCTGAGAAGTGAGAAATGATTGTGGCTTTCATGCTCCCGGAAAGAGGGAGGGGAGCTGGTGCTAGAGGTGGGACCGAGGACGCGCGTTTGAGAGAGGGCTGTGAATGGTGGAGTGATCCTTTAGGACTGCTCGTTGGGACGTCAAGGGTTACACGAGTTTCTTCCCACGCAGAAAAGCACGTCATCATTATACTATAGAGGAAGTCGGTAGTAGAGGTTGAGACGGCGTGGTAAGGATGTAGACAAAGGCGCGAGTGCTTTCCTACGCAGACCAGAAACGTATTATAATACTATAGAGCGCGGCAGTGGTTGGAATCGAGACGGCGCCGTAAGGATATTAACAATGAAACGAGTGCTTTCTCACGGAAACAGAAATCGCATTAATGTACTGTGGTAAAAGGCAGTAGTCGAAATTCAGACGGCGCGGTGGAGATGGCGACAAGGACGCGAGTACTTTGACAAGCCGACGAGGGATACTAACAGCTGTCGTAAAGGGCGGCAGTAGGATGGAAGGAGACCATAAGGCAGTGATGTACACAGTGACGCGAGTGGTCTCCCAAGCCGACGAGACATATAATCAGCTGGCATGGAGGGCGGTGATGAGTTAAGATCGAGGCGAGGTAGGGATCTGAGTGCTAATGCGAGTACTTTCGTGCCGATGAGGTATGTTGTCAGCTAGCATAAAAGGACGGCAGTGAGGAGAAATCAGATAGTGAGGGAGAGATGTAACAAGCAAAGGAGGTGCTCATACAATGCTAAAGAATCTAAAGTACAAAGGCCATCGCTATCCGAATAAACGCCGCCAACCATACCACCATGCCATCTATCCCCAATGCAGTCTCTAGGTCAATACTCGTCAAGCCGTCTGTCAGTAGGTTGAAGAATCCGTGGGATGGTCGGGAAGCCTCAAACCCAATGCTCAATGTCTTCGTCGGGAATGTAGTAGTCCTTGGGAGCGGGATACGACGAGATGTCGGAGTCTCCACCGTAGCCATGGCAGCAGCAGTCGTCGACTGGCATGAGGGAGACTGTCTTGGTGACGGAAGGGGTGGAGACAGGAGCCGAGTTAGTGACGGTGACGGTTGGCAGAGTGGTGTGGATAGTCATGGTCTCGATCGAGTGACTGGTCATGGTGCCGTAGTGGGTGACGGTGTGGACCTCGTCGAAGCCAGCGAAGACAGTAGCAGTGGAGGTGGTGGGCTTGATAGGCAGAGGCGAGGTGGCGATGGGGTACGAACGAGGTTTGCAGCTGAAGTAGACTGAGCGAGCACCGAAGCCTTTGATGGTGACACATTGGTCGATATGGTCTTTCATGTCTGAGGCGGCTGTCAGTATGCTGGAGGAAGAAGGAAGATGGGTGGGGTCGTACCATAGCCGGAGAAGCCCTGACCTTTGCAGTCATTGTCCTCGTGGGCAATGAACTGGCAGAGATGGTCGTCAAGGTAGTTTGGGCCCTTGTTGATCTTGGTGACCATGAAGGAGTGGAAGGGAGGCTCGTGCTTGTCGAACGTCTTGCATTTGTCGTTGTCCAGGTTGACATCCTTCTGGATGATGTGGTCACCGGGACAGGTGTCGAGAGAGAAGCGGCGGAACTTGATCTCGATGTTTTCGGCCACGGTGATCTGTGGGGCGATGGCGAGAAGACCGATGGCCGCAATCGAGAGCTTGGTGATGAAGTGCATGGCTGCTGGTTCCTGAAAGGCGGTCAGTATGATGAACAGTGCATGAAGGTAGAGGAGGCAAACTGATTGTTGTTGAGTTGAAACGGTTTGATGTTTTGGTTGTTGGTTGAATTGGTGCTGAACGCCAGAGTGATTTGAGGTCTGGGACCGAGAAGCTTGGGGAGATCGAAACGTGGAAGTGTGATGAAAATGAAGAGGAGCAGAGGGTGGGAGAAGCGGGCTTTTTGTGCCTGCTCGGAGCATGGTGCACAGTCAAGCCCATTGTTTAACTTCCATCTTCGACTGCCATAGTAAGCTGCCTCGATTGCCCAAGGTAGAAGGCGGTGCTCGACTCCGGAGAAGTGCGCGGTCGGATGCACGACTTCTGACCAGGCAAGGAAGGTCTGCAGCACGAAGTCTTCGTCATCAGATCTGACAAGGCAGTCGCTTCAGAATCACCGCGAGCAGGTGCTCTTTCCTCTCGGCGAATTGCTGAAGTCAAAGGATACAGCAGCAGGCCTTCGCACATTCTTCTGCAGCTATGCTGTAACGCGCAACAGATCTTCTGAACCGTACGATGGCCGGCTCATGCAGCAGTTCGCAAGTAACGAGCATCTTACTGCACGTGGGAGGCGACTTCCAGAGGAAATCGTGTTGATGCGCTGCTTCGAGCCTGAAGAAGCACTTTTACGGAGCTAAGCTACCTGTCTGCTTTGTAACTTCTCGCAATACTGACAGACGCGTTATACTTGAACTGAGCCGTTTGCGAATGCACTGGTCAGTTCTTGGCATGCAAGTCGAGGAAAGAGATCAAGGAAGTCGCGTTTGAGTCAATTTCTGGACGCGGGCCATGCCGCCTTGCTGCTCGATTGAGCATGTCCGTCGCCGGGCCTGAGAGAACTATCGTCACCTTGTGGATGAATCTGATGGTGATGGCCTCTCTGCGCAGTATATTAGTCATGAGGGTAGAAGTCCTGTGGTTGTAGATCAAGCTTCCGGGTATTCTAGAAGATCATGCGCAGCTGAAGCTTATAAATGTCTTCACGTTCCTCTGCAGATCTTGCCGCCGCCAGCTGCCACGTGGGCCTGGGGCTCCTGAAGACTTCATATGCCAGCCACCGCTCTTTTCTTACCTAGGTACATCAAAGTGCTTAGCCTTGGATCGTAGCTCTGTGGATGCATGTGCTTGAGGCGTAGTGGCATACCCTAGATACTTCTGGACAGAGGCACACCCCCAAAGTGAGGACAACTGAAAGACCTATCACAAAATAGACGCAGGGCTGGACGTAATGCATCAGTTGCTAGAAAATTTGGGTCCGTCAAACCTGCAAAGAGAGTTCGCAGAAGCCTGGCCATCAGCCGTTGACTAGGAGCACGAATGTCAGCACGTGTGGCCAAGACTTGTAATGAGGACAATAGGATGTAATGCTGCGAGTATTAAAGAAATTTCCATACACTCTCGAGTGGTATACAACTTCACCAATTCAATCCGCTTCCCATTCAACACCAGCAACACACACCGCTCCCATCGCTTTGGCAACCCAACATGAGGCTCACGAGACTGCAATCTCTGTCGCTGCTTGCCATGATAGTGAACGCCAAACATGCTCCGCAGGAAGTCAAAGCTATCGCAATGCCCCTCATAGACGAGCGTTATGCATATCTGGTCAACTTTACCTTCGGCACACCACCACAGGCCATCTTGCTTATGGTTGACACCGGTAGCAGTAACACATGACTACCGTCAGCAAACTATCGTAGCCTGTTCGATATTGGTCCAGAAGACTCAGCTCATTGCTACGGACGTCCAGATGCCTGCCCTACCTCTAGATTCAATGGCACAGAGTCGTCAAGCCTCCAGATGGTGGCTATCAACGACTTTAAAGCATCATACGGTGACGATGACACATCAGAGGGTACAGTTGCAGAGAACATCAGCCTAGATGACTACAGGCTCCGAAATATCACTGTCGGACTGGCGAAGCAAGGGTCGCCGAACCCTATTGGCATTATCGGCCTTGGCTCGCCAATGGGTCGTTACAATGGCACCTACGGCGCCAGGAGCGATGTGCTTGAGAGCATGGTCGACCAGGGACTGATCAAGACGCACAGCTTTGCGATGTATATGGGCGAGCATCCGAGCATCGTCTTCGGTGGTTACGATACCTCCAAGTTCGCCGGCAGGCTGACTGAGGTCCCTCTGCAGCCCAACCTGACCGGCTCCATGGATAACTATCGAGTCAACATCACCTCACTGGGCGTCACACACTCGAATGAGTCCTCCACCCAACTTTCACCAGCAGCTTTCAGTGTCAATGCAATGCTAGACAGTGGCACTGAGGTATCATTTCTGCCACTGTCATTGCTCCATCCGCTTGCCGCTGCGCTCAGGCCTCTCGGCGTGTATGACAGCCCGCAAGCCGAAGATGAATACCTAGCACCATGCACTATCCGTGATCAGCCTGGTGGCCTGGAAATCGATTTACTGGCCCGCTCCAAGGACCAGAAAGCGCAATTCCGGATCACTTATTGCGATCTGTTCGACGTCGCTTACAACAACGATGAAAGCGGTGAAGCGATCGTCAAAGATGGTATTCTACAATGTCAACTGAGAGTGTTCGGAACCGCAGAACAAAATACCATTGGTCTGAACTTGCAATTCATGCGATCTAACTATGTCGTCCACAACATGGACGAGCTCGTCCTTGGCATAGCGCAAGCAGTCGAGTCGTCAGGCGACCCTGATCTCCGTGATATCTGGCCAGGTGAGAAATTCAGCATGGATCTGGATCTGAGGCAGCAACAAAGACAGTAGCACCGTCTGGTTGATCCTGTGCGTATCGAGCTGCTTGTAATGGTGGAGGTCGAGGCGATGACCGTCCTGTCTTGGCTACCACCTGCGGCTGTATTGCACTTCTTGGATGCTACCGCGAACGAGGTTGAGAAGAGGTGGTAGGGATATTGGTTTTGGTATTCTGCGATTCGCTCGAGACTCTTGTGGTTTTGTGATTCGCGCTTGTCTGTACTTCTTAGACTGCTGTAGACGCTGAGACTAGAAATGCTATGCTTGATAGTCTGGCGGCGCCTTCACAGGATGCAGATGTGATATCTCCCTCCGGCGCCGTCTGCTGGCTCCTCCCATCCACAGCGCTTTTCGTCCTTCGTTTAGCATGACGTCGACTCGCTTGCACCACTCCTGGGGTTCCGAAGGTAGTCAGATGGCAACAATGTGCTTATTCTTCTCTCTTTCATGCGTCGTCACTATTATGAAGAATATTTGGCTCCTGGCTGCCAGCGTGGTGAGCCAAAACGCCTTAGGCATCAACATCCAGTCTGCAAGAATTCGCCTCACCTCGTGGCCGTGGACACACACCGTGCCACAGCATATGAGTATAACTGTTCGATCGTGAGATTCGTGTGCACGTATTCACGACTTGCCCTCGCGACATACACATTCCGTTGAGGCCACATCAAGCTCCAGAACATAGCCGTTGTCACTGAACCTCGGCAGGATCCTCAGCCATCATTCGGGTATTGAGGTGCAGATGGAGTGTCACAATGTACCGCAGTACTGTAGTCTGCACCATACAGCTGATCTTGCGGTCTCATGACCCTACATGGCAAGATGCTACTCCGTGTCTGTAAGCAGCTCAATCACACAAAATCAGTGGTCCTACGCACTAGCAGCCGCAAGATCACGTCTATTTTACGACCTTCCACCCTTGACACTGGCTTCTCTCTCACACTTCCGCCTCTGCCAAACCCTGTAACATCGGACCCAGCATTTCAGCGCATACTCTCATGGTACCTGCCAGACGAGACGCGGTCACGCATTGCGCCAAGCCTACAAGCTTTCGGACAAGAAGCCGTATCGCCACAGGTCTACGAATGGATCTCAAATGCAGAGCGAGAAGTGCCCTATGTCAAAACTCGCAACGTTTGGACTGGTAAGTATGCATATGACAGGCTGATCACAAGTACTGGCTGGAAAGAATTGGGCCGATGGGGCATCAGCAATGGGTAAGTCAAGGCACATGATCTGCGATCGATATTGAGTCTAAGCACAACGCAGTGTAGTGGCTCGCGGGTATGACGAGAAGTTTGGACCACATCGACGAATTGTCCAGCATGCGTTGTGAGTATCTGTCTGTCTGCCTTATCTCCACCCACTCCGCTCATCCCACTTCTCTCCAACAGCAATTTCATCTACTCGGCTTCTTCGGCGGTGTACTCATGTCCGGTCTCGATGACAAGTGGCGCCGCTCGGCTGATGGCCCATCAACTGTCTAAACTACCATCCGATCATCCCTTCCACGAAGTCTACGGGAAGATCGTAGGTACAGAGGGCAATTGGATTTCAAGTCAATGGATGACCGAGCGTCCAGGCGGAAGTGATGTCCAGAACTCTGAGACCGTTGCTCTCTACTCACCGGCCGCCGAAATGGAACACGCCGAGCGTAGCAGCCAGGATCTTGGAAATGGCGACTGGCTAATCTCGGGCTTCAAGTTCTTCTGCTCTGCAACAGACTGCAACATAGCGTTAATGCTGGCCAAGACTGAGTCTGGTAAATTGAGTCTGTTCTTGGCTCCTACCAGGCGTAGTATGGAGCTGCCCGATGGCACACGAGAAGAGGTCACTAATGGCATCCGCTTTCACCGACTCAAGTACAAGATGGGCACAAAAGAGCTACCAACAGCGGAGCTGGAGCTCAAGAACGTACGAGCGCACCTTGTCGGCCCTGTGGACCGTGGTATCGCCACCATAGCAACTCTTCTGAATGTCACGAGAACGCACAATTTCATCACAGCACTATCTTGCTGGCGACGAGGTATGGCGATTGCTAAGAGTTTCGCTCGAGTGCGTACGACTATCGACCAGCCATTATGGACCTTTCCTATGCACTTACGTCTCCTGGCCAATATGGAGATCAAGTTCGCAGGACTGCTGCAGCTCGCATTCTTTACCACGTCACTACTCAGCTTCGCCGATAATGGCTTTCCATCCCCGAGGCCAGCAAAGTACGCACCACTACCGGAGCCCGGTAGACAAACGAAAGTCGTGCAACGTATCCTCACAGCGACTGGCAAAGCGGTGATCTGTAAAGTCGCTTGCACCTCCCTGCAGGAATGCCAAGAAGCCATGGGTGGTGTTGGGTACATGGATGAGCCGGATGAGCCTGAGCACAACATCTCGAGATTGTACCGTGACACGGCTGCGAACATGACATGGGAAGGAACGACGAACGTGTTAGCAAGCGAGGTCACGAGACACATCCTCGACGCTGACAACATCGAAATCTTCGGCTCTTGGTTGGAAGATATTGTGATAGAGGGTGTCGAGGATGCTGGTCTGAGGGAGCCGTTGCAGGCGACATGGGCAGAACTAAAGCATAAACTTACCAGCAATCGTACTGATATCGCGATGGCTCTCGTGGACGGCCGACAGCACATGTTCAGCCTCGCCTGGATCGTCAGTGGAGCACTACTGGCGCACGATGCGCAACGAGATAACAATGCCATTGCCACTGAGATTGCGAAGCGATGGATCCTGCATGCTGATGGTGGTGTGGGTGAGTATGTGCACCTCGATGTCCTTCATGCGGCTCAACAGGCTAGAAGCACAACATCTGCGAAAACAGATATGGAGCGAACCAAGTGGGACTGTCGTATCGTCTGGGGAGAAGAGCTTCCTACTGATTCCGCCACTGGCTACCGAGCGGCTCAACTGACCAGTGGAAGGCCAGAGCAAGTTTTGGCAAAGTCGTAGCTATCATGAAACCCTCTCAATTCTCCATGTGAGCCAATGCTACAATCCGACAGGCCTACAGCTTTTGTCTGACACGACACGGACGCTGTGATGTTTCTGGTGTCGACATAAAGTAGATTACCATGCATACCGTATATCTATCAATTTATGCTACGCTCGGACCGCCAAAGACGCCAACGCTCACACACTCTCGAACCATCTAGTCATCAAGCGCAGCGTAGTAGGAGTATGGTTGGTTGAGCTTGTAGAAAGCCACTGGCTCGGGCGTGGAAGAACCGCCATACCAGATCGGCGCCGGCAAGCTCTCAGGCGCATCTTGAGCCTGATCCTGGAAGATATACTCGAATGTCTTAGCCCACTGCACCCTGTTGTTCAACCCATCAAGCTGCCACAGGTTCTGGAGGAAGTGCAAGAACGAGGTGTGGGTGTAAGCACTGTTGGAGGCGTAGTCGGTACCTTGGTCGTGGATCAGAGTGTTGGGGTTAATGTACTTGTTGATTACGATAGCTGGGACACGGACGCCGAGGCGAGTGAAGTCATAGGTGACATTGTGCTTATCAGACAGACCAGAGAAGGTAATATCATCCTGTGGAGCAGGAATGTTGACCGGAGGAGCAACGTGGTCGGCGAACCCACCGTGCTCGTCGAAGTTGATGATAAGCAGGGTGCTATCCCAATACTGCGATTGGCGGATGCTGTCGTAGAGATGCTTGATCATCATCTCACCAGCGGCCATGTTGGAGGTCGGATGCATCGAATCTATCGTACAACACTCAGGATTTATGTAGCTGAACTGAGGAAGGGTACCATCCTTCAGATCGTCGTAAAACTTGTCGGCAGTGACGAGTTTGTCCATGGCGTTCTCCTGGACATACTTGTACATGAAGGCGTCAACGATATCTGGTGAAGGATGTCAGTGTTTCTCAAGTTTAAAGCATTGCTGGATCTCGACATACCAGTCTCATAGTAGTTCTTCCAGGTGATGTTCTTCTTGTCAAGAGCCTCGAAGATAGACACCGCACAGTCGGTACCAGTGGAATTTGGAAGAAGCCAGCAGCCTGGTTGGTGTTGTCGACCATACCACAAGTCGAGCCAGAAGTGGCAAATTGACGGTTGGGGTTGGTCGGGCCAGGGTGCTCAGCATGGTACGAGTCCCAGAAGCCGAAGGACTTGGCAAGGGTGGCGAGGGTCTGTGTCTTCTTCTCGTTGTAACCCTTAATGACGAAGGAGGCATCGCTAGGAGTTTCGGAGTACTTCTCGCTCTGCCTCTCGATGAAGCCACCCATGGTAGGGGTGTCGTTCTTTCCTGGCTGCCACTTCTGGTAAATCTCATACGATACACCAGCGAAGTTGTGGTCCGGATCCTTGAGAGGGACCTCGTCCTCATAAGGTGCGGCGCAGATTTTGAGCGGCTCATTCCAGACAGTCCAATTGGGGTTGGTGTAGTCGTTACAGTATTCGATGTTTCGCAGGTTGTCGATATCAGGGTGAAAGTCCCAGTAGCCGGCAATATTATCGAAGGAGTGGTTTTCTTCCATCAGGTAGACAACGTGCTTTATCTTGCCACGAAGACTCTCCCAAACAGCTGGGTTGGTGATAGGCGCGGTGCTGGTAGCGTTGCCATAGCTGGCTTGGCGACGAACATATGGCATGGCAGAGGCGCCAGCGGCGAGTACAGCCATAGCAGCTGCGGTCTTCATGACTGCGGAGGAAGCTCCAATGTAACGAAAACGAGTGTGGGATGATGAGAAGAGGAGATTGCTGGATGAGGCTGAGAAGACGTGCTCGGTGTCAGACTTATACACAAACCTACAGACATACCAATGGCCATCTCGGCTATGGGTTCGAAGGCGTGGCGGACTCCTTCAACAAAGCTCCGTCCATTGAGGATGCCTTATTGATTGCACGTGTGGCACAACACCAGACGTCGACAGAGATTTCTGAGCCATGTTGCCGACTTCCATAGTATGCGGATCGGCAGTGGAGCAGAAGCATGGTAGAATTGCATGGTATTGCAGCAGTATGTTCGGTGGTTCGAACTGGACCTTCAGCATCTCCGAGCGTAGAACAGCATGTGAGGTGCATGACAGCCAATAAGCATCGTGGTAATCAGCACGCCAAGACCAGGATCAAGAGAATATCCTGCACATAAGCTGCTGCAGGGCAGAAAGAGCCGTCGTCCTCCGCTCTGCTCGGTCTTCTCTCCACTTGAACATTGCAGTGCTATTGGACCAGTACCTGGATGTATCGGCAGACGGCAAGGCCAAGGAAAACGGTCGCCTTAGCTTGGTTCTTCAATAAACGCTAGAAGCTTATGCGAGTTGCTCCCGAGGCTAAGCTTTTGCTTGCTAAGTCCTCTGATCGGCGGTGCTAGCCCAATGGGGCAGCTCGGTAAAGCAGGTGAAATCCGCAGTATGGCAAGATTTGCAGCACGTTTCTGCTCGAGTGGATGAAGTATGTTTGACGTCGATGTGGGTGCCAATAGTTCCTGCATTCGTGCTTCAGCGCTACTAGCAATGGCCACGAGACCCGTTGTGGGCGAGGCAAGCCGAGAGCGTTCCTTGAGAAGCGCTTTAGACGAGAACTGTGGAAGCAAGATTCCACATGAATCGCAGTAATCCTAAGCTCGAGGTCAGGAATTGTGTCTATCCTCCTTCTCGAAGCATTTGTCTTTTCTCGAGCTTCAACGATTCACGCTCACATCCCCGTCGCACAGCCAGCCAGCCAACTTCATCTCATCACCGCAATAAAATCGACGACTGCTCGCAGCCCGACCAGTGGTCGTAGCTTCAAGCCATACAGCCAATATGCCTTTCCTACAGTCCCTAGCCGAGCGCTGGCCAATTCCCTCCGTTCGCGATCTCGAAGCCTCCCACTTCGAAACCCAAAGCGGCCCATACCCAGAATTCGAGCACTTCGGCGAGAAGCCTGCTCCGGCCGAAGAACAAGGAGAAGAAGCACAGCCGAGTAAACTAGAGCAACGGGCCGCCAGCTCAATCTCCTGGCTCAGCAGAACTTTCGCACGCTCCCAAGCAACCATCAACCACAAACGCGAAGCCCTACTTTCGAGCTCAAGAGAAAGTTCGAGCGGTCGATCTTCGACGGATGATGTCGAGTCCCAGGTCTCAACAGATGCCAGCACGCTGCTCGAGAACGAAGACGAGGCGAAGGTAGTAGTGAAGAAGAGCAGCAGTCGCGTTGACGCTCGACTGATCTCCGATGCCATCATAGGCCTCTCGGACGGTCTGACAGTTCCCTTCGCCCTAACAGCAGGCTTGAGCGCATTGGGAAACACCCAAGTCGTGATCTTCGCTGGTCTAGCTGAGTTGACTGCTGGTGCCATCTCAATGGGCCTGGGTGGATATCTAGGTGCCAAGAGTGAAGAGTACGTCATCGTGCCAAGCCATCCAAGATGCAACACAGCTGACAAGTGGCGACAGGGAATCGTACAAAGCCACCCTGACCGAAACCCGCCACCTCGTGTCCACATCTTCCACCAATGCCGCAACCTCAATCAAAGAAGTCTTCGAGCCCTACGATCTGCCTCAGAACCTATCAGAAGGCCTGACATTCCACCTCGCCAAATCACCTCATCTCACCCAATTCCTCATGCACTTCCAGCACTCGCAGCCTGAGCAAGCCGCCTCGAGGGCGATCACTTGCGCCATGACGATCGCATGCGGCTACTTTCTGGGAGGATTTATCCCGCTTCTGCCTTATTTCTTGGTTGGAAAGGATGAAGTCATGCTAGCGCTTTGGTGCTCTCTGGGCGTGATGGCTGTGAGTCTGTTCGTGTTCGGGTATGGTAAGACTTGCTTCGTTTACGGATGGCATGGCTCGAGGAATGTCTGGGAAGGTACGAAAGGTGGGTTGCAGATGATTATCGTGGGCGGTCTAGCTGCTGGATGTGCTATGGGCCTGGTGAGATTATTCCATGGTCTTGGCGAGTAGCTTGCTCTCGTTACAGCATAGTGTTTCCTATCTCATGAAGCGTGGAGTCCGGTGTACATCCCATGACAGCAAGATAGCTTGAAAGTCTGATTTGTGCAAATTCCACTCTCGTGCAGACTTCTCTCAGGCTCCAGCGGCGAAGAAGCTAGCGAAGCTTCCCACAGTCAGTCCAGCTACCAGACACAATCCCATGAAGCCACCAGCGGCTTCTCGCTCGTCCGGATCAACCCACTCCCCAGCGCCGATCATGCATGTCGAGCCCACATAACCATTTGTAAGACCAAACAGCAGCTGCACAATAACCAAGTAGAAGAAGTCAGACTCGACGATGGCCCCTCGATCCCGAATATTACATAAGTGATACAGTCCCACGAAAGCTACGCGGGATACTGCCAAGCCAAAGACGATACCTGGCCGTTGTATGAGCGATAGACCGGGCACAGCTGTCGCAAGTCGACCCAGTAGATCACCGGTATTCCAGAACAGGAAGGCAAGTGGTATAAAACTTGGCGGTTGCAGCAGCGGACTCTGTTGATCGTGTGGCCGGACGGAGACGATCTGCTGGGTGAAGACTGGGAACATCATTGTAATTCCGAAGGTGGCGAAGACGGCGCTTGCGAGCCAGAAGAGCTTGCGGAAGAGTACTGAGAGGGGCACTTGCTTGCGTTCTCCGGGTTCATTGACAGGATCGAGGTCGGGGGTGCTGTTATCTTGGAGTTTGGGTAATTGACGGTTCCGTGCCAGGAGGGAGGTGAAGGCCGTCAGAGTTATCGCCGCAATGATTGTTGCCGTTAGAAAGTAGGAGAATGCACTGTTAGGATTGACCGGTGGCGGTCCGGGAGGTGGAGCTCCATCATCAGGTGGTGGGCGGCGGCCATGTCCCCAAATGCCGACAACTGAGATGATTTGAGCAATACACGGTAGAACTCCTGCGATGGCCTGCCCCGTCATGATACCCTGAGTGTAGGCTGGCTGTCCGAAGCCAGATACATAGGCGAAGATGCCATTCTGACACAATCCAGTAGCCATACTGGCTGCAAACATGATGACCATGAGGAAGCCAAAGTATCCTTCCGCACTCATGCCCAGTCCGACTTTGGTAAAGAGAGCTAGTAGCGTGAAGACGACCATATTGATGGCCAATGAGCTGATGATACGTTTCGGGTAAGAAGCTCCAGCCTGCAGGCGAGTGAGGACAAGCATGGCACATAGGGTCGTCGTGTTCGAGACCACGAGCTCAGCCGCCTGGAAGTTCTGGCTGATCCAGTCGTTGCTTCGAAAGCGATGCTGGAAGTATGGTCCAGCTGCCAGAAACATGTTCCAGGCCCATAGCATAGAAACACCGAGGAGGACAAAGATGCTGTACTCCACGTAGGAGAAGTCCTTTTGTTTGTTCGTCGACTCATGTTGAACCCCTTCGTCTATCGCATCATGCTCGAGCGGCTCGTATGGCTGTTCGCCCCGCCATAGCTTCTTCAGACGATCCATGGCTGCCTCACTTGGTGGTGTTGGTGATAGATTGAGGAGCTGAAGAGGTGGCCAGGAAGGCGGCTGGAGGTTGCTCAAGGTATGTTGTCCAGAGTATCCGCTGCCATGTCTACTCTCCGTTGGTATGACAGGACAAATAAGCAGATGCAGGTGTCACAGGCTCCTGGTTGAAGATCAAGCATGATCAAGTCATGCACGCGCGCCTACAGGCATACACGCGATGATGCTTGGCATCGTATCCGCCGCCGGAATGGTTCCACTGCCGCTTGCCGAGCCAGATTAGCGAGATCTGTTCCCATGGTCAGCAGCATCGACTCGACGTCTCTCAGTGTTCATCTTTCTTCCCTCCAGACGAACAAGGAGCTGCAGAACTTTTATAATTACATAGTTGACTGCTTTTGAGACGATCACCTCTCCATCAAAGTAGATACTGCCAACTGATCGATTCGCATCATCCCGATCGGCTTTAGATGATATGCACGTCATCGCTCGCTAGCGCTTCCTCGGACAGCTCGCAGATCTGGCGGAGGACGGCTTGGATGGCATGGTCTTTCTGCTCCCATATCACTAGCTACAGTACTGTATGCATGTATTCTTGTCCTCCGCACGGCCTTGCCACTTAATCCCATCTCCACATGTATAACAGCTGGCCTGCCTTGTCTGAACTCATTTTGCCCAGATACTGGAGTTTCGGAGCTATATTGCGGTCTGACGGAAAAGCATTCTCTACTAAGCATCTGAACACTTACGCCTGTGTCACTTCCTCGTAGGAGGTCGAAGACTAGTGAAGTATCGACGATGAGTGCAGTAGAAGTCAATCGCCCGTAGATATGGCAGACGACATAGACAGCTCGCCGGTCTCCAGACCAGCGAGCAGCAGAGCATGGAGCGAAGCCTCTTTCATGACCGAGAGGCCTGAGTCGCCAACTGCGCATCGTAGTATCGCGCGGGAGATCGATCGCATCAAGCAATTGGTTCAGCGGACACAGAGCGGGCCTCGGCGCAATGCCTCCGGTGGCATGATCACAGCTCAGGTCTTTCGAAGGCAAAGCTCCGCACCGGAAGAACCTATATCGCATGCACGGGTACTACAGGAGCTGGACAGTCTCAAGAAACGCATTCGCGATGAGAAGCAGCTTGCTAGGCGAGCTTCCGAGGTCGATCTGGATAGCGACTCCGAGGCCGAAGAGTTCGGCACTACGGCGACCGTGGAGCCTGATGAGACAGAAGAGGAGCTGGAGGGTATACGGCAGGAGTTGCAACTGGTGAGGCAGCAAAGGGAGGAGTGGTTGGGTGCTGCGGAAGAGAGGATCGATAAGCTCATGGATGAGAAGGAGAGCTTGGCTGAGCTACTGGACGACAATAGGAATGAATTGAGGGAGGCTCGAGGAGCTAACAAGTCCCTTGACGTGGCGCTAACAGAGGAGAGGTCGAGGATCGAGACGCTGGATCAGCAAGTCAAGGATGTACAGAGGAGATTGGACACTGCACAGTCCGAAGTCGCAAAACTGCGGACATCGCATGAGGAGACTCTGCAAACTCTCGATATCGAGCGAACGGCGAAGCAAGAGCTTTTCCAGCAACTCGAGGATGTACAGACTTCTCTTGCAGACGTGCAGAAGCGATTCGATGATTCAGACGAGGAGCGGCGAAAGCTGGAGTTCTTACATAGCGACGCCGTACGAGCCCAACACAACGAGAGACGAGCAAAGGAGGACCTTTTCAAGCAGCTTGACTCTGTAGAATCTTCATTGACCGACGTCCGCAAAGAAGTCGAGCAACTCAAGGAGGAAAAGGAAGAGCGAATTTCTGAGACCACTGACCTCCGTGAATCGCTGACCAGAGCTAATGAAAAAGAGGAGAACGATCGCCGTCAAATGACTGCCCTGCAAAATGAATTAGACGATTTCAGGCATGAGTTCGAGCAGGTCAAAGCACAGTCCCTCGATTCGGTGCGTGAGTTGCAGGAGCGGAACGACTCATTCGAGAAGCAACAACACGATCATGAGACGAAGCTGGCGGAGAGTGATGCCCGTGTAGTTGAACTCGAGGAGAAGAATGCACAGTCCGCTGAGTTGCTAACAAAGACGAAAGAGGATGCCGAGGGTAGTGTGCGGATTGCTGAGGAGCGTAGGAAGGAACTGGAGTCGCGCCACGACGAGCTGACGTCGGAGTTGCAGGACCTGCAGCATAAGCACTCCGAGCTTAAAGGCACGTTGGGTGAGAGCCAGGATCGCATCGATGAGTTGCTCGAGAAGAACGATGGCGAGGCCAAGTTGCTCCGAGCAACGATCGAGGAGCACGAAGCGAGTCGAAACGAGGCTGAGCGGCAACACCAAGAGCTGGAAGACCGACACTCTACCACGGAGACGGAGCTTGCACAGATGAGATCTCGTGCAGACGAGCTTGCCGGACAGCTCATTGAAGCTGAGACCGCTGCAGCCAACTCCACGACCGAGCACGAAAGTCAGCGTGCGAATTTTACCAAGGAGCTCGAACAGTATAAGAGGAAAGTCGAAGAGGCTGCGAATGATGCGCAGCAGCACCAATCTCGGGCCGATGAAACGCGGATCGCTCTCAATGCAGAAAAGTCTCACGCCGAAAAAACTAGGAGTGAGCTCAAGGATGCACAGTCTCAAATCAGGCTCCTTACCAGCGAGCGGGATGAGACTAAGTCTGCGCTTGATACCGCCTCAGCTGAGACCTCGAAAGTGGTGGAGGCGCACAATGGCGAGCTCGAGAAGCTGCGAAGCAAGCATGTCGCTCAGCTACAAAAGCTGCAGGGTAAACACGATGATGCTCTGACACAATCACAGCACGAGTTGGACTCGGTACGTACGCAACATGCTCAGCTGCTGGATCAGGCGACATCGAATCACGGAAAGGCCATTGGGGCGCTGAAGGAGGAGCACCAAATGTCCTCTGAAGAGTCCAAGGCAGCGTTTGAGAGTCTCTGCAAGCAGCATGATGAGAAACTGGAGGTTGTGCGAACTAAGCATGAGGATGCACTCCAGCACGTGAAGGAGCAGCTACAAAGCAGCCATACCAAGGAAGTCGACTCTATGCGTGAAAAGCATGACGAGGTACTGTCGGAGGTCACTAGTCGGATCGAGCAGACTTCTCGCGATCATGCCAAGGAGCTTGGCGTCCTGCGTTCTCAACACGAAGAGACTATAAGCGATCTCCAGCAGGCCGTGGAAGCTAGCCAGCAAAAGGCAGCAGAGGCAGCCAAGCGCCACAGTGAGGAAGTGGAGACAGCACGATCGAAGCATGCTGAACTCCTCTTGACTGTCCAGCGAGATCTTAAAAGTGCTCATCGAGAGGCAAAGGAGGCTACGTCTTACCATGCGACCACACTCTCGACCGTGCAGAAAGATCTTGAAGATGCTCGAAATGCTGCCAAAAAGGCTGCCTTGCAACATGATCGCACTTTGGAGACAGCATTGGCTAAGCACAGCGACGAGCTCAACACACTACAGCAGCAGATCGAGGCCAGCAAGAATGCAGCAGCGGAGGCGACCAGGCGGCACTCCGAGCAGATCGCCGAGCACCGTGCTGAGCACGACAACGCACTTTCGAATCTGCAGCAAGAACTCGAGGCCAATAACGCCAAGGCTAAAGCATCAAGGGAGAAATCTCAAGCCAAATTGGCAGACCTCGCTGGTCGTCTCAGCAAAGAAGCGAAAGATGGTCGCTCGCTGCGAGATCAATTGCAGAAGGGTGAGCAGTCGCATCGAGAATTACGAAAGGATCTGGAGGCGACTATCGCTGAGCTGGAGAGCAAGGCTGCGCACGCAGAGGGAGTAGCTGCGGGTGCCAAAGCAACGCTCAACGACGATAGGGATGTCTTCAGTGAGACGGTAGGCAGGCTTGACAAGGAACTCAATGCGGCGCAAGAGGGGAGGCAGAAGCTGGACAAGCAGCTGGACCAGGCAAACAAGAGTAAAGCTGACCTGGAGTCGCGACTGGTCGAATTGAAGCAGGGCAAGACTCAGCTGGAGAAGGACCTGGTTGAGGCGAAAAAAGGCAAGTCGGAGCTGGAGGAGCGATCGATGGTCGACAATAACAAATTCCAGGATCAGGTTCGGGATCTGGAGCAAAAGCTAAAGGTGGCGAATAGCAACGTGGAGCAAGCTTCAGCAGAGCGGGAACGACTTGATGCGGAGACGAGCACCGTGGTAGACGCCCTGAAGAAGGATCTGGCAGAGACACGAGAAGTCAGATCGAATCTCGAGCGCCAATCTGCGATAGAAAGGGACCGGCTCGAAGCTCAGATCAAAAGGCTCAACGACAATCTCACGAAGGCGACAGGCGCTGCTAGCAAGGCAGAGGCTTCCATGAAAGCCAAGGAGGCTGAGCTCGACGAGGAAGTGACGGCGCTTAAGGATGATCTGGCAGCAGCTCGAGAGACTAGATCGCAACTGGAGAATGAGACCGCTGCTGAGCAGAAGAACTTGCAAGACAAGGTGCACGGTCTCGAGGTCGAGCTCGAAAAGTCGAACAAAGCTGCCTCGGAAGCAGTTGCTTCCCTGCAGTCCAAGGAATCTCAGCTTCGCCAAGAGACTTCGCAATTGGAGGAGGATCTGGCAGAAGCGGAGAAGGCAACGGCACAAATCGAAGAGCGCTTTCTTTCCGAGAAGAAGGAACTCCAGGATAGCGTTGAAGATCTGAAGGACAGACACGAGAATACTGCTCGTGCTCTTGAGAGTGCGAAGGCGACATCAGCCAATCTTACTGAACAAGTGAGCACGAGCCAAGCCGATCTCGCATCCGCAAAGAACGCCCTGTCTGCCTTCGAGGAGCGCTCAGCTGCTGAGAGTACTGAGTACCGTCATCGGATCGAGCAGCTAGACCAGGCCGCTTCTGATGCTGCGAAGCAACACTCGGATCTTGTAGCAGCGCACGATGACAGCCTACGACAACTCAGCGGTAGCCATGCTAGAGCACTATCTGAACAGCACGATGCGCATGTCACAGAGCTGAAGCGGCTGAAGGAAGAGACAGTCGCTGCGACTGAGGACGCTGCTCAAGGACATCATGGTGCACTCGATAGCCTGAGCCAGAGCCATGCGGACGCCATCAGTCACGCCACGGGTGAGGCTGAGATCAAGCTGCGACAACTCCAAGACGGACATAGCAAAGACCTCGAGCGAATAGTTGCTGAGCACAAATCTGCATCGGACGCTGCGGAGCAAGCTCGGACGGCAGCGAATGACAAGACGCGTGAACAGCATGAGGCTGCTCTTGCCTCCGCACGTCAATCCAGTGATGCAAGGGTCTCGGCACTGACCAGCCAGCATAGTCAAGAACGTGACAAGATGACGGAACAGCATCGGACGACTCTCGGGCAAGCCGAGCAACGGCATACCGCAGCGCTAGATGAGCTCCACAAGAGTCATGACGCAGCACTCGACAATGCAAAGAACAGCAGCCTTGTTGGTATAGAGCTGCTTAAGCGCGAGCACAACGCGGCCTTCTTAAAGCTCGCCAACGAGCACAAGCAGGCTATCGATGCGGCTGCGCTTGTACACAAAGATGAGATTGAGGATTTGCACAAGGAACGGGAGGTCGCCGTCGCTAATGCAGAGAAGTATAGCCAGGCCGGTTTGCAGACAGAGAAGACCAGGTTGACTAGCGAACACAGCCGTGCCACTGATGCTGCCGAGGCGAAACACCAAGCAGATCTGGACGAGATTCGCCACAAGCATGCAGCAGTACTGGCAGATGCGGAGAAGCAGTCCCAGGACCAGCTGCAAAAGGAACGTGAGAAACATTCTACTGAGGCCGAGGCGGGCAGCAAGGAGCATGATGCTGTGATCGGTCAGGTCACAGAAGATCTTACAGCTAAGCACCAAATTGCTATGAAAGTTCTGCAGAAGCAACATATGGAAGACGGTGACAGTCTGGAATCAGCGCATCGAAAAGCGTTGGAAGAGTCTAGTCATGAACATGACTTGACACTGCGCAATGTCAGAGCTGAACATGCGCAAGACCGCGGACAGCTTCTTGCGGAGCATCAGCAAACCTTGGAGCAGCATACGGCCGAGCACGAAACACAATTGCAACAGCTTCGCGATCAGCACGACCAGGATCGGGTTCAGCTTGTTGCTGAGCACGAAGCGGTCCTGCAGCAGCATGCGGATGAGCATCTTTCTGGATCGCAGCAAGCCCGCGACGGACATGGCCAAGAGCTTGCAAATCTGGTCACCGAGCATGAGCAGAAGTTGCAACAGGCTGCTTCCGAACATGAGTCTCAGCTACAGCAACTTCGTGATCAACACAGCCGGGATCAAGATTACGTGAACGACGAGCACAGACGACGGTTGGAATCGTCAGATGAGTGGCACCAAGTCGCTTTACAAGACGCCAAGACTCGAAATAGCCAGGAGAAAGACCAGCTTACACAGGATCACACATCTGAGTTGGAGAGACTTGGGAGCGATCATGCAAACCTACTACGTGAGACTGAGGACGCGCATGACCGCAAGCGTACAGATATGGAGATACAAATAGCGGACTTACGGGCTGAGCTTGAACATCTGGCTTCGTCGCACGAAGCCCAGACACGAGCGTTGTCAGAACAGCACGGTGGCAAGCTGAGCGTGAGTACAGTAGCACTTGAACAAGCAAAAGCATCCTTGGCAGCAGCGAAGTCGGACTCCGAGACGTCTATCAAAGGCATACGAGCCGAGCATGCGGACAAGATGCTAAAGCTGGAGACAGGTCTATCATCCAAAGCAGATGAGACAGCTAAAGCTCATGAAGCTGATTTGCAAAGTGCTGTTGCGAAAGCCATTGACGAGACCAAGGATGCTGCTCGAGACCAGCTTAAGGAGCGTTTGGCCGAGACTGATTCTGCTGCTGAGATTCGCATTGCTTCTCTTCGCCAGTGCGATGCGGCAGAGCTTGCGGAAGTTCGTAACGCGCATACCGCTGAGGTCGAAACTTCTCGAAAATCTTTAGCTACAGCACGAGCGGACCAAGTCGCCATGAATGCTGAACATGAAAGGGCTATGGCCGAGATGCAGGACAAATTCAATGAGCAGCTTGCACAGCTGAAGACCAAACACAATTCCGAGAGTCAGAGGGTCGTTGCTGAAGGCCAATCCGAGAGACAGCAGCTCGTGGACAAACATCAGGAGACAACCTCAGGTTCTGAGGCTACGCAAAAGGCACATATGACCGAGCTAGAAGCGATAAAGTCCAGATTGTCGGAAACCGAAGCTCGTCATACCGCTGAGCGGGCCAGCAGAGACGCTCAACATTCCCAGACAATACGTGATTTGAATGCGACTACAGACGAAGAAAGAGAGATCCTCAGGCGAGAGCACCAGATCGCATTTGAACAGCTCGAACACTCTATGCAGGAGAAGATGCATGCGGCGTTGGAGGTTCAACAGAAATCAAACGATGCCGTACAGTCGAGGCTCGAGGCGCACGTTGAACAAGCTACTGTATCTCACGAGAAGGCCTTACGAGATCACGATCTCGAATGGGTCGATAAGGTTGCGGCCTTGAAGGATGATCAGGCAAAGATCTCTGCTGCAGCTTTGAAAGACGGTCAGGCGACGACGGCGCACAAGATTGAGCAGCTGCAGGCTCAGCACGCCGAAGCCTTACGGCAGGCCATCGATAGTGCTCGCACTACTGCGATAGAGCGAGGCGAAGAAGCGCAGAAGGAGCATCGACTTGCATTGGACGAAGTTCTCGCCGATGCACGGAAGGCTAGTGACACCGAGCTTGGTCGCCTGAAGTCTGCTCACCAAGAGATAGTCGACCGATTACGTATCGAATCAGACGAAACCTCCCGCACAAGCACTGCCGACCTCCAACAGAGTCACGAAAAGTCGCTTGCGACGTTCGCAGCTGAGCACGACTCTTCATGGCAAGAAAAGTCACGACGTCGGGACGCAGACCACAGCAACGAGCTGGAAGAGCTTCGTGCTTCGCATACCAGCGAGCTCAATGTGTTACGATCAGATCTGGCACAAGCTAGCGCATTGCTTGAGTCTGAAAGGGCGGCGTCCGTTGAGCGGCGAGCATCAGAAGCACAGGAGATCAAGAGCCAAAACGACGAAGCCATTCAACGCCTACAGGGACAATTAAGTCATGCTGAAGCGGAAACAATCAGCTTCCAGGACAAGCACAAGATCATCGCTATGGAAGCGCAGACTCTGCAACATCGACTTGACGAAGCGACTGATCAACAAGCAAAGTCCGAACATGCGCTCGCCGAGAGCCGGGGAGAGACCGTCGATGCTGACAAGGCCGCTGTGGATGCTAACGAGCCTCTACAGGCACAGCTCGACGCTCTGCAAGTAAAGCATGATGCCGCATTACAGAATTACGAGCAGGCCCAAGCTTCGCTGCGAGAGCTCCAGGAGCAGCATGATCGTGGGGCACACACAAAAGAAGCCGCAGACAATGATAACATAGTTGCTTCGTTAGAGCAGAGACTTGCTCTGGCTGAGGAAGAGAAGGCCGATGCAGTTGCTGTGCTTCAGCAGAAGCTGGAAGAAAAGAATCAGCTCGCTGCACAGCACGAGAAGCTTGCGAAAGAACTAGACGACCTGAAGAGGCGCCATGAAGCATCGCTGTCCACAGACAATTACACCGATGTTCAAGTCCAGACTGAGCAGGCGGTCGTTTCGGGGGAGATTTCATCGGCCCCCGTGCACGAGGAACAGCCTGGCACGTCTACTGTACGCACGCGAGACGTCGGTTCCACAAGTGGTTTACAAGGCAAAGGCACTCTGCATGACAAAGCCGTCGAATTCTCGGCTACCAATCGTGATAGTGTCGACACATACAGACCATCGGGCTCTCGGGCTGATCGCACTAATGGCCGTGCTTCGAAGGCACAGTCTTTCGAGGACTACCTCCAGCAAGCCAAAGCCGAGCTCTCGGAACTGGGAAGTGTAATTACTGCTAACGAGGCACTTTTCGCACAAAAGATCCAGGAGCATGTGGGAGACTTGCAGCGTGCAAAGGACCAGCTAGCTACTGAATACAAGGAGAAGTTTGATGGTCTAGTCGCCGAGCGGGACCGACTCGACAAGGATGCCATGTCACGAGGTGTTGCAGACTTTACGAAAGAACGCAATCAGCTTGTTGCGGACTACGGCATCGAGGATGACGAGCCAAATGCCCAGACCGCACTACTCACCAGCCTGCCGCTGAAAGAGGCTAAAGCTCTTCGGACTGCCGAAGAAAGGCTTGTATCTGAATACAATCGTCGCATCTCCAAGCGCAAGTCTCAGATTGCTCTCAAGCATGCCGAGGACTTCCACAGTCTTACTCAAGACTACGACCGCAAGATCGCGGCTCTGATGGTAGACAAGGAAAATCTTGAGGGTGACCTCAGCGTCGAACCTTCACGTTTCGAACACGATCGGGATGAGCTTGACAAGTCTGTAATACTTGAGTCAGAACGAGCGACAAGTGCTGCGAGTAGCCCTCGCGTCGTCAAGAGTGCTCCCGCCTTGTCTGACAAGGTGCGAAATAGCGTAGGTAGTCCACGAGCGCAGGAGAAGCCTTTCCGCCCTGCATCACCCGTGGCGCACGCAGAGCCTGAAATCGAAGCTCGTCAGGCGTCGCCGTCAGCGCAACGTGAGTTGACCAGCACACCTCGAACACCTTCTTCCATACCACGCGCGAGACCATTCTATGCTGGTAGCAGGAATAGTGCCGGAGCAACCTCTCAACCACAAGGACGCACCAGACCTATGACACCCACATCTTCACTTCGCGAGTCGCCATCAGATCGTCACCCACCAATGCCACAACGGAGTCTTCTACGGGTTAGAAGTCCGCCTGATAGCTCTCTTGCACGGCGGACCGTTAGCACACCTCGGACATCAGATAAGTGGGCATCACCAGCAGCGGCGCATGACGATACCTCACAGAATTCGGCGCTTGAGCCTACTGTGGCCGAAGAGCACGTACAGCACAGATCAATACCAAGCCCGAAAGTTGCTTCACCAAAGTCAACAAGAACGGCAGAGCCAAGTACACCAAGAAGGCTGAGACATTCGAGTGGAAACATATTCGGGCATCGAACTTAGCGTAATGCATTTGTCGAACTTAGCGAGGCGTTTGGTTTTACATATACGGCATGTCATGCTTTGTACAGAATTGCATACTGAATTTTCACTTCTGCGCGTAGCACATGAAGATATCATTGTCATGACTTGCTAAGTCTCACTGCGCAGTAGTGTGCCATGTTATTGGTGAAGCAAATCTTGAGCAGCGAATCCAACAGACGACTTTTCGCAGTTTTAGAGCTTGCTGTTTGTCCTACGATGGTCTAACCCGTCAGCTGCTTGGTAATGCATACTTGATTGAGGTGTGACTGACGGTAGGACTGCAGTGCATTCAATCTCGACGGGAACGGGCACAGGTGGTGACGCTTGAACACAGCTTGCTGGTCGTCAGCATCCATTTGTGTAACAATTGCACACATTGCGTACGTTCTTGCTGGCTTCACATCACCAAAGTACTTTGCATAAACTTCGTTGACAGCTGCGAAGTCTTTCACATCTGCGATATAGATGTTGCATTTGACGACATTCTCCATCGAAGTGCCAGCAGCTTCCAGCACGGCTGACAGGTTGTCGAGAATTTGCTTCTGAACAACGATCAACCTCCGCGAGCGAGCACGATCGGAAGATCTCGTAGTCAGGAACGTACTGTATGGGCTTTGACATCGCCTTCGATGATCTTCCCACTAGAATCCATAGCAACCTGCCCGGAGCAGTAGACCATGCCATTAGCTGTGATGGCTTGATTCAAGACCTTGCCAGCCATTGGCAGGGCCACCTTGGCAGTGTAGACTGCTTTCTTAGATGCAGACATTGTATTCACTGATTTTGTATGTGGTGGGTCTCGAAATGACTATAATCAGTACGTCTGGTGGGAGTGCCGTGCAGACCGATAATAAGACATGGAGGAAGGACAAGATGGAATATTTGGCTGACAAATATCCCAAAGCGAGCTGATTAAGATTCACAAGATTCACACCACTCCATTGGAAAAGTGAGATGTTGCGTCCAAGAGTTGACTCTCAAGCTACTCTGTAAGCTATCGCACCTGCATGATCTCAGTGGGTTCAGACCTGCTGAGTCTTGCAGCAGAGCGTCCATACATAACACATAGACGAGTCCACCAGCACGAATGAACACATGCATGCTCTACGTCACCAACAATGCTTCGTCATTTATCGTGACAAGGATGCATGCTCTGGTCGACTCTTTCGTACAGCGTCACACAATAACGTTGTCAATGTCCCACGCAAGCCTCATGGTAACGTCCCACACAAGCCTCATGGTAACGGCTTGAAGCCCCGGGCACATGCTTGTCATCGACTCCTTTACCATTGCCAGCAGCCACGACAGGAGAGCTCTTGCTAGACTCATCAACCGATCCTCCAGCCGCCATAGCCTTCCAACCGTCTTGCAAGTCCTTCGCAGCCTTGGCACGGGCCTTCGTCTTGGCAGCATTGCGTTCCTTGTGCTCTTCCTTGCGCTGCCTGCGTGTCTCTTCTACGTCGAGGAAGAGATTGGTGAGATCGGAATTCTCGTACACGTAATCTTGGATGACCTGGATCTCGTCGTCACTCAGATCTCCATCTTCGCACCACCTGTAGTAAGCCGTAATCATCCACTTGTGCAGGCCCTCATTGGTCGGGACTCGATTGTGGACGGTTTCGATGTTGTTTGTAGACGGTTTAGTATGCAGGATGACCTTACTCAGGTGCTCGCGAAGCGCATGAGGAGCAGGACGAAGATGGAAAGCAAGTGTTGCGCCATATAGATCCAGCAAGACTGACAGCGGCAAGTCAGCAGCAGTGTCGGTAAAGAATGGGAGAAACTCTTCATTGCCATGAACATCCTTGTTGATCACCATCCAGCGCAGTACTTGTCTCAACGCTTCCTCGCTTGGCTGGCGCTGCACATTTTCCAGGACGAGTCGGATTTTAGTAGTGTCCTTTTCATTAGCAGCCTTCTTGACATATGCGGTTGACCATAAAGTTGGATCAGCATCTGGGAGCTTTTCGTTCGCATGCTTGCCGGTTTCTTTCCCAGCAGGCTTAGGAAAGGCGACGCTTGCCGCTTTCGAAAAGCGCACCAGGACTCGACGAGAGACAGTACCAACAAGGTTGCCGTCAGAGTATACCTCGACTGTCTCATCAGCCTGCTTTGTGGAATTGACCCTTTCCTCCTGCTGCTCTCGGGAAGGAGTCGGCTTGGTGCGTGCTTGGTGCACACCGCCTCTGCTAGTCTTGGACCCCATCTCATGGGGTGAGTCTGAACTTGTGGCAGAAGTGGAGGCTAGGTCGGAAGCACTCTTTGACATGCGAAAGAGTTGAGAGGAATTGCGGATATGTTATGGTCGTGCTCGTTGTGCTGATAAAAGTGGCAGAGGAGGTTGTCGAATGATCGAAGCATGCTGTATGAAGAAGGCTTGGACATATATGTGCTTCTCAAACATGCAGGGTGATCAGTGAACACAAGCAATCTCTGTAGTAACTGTGCTAGGCCTTGGAGAAGTGATCATGCGCGTTGCCAAACCACATGGAAGCATGCTTCCGTGACGGCTGCGCAGAAATATAGAGACGGTAGCACGTCGTGACTGCTAGTTGCAAATGAGGAGACTTAGATAGTCGGCGCAGTTGTACCTGCTCATGTGGCAGGAAGTTTGGTGCACTGCCCATTGTGTACCACTATACGCCAATGGTTATTGACACACAAGTTCGAGATCTGTTGAGCTAGTCCGACTGCCTTTCCATGCTGTGACCAATATCGGGCGATGTCAGATCCAGTCTACTCAGGGTATGCACAAGGTACTACACGCGAGCCGCCAGTTGAGTAGTAGCCAAGAGGAAGACTCCAGGCGAGGCTGGTCGCTAGCCTATGATCCGCACGAAGCCGTCGCTGCTACTTCAACATACGGGAACGGTCTGACAGGCTTCCTGGGGGGCCATGTATTCAGCGATGGGGGGCCTAGCAAATCTCCTCGATGATAGTGTGGACAGGCTGCAGATCCCGACTCAATTCTCTTTTGAATTGTTTCTCCCCCTTCCAGGCTGAATTGATAGCGTCGCCAGATGGATCGCTGCTGCTGGGTGGTAGTTACTACGATGCAGAGCAGAAACGGCAAGCTCAAAGCTGTGGTTTTGTGCTTCATATTGGCAGACACTTGTATGCATTCGTCGAGAAGTTCTTAGGCCGTCTACGATCACGGCTGGAGCTGGATTACTACGATATGACTACAATGCCCTCCAGTCCAGAATTCGCCTTTGGTAAGTGTTGTATTTGTGTGGCCAACGGTAAGATCTTCGGATGCCTTGCCTTGGGAGTCTTGTCAACCTGCCATTCACAACTCTGCCGTGGCCATCATCCAACTTGTCGTCCATGTGACACAATAAGGGATGCTCGGATGGCGGATGATAGCTGCTGTTGACTAGGAGCAGACCATCCTCCCCGTCTCCGACAGTAGTGGCGACAATGTGAGCATGTATGTATTAGTTGTATCTTGCATTCCTTTTTCCACGCAAATTTTCAGCTCGTCTCGGTTCCACGTGTCGTGTAGCTGGCATGCTGGGTTCAGAAGGTGCCGTAATGATAAGTATACATGGATGGAATTAGATCATCGTTCGGATCGATGGCTCTGTACTGTACAAGGATACAAGATGGAGTGTCGGCTTCGGCTTTGAGCCACGCCGCCACGCCGCCCCGTTCGATGTACGGTAATATAACTCATATTATTTAGTCTTACGTGCATCCTCCACGAGAACATAGGACCATACCCTTATATTGTGGCGTGGGTCAGACCTCCATCGCCCCGATTGTCAGTTCAACCGGTCTCCCATGTAAATTCCTGCGGCACATCAGTACGATCTAGGCATCCTGTGCCCATTCTCTTCAACATCGCTCGCAGTATTTACTCGAGGCTAGAGCTGAAGATATTCAGCTACGAAGACTGTGACAATTACTGTCACGTCTGTCTCTACCGCTGTAGGTCAAAGATGCGATACTAGACAAAGCATCCGCGGCTACATCTCGGAATGGCGTTGACCGGAGTATGTAGGGAACACGAACGACTACGGCAACAAATACAGTCACCAGCATCGTCCTCACGACTAGCATAAGTATGACAATCGTCACGATCGGTAATACCACGAGCACAACCGCTCTCGTAGCTTCAACGGTGCCCATACCCTCCGGTTTCGTACTTGTGCAGTCATCTTTACCAAGCTCAAGGTAGATATCCGTACACACCTGCTTCGAAGCAGGAAAATCTGTTGTTTGTAGAACTCAAACTAATGCTAGTTCGTGCTCTAGCTACTCGGGAAGTGATGGTAAGGATGGTACTGGGGTGGTTGGCAAGCGCAGCTCCTCCAGTAACGATCCGCAAGTCGACTCGCCGGGCTCTAGCAAGCCACGATATCTGGAAGGCGTCCAGTGCATCGTGACTTTACCAAAAGCAACGTGTGCCACTGTAGTATCGACAATTACCTCCACAGTCCGCGCCACTGCACCAGCGATTACCTCGAGATCGACAGTGACCTCAATCAGCATCGTTGTAAGCCATATCCCGTATGAACAGAGGTTGAAAGTTCTTCGATACGGTTCCAGAGGTGGAAGTAAGATCGTATTGACAAGAGTCTAAGCTAACAAAGGCTTCTAGGTATCCGTCGGCCAACGTTACTATCACAAGCACCCAAACATTGACCATCACTAGCATAGCCATATCAACATCCACTTCAACCACTACCAGCACATTGACCTTAAGCTCGACCACCACGAGTGTGTATGCCGCATGCGCAACGCAGAACATGGCCGATGCTGCCGCAGACGGGACGGGTTTCTACTCCATTGGCTATTCAGGGACGGCCGGCGAGTATGGTTATAACTACTACTACGGGCTTGGCTCGGCCTATGCCTGCTGTGTCGCCGGCCAGAATGATCCGGATGGCGGCCAGATCTGGTACTGGAACTTTCAAGGATCAGGCGAGTGCGAAGTATACAATGATGGCGGGTTTTCGCAGTGCAGTCAGATGGCTAACACGGTGTGTAAAGAATCGCTTCGACTATGAAGATTGTTGATGCTGACGGTGTGGTTAGTGGACCATCGGAACATTCCAGCCGATTGTCCCAGTAGTTAGTAATGGGCCTTGCGGGGAGTTCAACACTTACAACGGAGATGCCCTTGGCTGAACGGCAGAAGTCCGCTTGACGAAGGCGATAGCATACTTGATGATGAGAGTAGCATGCATAGGGTGGTTCCTATCGATCTTCTCAGTAAATCCTACCGTCTGAGGTCCAGCCCGCAGTCAAAATCACTCCTGGTCGAAGACTCCTCAGACTAACGGAAGGGTAGCACAACATCATATCTTGAGTACTTGCAAGCTAAAGAGGGGTGTAGAGTCATATGTCATTGTGAAATCGTGATACGCGAGCTCATGCTACTTCATGCCCAATTGCATGCTATCAAAGTCCTCAATGTACCTCGCAACAGGGCAGTACTGGATGCTGAGAACGCCACAAACACCGTAACACGACCACCCATCTCACACGCTAGCCATGCGAGGTACCATGTGCACCAGCTACTTATACTTGTTCAATCCCACCACGTCTTGTCCTCAAGCATCCGGCACGTGCTTCCCACCTACACCCTTGCCGTTACCCTTCTCTTCAGCTGGAGATGATTGTACCGAGGAAGCGGTGGTGGCAGCAGGGGCCGCGGTAGCCGTGACCTCGCTCATGTTGTCAGCACTCGGTTCCGTGGCCGGGGTGGTGGTGAGACCCTCCCAGCCCTTCTGCAACTTGCGCTCGGCTGCAGCACGCTTCGCCGCCTTCGCCGCCTTAGACTTGAAGTATGCCTTCTGACGACGGCTCTTCTGAACCTCGTAGAAGATCTGGTTGAACCCCGCGTCTGTCTCGACATAGTCGCAGATCTTCTTGTTCTCTGCGTTTGTGAGGCGACCATACGGCGTACCATCAAACCACTCGAAGTACGCGGTGATCGCACGGGTGTGCACAGAGTCGAAGTCGGGGACGCGGGCGTGGACATAGGTCAGCAGCTCGACGGCTGGCATGTTGTTGGTCAGGCGCGCCATGATCACAGCACGCAGAGGTTGGATCGTGATAGTGACTGGACGCATGTCCAAGCAAAACGCCGCGCTATATATATCGATGATGGTAGTTGTGGAGTGCTCCTCGATGTCGACGGGTGCAAGAGGGACGAGACCGCTGGACTTGCCATTGACGCCCGAGTTTAAGACCATCCAGTCAAGACAGACCTTGACAGCGCTGACGGTAGGCTCTTCGGCCACGCCGTTGATTATAAGGTGTAGCTGCTTATTGGAATTGCAATCGGGTGAGGAGACAACATTGGCAACTGGGAGCCTCTCCTTGTCGCTCTTGGTGCTCAGCCCTAGCTTCGGGAAGCACAATGCTGCTTCAGTCGAGAAGCGAGTCAGGATGTGGCGCAAGACGGGCCGACAAGAATGTCGCCCACGAAGACATCGATGACTTCGGGTGGTGGTAGCGCTGGCTTGCGGACGCTGTCCGTAGGAAGTGTGGGTCTGATTGGGATGGTGGGCGTCTTCTTCTGGCTGAGGGCGCCACCGCGGAAGTTCTTGCTGCCCATGATTTCGAAGAACGAGGAATGGAGATGGTAATGACCTGTGCTGCTGTTGTAATGTAGATGTCCAAGCTGTGTCACTTCTGGTAGTTGTTGCCAGAAAGTGTCATTGAGGATTGGAGTCGATTGATGGTTGTCGGAGAAAGGCAGACTGTATCTGTACTCTCTTGGCTCGTTTTTTGGTTTAGTGTGGCTTGATGTTGAGATGTAGCCAAAGTAGCTCATTCGATGTGGACGTCCGGTAGATGAAGAAGCTTGTCGGTGAATGGAAGTGTGCAGCTTCAGGAGCGCATGGCAGATCATATATATACGCGCGTCGAATCGGTGAGTGTCTGTGTCTGGCGGTGTTCATTAAAAGCACCTGAGTCATCGTGGTTGCTGCTTTGTTCGTAACCGTGAGTGTTTGTGAAAGATAATTTGAATAGATGGTGACTGGAGCGAAATTCGGGTCGCATGACATATACAACGTGTGAAGGAAGGAATCTGAGTAGAGAGTGAACACAGATGCCCAGCTGGATTGAACGAAGATCAAGGTCCAGACTCCTGATAGCATGCGCATTTGACTTGTGTATGGTTGTTGCATTCATGGCAGATGTTCGGGTAGCAAGCAAATACGCATGTGCGAGATCACGCGTATGCCTGCATGAACAAGCTGAGCCATGCACACAAAAGTGTCTGGGGGATCGAGGGAGAGCAGCATGTAGTGGCGGACGTGGTCTGCCATAGCACAGATCTTCAAACAGTAGCTCCCCTGCTCAGCCAATGCTCCAGGCTTTAGCAGGTAAAGGACCAGCAGTCACAGCGTTTGAGAAGTATCATGCTGAGGATGGGGTTGCAAGACTCAGTCAACTGAACGAAACACGGCCCATAGGTACGCCTCTCCACGTAGTGCTACTCCACATCGTGTTATCAGAGATGGAATTCATCCAACTCCAAGGTCCGATCTTCCAGTTCTCCTTAGCCTTGACACCAACTCTCCGTCCAATCCATGGGCTACCAAGACCGGCTTTCAGGTCGTCGGCAATAAGGTCCATGCAGTCTTCGAGCGGAGAGAAGTAGCGCTGAATTTGCGAGGCTACGTTCAGATGCGGGCCGATGAGAGGTAAGTGGAACATGGATTCTGACCATTGAGGAGGCTGTTCTGCTGCAACTTCTAGGCTGTGCATTGCGATACCAGGTCTTGGCGAGAGATTCACCAAGGCAGTGCGAGGGAGCATGTTACTTGCGCAGAAAAGGGACCAAGCGAGACTGGAGGTCGATATATGTCTGATGCGGTCGTAGTTGACTTGATGCGTTGAGTGCGTTCGGAGGCTGCTATGTGCAGTCAGCCATGATGTCGCATTCACCGAGACCGAGGTATAGCTCACGCACTATGAAAGGAGAGGCAAGCCTGTCTTTGGATTGTCGAGGATGGGCCAGCCGCTTAGGAGCCAGCACCGCAGTGGTCCGGATTTCCGCTCCTGCTGTACTTGCATTGCCGCTTCTGTCACCGCCTGGAAGATATCGGCGAAGTTGGTATTTGTGCCCAGTATCGAAGCTCTGCCTGCCGTATTGATCACAGCACTGCAATCGTGGCGAAGAATAGTCCGCTTAATAGCTTCTGTGTCTGTAGCGCATCCTTCAACAACGGTAATGTCTCGCGGCAAACATCCTTTGGAGAGTCTGTGGCTATTTCTCATGTAGACGGTAACGATATGACCGTGGGCTAGAAGTGCCGGGAGCAGTCGCGCCCCTACTCTGCCCGTGGATCCGAGCAGAAGCACTCGCATGTCCTTGTCAACCGCCCAACAAGATGAAGGGAGCGAGAACTGGGATCATGTTGTGGCGTAGGTCAGCGTTGGTCCCTCGCGGCGTCTGTTCTTCAACATGACACGGGGTGCGGCAGTGACATTCGTAGTGGGCCTAGTAATAAACGCTCGGTACCTTGCCGGATTCCGTTGGCAGTCCAGATGCGTGTTGCGAGCGTCGTTCTACAGGGCATAAGGAATACATATCACATTGGAATGAAGCGTGTGCACACAAAGTTGAAGACTTCGTATAAACTAGAAAGCTACCTGTTGCGCTGCGAGGTTCTCGGACTACGAGCGACTAGGAACGTCCTGTATTTTACTTCTATTACAACATGGTCATGCTCGAAACCTACAGCTTCGATGATAACATCGTCCTTACGACACGGAGCACTGAAGTGACGGAACACAGGAGACGCCAGAAGGTCTTCCATCTGATTTGGATCTGGGTGATATCTGCTGTAATTACAGCACTTGTGCGTTTGCTGTTGTTTAGTGGCGCAATGTGCTTCAGATCGTTGTCTCGTCCAATCAGATGATGCACGATTCAATCGTCCGCTCGCTTCCTCGTGCCGTCGGCGTCACATTGGAGACATGTAGAGCGCTCGTCTCTTGATCACGTGCCCTCGGTCTCCTCAGCCGCACGTTCTTCTCTTGTCCTGTGCCCGACAAACAAGAGCAACATCCCTATGTCGTACATGGCCTTCAATGCGCCAGCGGTCAAGAAGGCAACCCACATCAGATCTCTCTCTGCTAGCAGTCCTGTCAGAAGAGGACCAAGAGTTTGCGATAGCGTCTTCACTACGTTGATAATCCCCATGACAGTGGTTCGCTCGCTCGGTAGCACGACAGCAGATAAAAACGCGGACCTTGGCGCTGCATCCATGGACTGTGTACACGCTCTAAGGACAACCAAAGTGATAGCGATCGGCAGCTGAGAGGGAATGCCGATCAAGGCTAGACAGATCGCTGAGGGTAGATGTGTGAACACCATCGTTTTGACGTTTCCAATCCGTTGCGCAATGGAAGCAGCCACCAGGATCGAAAGCGCAGAGATAATGCTAGTGGTGAAGAACAAAGTTCCTATCGTACCCTCCGAGAGTTGGAAGTGGCGATGGAAGTAGCTCGTTGTCCAAGACCTACAGTATGATTAGTCGAATTCTGGAACGGCTAGGAGGTGCCGCAATACGTACAGTGGAGCCAGACCAGAAGCGAAGTTATCAAAGACGAAAAGCAAGCACAGCTCGAGTAGCACGATGCGAGATTCTGAGCTCAGATGGGACAAAAGGCCAAATTTGTTCGTCTTTGGCTTCTTTGGGGTTGACTCGCCTAGGAGAGGCGCCCTCTCTGAACCATCGCTGGCAGGTGCTGGTTTCTCCAACTCGCACTGACTGCTGAGAAACAAAGAAAGCACCAGTTTGGCGAGGCCGATCGCAGCATATACAAAGAATGCGCCACGGTAAGCATCTACCACTTTCCAGTCCTTTCTTGTGGTTAGCACCGTGGTGATCCAGCCGCAGCTAAGAAGGCCCAGAGCAGATCCAGCAGTCCCAACAAGCGTGTACCACGCGAAGGTGGTCGAACGGTGTTCTGCTGGCGTCAAATGAGCCACAACTGACTCCTCTATTGCACGGAAAGGGCCGATCTCGTTTCCACTAGGCGTGATGACTCCGAGTACGGCAGCGGTCAGCAAGACCCAGTAGTTGGAACTGAAAGCAAATACAACGCCACTCGCGGCCATGAGGATGGCTCCGAGGGCCAAGATCTTCCTTCTGCCCAATTGATCTGCCACCAGAGTGAGAAGCAGGCTGATCAGCACGTCCCCAGCTAATGTCAATGTCATGAAAAGACCCGTCTGCTCGTCGGAGATGTCAAGGATGGAGAGATACGCCACTAGAATGAGCGTCGAGACGCCATAACCGAAGAGGCGGATGAAGCGTTGGGCGCAGAGTAATTTGATGTCCATTGGCGAGTTCCATAGCGCAAGCAGGCCGACCTCGTCGAGGGCCGAGGCAGCGTAGTGAGAGGCAGCATGCGTGACGGTACTGCTTTCGTCTTCTGCAGCCATCACTTGCTGATCGTGAGGTAGTGAGCCTGAAGTAGTCGAGATAGCTTGTGAAGAGATGAATTGCTAGAGGTGATGAACACAGATCTAAAGGTCCTTGTCAGATCATCGAGGTGTTCGACTAGCAACCTCAAAATTTTTGCTCGCGACAACCAATCAAGACCTAGTTGAATGAACGTTGTGTCAAGTGGCGCTCAGAATGTCACCACGAAGGCGGTGCTAAGGGGCCGCGACTTCTGAAACAGCGACAGGTCAAAGTGAGATTCCCGTGCTATATAGCGACGACATCAGACCTCTTCTGCTATGTAATTTGCTTAGTTAGCCCACTCTTTATTAGCATGTTAGTTAATTTATAGTATAATCTATAGTATTAGTAGTTAGTTATTATATTATATACTAGAGTATTTATATTATTCTATTCTAGATACTTTTAACCTAAAGTTTTCTAATATAATACTAGCTATAGAAATAATTATTAAGTATATATAGAAGGCTAAATAGTAGTAGTATATAGTATTACTATATTTCAAGGAATCTCGTCTAGTGTAAGTAATCTACTAAATACTACATATCTATAGTCCAAGAGTTAAGTACAGAGGGTGGAATGAACGGATGGACCCCTTGCTAGCTGCCGTTTGCAGATCTGCCAATAAGAACGCCAGTCTGCTTTTGCTCGAGTCTGTAGTGACTCCGTGCTTTCTGCAACGGTCGACAGGGGGTCCATCGATTCGTTCCACCCTCTGTACCAAGGCAAAGTACTTTAACGTTAGAGCCCTATACGACTCGTTTAGGCGAGAAACAGAGTTCGGAGCGCGGCAAAGATTGACCGATCGCGTTCCTGGCGCGTCTTCCGTTTGAAACATTTCAATTGAGCATGTGATCAGGGCGGCAGCAGGGCGATGGGCGTGATGCAGTGCTAGACGTCCGTCAATTTACTGCGTTGACGATACCCATCCCTACTACTGTTCATGCCACCAAGCAGCATGTCCAAGTTCACTCTCGCTCTCGTCGCCGGCGCATCGGCTGCTGTAGGAGCAGCTACGACAGCAGCGATCTACGGCATCAGCAAGAGACAGCTACCTGACGAGACACATACGATCACAGCAATACCGAGCCCAACACGAGCATCACCAGCAGCACCCGCACCCCTTCCAGTCCGACGAGATGATCCAAGCCACCCGCTCCTCCCACCCGTGGACCCGTCTGGGGTCTTCCAGTATGGCTTCCCAGGTCCCATCAACGATCTCCGCTCCGCAGCCTCACTCACCTCAGCCTTCGACCGCGCCAAACGAAATCCTCATTGGGTAGCCGAACACATCACACCCGCCTCCGTCCTCCTCCGTAATGGCGACAGAAGACACAGCGTCTTCACCGAAGACGACAGCATACCCGAGAAGTTCCGCGGCAAGCTAAAGGACTACTTTCGTTCTGGCTATGATCGTGGGCACCAAGTACCAGCCGCTGACGCAAAGTGGAGTCAAGAAGCTATGGACAGCACGTTTGCCCTTAGCAACATGTGTCCGCAAGTTGGAGATGGTTTCAACCGGGATTACTGGGCACATTTCGAAGACTTCTGTCGACGCTTGACAAGTTTCTATCCAAGCGTGAGGATCGTAACTGGACCGTTGTATCTGCCCAAGAGGGATTTCGATGGCAAATGGCGAGTAAGCTACGAAGTCATCGGCCATCCTCCAAATATCGCCGTGCCAACGCATTTCTACAAGGTCATCTTCGCCGAGGATGGCAGGGTGGGAGGAAATGTCTCGCTTGGTGCTTTCGTGCTGCCTAACGATGTGATCCACAACGACAAGCCATTGAAGGACTTCGAGGTACCTGTGGAAGCTTTGGAGAGGGCCTCGGGACTGGAGTTCGCGGGCTTGTTGCCGCCAGCTAGGAGGAAGAGGTTGTGCCAGGAGGTCAACTGCAGTGTTATTGTGAAGGAGTATGCCGAGCGGCAGAAGACTATGATGAGCCCGCCACCGACCAAGGGAAGCCCGCCAGCAACGACGATAACGCAAAGATGAGATGGTTCTCGTGTCTGGACTTGTTGAAGTATGCTCATGGAGCGTCATGGCGTTATCAAGCTGCATTTAACGGAGCGTGGATCTAGCATTGCATATCGTACAAGCGTCGGCGTTCCTGCCAACATATCCAACCTGTGCATCATAGTACAGGGTGCTCTCCTCTCATTCCCTCACTAGTGCAGCCTAGTCATACAACCCTCCGCTCAAAACCCCATCCGCGTGCCGTTCGAACCTTAATTCGGATCGTCCTCATATACTCCCCATAACACCCTGTGCCCCACCAGCGGCAGCAACACCCTGCTGAGCATGCTGCAAATACGTTCTCGAGACTGTGTTCCACGCGGCCATATACTTCTCCATACAATGTGTGTAGCAAGTAGTTTCAGAGGAGGAAAGCGAGGAGCCGGGTTTTGGGACGCATCGCTCGAAACAGTGTTCGTTGACTTTCTGTACGAAAAAAGGGGCATCCTAATTAGCATTGATCGGCTGGGATACTCGGGTACAAACGTACTTCTATTAATGCTCGCGCATTGCTTAGGGCGGCTTGTTGGCGGATCTGATCCATGATTGCTGATTTTGCGTCTGACATGGTGGGTGATGGAGTATTATGAAAGGACAGATATCTTGGTAATCCACAGGGATTTCTCGTATGGTCACAATGATTTGAATGCGCTATCGGTCTACACAACAGCTATGGTGTAATTAAATACCTATGAGAAGAAGATGTCATGTACAATCGTCTCGCCCGGAGATGGCATTTTAGCCGAAGTTTCTCCCCGCAAAGTTCACTTCGACGTTCCAAACCTCACCTCGCCACGACTCCAACCACGCTCCCACTACATTTATTCTGCTCTCAACCAGATCAATAGTACGTTTGGCTGTTCTCCTCTCAGTGCACGTCACCACTCGTCTCAGGCAACATCGTCAACCACATCCTGTGCTTGACCCAACGCCGATCAGACTCATCCTCGAGCTGGAGCGGAAGGTCATCCACACCCTCGAAGATCTTGATGTTAGATGGCGACGCCTGGTCACCAAATGCCTTATCCCAGTCTTCTCTAGCGACCCGCTTAGCCCAGACCGAAGCCCGCAGGCGCTTCTCGTCAAACCCTGGCAGAGGATGCTTGATGAAGATCCTGCCGAAGATCGACATCTTGCCGAAACCGAGACTCTTGAGCTTGCGTCCATCTTTCTCACGAATTGCAAGGTCTGCGTCGCTGGTGGTGAGTGGCACGCCGATAGCAGTAGCGACGGGGAGTACGCTCTCAAGGCCGGGATGAATGGTCTAAGTACTCGTCAGCATTTTCTTTGGTGTGAGACTTGGCTTGTTGATATCAATATTATGGAGTACTTACAGACCTGACGAACGGCTGCTCGAAGGACAGATGCTTGGCAAAGACGCTGTCCTGGAATTAGGGTCAGCCTCTCGCTGGCGTTATGCCACTATACCGCCAGCGTGCTCTTCACAAGCTACAGGACCACGTCTCTGGCTGGGGAACTCACAGGCTGCTACCCCACAACTAAGGCTTCCTTCTCCGGGATAAAGCTCTGCTCCCACTCCACCTCCATTTCTTCCTCCTGAACGACTGTGTCAGCGCCTGCTAGTATGACATCTCACTGCTCTTGGATGCGAGATCAGATCAGCCTGGGAAGTACGCTTACCACCAGCTTCGCACGCTTACGCGGCACGAACTTTGCGCTGCGGAGATGAGCATCATCGCGCTTCGCACGAATGGTGAGCATGTCGACTACTGTCTCCGGTACCTTGTTTGTAGTCGCGGACTCGATGGTGTGAAGGTGGGCATCATCGCGCTTCATACGAATCGCGAGCGTGTCGACTGCTATCTCTGGCGCCTTGATCTCGACAAGGGGCTCCATGGTGTGATGTGTCGTGTCGGATGCCGCGGTACCGAATTGTGTTGCGACCATCATGGCTGTGTGCATAAATTTGCAATCATCAAGCCAAGCCCCACTAGAATATCGTCGCCCTCGGCAAAAGCGCAGCGACGGGTGGCCCGCGCTGGTCCAAGCTCTTCCGCTCCCGTCGCACTTATATACCCCCATCATATTTCTCCAGGTCCGAGGGCTAGATGCGATATCTACATGGCGATGGTGGCAAGTCTTTTGCTGTCCACGTTTTCATCAGCTGCTTAGCCTGTAAGCTTGACACTGGAGAAGACAGAAGCATCACACGGAGCACTATTGCAACGAACGAAGACACCCATTCTGCCAGTGACCCCCAGCGCTTACGAGAATTGACGCCTCAGGCACTCACGACTGCTTTCCATCTAGCCGAGGCGATGACGTAGCTGGAGCCATGGGAAACGCACATGTGAATGATCCTGAGAACATTCACCATCGCTACTAGCTTAGTAATAGCTTTTCTTCGCTGGTAACAGGCCTTTACAGATAGCTAGATCTCGAGATCAGAAGCGTTCGCATCTATCACCATGGCAGCACCAACACGACGCTTGGGTATGGCTGTCACCATATCTTTAACCACACCACCACCCAATGGCTGACTGAACCATGTGCACAGTCCGTCCAGCCCTTTTGTACGCCTTCCACCAAGTCGACATCTTACTGATCGCGGCCGGCTGATGGCATAATAGCATCTGCGATCTTCAGGAGAAGTTCCGCCCTGCCATCCACGAATTCGCCCGTGTTGTCTCCACGACCCAGAAACTCCTCAAAGCGTCCCAGATCCTCGACATACCCGTCTTTGCAACTACCCAGCTGCGAGCAAAACTAGGCGAGACATGTCCTGAGCTAGGTTTAGATGCAGAGGGGGGAGTCAAGCCGATGGCGCACGTGGATAAATCAGCTTTCAGCATGATGGTTCCCGACCTACGAAAGGAATTCGAGAAGCTAGGGCCGGAGAAACGAGAGGTGGTGGTTGTGGGTATCGAGAGCCATATCTGTGTCACGCAAACCACGCTCGATCTGCTGAGGGATGGACATAAAGTTTATGTCATTGCGGATGCGGTCAGCAGTTGCAATAAGCAGGAAGTCCCTATTGCGCTTGCGAGACTCAGAGCTGAGGGAGCGGTGGTCACGAGTAGTGAGAGTTGGTTGTATGAGTGTATGGGCGATGCGTCGATAGGTGAGTTCAAGGAGATGGCGAAGTCGGTCAAGGAGTTTTCGAAGGGCACGAAGGAGAATTTGGAGGCGCTGTGTAAGATGTGAGAAGTCGTTCAGCCGAGTCGGTCGTGATCGTAGAGTCAGCGAGATGATAGTGGCTGAAGGCATTTAAGCATGGTCCATTCGGAGCTGAGCAGCCACCACTGTTATTCGTGCTATGACAAAGGAGTAAATAGAACAAGTCTCGTAGTCTTTGTTGGTGTGGCTGCGACTGCGCCTGGGCATCATGTAATACGGAACCATCAGCATTGCTCGCATGTGGACATGTTAGTACCTGAAGTGGCGTTGCGTAGGAGCCGCTGTGCACCATATATTGATCCAAAGTATTTTCATGGCGTCATGGTCCAGCATCCCCGGCTCGGTGTTACGACAGATGGATGATGAATATCGTCTGGGATGGCGGTGGACATAGCCGGGCGCGTGACGTCGAAAGAGATTCAACGGCACTATGGGCGAAACGTATCGCTGTTTGTCAAGTAGCATTGTATTTCCGTGCCTTGTACGGTGGCCCCGGCGACCTCGCGCCGTGGCGTTTCCCTTCCCTCCTTTGAACGGACCCCGGATTGGACGTGCGTGTGTTTCTTGGATAAAATAATAATGTTTCGGGATCGTGCTTCTGTAGTTTCCTCTGCACGTGCAGCATCGGAGTCTCGATCCATACTGTAGCACTCCTAGCGATATCATTAGTTTCACAGCTCTCATGAGGTCACTGCCACCACCTTGAGCCTCAACCGTCAGCAGTGGGAAAAGCACAGTCATAGCATTCTTCGAATCACGGTTCTGCGTAACGCTCTCCCGCTTATAGTCTATTTGGCCAGCAGCAGGGGGCGCGCGGGCACGACTCTCGCTTTGTGTGAAAGGCCGAGTCCTGTGCTACATACATCACCAACTGACTTACTCACGGCTGAAGAGCAGAATACGGTGTGGCATTGGACAGGATTACATTCTGTATCATCCAATATACTCTCACAGCAATACTGGAGCAGGATCCATCGTCAGCGAGCCAGGATAGTTCTCTCGATTCCTCGCCTGCGTCTCTACATACACCTTGCACCTGCACTTTCACGTGGACGGTGACACAGTCACCCAACGTTCGCACCTGCAGCAACGGACTCCCGATCTCTGACCCGCGACTTGCAATCGTCGCGGTGGCTACCAATGGGAGCGGAAAGGCACATACTATTGGACGTGAGGCGAGGCTCATGACATCGAGAACGACGCCGCCCAAGATGGCCGGCCAAGCGTCAGCTGATCGTCTCAACATAAACAACGGCAACAACCCCAAGATTACCGCCACGGGTGTCGCTCGCCCAGCGATGCAGTCCACTCACTCCAGCAGCGTGCCATCTACACCTTCGCAACAACCAAGGAGATTCCACTCCCGCTCGCCGTCGCCCCATCGTGGACTTGGCAATCAGTCTCCGAGGTCAGTCGTGTCTGAGGCAGTCGGGCAGAATGGCATACCGCGATCGCAGCCCAACTTCTGCAAATATGAGTCTGGTGCGGAGTTTAGGAAGAGGCGGATACCGTACACAGAAGGTGGTGAGAATGAGCTGGGTCCGCCGAAGAAGGAGCCCAAGAAGGCGCTGGAGCCGCATGAGGATGATAAGTTGAGTGGCGACATGCGAGAGTTGTATGATCGGTTATTGCCGTCGGATGAGAGTGAGCAAAGGCGGGCGCAATTGATTAAGAAGCTGGAGAAGATGATGAGTGACGAGTGGCCGGGTCATGATATCAGGGTCAATGTGTTTGGATCTTCTGGCAACCTGCTGAATTCGAGTGATTCGGATGCAGACATATGCATTACGACACCATTAAAGAAGCTGGAGAGCATGCATGGGTTGGCGGCGCTGTTGGACAGACATGGTATGCAGAAGGTGGTTTGCAGAGCCTCGGCGAAGGTGCCTATCGTGAAGTGTTGGGACCCAGAGCTACGGCTGGCTTGTGATCTAAACGTCAACAACCCCTTGGCGCTGGAGAACACGCGTATGATCAAGACATATGTACAGCTCGACGATAGAATACGACCATTGGCGAAGATCATCAAGTACTGGACTAAGAGACGGATACTGAATGACGCTGGTAGGTGTACAGATTTCCGGTGGATGTATGTTGGCTAACGTGATGTAGCATATGGTGGTACTATCAGTTCGTACACCTGGATATGCATGATCATCAGCTTCCTGCAACGACGAGAACCGCAGATCATACCATCACTGCAGAACACGGATGGCAAGCGGCTAAAAACAGATCGCAATGAGCCAACACGATTTGCGGACGACATTGATGCCTTGAAGGGCTGTGGCAACAAGAACAGAGAGTCGCTGGCCCAGCTGCTCTTCCAATTCTTTCGGCATTACGGCTATGAATTTGATTACTCAAGGTATGTTGTATCCGTTCGTGAAGGCAGACTTGTATCGCGGGAGGAGAAGGGCTGGCAAACGAGCAATTATCATGAGAAGGAGGCGCAACGGCGGTTGTGCGTGGAGGAACCGTTTACGAAGTCACGAAACTTGGGCAACTCGGCAGATGATTATTCATGGTCTGGTGTGCATCAGGAGATACGAAGGGCATTCGAGCTACTGGCCGACGGACAACAGCTGGAGAAGTGCTGTGAGGAGTATGAGTTTCCGCCGGAAGAGAAACCGATATTTCAGCGACCTGCGCAGAAGCCGCCACCAACTTTACGACGCAGTGCCTCGCAGTCTGGACGATCGAATCATGAACAGGGCTCGAGCCGACCACGGAAGAGTAACAACAGGAATCAGTCTACACAGAGAGCTGGCAACCGACGAGCGTCTAGTGGTGCTACGTTTGGAAACCCAAGGATGCCATTGCAGAGTCCGTCAATTGGTTTGACATCTGCGGACTACTTCGGCGCCAGGAGCAGCGTCCACGAATACTTATCGCATCAGTATCAGCTTCTGCAGGCGCATAGGGAGGCGCTCACGGCACAGTTGCAGCAGCATCAACAAGCGACCCAGCAAGGTCAGCCTCAGAGCCATCGTGTGGGAGATCTTAATGGATCGCCACTACACCGGGGTGGCGCCTTTCAAAACGGCTTGCCAAGTCCTCGATTCCTCGACAATCCACCACAAACAGCGCCTCTATTGCCCGGATACTTGTACCATTATCCGGCACGATACCCACCACCATCGCCAATGTCACAAGCTCGCTCAAGAGAAGGCACCAGCACGAACCCGTCCTCGCCATCATTAGTAGCTGCTACACCTGTACAGCTTAGGCGGCAAGTCCATCGTGCATCAGTCACAGATGGCTCGTCCAGTTCTGCGCGATCACAATCACAGCCTGGACGCTCTCTGCCTCATCCTCTCGCTTTGCAACAGCAAGCGCATCCAGGCTACGATGTTTCTGGTGTCATCCCAGCATCGTACCAGAATATGCGAAATAATCCTGCCTACGCTGCAGGTCAAGCAGCATTGCAGACGCAATACGGACAGATTCCTGGTGTACATTTTGCGCCCGGCTCGGTTGACAGCGCAATGCCGAAGGAATACATGGGCTACGGCGTGGGGTCGCCACAATTTGGAGGCCAGTATGCTGTTGCTGGTCAACAGATACATGTACCTCCAATGACTTTGCACGACCCTCCACCTTCACGACAGAGAAGAGTCACGCCTGACCTACAGCCACCAATGCCGAATGGACGGCATATATCGCGATCGCCCTCGCCTCTGGGTCATCTGAGAAGCTACTCTACAGCTGCGGATTTGAGGACGCGAGCACAGGCACAAGCCGAGATGCTAGGCAGTCCGTCCGCTGGATATGAAGCTACTTCGCCCTTTTCGACCATGCTTGCAGCACCTGTGGATATTGGTGGACCATTGATTGTCAATGGCTCGACGCCTGCTGCCACACCGAAGTTGGTCGAGCGCATCAATGGTGTGCCTATTCTTGCGCCGCTGCAGGTCGACTCGGCGAACGTCATGCTCGAGCAAGATCCTGCGAGACCACCCACACTGCCTCTCAGGACTTCAAATCCGGAAATGCCGGAGAACAAACAGCCTTCACCACCTCAGGTAGCATCTTCACCAATGCGCCTGAAAAATGGTCCACGGCTAGCACTTTCACCCAACGGACTCACGCAGTCTACCAACGGTCTCGGTCTCTCCGACTTCCACGATCCTGCTCTTACAGCACCACTCCTTTCACCTGTGGCTGAGCTTCGTACGCCTTCGCCGACACAGGCACATGTCTTCGATAAGCAGGAATCTCCACAAGCCAACGGACTTGTAAAAGTGGTGCAGATCGCCAATGCCAGGAACAGTTTCGATCGGAAAGAGAACGACCGACCAGCGAAAGCGGCCAGCGCAACTACGAGCCCAAGGCATGAACGACAGGGTAGCGCACCGAATGCTGGTGCTAAGCAGATCACCACTAATTTGAATTCAAACACGGTCAAGGGTGGCAGTGTACCCCTTACTCCTGTTTCCGCTGGTGATAATCAGCAGAGCCTTGGGCGGCAGGAAAATCCATGGATGCAGGTGCAGAGTGGTAAGAAAGGGCACAAGAAGAGCAAGAGCTCGGTTGTGCAGGGTCGGCATGCGCAGGCTGTTGCTGTTGGGGAGGGCGAGAAGAAAGGTGGCTAGGAACTGATTGGACTTCCGGACACTCGATAAATCTGCATATCTTGCCGGCTGTCCTTCGGCGATGAGTTCCCTCTCGCCTCCCCATCCGTCTATCTGAGGACAGAGGCGATCAGGGGTCTTGGAGCCGGTGCAACGTATCAAGCGGCAATGAAGCCTGAACGTTACCCACTCGCAATGTGAAGTCCGCGACTGGCATCTTTGCCTGGCGGACCACTTTTGAACAGGTTCCCAGCCAGCTCGAGGATTTTGGAGAGATGATGTTTGCAATGCTTGGGGATCAGTAGGCCGAGGCAACACTATCGTGGTCAGGATCTTGGCTTGAGCACACGCACTTGGACACGGAGGGTGGGACGTTCCTTGTATAGCGGCCACAGGGTCTGGTGCACATGGCATGGAGGGTGTGGTGTAGGCATAGAGTAGGCACGGTATCTATCTGTTCGTGCGAGAGCGTCTAGACGCATTTTGCGGCAACTTTCTCAACGACCCCGGGTTCACGTGACTTGCATGCGCTGTTTCAATCATCTCGGATTATCGAGCGACGGTCTTGTGGCGTTAGAACTGTTTTCAAACGATGTTGAGAGCTGGAATCTGGGCTAGTGTGTTGTGAGGGAAGGTGTATCACGCGACACAACCCCTTCGATTTATCCTTCATATCATGGTATAGATTCAACCAACTGATGGTTCGATCAAAGACCGTCATCTGAGTTGAAGTCGTCGATAGAACCTCGCAAGCGCAAATTTAACCCAAACCCTAACCCTAGGCTGCTAAGTTCAGCTTGGAGAGCAGAGTAGACTTCCTTCCTTCGCCATCAACAACTCTTACTCACCATCACAATCTCTGATGCCATTCGTATTCGCTTCGGTGTCTCATGGCTGACAGAACACCACAAGAGACACGCCAAACAATGAAGTCGCCAGCTTTGACATGGTCAATCTGTACTCTCTCAACTTTGATATGCTTCTGGTCTACACTTCAAACCCACCTACCTCGACCGGTAGTACCCCTCCACATTGTACCCACCATAAGCCTCAGCAAAGGCAATACTCTGATGACACGAGTGTGATCTCTCGCTTGCGGTCCGCTACAATCGCCGGACCATGCTGTGACGATGCGGACCTCGCGGCATTCCGTCAAAAGCCAACATGCACCCGCAGCAAGCAACGACTGCCTTCGTATGAACGATGCTTGGGCCTCTCGTCCACTCGGCGGCCAAAGGAACGCGTGATCCAAGTCATCATGCTGCAGACCGTCAAAGCACGGTGGCAAATACTACAATTGGAGGGTGGTTGCTGATGCCTGTGGTCACTTCTCTGCCTTTGTTCCCGCGCTTTTCAGTCATGCAGTAGACACATATAGAAGTCGTCCGAGATGCGGCCCAGACGAGCGATCGACGGACCTGTGAAGTCCAAGACTTTGTGAATCGAAGTTCTTTTCTTATTGTCTCCTCTCTATTCACTTCACAAATGGCAGCTGACATGCAGACTTTTCGCTCTCAGGACACAACTAACGCTGAATGGACCTCACCCGCAACACTTCTTCCACACACTCAGCAACTACATGATTAGTATTATATATCTGGCTCAAGCTTCCTCCTGGCTTTCTTATCTCAACATCAACACCAATAGAAACAGATTTCGACGGCTTCTCTCTTCGACCAGCTCATCCGTCGTCATCTCTTCAACATCTGTCAGCATCGTCCACATCTTGCACCTCCACAGAATCTCAATACCGCAATTATGCGTATGCCAGAGTGGGATGAGAAGACGGTCTTCATCGGCAAAAAGACAACCTCGACCGCCAACAAGCCAACGCCATCCACACAGCCCAAGCCGTCCAAGCCGGCTCTAGTCGATGTCCACATTGGCGAGAACTTCGTGGCAGCCGTCCCCAAGAAGCTTCTCACAAGGTTCTCGGCTGTGGCGAACGACGGTTACTTCCCGAAGACACCAGAAGCAACCCGTGTCAACGGTGGTCCTGCTGGGAGGCCAGGCAATACAGATGACTTTCCAGGCACAGCAAAGCTCACAGACGCCCGCAACGGCTCGAGCAATCCCAGCATCTCGTTCTCCCTGGTCGGCGTCTCGATCCAGCCGAGCCGCACTGCGATGCAGTCATGCATCGACTGGATGGACAAAAATGGCGCAGTGACTGGCGATGAGATCCTCGACTCTCTTTTCGTAGAAGATCCCGATAACACGCCACTGACGGTCCTGATGGACCTCTACGCCGCTGCTACATGCATGGCACTTCGTCCCATCGGCCACCATCTGCGCAATGAGGTGTTGGACCGTGTTCATGAAACGATCCCGGAGGCTGCCATGATGCAACACGTCCATGAGCGCTTCCGTCCTAGCACCTACGTTCATGAGCAGATGGTCAAGGTGTATTTGAACTGTGTGGAGCAGGAGTCGCCCACGGAGAGGGAGTTCAAGGCAATCGACGACTTGGTCACTTCGGACGACACGTTGGCTGCTGCCAGCGAGCAGGGCAAAAATCGTCGCGAGGGCTACTGGGCTGGGGTTGAGAGGAAGCGCAGGGCGTTGGAGCGCGAGGAACGTGATGCTGCTGCCAGGCAAGCACGTTCCGATTGGGGTCCCAGCAGTGGATCGAGTGGTGGTCGGGGAAGAAGCGGTGGAAGTGGGCAAGCTGTTGGTCGTTCGCAGGCTGCCAATGCTTCACCAGGCAATGGTAGAGGCATTCGCGGACGTCATGTCCCTGGAGCGTAACAGATGGATTGGACATGACCAATCTGCAGGCGCAGGACCAGATGATGCATTGGGCAGGAACGCGAGTAGAGCAGTGATTGTGTTCTTCTTGTGACCAGCATAAACGTTGCGATACAGGAGGAATATGTCCTAATAAAGTGGTGAGCATTGTATAAGTAAGACTGATACACGATCGGTACCAGATTGACCATGCACATTGCTCGCCCCATTGTTGTCACATGGAGGGCATCTGCCAGACCCTTTATCACAACGAGAACGTGAAGCGTTGTAGCCCTCTCTTCATGATCAATCATCGTCATATGCCACTCACGTGCCCCATCTCACCTGAAACGTAGTGTACCAGCAGAAAGCGGAGCCGACCGTTTAAGGTTGCCGCTTAAAGCAGGGTGCTTGAACAGGGATGGCGGACTTTTGGGCCAGTGAGGCGCAGCGCGTCTAATTGAGGGATGGAATGGGATGTCATTGCCCATAAGGCATTGCTACTGCTACTACTGCAGCAGAACAACTCATCACGTTACGCGCATCAAGCTTCAGCACACAGCCTTACGACGCCTCATCCTTCATCCTCTTAGCGACCAAGGAAACGCGCTGCGGCACTTGGTATTGATAATTAAGAGGTGCTGGATTGCGCGCACGAGACCGAGGTTACCCTTGCATTCCTGGCATTTGCTTGCGGACAGCAAGCTTTCACAAGAGCCAAGAGGGAAGCCGAAGGAGCGACAGCGCATATTCAATAGCAGGAGCAGATATCAGGCAGACATATTGGGCAAGAAGGACGCTGCCGCATGGTTGCGCGAACGAGAGCCACCACACCTACGACTACACCGCATCCTTCCTCACCACCAGCGCCTCTGCGCGCATAAAAATTCAGCAACCATGGTCAATGCCACCAGCTGGACCGTGTGCAACACAACCCTCGAAGACAGCTATATCACCGAAGACCCACTATGGAAAGGCTTCACCTTCCACCACTTCGGCCTCTTCCTCAGCGCCATCTTTGGCCTGATCAGTGTCGTTGTGGCCCTCTTCCTGGTCTTCCAACACGCTACGCACTACAGCCGGCCATGGGAACAACGACACATAATCCGCATCCTGCTCATGATACCCATCTACAGCACCGTCTCCTTCCTATCCTACCTCTTCTACCGCAAAGCCGTCTACTTCCAGGTTCTAGGAAACTGTTACGAGGCCTTTGCTATCGCTAGTTTCTTCACGCTGCTGTGCCATTATGTGGCGCCCTCACTACACGACCAGAAGGATTACTTTAGGGGTCTGGTACCAGTTAATTGGTTCTGGGGTGTTTTCGGTCTGCAGAAGTGCACGGGTGGGCAGAATAGAGGGCCATTTAGGAAGCCGAGGAGTGGATTGACGTGGTTCAACGTATGTTGAGGAACGCCACCGAGACATGCGAGGAGATCCTGAACTGACCAATAGAACAGATAGTATGGCTCGGCGTCTTCCAGTACTGCTTCATTCGAGTGCTCTTCACGATCGTCTCTGTCGTGACCGAGGAGACTGGACGCTACTGCGAGGCTTCGTTATCACCGGCTTTTGCACATGTCTGGGTGACAGCATTCGAGGCAGCTTCGGTCACGATTGCGATGTTCTGCTTGATTCAATTCTACATCCAGCTGCGACAAGACTTGGCAGAGCACAGACCATTCTTGAAGGTGCTATGTATAAAGCTCGTCATTTTCTTCTCGTTCTGGCAGACGGTGAGTCGGATGGCAACCAATAGGCGTGCGCGACACTGACATGGACCTAGATCATAATCAGCCTACTATCGTCAAGCAACGGCCCACTACAGCCAACAAAAAAGATTGCATACCAGGATATCAAGGTCGGCATACCCAGCACGGCATTGTGCATCGAGATGGCCATCTTCTCCGTCATGCACCTCTTCGCCTTTCCATGGAAGGAGTACAGCTTGAAGCGTGATGATCCCTTGACAGTGAGCGGCTCTGGCTACAGCGGCGCAGCACCTCGGTATCTTGGTGGCCCACTAGGGGTGAAAGCCTTCGTCGATGCCTTCAATGCCTATGATATCATCAAAGCATCGGCAAGAGGATTCAGATGGCTATTTGTGGGTTACAAGAAGCGAGAGCAAGATGCGTCATACCAGCCGAGTAAGCTCGATGGCACGACTGGCTACTCCGGACCTACATTCGCAGGTAGTGGCGACGCGGCGACTGAGCTGCGACCGAGTAATGACGGGCGAGGTCAGATGGGCACGGAGGAAGACGACAGAGCAGGTCTCTTGCGCCACTCAGCCACACTCGGCACAGCGCGCATGCAAAGCTCATCCCCATACCGAACAGCCACAACAGACGACTACTCTTCCGGCGACGAAGCCCAAGGAATCTCACGGCACGACCGCTCACAACCAGGCATGGCCAGCTCAAACTCGAAAGCCTACGAAGCCCAGGATTTCTCCTCCGGAGCGCCGCGGCCTTCGAGACTAGACGAGGAAGATCCGGGGTATCACCCAGGAATCGGGCCTGCAGGCACACATCCCGCATACCGTGCCGACGACCAGGACGATCCAGGGTGGAATCACTGGGCGGGTGCACAAGGTGGTGGCGGTGCGGGGAGAGGAGGCGGTAGTGATCAGGATAGCGTGCGACCGCCTACTTATAGGACAAATGATCCGCGGCAGAGGTAGTAACATACTGGTTTCGTAGATATCCATTGGGATTGGCATTGTCTTTATGATACCTTGCGTACGGCGCTGGAGGACTTGTATGATTTGATGTATTCAATTTTCCTTCTTAAGATTTTGTCTTTGCCACCTGTTCTTGTTGTCGTATGTTTGACTTTGGCGTGCTCATGGTCATTGGTGAAATTGCGTGGCAGATGGATGGTACACTTGCGCGGGTCTTGAGTGTGGCGCCAACATCTGCCTGTAGCCTGGAGCCAAATATCTGAACCAAGAAACTGCTTCGGCATCCCACTTCACCTGGATAGTGAGGTACCTTCTATAAATTCACTGGTAGAGACACGGCAGTCAAAATTGCCAATTGTCTCGCTAGCTGAGCTGAGGGACATGTCTCGCGCAGGCCCGTGGATGGGAGATTTCGTGCATCGTGCATGTGGACTTTCGGATCTAGATGCATTTTCACAACGGGCGAGCTATGATATGGATTGCGCAAGCATGGCATTGCGAGCTCGAAAAGAGCTCTGGAGAGGTCTGTCTGCAGCTACCATCTGCATAGCTGACACGAGTGGCCTTACTGCAGTCATGCCATGCCATAGTGAGCTCGTATGGAGAGCTCTAAGGGATCATGCCATGGGCGCAGACGAAGCTAGTGCGGTTAGCATCGAATTTCTCCCAAAGTGATCCAGAGTCGATAAATGATAGATGATGCAAAGCGGCGTGAAAGTGACGTCTCATTTTATTAAAAAGATGCATACTGTGACCGTTAGATCGGTCTCTGCCGTTGGTTAGATCGCCTTCTGTCAGAGGTCTGAGGCCGTTAGCAACCAGTGCAAATGTCAGTCGGCCTCAGTAGGTCGTACTCGAATGTATCGCAGTAGAGCTATGGTATCTGTTTTTACTGCCACGACGTATGTACTGTCGCGATCTTACCCCTCCGCATCTACGGCATGCGAGCTACTACTTTCAGCCTCGTATCGTCTGCACGAACATATCAAGCAGGTGGCAATGGCAAGACTAGCCATTGAGAATCGAGGCCATGCACACTACTCACCCCGCGCCGTGGCAAGCAAAAGAGCTCGCATCCAAGGTTCGGAGGTGCGCTCGATTATGCAGGTTGCTGCGAGGTACAAGATGCTGAAAGCTTGGTCAAAGAGGATTGAACCGGGCAGCAGTTGCGGGACTCTGGTGCAACGGTATGAAGCATGGCAATTTGTTTGTCTTTGTTGTGGAGCTGGGAACCGTGTTTGTGCGCTGTTTAGGAGTGTGCTCAGTAGTTCTTCGGATAATGCGTGTGGGGACGGCGGAGAATTAGGTGTATTCTGGTCCATAGGCCAGCGTCATGGACGGACTCGACAGGTCACCTTCTAGCAATCAGCAATCGCAGGAGGGAGTGGGGACTGGAGAGAGATGATGATGCGTCCTCGAGAAGGGAAATCCGTCCTTGTAGTACAGCAGAGACACGGCAGAGCGTACCTAATCCTCATCCCGTGCGTACATCCTCATCACACCAAGATCTCATCCCGGAATGATCTTCGGCGCTATCGCTATATACTTTGCTAGCGCGAGACCTACGACTTGGTGAAAGCGCTTTGCACGCCAGTTGCGGACCACTCGGGCGATTACTTCCTCCTCGGATCTCCGCCCTCTCGTTGTACCCTCTCTTTTGCTTACCTTCCATATCCTTCATTGTACACATTCGCTTCTTCCTGCATCGAACGCCCGCCCGAACTTCGAAACTCACCTCCTCCGACCTTGCGTGCGTTGTGCGAACGGGTCAGCTGCCAACTCTCTCCCACCTGGCCTTGCACCACGACCCGCTTATACGAAAGCTTGCCTCCTGTGCATTATTATAGACGCTTCTTCTTGCTGGTCAAGAATCAAAACAACTTAGACTGGACTTGTACGATATCCACGACGCGCATATATCATCGCTACTCGACTGCGTTTCAGGAAAGCGTTTCATTAACGAGCGAGCGAGTGGCTCGAGCGGGTGCCAATGCGATAACAAGCTGCATGAGTGGATGGGACCTTGGAAACATCCCTCTGAGCTGCGGACTGGACTCCATACGAGTGCAATGGGTCGATCAAGAGATATGCTGCCGCTCAAAGCAGCTGCAATTGCACTATGCATCGGGATGGCTCGTGCTGGTGATGGGCTTACACAGCAATACTGCTCAAGCGAGAATACTGGATCTGACTACAGTGCTGGTAAGGACTTCGCCCCCGGCTACAATACATTGTTCTAACAGTCAGCAGTCTACAACATATACCAGTCGAATGGTGCGTGTCTAACACAATGCAACAACCAGAACTACGCCTTTGCCATTGTGCAATATCAGAACTGCTGGTGCTCCAATTACACACCATCAAACCAGCAGAACACGGGCAGCTGTAGTGAAAAGTGTCCCGGCTACCCAGATGATCTTTGTGGCAACTCAAACGCAGGATTGTTCAGCTATCTCAAAGCCAATGGCAACCCATCTGGAACAGCCGGTGGATCCTCGTCTCAAGCGAGTAGCACATATTCGCCACCATCGTCGAGTGCCCCGCCATCTACCCAGCCGTCAAGCACCTCACAGTCGCAGCCGACCAGCTATGTGAGTCAAACCGTATACCAGACACAAACGGTGACGACTAGCCAGAGCGCGAGTGTAGTGGTGTCATATGTTACTCTTGTACGAGTGCACTTTCATCATGCTATCATGCGAAGCTTCTTATCATGCCTTCTGTCGTAAAGCTTGGGATCATTGGCTAATAACTGATCTTAGTCACAAACATCAAGCACGGTGCCGTCCTCGACATCATCGCCACCGAGCCCGACTTCATCACCTCCAAGCTCGACTTCATCAACGAGCACCACGGCAGCGCCTGTGCCAGTGGCTGTCACGACCAAGGCTTCAAGTCTTGAATCGACGACGACCTATACCCCGACACCAATCACGAGCGTTCAGACTGTCATGATATCTGGAGCTGTGGTCACGCAGACCGTGACCTCAACACCAACTGTGGCACCCGCCAGTAGTCCCGAGTCGCAGCCGCTCCAGCGGAAGCAATTGTCTGGTGGTGCTATTGCTGGTGCCGTGATTGGTACCTTGCTCGGTGTGGCTGCAATCGTCATTGGAGGCCTCCTGCTGTGGCGACGAAGGAAGCAGAACGACGACGATGCGGAGGGCGCCGGCAATCATGCATTTAGCCCTCGACGCAACAAGAGCGTACTTAGCAAGACAGGGCTCTTGTCTCGTGGCCGGGCGGTCAGCATGACTGAGCGTGACGGCGATGACTACACGAACAATGGCATCGCAACGGGTAATAATAGTGTCCGCCACTCGATGCTGTTTGGTGCCGGTGCTGCAGGAGAAGGCGTCAGTCCTGTCAGTCCACTTGGCAGTAGCCACGAGGTCGAAAGCAACAGACGATATAGCCGACCAATGGTGTACGACCAACGGCTGAACCCATCAGCACTATTCGCGAACGCTGAGGCGAATGGCAGCCGCGTATCAATACAAGACAACGCCGACTACAGTCGACCTTTGGGCGTCGCAAACCCAGATATGCGAGGGAGCTTCGACTCCCGTATCAGCCGTGCATGATTCAAGTCACGCCAACACCTTTCTTTCCGAATACACTCATGAATTGTTGGCCTGGATTGTTGTTACATTGGCGTTTTATCGATGGGCTGTGAGAGAAAAGATACCCAGCATTGGAGCGTTCACGCGAGCTACGAAGGTCTTGTGGTATATATCACTATCATTTATGGCAATGGGTCGGCTTTAGTCACCATTATGAATGAAGTGCGAGAGATGTGGTATGTTGTAGATGTCCAGGGCGGCTCGCTATGCAGTAATGGGATGCGCGAGGTACGCAAGATACAGACGTACATAATGATGTAAAGATCTTGTCGCACTGAGTGAATATACTGTTTGCCATACCCAGTCGTACATGCATCTCCATGCAATGATGCACACGTTGTCTCGTGATCGCGCGTTCAACGCTAGCCACTTGCGCGCTAAATTACGATCATGCACTTTCTGATATCTTATATCTCGAAAATAAACCATCGCCGAGACCATGGACGAAACAATGTCTATCAAGCATCTACCTCTGACTCTCATCGTCGCGGCCACGCCCAAGCATGGCATCGGCAAGAATGGCGTTTTACCATGGCCGATGCTGAAGAAGGAAATGGCTTACTTCGCACGCGTCACAAAACGTGTACCCATGCCCAAGGACACTGGATCTGTCCAGTCTGATGCCTGGAAACAGGCAAATCTGGAAGGTATGCGACAGAATGCTGTCATCATGGGACGAAAGACGTGGGAGAGTATTCCACCTAAATTTCGGCCGCTCAAGGACAGGACGAATGTGGTTGTTTCTTCGCAAGACCGGACGAAGCTGCAGGGTGTCACTGACGACGTTGTCGTGGCGAGAAGTATTGAGAAGGGCCTCGAGGCTCTTGGAGAGTGGGTGAGAGTGGGAAAGGGCAAGCCTGTGGGTAGAGCTTTTGTCATTGGAGGAGAGAGTATCTATCGTGCTGCGCTGGAGATGCAGCAGACGAAGGCTGTGCTACTGACGAGGATTCAGAAGGAGTATGAATGCGATACTTTCTTCCCAGATCTCTTGGAAGGTCCCGCGACTGCGTGGCAGAAAACTTCCAAGGCAGAATTGGAGGAATATGTTGGCGAAGAACTACCAGAACTCCCACTCATGGAGGCCGTCAATGGCGAAGAGATCTCTTACGAACTCCAGCTTCTCGAGCGACCTTGACATTTTCGTCTGAGCGTGCCTCGCTTCGACCCGACCTCGGCGTGGAGAGCTTCAAGATTCCCGACGACCCCACAAAGTTCACCTGCAGCTCCGATGCAAAGCACATGTCAGACGCGAAACACAGTAAGAAACTATTACTTGCATTAATTGGCTTGCAATGGCTCAAAAGAGTCTTCAGGCTACATGGCTCGACTTTCCTCTCTCATCGGACAGACGCATCAGGATTCCAACTGGCTTGGGCGATTGACTCACACTGCCCGTAACGTTCCGAGGTAATAGCTCCGCTCGCCCAGGAACCAAGTCGAGTCGCGTCTTCTCAGGACCGGAAACCTTGAGCTCGGCATTGCTATGCTATGCTACGTAATAAGTCTTCACGAGCTGCCTCGGATCGATTTTTGTGTTTGACAATGCTCTGGACGAGTTCTTGAAACCCTCGACATCTTTCTTCAACACCACTACGACTGCGAGCGAGCTTCCAACTGACTGTCGAAACCACAAAAACCTTATACGAATCAGTTGCGAGCATACTGCAGAGCGATCGAATCTTCTATCTTCTAGCCAACTCCGAAGTAGGTCGCGTGCACGCTTAGAATCAAGGCTGGGTGGCCTTTGAGTCAAACATGTCGGCGAAGAGTACTTCAGGACCAGGCGGGAAGAAGCCTACTTCCGTAGCAACGAATCTGATAGGCAAGCACGTTGTGAGCTCTTGACAGTTCGCCATCTAACAGTTTGTAGCTGGTGGCGGGGCTGGAGCAATGGAGGCTTTGGCATGCCATCCTCTTGACACAATCAAGGTCCGCATGCAACTTTCGAGAAGAAATCGAGCTGGCGGGAAGCGACGTGGATTCCTCAAGACTGGCATGGAAATTGCAAAGAAAGAGACACCTCTTGGTCTTTACAAAGGTCTGGGTGCGGTTTTGACAGGCATCGTGCCGAAGATGGCGTGTCGATTCACATCTTATGAGTATTACAAGCAGATGTTGAGCAAGGATGGCAAGGTCTCCACGAGTGCAAACTTCTGGGCAGGTCTCTTGGCTGGTGTGTCAGAAGCTGTGCTTGTTGTCTGTCCTATGGAGGTGGTAAAGATCAGGCTTCAGGCGCAACATCATAGTATGGCCGATCCTCTGGACATACCAAAATACCGTAATGCCGCACACGCGCTGTTCACGGTGGTCAGAGAAGAAGGCTTCAGCGCTCTATATCGTGGTGTGTCTCTCACAGCATTGAGGCAAGGCACAAACCAAGCTGCAAATTTCACTGCATACACGGAATTGAAAGCTTGGCTCCAGTCAAGAAATCCAGATCCAACTGCACAGCTACCTGGTTGGCAGACTGCCGGCATCGGTCTCATCTCGGGAGCTGTTGGACCTTTCACGAACGCGCCCATCGATACGATCAAGACCCGACTACAACGGCAGCCCGCCGAGCCTGGTCAAACGGCAATGGGCAGGATCACGGCGATCGCCAACCAGATGCTGAAGCAAGAGGGTCCCCGAGCTTTCTGGATGGGTATCACACCTAGGGTAATGCGAGTTGCGCCAGGACAAGCTGTAACATTTGCGGTGTATGAGTACCTGAAAGACAAGCTCGAGAAGTCACGAGAGATGATACCTGGGGGACAGTACGAGGAGTAAGAGGAGAAAATGTCGACACTAGCCGGGCGCATGACACTCTCGATGACTGTTATAGACATACCACACAACTAGGACGGGTTATGGGTGTTCAAAATAGTTGGATCGAGTCCAGATGAATGTATCAGCAGTGCAGACGACCGAACCTCGGACAAATTCGCCGCGGTAGAGCTCCAGATCAGGCAGGTCGTCAACATTGGATCCTGACCTTCAGTACCTACCCCTCCCATCTTATCTGCTATCTTGTCTTTCCGATTTAGACAATTGCTACGAGGTGCCCTTTCTGTCAGCGACATGTATACTACACAGTGTCAAAGGTAATGCTAGGCGCTTTCTCTGTTCGACCTCAGACATTTTCCTATCGCTCATTGCCTCTCTGCCTTACATTGCACATTGACACTACAGCTGCTGCATATGAATCATGGCTACCAATGGCGAGACGAAGCACGAGCATGCTGTCATAGGCACAGAGAAGAACTTCTGGCGATACTCATCGCGGACAGGCTTTGATCTCACGCGTAACAAAGACTCCCAAGGATCACCTCCATCATCGAATGTCACCGTTGAGACCAAAACAACGCCGATCACGGTCGACCCTGCAAAGTCTGCCCTTGTGATCATCGACATGCAGAACTTCTTCTTGAGTGAGGCGTTCGGACGGAAGAAAGGTGGCGGCCATGCCGCTCTTGAGCAGCTCGTTGAGCATGCCGTACCTGCGGCCAGGAAAGCCGGCATTAGAGTCATATGGCTGAACTGGGGGCTGACAGACGCAGAGGTAAGACTACGAATATCTACCATGATCATGAGCTCGCGCTGACGAGCCCTCTTTGCAGATCTCGGCCATGCCACCTGCTGTGACACGATCGTTCGGCTTTGACATGCTGAACGATGAGGAGGGAAAGATCGATGGCAACACCTTCGAGGCGAAGACGATTGGCTCGGCTGCTAACAAGCACGGTAACACGACGTTACCTGGAGACTCCTCAAAGAGTCAAAGATACTACAAAGGCCTCGGAAGTGAATGTGGAATTGTGGAGGATCCATCGACTGGAAAGGAAATTGATGCTGGACGACTGCTCATGCGGGATGCGTGGAACAGTGCGCTGTATCCACCTCTAGACAAGGCGTACAAAGAAGGCACGCAAATAGAGCTCCGGCCAGACGTTTGGATCCACAAGAACAGAATGTCAGGAATGTGGGGTGCGAAGACGGAGTGCGAGGACTTTCTGGAGAAGGAGGGCATCAATACTCTGTTCTTCACAGGCGTGAACACAGATCAGTGTGTCGGAGGAACGTTGACGGACAGCTTCTCGAAAGGTTATGATTGCATACTGCTGAACGACGGTGCGGCTACCTCGAGCCCGGATTACGCACAGCAATGCTTCGAGTTCAATGCGGCAAATACTTTTGGCTTCGCGACCACATGCAAAGCTCTTGCAGATGGTGTCGGGAAGATGGGCTCGTGAATGAACAGCATGTGAATAGCGGCGGGTAAAGCTGGCCTGCATGGAAGGTAAAGCTGGTCTGCATGGATCCTTGTCACGTTACACAAAACCTTTTTATGCTTATACTAGCTCTCAGCCACTTCAATGTCAATGGACCTGTCACTTCGACTGCACTGTTGTCTCACTACTAACTTTCGAGGCTAAATCGCATCGCTATACAACATGATTAGGAACAACAACAGTGGCTTGAAGCGCAAGAGACAGTCTGCGACTCCGACCTTTGACAACACTGGCTCAAACGCAATTGATCTGACAGAAGATGATGCGACGCCCGTCGCGGATACGTCGATGCCGTTAAGCACATTCCGTCGCCATGAAAGTCCATTGGTCCTTCACAGTTCGCAGGTCGGCTCCCGCACTCTTTCACTCAACAGCAACACTACGCAAGTCTCTTCTCAACACAGTGAGAAGCAGCATCAAGGGCTTGGCGCTTTCTCCAATCATAGCGAGACATACGACAAACATCTTTCAACCTCGGACACGATATCTGAGGACCACTACGACTCTGCAACAGCAGCGATTGAAGACCAACGATCCGCACGTAGGGAACGTGAAAGCAACGGCGCGTACAGGTTTGACAGTGACAAACAGTCACTACCTGCGGAGCAAGCATTGTCTATAACAAGCATGAACCAGGCCAACCACACCGTTACCGTATCTCTTCCGGCATCGCCGCCCGTCATGAGTCGCTTGGAGCGCAGACTTCAACAAACCATGTCGCCTGCCCTAACATCGAACAATCCCGTGGCAAACCGGACCATAGACCCTCCAACCCGGACGGATACCCCTGTGCTCGACGTGGACACGGACATGATCGACGTAGCACCACAACGAACACAACCTGAACAGAACAGCCAGCTCTGCAACATCCCAGAACTAGCCTCGCCCTACATTCCACATACCTCCATGCGGAAGGCCGTCGAATACAGCAATCCCCAAAAGTTCAGCCTCAAACCACCTTTCTGGAACCGGTGGTCTACGAAACAGTACTCCGAGTTCGCCGAGGACCTTAGGGAGCAGTTCGACCCCATTCGTTACGCGCAGAAACTTAACGTCCCGGTTGAAGAAATGCAGCATATGTTTACCTCTCTCGTTACTCGACCATTGCATCATGCTGCCGAGGCAGCGAGAAGAGGCGAGGAAGGCATGCAGGAGATTATGGACTTGTCCAATAAGTTCGGTGGTCGTAATAGACGGTGGGGTCGTGGTGGCGAGGGCCCAGGTGATGAGCCAGTCTACGGCGAACTAGCCGGAATTGAGAAGCAGACCGTTATCCTCACAACAGAAATCGGATGGAAGCGTAAACTTCGCCTCGGCCAGCTGTCAGGTATCGATGTCAAGTTCCTTCAATCCCAGCTGCTAGAGCAGGACAAACCGCTGTTCTGGCACGGCGAAGCAGAAACCGAGACCGATCTTGAGCGTCTGAACGAGAAGTATGGAAGTCGCATTCGGCACTGGGGAGCACGGAACAAGGATGGTAAAAGGCTTTTTGGTGCTATGGCTGGGATAGAGCGAGGTGTGATTCTGGTACAGACCAAGTCGACCACGTCTAAAGGGCGGTATCGATTCAAGCTCGAGGAATTCGTAGAAGCTGATGATCGGTGTCTTGAAGGTTGGCTTTCGATGGCGGAGCAGAGGGTGCTGAGGGCGGAGGAGGACGAGGAGGACGAGTAGAATCGTGGAAAGTGAAAGGGTTCTTGGGTTGCTGATGCCACATACAAAGCTTGGTAGCACAGCATGGTAGCCTGATGTATCCAGACAACGTGCAAGCGCTGTATCACTCAAGCATCCGTACAGCATCTCGCTCGTGACCTTCTTCATGCTGGACAGGGCTCGGAGACGGTGCTCGGTGGGAAACTGGAGTATGTCTTCGTGATCGACCGTAAGAGAAGGTACTGCAGGCTTTTGCAACCACCAATCGCTACGACGCGAAGCCAGAGATACGACCGTGGCGATGCGTCTGCTGACTCTTTTTCCACTCGATCCTCATGCCAGAGAGACGCCAGTAGACAGTAAGAAGCGACTCCGCGAGTCATGTCACATATTGCAGCCATGCTGCTGATTGTTTGCGTCATGAGTTCATCTTGCTAATTAGCTAAACCAAACACTTCCATTCGCCGTAGCATAACACAGTCTGTCGTAACACCCCACCAGCCAACGAAGGGTCTCCTCGTGCAAGCACCTAAGCATAAACCGGAATCTCCGTCGCAGCACCGGGAGCCACCCCAACTCTCTCCTTCGCCAACAAATCTACCAACAAAGGGCTTGGCCTCATCTCCTTGTTACCTGGCTTCAACCTATCCTGTTCGGCCTTGTAGGTCTTGACACTGTTCAAGTATGCATCAAACAGATACGAAGAATCCAATGGGCCTCCTTTGGCCTCGGGGTGGAACTGCGTGCCGAATATGGGACGAGTCTTGTGGATGATTCCTTCGTTTGAGTCGTCGTTGAGGTTCACGAAGTACTCCTTGAAGTCTGATGGGAGAGTCGACACATCGACAGCGTATCCGTGGTTCTGAGACGTAATGTGGCACTTACCAGTCGTCTTGTCCAGAGCGGGAATGTTGTGAGCACGGTTTCCATACTTCATCTTCTCGGTCTTGCCGCCGGCCGCGATAGCGAGGAGCTGGTGGCCGAGACAAATGCCCATGATCGGGACATTCGTAGTATCCATGAGCAGACGAAGATTGTCGGATGTCTGACGGCAGTGAGTTGGGTCACCAGGGCCGTTGGAGATGAAGACGCCATCGAAGTGGCGAGCCAACTTGTGGATAGGGTAGTTCCAGGGCAGGACGGTAACGGAAGCGCCTCGAGAGACGATCGAGCGGATGATGTTCTCCTTGACGCCGCAGTCGATGAGTGCAATGTGGGCGTCGCCGACTGGAGACGGGACGTGGAAGGGTTGCTTGGTAGACACGCGAGCCACCAGGTTGATCTGACCTGGGTCTTCATATGCCTCGTCTTCGTCTGCATCGTATTCCTCTCCAATTGTAATGCGACCAAGCGAAGACCCCTGCTCTCGTAGGTGCGTGACAATAGCACGCGTATCCACACCAGTAATCGCTGGCACCTTCTCCCTGGCACACCACTCCGCCAAGCTTTCCACAGCGGTCCAGTGCGAGTACTGTAAAGCCACATCTGCGACCACAATACCGCAAGCCTGGATGTTCGGGCTCTCGAAGTACTTCAGCAATCCAAACTCGTCTCGTGCAGCAGACGGTACGCCGTAGTTGCCGATCAATGGCTGGGTGAAGACCAGGATCTGTCCGCGGTACGATGGGTCGGTCATAGACTCTGGATAGCCTACGAGCGACGTCGTGAAGACGGCCTCGCCGCTAATGTTCCTCTTCGCACCGAAGCTCTTGCCGTGGAAGATGGGTCCATCACGGATGGTGAAGGTGGCACGTTCGAAGGAGGGTTTGGTGGAGGTCGTTGGCTTTGGTGTGATGGAACGGACCGCACTGTCGACTACTGTGGCCTTGCACCTGATCTGGAGGGCAGGCCTGATAGTCCTGCTTGTGAAGGCGGTATTGAGGTGGAGGGCATTAGCCTTGGACATCCGGCTGAAGGCGATGCTCGCCATATTGTATTATTTGCTCCTGGGTAGATAAGAGCTCTCTTCAATTCACGTTGGCTTTCCAGAGATGGTCTGAAATGTAGTCTGTAGCGGACACATGATTAGCATACCGTCCTGAGAAGGATTGTACAGCCTCCACCCCGTAGCATAGCACCATGTGTCAAACAATCGCCGTTGTTATCTTTGCGGTGAGGGAGGATGGTGCGTCATACCTTGCGAGGTGAAAGTGGTTGGCGCAGTCATCTAGACGAGGGACATCCGAACAGAGTTGTGATGTGAGATGGACAGGATTTACAACCAGCAGAAGTCGTAGTTGAGGCTCGAAGATGTATTTGTCGTGGTGGGGGAGTAGATAATTAGTAGCACAATGGCACGACGAGGAGGATGATAAGAATTAAGCTCTTGTGCACAGACTTTTCTGACGCTAGTTCCAATTCAATCCGCGATGCCGGCCGCTCTTATCGCTCAACCTCACTTCATTTCACCTTGCAAATGACTTTTCACGTGCCTCGCATGCCAGCAGCCATAATTTGGGCATCGCAGGCCAGTGCCGTGACTATGTGTATAGCAGACAGCACCACTGCTGATTCACGAAGATCAGCATGCTGAGACTGATCCCCGATAACATATTGCCAATTTGCGGGTCGCTTCTATGGCTGAAAGACGCATGATTTAGGCAAGGTAAGAAGCTGCACACAGTCCGCATGACAATGCCAGGCTACCGACCTATATGTCAAGCGATCGTCCGTTCAGCGGAACATGATCTTCTCCAGCGCCAAGCTGTAGCGCTCGCCAGCTGATGGAAAAACATGGCTCGAAGAGCAAAGGACATCGAAACAGACGTGAACATGATCTAGCTCTCCATTGACAGAGAGCTCGCAGTCAGCACGTGTTCATGAGAGAATCATTTTACACACCTGCAGCATGCCGCACCCCAGCCAACTCTGGACATGGCAGTACGGCGTCCTTTCACGCCTTCCACAGAGCAAGAATTGGGCAACGCTTCACCGTGCGCTCTCGCCTGGACACCCCTTTTCAAGCTCTAGAACTCGTAGTGGTAGGTCAGGGATTCGGACCCAACGCGGTTTGTGGAAACACCTACTCCCCAACGGCCAGGTGCATCTATGCGGCGCGGCGTATGGTAGCCTCCCGAGACGTAGTGCGATGTCTCGAGGTATTCCTATACGCTGAAAAGCGGTTGCTCTGAGGACCCGGGCCCTCTTGCTCTGTGGGTAGGCGTATAGGATGGAGGTCGAGGGTTGGAAGGCGTGTAATAATATGAACAACTGTCGACTTGTGCAGCAGAGGAGGTAACACTTCACCGTGCGCTCTCCATCCAGCACCATCTCCGTAGCCGGAAAGCTCTAACGAGGCTCCAGACACCAGTAACATGGCTGCAAGGGCATGCCCTCACACGTGGTTTAACGAGCACGGTCTAAGACCAGCTACGCACTCCCACGGCTCGACCACCCTTCTTCAGGGTCGCTAGAAGATAGCCCAAACCATGCTCGTATATGTCATGGAGGTATTCTCTAAAAGCTGAACAAGCGGTTGCACTGAAGACCTGGACCACATACTTGCAAGGAAGAAGAAGAATTGAGTGGGAGAGCGCGACCTTTTGTTTTGAATCGCGCGGGAGCGCGATGCGGCAAGGTGCGGTGCTTCCCGTGCAGACCCGCTCCTTACCGCAAACAAGGAAAGCACGATCTAGCCACCTAGCACGAAATTGTGCGAGGGAAATACAAGTCAACATGCATCGAGTCACACTGTAGGTGGCGCTCATCTCGGCAATATGGCACCTTCAGTGGCAGAAAAGACGCAGAAGAAACTGAAGCAACAACAAACCAAAGCGCCGACACAGTCAAAGCGTGCTCTTGCCAGGAAGAAGGCTCCCGTGGTGTCGAAGCCACACGAGCGGCAGAGGCAGAAAATCGTGGGTGACCTGCGACCCGTGGTACCATCTACACAATGTCTACTTACTGACACATAGCAGGCTCCATCACCACCGGCCGCAGCAAGTTCGAAGCCCTCTTCTGTACAGATCAAGAACGATCGATCTACTGTCAATGCCCCTGTAGATCTCCTAGACTGGAACTGTGACTAGTAGTCAGGGCTCTCTGCTAGAGATGCTGATATGAAAATCAGAAGCTCACGCCGAAGCCAAAGACCACGTCTGAGCCGGAGACCACGCCCGAGGTGGCCTCGAGTCCTGGGCTAGAAGTGAGCCATGAGCTCGAGACAAGTACTGAGCCGGAGTCCTCGCCTAGGCAGGATAAGGCCGAACTACGTCAAAGACTAACCGTTCAGCGACCTGGCAAGTTGGTAAGGGTCCCCGGCTTCTTTGCAAGTTTAGACCGCAACTGATGGCACGCAGGTGGCGAAGCAACCAAGAATCAACCCGGCTGTAAGTTGTCTCAAAAGACTATCGCGTGGCATTAGCTACCGAATGTAATGCCAATGGCGTCAAAGAAACCCACTGCATGGAGAAGCTAACACATAACAGCTCCTCCCAGCCCCCAAGCGTCCGGCTGGTAAGAAGACCAGCAAATTGTCCCTAATTCGTTCCCTCATTCACGACAACTTGTTTGGTGGGCTGGACGACGCCTCGTGGTCACCACATGCTCAACGCATGCTCAGGAGAGTCCGGAAGCGGGCGGTCGTAACCCCTTCCGAGACGCCAAGGCAGAAGAGGAAGACGTGGTTGTACCGTTGGCTGGCATCCAAGCAATTTTCACCAGCGAGACGGGCGGCGCAGGAGCGTGCGAACAGACGGCAGTTGCGCGACTTGAGGCAGCTGTGGAAGATCAAGATGGGATTGTTGTTGGCGCGGGCTTAGAATGGTGAGGCGGTTTCGAGCTTGGGGTGACGACGACATTGACGATAGCAACGATGTCTCACTGTGCCATGGGACTGCATTGGGAGGTATATGGCAAGGCGTTATGGTATCGACGATTAGGATACTCGGGATGTTAGCAGGCCTCGGTTTGATTGGTATAAGCGTCCCCTCATTAGCTCGCTTCAATGGCCACCTCCCACCCACATCCACAGTCTGATTCGAACCATCCCATGACCACCATATCATGCTAGGCTAATTTGATGCGCCGCCGCAAGATTTAAATAGCTTGCGAGAATTGGTCTGACCAGAGCGCTGTATGGTTCATACGTCTCCAGCCAGATCCTCCTGCGATAGTATTGCGGTGGAGAGAGCCGATCCTACGGCTCCCTTGACTCGGCCATTCAAGGTTCGGTGCGGGACTTGTCCAGATTGCATTACAGGAGCATGTGCACAAGTCCAGTGATAATGTTTGGAAGCATAGTATAGCAAGTCGTCGTCCACCTATCATGTCCCATCAGTTCCAGATGTCGTCGTGCCATGAGCTTGTTCGAACGCCGTTGGACTCTTCATCAGGCCCGCAGCTTGACAGAGCTGACGAGCAACTGTTGACTCTTTGCGGATCGTAGCGATTGCTAGGTCTCCGAGTAGTACTACGGCCAGCCCTTGAGCGACTAGGTATCCCATCATCCGCTGCGGTGGCGCAGGAGTCCGTTGTAGGCCAAGAAATGTCCTTCGTTGTCCGTGACATTTCAGAGTGTTGGCTCGTCTGATCGGACGGGTTGCCATACTTTCGACGTCCTGTAAGATGTGATGACGGGATGATCGCAGGTTGATGAATTATTGTAGGATACATGTAGTGGTCTTGGGGTTGAGACATTTGTAGTTCTAAGGGACCCACTTCTCCACACATGCGCCATCGGGCCCTGCAATGCACGTGGTCCAACGCGGAATAGCGCGGCATGGCAACATTGGCAGGAGCCTCGTCAGCCAGCTGCGCCAGCGTCTAAGGCAGTAAAGCTATTATTGAAAGACAGCAACGTTGAGCGTCTCTGGGTGGTCTGTAGAGAAGCGGAACAAATGCACGCATTCTGGCGAAAAGGACCAGTTTTGGAGTGAATTTCACCAAAGGCCAGTAACACCCAGCTCGTGCATAGTTCTAGACGGATAGAGAGGGAAAGAACATTCGAGCTTGCAGCGCGTTCGGCTCCGGAAGAGACTATTGCATTGTGGGACATATTGAGCATCGATGGTGGGACAGAGTGGGACATAGTAGGCGTTAGCCGACCCATCTCGCGTGGCCTGCCCATCATGGCGGGCAGGCCAAACACCCACGATGATCTCCTACATCTCAGCGACGACGATGACAATGAAGGGCCGACGTATCACTCAGGCCAAGCACCACCGATGAGCGACCAGGAGATGCTGCACACATACAACATCTCCAACTCGAGTGCGCCGCGTATCAGCACATCCCACGATGACTTCGTAGGCGCGCCGAGCACGAGCGGGCTACCTGGCGGGCCAGGTCATGCCTCGACTGCTTCCGGGAGTAATCTACAGCCTCCAATGTTAGGACAGACAGGAAGAAACTACTCGCAGACTTCAGACCTGGAGAACTACCAAAGATACTCAGATCTCGACAATGATGGCTATTCGGACTCTGCCTCTATGGCAGGAGGCTACGCAGCAGGTGGAGGTATCGACGAGGAGAACGTGCCAGGTCTGCCACTCAACAGGTCGCAAAGCAAGCATAGAAGTCGGAACAGTATTTTGAGCTTAGGCGGAGGCATCATGGGTCGAGCAAAGAACATGCTCGGTATGGGACCGGAATACTCGGAGATGGATCTGCCGCTCACTGAGCATGGTGCGCGAGCAGATCACGTGGCTAGGACGAGGACAGACAGTATGCCGGATGGCTCACCTCCATCACGGACTACACCTGGCGCAACCTTCAAATTCGGCCTGCCTTCGATAGGTAGACGAAAAGTCGATCCTAGTACCCTCGGCCCACGCATAATTCACCTCAACAATCCGCCTGCGAATCACGCGAACAAATATGTCGACAACCACGTGTCCACTACCAAGTACAATGTCGCCACGTTTTTACCTAAATTCCTTTACGAACAATTCAGCAAATCCGCCAACATCTTCTTCTTGTTCACCGCTATCCTGCAGCAGATTCCGAACATTAGTCCGACAAACCGATTTACTACTATTGTGCCTCTGGGTATAGTGTTGCTCGTCTCGGCGGGAAAGGAACTGGTTGAAGACAATCGAAGAAAGAGCCAAGATCGACAGCTAAATCGCTCGGCTGCGAGAGTACTCCGAGGTACCCGATTTGAAGATGTGCGGTGGATTGACGTTCAGGTTGGCGATGTCGTTCGTGTGCAGAGCGAGGAGCCATTCCCGGCCGATCTTGTGCTCCTTGCTTCTTCCGAGCCGGAAGGACTATGTTATATCGAGACGGCGAACCTGGACGGCGAGACGAATCTGAAGATAAAGCAGGCCATACCCGAAACATCCACCCTCGTCTCCTCAGCCGAAGTCGCGCGACTGGGAGGCAGAATCCGAAGCGAACAACCAAATAGCAGTCTCTACACCTACGAAGCAACCCTAACCATGCAAGCCGGCGGTGGCGAGAAAGAACTCCCTCTCGCACCCGACCAACTCCTCCTCCGCGGCGCCACCCTTCGGAACACTCCCTGGGTCCATGGCTTAGTAGTTTTCACCGGCCACGAAACCAAACTCATGCGCAACGCTAGCGCGACCCCGATCAAACGCACGAACGTCGAGAAGCGAGTCAATATCCAGATCCTCATGCTCGGCGCCGTCCTCATCGCCCTCTCCATCATAAGCAGTATAGGCGACATCGTCGTCCGCGTCACTATCGGCTCCAAACTCTGGTTCCTTGACTATGACGGCATCAATGTCGCAGGACAATTCTTTGGCGACGTCTTTACGTACTGGATCTTGTATTCCAATTTGGTGCCTATCTCGCTGTTCGTGACGGTGGAGATCATCAAGTACTATCAGGCCTTTCTGATATCCTCAGATCTGGATATTTACCACGCCGAGACTGATACGCCGGCGAACTGTCGGACGTCCAGTTTGGTGGAGGAGTTGGGGCAGGTGGAGTACGTGTTCTCGGATAAGACGGGCACGTTGACTTGTAACATGATGGAGTTTCGGCAGTGTTCGATTGCTGGGATGCAGTATGCGGATGATGTGCCGGAGGATCGCAGAGTAGTGGATGGGGATGAGTCCGGGGCCGGGGTGTATGATTTCAGGGCGCTGGAGAGGCATCGGTTGCAGGGGCATAACGGGGAGCAGATTCGGGAGTTTCTGAGATTGCTGTCGACCTGTCATACGGTCATCCCGGAGATGAATGCGGAGAAGCCGGGGATCATAAAGTATCAGTCTGCGTCGCCTGACGAGGGCGCGCTTGTGGATGGTGCTGTCACGTTGGGCTTCAAGTTTGTGGCTAGACAGCCAAAAGCGGTCACGATTGTGGTTGATGGGCAGCATGAGGAGAGGTATGAGCTTCTCGCCGTCTGCGAGTTTAACAGTACGAGGAAGAGGATGAGTTGTATCTACCGCTGCCCTGATGGCAAGATACGATGCTACTGTAAAGGTGCCGATACTGTCATTCTTGAGCGGCTTGCGATCCGGGATGAGATTGTGGAGAAGACGCTGTTGCATCTAGAGGAGTATGCATCAGAAGGTCTCCGCACGCTTTGTCTAGCCATGCGCGAAGTGCCTGAAGCAGAGTTCAGGGAGTGGCAAGATGTGTACAACACAGCCATCACTACAGTCTCCGGCAACAGAGCGGACGAGCTAGACAAAGCAGCCGAACTCATCGAACACGACCTCACCCTCCTAGGAGCCACAGCCATCGAAGACAAACTCCAAGACGGCGTCCCAGACACCATCCACACCCTCCAAACCGCCGGCATCAAAGTCTGGGTCCTCACCGGCGACCGACAAGAAACCGCCATCAACATCGGCATGTCCTGCAAACTCATCAGCGAAGACATGACCCTCCTCATCGTCAACGAAGACTCCGCTGCCGCGACCCGCTCCAACATCCAAAAGAAACTCGATGCCATCCGCTCCCAAAACGCCGGCAACCTCGAAATGGAAACCCTCGCCCTCGTCATCGACGGCAAATCCCTGACCTTCGCCTTAGAAAAAGATCTGGAGAAATTATTCCTCGACCTCGCAGTAGCCTGCAAAGCAGTAATCTGCTGCCGCGTCTCGCCGCTCCAAAAAGCCCTCGTAGTGAAACTGGTCAAACGCCACCTCAAAGCCATCCTCCTCGCCATCGGCGACGGCGCAAACGACGTCTCCATGATCCAAGCCGCCCACATCGGTATCGGCATCTCCGGCGTCGAAGGCCTGCAAGCCGCCCGCAGCGCCGACGTCTCGATCGCCCAATTCCGATTCCTGCGCAAGCTCCTCCTGGTCCATGGAGCGTGGTCCTATCAGCGAATCAGCAAGGTGATTCTATACTTCTATTATAAGAACACGGCGCTATTCATCACGCAGTTCTGGTATTCATTCCAGAATGCCTTCTCGGGGCAGGTGATTTACGAGTCCTGGACGTTGTCGTTTTTTAACGTCATCTTCACTGTGATGCCGCCTTTTGTCCTCGGGATCTTCGATCAGTTCGTTAATGCCCGGCTTTTGGATCGGTATCCGCAGCTCTATCAGCTCAGTCAGAAAGGGGTGTTTTTCCGGACGCATAGTTTTTGGTCGTGGGTCGGGAATGGCTTTTACCATTCGCTGTTGCTGTACTTCGTTTCGGAGTTGATCTGGTGGGATGATGGGGTGTTGCCTTCGGGGGAGATTGCTGGGCATTGGGTTTGGGGCACGGCGTTATACACAGCTGCGCTCGTCACCGTTCTCGGAAAAGCGGCGCTCATCACCAATATCTGGACAAAGTACACCGTCATCGCCATTCCTGGGAGTCTACTCATCTGGTTCATTTTCCTGCCCGTCTACGCTATCGTGGCGCCTAAGCTCGGTTTCTCGAAGGAGTACACGAACATTCTGCCCGTGGTGCTGAGTTCTCCGAAATTCTGGCTCATGATGATCGTGCTTCCAGCATTGTGTCTGGCGAGAGATTTTGCGTGGAAGTATGCCAAACGGATGTATTTCCCGCAGAGTTATCATCATGTGCAGGAGATCCAGAAGTATAATATTCAGGATTATCGGCCGAGGTATGTCGAAGCATTGCAGCTCATGGCAATGAAATGTGCTAATCTTTTCTGTGTAGGATGGAACAGTTCCAGAAAGCGATCAGGAAGGTACGACAAGTGCAGCGGATGCGTAAACAGCGCGGGTATGCTTTTTCGCAGACGGACGAGTCGCAGGCCCGTGTGCTGCAGGCTTATGATACCACTCGTGAAAGAGGGAGGTATGGTGAGATGGCTAGTAGTCGGCGTTAGCTCCGCAAGTCTACAGCTCCTCGGGTTTGGCAAGGTGTTTTGGAGTTCTTGGCAAGGCTATCTTTGCCGTATGTATGGTAGTGCTATCTTGTGTGCAGGCTATGTACGAGGACATGGAGGAGCTTCAATGGGCCGCCTTAGGCTTGCGCAATGCGTCGATTCTCGCAGTTGACGATGTTGTCATGGTAGCGGGCTTTGAAGGTGCCGTAATAATGTAGAATGTGTTGTGAGAGGCAGGAAGACGCGAGGGAGGTGTTCCAGACCGCCGCAACTCAAGGCTATTGGAGACGATACCCGATGTAATGATGCCCTACATACCGCGTCTACTCGACTTCGCACCGCACCATTCAATCATAGGAAAGGCAACGGGGTAGCTTAAAATTGTGCAGTCGCATCGGGGTCCTGATTTGCTCTCGCGTCTAAGTAGTCTTCACAAGGCAGAGCTCAACAATTCCGGTCCTGCATGCCAATGTCGAGATCTCCAGGTCTACTCTCGTGCACCCAAGTTGCATGAGTTGTCCTCTTCTTCTGTCATTTATTGTTGGGGATACTAGCTTCTCTCTACGCAGTGCGGTGGTCCTTGGTGGTAATTGTCAATTTACGCAGCATGACGACGCAGTGTGCAGCGCTAATGACGGTTGTAGTGATTATCACGGGCGGTATAGGAAACCGGGTTGTACTCACCACAAGCGAGAGCGCCCTCCTTGGACGCAGAGTAGTCGTGAGCATAGCTTCCAAGGTAGGCCGGTCTGTAAAGAGGAGGCACAGCATCAAGCCGACGCGATACATCGGCGTGACCCAAGTCTGTTCATGCTTCTTATCCTCGAATTTCCTCGGCACTGTGTTCGAACGTTTCGTAAGCATTGTTCATCCATCTACAGCTTTTCCAGCAACGTCCGTTTCCGCCTATCAAGCAACTCTGCCTCGACCTCCTCAGCCGTAGGAAGTTTCCACACCACTCCATCCCCCACATCACCAGGCAAAGGCTCCCACGTCTCCTCCACCTTCTCATCCTCACCCATCAACATCTCATACGCCTCCCTCTCCTTCTCAACCTCATAAGCAAGTAGGCTGCCATCCTGCTCATCAACATTATACCCATAATACCCCGCATCGACTCTCATGCTTAGTTGCTGCCGCGACTCCTTCTTCCTCTCATCGTCAGGTTTCCGCGTCGCAGCCTCAAACAATTCCTTCACACCAGGTAACTCTCTCGCCCGCCCAAAATATCTGTACCCCTTCCCACCCCCCTCAATCACCCTCCCCTCATCATCCGTCACTCGTCCACCACCACGCATATAATTCGGCCCTCCCAGTTCCTTTATTCGTACTTCCCACTGCCATTTCTCCTTGAATAATCGATTGAGCTCATCGTTCACATCTCGGATCTGGTAATCACTGAGCGCGGGATCTTGGATCTTGGTGAGTTTCCGTGAGACCTCCTTGAGCACTTGACCACGCCATCGTTCACAGGTGGGGATATGTTCTTGGACACTGATCGCTTTTGGGCGGCGGGTCTTGTTGATGTCGAGGATGCCGAGGTCGGATGCTTGTTGGGCGCGGAAACGGAAGAGCATAGACTGCGCTTTCTCTGCGTTTCGGGCCATGGTGGGCGAAGTTGTGGTTGTTTGTATGTTTTAATCGTGGTTTGCATGGAATGCTCAATGTTCAAATACTGAACTGACTCGCGTGGACGAATGCCGTGCGCGACGGTCCGCTGCTGACACAGCTGGGATCACGTTTCGAGGCTGAAAGGCTAAATTTATACCACCTGCCGCGCTCGTCTCTCCCCCGCAGCATGAACTATATGTCTCCCCAGTGGTGCATACCCACCCTCAAGAGGACTCGACTCGTGGAGAACCACATGAACACTGACAGCACCTGGATCAAGCGCACTGTGGCGCTACACAGCAATCAGTGCCTTCCCAGCCCAAAGTTGTCTTACTGGCCATGATTCTCCTCACACAACTCGCTTACGCCTTTCATCTCAATCCGGACAATGCTGAAGAATCTTATGCATTTCACCACGCCGCTCCCGGAATCCTTTGGGCGATTGGGTTCTTGGCCATGCTTCGGGAGGAGCACAGAGTCAATACTGCGCCTTTGGCCAGTGTACGGCTTAGCTGTCAGCTGTCAGCTGGGAGCCAGTGGGCGATCTAGATGCCCGTATGGTATATGCTTTACTGCTTTGCTATCTGCAATCCTCTCGTTCTCACACGTCAAATCGTCTCGAACATCTCTTCCGGCTTTCGCGCTGCACACAATCTTGAAAGCTCTCCTGTCGTGCACGCTGCTAGATCCTGAACACCCACAAGCTCGATCCACAGTTTTGCGTTGACTGCGTGGTCTTGAACAGCCTCACCATCGAGTTCGCGAGCACGAAGTTGACCAGAAACGAGCATGTCGTCCACAACCCCATCCGCGACCACACTCTCCACTGCGACATCCACGTCAACAAGCTTCCTCACAACACCTCTACTCACTATCTTCACACCACCCGCGAGCTGTAATCCAAATTCAATTTCGACATGGAGTAGCTGTGCCTCAGCTTCAGGAACTTGGACTTGCGCGCCGCAGCTGGACGATAACTGCCTACCACTCCCGAGCTCGAAGTTGTCCACTGCGATATTCAGTCCAGGTGTATGTCCCATGAGCTACTATGCTGCAGGGTTCTCTGGACTTCCTGATGCGGCTACTACTGCTTGGTGTTGTCCTTCGTATGTACTGTCTGAGGTGAACTTGGCTCAGATTCCAAGCACTAACGAGGAATGATTTGCAGAGGCGCGATATACAATAGTGGAGCCTGCGCATCACGAATCACGGGCGCTTACGCCACCACCGCTATGTCGGAAGCTACAACCACGGCGAACAATCTAGTGCTTGCAACCGCAGACGCGGGAGTAGCAGTATTTATCGGTGTCTTCCCGACCATACAAGTCGCATGGGCAACCAGTGATCTGCCGCTTTTCACCCCGGCTTCTGCACCTATTCTAGCTAACGCGGGTGCTCAAAGTACAGCTTCTGCTTCGTCGTCTGCTACAGCATCAAGCAGAGTGCATGCGCACAGCTCAGCCATCTCAACGGCCGCACAAGCAGGAATAGGTATCGGAACCGCAGTCTTCGCCCTTGTACTCCTCGTCATAGGTGGACTCCTACTATGGCGAAGACGAAGGAGGCACATCGCCACGACAAAAGGGCATGGCTCCCCCGCCGAAATGCCGGGACATGAGATGGATCTCAAGCGTTCACGTTTCCGATACGCCGAGCTTGGGCATGAAGGCGTGGTTAGCGAGTTGGCGGTAGACAACAAGTCGCCGGCTGTGAATCATGGGCGGCAAAGCGTGTGGCATGAGATGGAGGGCGATTTCACGCCTGTAGAGGTTAGGGGGCATGCGCCATCGATTGGGGTCAGGTTTCCGAAGGTGGATGAAAAGGATGGGGTGGAGAGTTGAGGTCACGAGAGATTTGGTATGATGAGATAGGAACTCCTGTGTAGTCCTCAGTATGATGAGCTGATTGCAGCGTGTACTGCACTTGGGACGTGTGCCAATTGTCGTCCGCGTGCTATGCCAAAGGGTAGCAGCCGTAAGCGTTGGTGCTGCCCACCTTTTACCAGATATCTGACACGTGCCTTGATGTGCCTCACTCCTCCGTCAGGACATTCTACTGCAAGACTTTTGTCGGCAGTGTTTTGCTATGGGTTGCCACAGTTAGACTTTCGGCTGCTCCCTCTAGCGGCAGTGCTTGCATTCACTTTCACATGCTTCATGCTCCTCTTACACTTTTCTGGCGCAAACGACAAAGAAGGCAGCAAACAACACTAGACCGTCTACTGCGTTGAGGGAGTAAGAGATACCACTGCTGGATGGCCACAATACACAACCCTCCATAACTCTCACACCACACACATCTCCACCACCATGGCCGATCCATTCGAAGTGCGCATGCGCTTCACCTCGCTCCTCCACCACCTCAACGCCAGCACCACCTCTGCCCTCAAAACCGCCTCCTACGCCACCAAATACGCCGAATACAGCGATGACCTGCACTCCTGCATCCTCGAGCAGCTAGAACGAAACAACATGAACAACCGCGCCAACATCATGTATTTCCTCCCCAGCCTATGCGACGTCGCGCGGGAGAGAGGGGAGGTGAGTTACGGCCGGATGATGGAGAGGGATATCTTGCGGATCGTGGATGCCGTGGCGCCGGATGATGGGAGTGGGGCGGCCAATGTCAAGGTGGTGAGGAAGGTTTTGGGGGTGTTGGAGGGCAAGGGGTTCTTGCAGGGGCAGACGGTCAGCGAGTTGGAGGAATTTTTGGCCGGGAGAGATTTGGTTGATGGTGGGCTTGGAGGGTCGCCGGGGCATGCGGTGGTGAATGGTCATGGTCATGGTGTAGGAGGGGGGAATGGAGTGATAACAGCAGATGCGACGGCCCAGAATTCCACCATCCGATCGACGCCGCAGTCGACGGCGAGGGATACGGGCGCTGCCGTGACCGCGTATAATATTACTCCGGCTGTACGGTTGGATAAGCGGCAGATCGAGCAGCGGATTGAAGAGGATCGGGAACGGCATAAGAGGGCGCGGGAGGGGTTGTGGGCGGTGCAGCAGGAGAGTACGGGGTTGAGGGAGGATGTGGAGTTTGAGAGGAGTTGGGAGGAGGGTGGGAGGGCGGATGAGGATGATTGGCAGGTTTGTGGGGAGGAGAGGGATGAGCGGCGGACGGGATTGGAGTTTGAGGAGGTGTAAGGCGTTTGGTTGGCTGGTGAGATGAGTGTTTTAAGCGAAGGCGCTGGAGGCGTAAACGTTATCTTATTTTGAAGGATGCTATTATTACTCGAGATACAGTGAGCTCATCGACTCATGGTCGCCTTCACTATGATGATCAACGGGCCAGCCTCATGACACATCTGCAAAGCTGACTTGCCGAAACCTGAGCCCCACCACGATCTCAACGATCAGAGTCACCCCAATCGTAGCTCACCAATAGCTACCTGCGTAGGCAATACTACGAAGACGACCCAGCATTACAAACAAAACTCAACGCCGCCGCCGCCGCCCCAACAACCTCACAGGTAGGCGGGAAAAGGATACACGCGATGATCTCCACAATGCCCACCGCCATCGCCGCCTTACACACATCATCGTCCCATGGATTATCCTTTCTATTCGGATCCATCTCGAACTTCAGCCGGACCCAGAGTTGAGCATCCACGCCTTGACTCCCTTCGACCTGATCATTGGACCAGAGCATCAGCCATTCGGCCGCCATCTTACATATGGGAAAATCGTCGAGATAGTGGAAGGAAGATCCTCGACCTATATTCTGAACGCCGCGTTTGAGGTTCGTGCAGAGCTGATCCGACTTTTCCGTCACGGTGACGTTGGCTATAGTTGCCCAAGCTCTAGCTAGGATCTCCAGGACTTCAGGGGAAGGGAAGAAAGTATTCCCGATGATCTCGGCCACGAGGTCCCCGGAGTAGAAGCGTGGATCGTCGAGTTCTTTCACGTAGGTTATACCTGGGATGGTCATGGCGGTTGGGCAGACGAGGGCGGTGCTCGGGGCGTTGCCGATCGGGGTTGTCATGGGGAGGGTGCAGGAGGTTACTATCATGTTGCTTAGGCTGGCGGAGAGGTCGGTGGAGGATAGGTTGCCGAGGTAGACGTTGGCGCCTGTGGCTTGTTGGACACTGAGGTGAGGGTGCGGGAGGTGGATGATCGAGGGGTTGAGGCACTGTGGGTTGCATTGGGCCATTAGCACGACCATGCAGATGAATTTCAAGCGCTTGCCAGGGAGACAACTCACGCGGACGTCACGCTCTCCTGGGATCTGCGTAGTGTATTGACATTTCCACACAGTTCCGTCGCTGGACTGCGTAAGCACGTACTGATCCATCCCATCCGGTGTCGTCGGGCCGTTCTCGAACTGAAATGTTGCGGGACAGGCAGCACCACTGAAGATGGGGTCGCTGCCACTGTAGAGTGGGCGGACCTGGGAATTATTGCATGTGCACCATACCTTCTCCATTGCCGTGGCCATTGACATCTCAGCTACATGGCACTCGAGGTTCGGCTGAAAGGAGTAGCTAGTTGCTGTTGGCGTTGGTGTCGGCCTGGGCGTGACAGCGCCGTAGTTGTTGTTATTTGCGTTGGCTTGCAAACCATTCCCCGGCATGGCATTCTTGTTAGCAGCAATCTGCTTGTAGTGCGACGGAGGCTTATGGTGCGAGTTGTCACCTTCATAGACTCGCTGCTCCTCCTCGCATCGCTCTCGATGTCTGCTGAGTATTGCAGAACATCTTTGATTGGCCGTGTAAGTCCCTTCGACCTGCGAGGGATACTGATTCTGCTGTTGGTTCACCTGCATCTGCTCTTGACTCTCCCTTCGTTGGTTCAATGGCAATTGCTCGCAGACCGTATAGCTGGTTGAACCAGTCTGTGTACTCAGCCGAGAGTCCAGTTGTACATCACCTTGCTCGTTGCCTTTGTCTTGATCATCTGTATAACCCTGACTATACTCACTCGTCTCACCGTGCACTTTTCCTTGGGCGTAATCATTGCTCTGACCATACTTGCTGACCTTATTATACTCATTACTCTCATCATAAGTACTGCCTTGGCCATACATATCACCGCTGACGCCCTTATAGGTCGGCACAAGTGGATTTGGCGTCCGCCGCGCGACTTTGGCTTCTGCAGGTGTAGGACACGGTCGAGCTGTTCGACTCGGCTCGTCGCGAGCGTGTCGGAAGTATCGGTGGCCGTCTTCTGTCGCCCTCCTTGCGACAGATGGAATCGAGAAAACGGCCAGAGATATCAGGATTGGCGACATCTTCATCTTGGCTTGGGTGATATGGTGACGATACGACTACTACAGCTGCAATCTTGCGCAAGACTCTGTAACGACTGTGTTCTTAACTCTAAATAAGCCCAGAAAGACCGACGATGAACGGATGTATGCGACGGTCTGGACATCTGCGGTAGCATGTGGCAAACGACCACATGGGCAGTCGATGATCAGGATAATAGGAATGCATGTGGTTTTGGAGCATAACAAATCGAGTATCACGATCTCAACTATACGGAATGTCTGGCCTAAGCCTCTAAACAGAGCACCGCTTCTCCTGAGAAGGATATCTGGCCAGAGGATGAATGCTTCCGATAGCTTCAAATGCATGAGCATCGCGAGGTGATGAGGTCGGCGCCTATGCGTCGACATTGATGGTCCTGTTCGAGCCTTGTCTCCAGGGCCGTCTCGACGATACCCAATTGTCATCTCGATAGATGGAGGGTTGTTTTTGACTTGGAGGATGTTAGCGGTCCGTGAAGGGAGTATCGCTTCCAGGTATCTGGACCACTGTGAACGTCGATATTTCAGTAGGGGCCCTCGGCTGATGGGGTCCGCTGCTCGCCATATTTGTGATCTTATGCTCTTCGGCCATTGCCCATTACTGAACGTTGAATAGTATCAGGAGATGAAACGCTCTTCCGATGTTTTGATCGAGCCGCTTGTCGCGTGGCTTGCCAAGGATCCGCGTTCAGGTCGACTTCACATCGGCAAGAGGCTGTCTTCGAACCACAACAACATCCTCCCTTTCTTTTCTTGTTGTCATCGCGATCGACCGTAGCTAGAGCCAAGCACTGCTGTGATACGCAGGATGGAGATGAGGCGCGACAGGCGCTGGTGCTGTCACGTGTGGCTTGGTATGAGCGATTTACTGGAAATGCCTCACGCCTTTTCCTGTTCAAGGAATGAGCAACACATATCGCCTGAAGTCCAAGCTCGAGCACGATCCGGCTCCGCCATCAGGGCTGCAAAGACGAATGTCACACGGAAGCAAGCACTCCAAATGGTAAGGTAGCACTCGTGGTTCACGTAATGGTGGCTACTCGCGTGGACGACGCGATGAAGTCGCGCATCCCAACGGGCTGGCGTAGCATTCAAATACCACAGGTAGCCGTAGAGATAAAAGGCTATCAGTACCTCAACTCCCTATCTCTTGCGCTCTGACTCGACATTGCTTCCTTGTCTACATTTGACACTACTCACGCAGGATGGGAACACCCACATATGCAGCTCCCAAAGAGCCGGACCTTAGTATGAGTGAGCTTGAGCGGCAGATGTTGCCTCGTGGCCGCATCACATACGCTCCCGAAACCGACTATGTTCGGTTAGGGTCTACTCGCCGCAACAAAAACCAATCCAGGTCGCTTTCACGGGACTCTATCTCGATCCATACAGCACGCCGGAGTATCGATCCTGCCATTGTCCTTCCACCAGCCTTTCGCACACTATCATTCGAGATCGAAGAAGGCAAAAGACAGGTAGCCCTCGAGGATGAAAAGAAGCGACGGGACCAGGCGGCTAGGAAGCCTGCGGAGATCGAGTTCGGCGAGATGGATCATCACATCCTGTCTGTGGCTAACCTCTTCTTGCGGCTCAACACTTCTCGTGGTACTGGCTTGACAGCTGCTCAGGCAGCGCAGCAGCTCAAGACTGTCGGCATGAATGTGCCATCCGCTCCGCCATCGCGGTGGTTCAAGAAAACATTCGTCTACCTCTATGGTGGATTCGGATCGATCCTGTTTATCGCCGCTATTCTGGTCTTTATCGCTTGGAAGCCGCTTGGCCAACCACCTGCGCCCGCCAACCTTGCTCTCGCCATCGTACTGGTCCTCGTCTGGGTTGCTCAAGCTGCGTTCACATTCTGGCAAGACTTCTCCAGCTCGCGTGTCATGGCCTCGATCACTGAGATGCTTCCAGACGAGTGCGTGGTCCTTCGCGACGGCTCACAGCAGCGCATTGATGGCAGAGAAATTGTCCCTGGAGACATACTTCGGATTACTCTTGGCAATCGCCTGCCAGCTGACGTCCGCTTCGTTGAGGTCTCCTCGGACGCTCGCTTTGACCGCTCGATCCTGACTGGTGAGACTGTACCTCTTCTCGCATCTGTCGAGAGCAGCGATTCCAACTACCTGGAGACGGCGTGTATCGGCATGGCGGGAACACACTGCGTATCTGGCAGCGGCTGGGGGCTGGTCCTGGAGACTGGAGATCAAACCGTGTTCGGCCGCATCGCAAAGCTCACCAACGCCCCGAAGCCTGGTCTCACCCCACTCCAGAAGGAGATCCTCTACTTCGTCTGCATCATCGTTGGCTTGATGTTGACGATGATTCTTGTGGTCATCATTGTTTGGGCAGCATGGCTACGCAAGACACATCCAGACTGGATCTCGGTGCCAAGCTTGATCGTGGATTGTGTGTCCGTCGCCGTAGCTTTTATCCCGGAGGGCCTGCCTATCGCTGTCACGGCGTCTCTGACCATAACGGCCAACATTATGAGACGCAACAAGGTCCTTTGCAAGAGCTTGAAGACCGTGGAGACGCTCGGTGCAGTCAATGTCATATGCAGTGACAAGACTGGCACACTAACCAGGAATATCATGGCCGTCACTGAATGTTTGGTCGGCAAAGAGTCGTTACCAGTCAACAAAGCTTCGAGCGCGTTCGAGAACCATGCTGGTTTGCAGAAGCTGGCAGCTGTGGCGTCCGTCTGCAATGATGCAGAGTTTGATGCCTCTACGTTGACGGCGCAGATTATAGATCGCAAAGTCAACGGCGACGCGACTGACTCTGCCATCCTACGTTTCGCGGAAGGCATGCACCCGGTACAACACACACGTGCTGCATGGCGATCACTGTTCAAGGTGGCTTTCAACAGTAAGAACAAGTTCGCCATTAACGTTGCTCAATCAGAGGCCCAAGTGACACCACTACTCACGATTAAGGGTGCGCCAGACATTCTGCTACCACGCTGCGGCTCGTACCTAAACACTGCTGGCTTTGTCGAGCGCCTGGAAGAGTCTGACCGCCTTGAGTTGGAAGCTATCAAGGATAAGTGGTCATCTCAGGCACGTCGTGTCATCTTACTTGCCCAAAAGCCACTAGAAGCACTTCAGTTCACACTCGACCAGCCGAGGGAGTACGAGCGTGAGGTTATGGCCAATGCTATGAATGAGCTGATCCTGGTCGGTCTTATCGCCATCGTCGATCCACCGAGACCTGAGATACCAGAAGTCGTACGCATCCTACGTGGTGCTGGGATACGCATCTTCATGGTGACAGGCGACTTCAAGCTCACAGCTGCCGCCATCGCTGCAGAATGTGGCATCATTACGCAAGAGAAGAGACACGTCCACGATGTGACCAACCTGGCCTTCGAAGATGAGTATCTGGAGAAGGCTGGCATAGAAGCGAGCCACTCCTTCGACTCTGAGCGTGTATACTCAATTGTGCTCAGTGGATCCGATATCGAGACTCTGGATGATCGCCAGTGGGATAGACTGTGCAAGTACCACGAAGTCGTCTTCGCTAGAACCACGCCAGAACACAAGTTGCGCATTGTGAAGGAGCTACAGAAGCGTGACCTTACTGTTGGCATGACCGGCGACGGCGTGAACGATGCACCCTCGCTCAAAGCCGCAGACGTTGGCATTGCAATGGGCGGTGGCTGTGATGTCGCTCTCGAGGCAGCCGACATGGTTCTGCTCGACTCGTTCGCTGCCGTGGTCGAGGCTGTCCGCTACGGTCGTGTCGTGTACGACAATCTCAAGAAGACGATCTGCTACCTCCTGCCCGCTGGCTCATTCTCCGAGTTCTGGCCAGTCATCACGAACGTCGTCTTCGGTCTACCTCAGATCCTGTCATCATTCTTGATGATAATCATTTGCTGTTTCACCGACTGTGCTGCTGCAACTGCTATAGCCTATGAGAAGCCAGAAGCGGATGTGCTCAACCGTCCGCCTCGCAATGCTAAGAAGGACCGGCTTGTGGATTGGAAGCTCATTCTGCAAGCATATGGCTTCATCGGGTTGTTCGAGACAACATCATCTTTCGCCATGAGCTACTGGTATGCCCAACGCAATGGTATTCCTTTCTCGATGCTCTGGTTTGGCTTCTCATCAGTGACGGACGAACAGCAGAATCTGCTCAACACAGCCAGCTCGGTCTACTTCGTCAATCTGGTCGTAATGCAATGGTTCGTGCTGTTCGCCATCAGGACACGACGACTATCCGTCCTCAAGCACAGCATCAATTGGTACCTCTTGCCAGCCATTATCTTCGCGCTACTGGTCGCGATCCTTTTCTTGTACCCGGCTAAGTTCCATGACGTGCTTGGCACGAGCACAGTGCCTGTGGAGCATTGGTTCCTGCCGATGGGCTTTGGCATGGGCTTGTTGCTGCTTGATGAGGTTCGGAAGGCGGTCGTGAGAAGATACCCGGAATGTATGCTGGCAAAAGTTGCATGGTAGAGGATGTGGAGACTATAGGTAGTATCTTCAAGAGGCCATGAGCAGAAGTATCGTTACGAATCTGATGATACTCTGCTAGGTATTGACTAGCAAATCGCACTCGATCAGCAAGCGGACGCTTGCGCGGTCAAATCGTAGCATCTTGAATTGGACGTTATTTACGTCCGTCTTGGGATAGCTCTCCTAGAGACTCACAGACCTGCAATCAGCAGCTGGCATGATTCGACTTTGTTCGAGAATCATTCCTGCTTAGGTAGTATCGTCCCAAGTTCCGTCACTTGCTCGACTCGGAATGGATCGACCGTAGCCTGTCTGAACTTTCTTGCCGACACTTTCTGCTCGAATAGTACATCAAGTTCGCCGAATGTTCGACCCTTTGGCTCTGGCAGCCTGAAGTAAGCCCATGTGAGACAGAGAAAAGAGGTCCCAGCCCAAAAGTAGCCTGCTCTGGCTTTTCAATTCCACGCACTGGGGTTGAGCATATAGGGCGCGATTACCCCGTTAATGATACCTTGACAGTTGTACAAGCTTCTGGCGAGCACGATTGTCTTGGTCCTAAGGCGACTAGAGGGAATCTCGGCGACGATTGAATACGCAACTGTTCCCACAGCTATATCGTAGCAGAGGGTGAACAGAAGCAGGAGGCTGCCGGTGCCGTAGGAAGCAGCTTTGGTGTGCGCAAGGCTAGTGAAGCCTATCATCATGAGGACGAAAAATTGTGCGAGAAGACCACCAAGAAAGATGGTTCGACGACCAGAATACGTCATTGCAAACCACGAGATCACCACTACGATCATAGCAACGGCATATAGCGTGATGGAGAAGTCGAACGATATGCTGCACATTTCGTCAGCGTATGATACCAGGGTCGACATCGGACGGGCGGAACCACCGCGAAGTAATACGTGATGCATTATGATGGTGGACTCACCTGGTAGGTAGCCCAGCTTGCTCGAAGAAGTATGCGGCGTAGCCTATCTGAGATGCTCCACTTGCAGCTTGGATGACCCATGTAATGCAGGTGATCTCAGTGCGTCTGAGGTTGGTGCCTTTGAAGCAACTCAGGTACGAGATACCAGAGTCAAGTTCTTTTTCGATTTCGTTTGTATGTCGCATCATCGATATGGTATCATCTAGCCCGGATTCAGTCTCGGTGGTGTTGAGTCTCTGCAACGACTTCTTGGCGTCCTCGTGGCGACCTTTGCGAACTAGCCACCTAACACTTGTTAGCACCGAATACGATGGTTGCTTATATCGACCGAGCGACCAGGGCGACTCGGGCGCGAAAGCTATGCCGACTATCAGAGGGACAGGCCACATCCATTGCAGCGCGAAGGGGATCCTGTAGGACCACTCGTCCGTCCTTCTCAACATCGCTCGTAAAACACCACTTCGGATGAGCTGACCGAGGCCCCACATCATGTTCACATACGTGGTGAGATATCTCCGAACCATCAGCACCCTGCTTTTCAGTATGTAGCATTATACGTACCCTCGAAGGGCAGTCGGGCAGACCTCGGCGGCATATGCCGTGGTCAGGCTGGAAAACATTAGCGTTTGTCATTTGTGCTACTTTATGCCGAAGAGGATACTCACGTCTGGAACACGCCCCAAGGCACACCCAACAACACTTCTGCGACCTGTATCGATAAGAATCACTCCACTGGAAGGCATTCCATGGTGGGATACTTTACCTCCAGTGTCTCAATGTTCTGTGCGAGAAATGGGACGAAAATCAAACCACAGAGCAAGATCAAGGTCCCAATCATGGTCCGCTTGAAACCGAACTTGTCGCAGATGATGCCGTTCAACAGCAAACCAAGGATCTCGCCTATACGGGCCCCATTACCTAGACCTGCTTGCCAAGGCGCAGGTATCTCCCACTTGCCATTCTTCTCGACTCCATACGTTTGTCGGAAAGTTGGGTAGGCGTAGAAAGCACCAATCAGAACAAGGTCGTAGCCCTCCATGGCCACTGCAGTCGAGAATAACATCGACCAGAAGACGGCTTGGGGTGGCTTTTGACGGCTTCGCGAACCGTCATGGCATGCTCAGACTGGGTCGCTGCTTTGGCCTCGTTGGCTAAATGGACGAACTTTGGATCATTCATGGCCAGTTCCGTCGCTACACTGCTTTGCAGTTCCGCGGCGCCCCCATGAGTATCGCCGGCCCCCAACGTGCCTGCAGAATGGCTTGTGTGGACCGCCATGGTCATGAAGTGGTGCGTGTATCAATCTGCTTAAGCGCAGGAAAGTGCAAAATCGGAAGTCGTGCTATGCATGGAAGAGTGTGAGATCTGCAGAGGGGACGTAGGCGGATGTCGTGCTCGAAGGATGCATGGTAGCACCCACCGTGAGATGTGCCGAAGGCTTACAAGTCAAGTCTCTATGCTAGCATGATAGGAACCTGAGATAAGACTGTGTTTCGACTCTATGATTTGAGTGGTACTCTGCATGTGAGTCGAATAGATGTAAGATTACGAAACGTTTCTACATTGAAGGTGCAGGAGCAAAGGAGGCACCGAACGAAACCCACTTTACTCGGGATATCCGTCCCGTTCCGCTTGTCACCTTTCTGTACTATCAAGTTGATCACTTCTACCAGCAACGATGCTCCCAACACAGACCGTGGACTTCTACCAAAAAGGTCATCATACCCGCTTGCATCAGCTGTTAGTCATCAGGCCTGCGGACATCAACGACTCTTCGCATTAGACAGCTTCCTTGCCGAGCCCAGGTTACCCCTGGACCACGGCATCGCAGCCATCTTAGAACTTGCTAATCGAGATATCTTCGGTTCCTTGTACATGGTAAAATCGCCTTTCCAGAGTGCGAGGGATTGTCGGACAACGTGACAATGGCGGAACAGATATTCACTAATGACGATCAAAATGTGGTTCGACGAAGCTACGGGACTGCAATTAGCCTTCGTCTCCTCGACCATTGCCGGTCTCATCCTCATCTCTGCGCAATAGACCTCGTTCGTCTTCCCGTCCCTGGCCCTCTTCTCGGAGTACTCCGACACCGCCACCTGTCCTGCCGATCTCTCCCTCATTTAGCACAAACCATAGATCCTTCTTCGTCAGCAAGCCAGACAACGCACCCTTCTCCGTGAAGATGACGTAGCGCAAGCCTAGCTTCTCGAACATGTCTTTCGTGAGGTGGAAGGTACTACGCGCCGAAAGCGTAATAGGTGTCTGGTCCATCCATGGTCGGAGGTCAAGCGTGACAGTTGGGTCCGCAAGAGGTCGGTGCTGGAAGAAGCACTCTGTAGTCGGTGGCATAGCGCGGGAATCTAGTACGGAATCTAGAGCGAAGGAGAGCTCAGTCCGGCTGATGTAGCCTAGTAAGATGCATTCGTGTAGATTGTTGATAACTGGGAAGCCACGAGAACGATGCTCTTTCAGCATGTCTTGCAGACTTTCGATTGTATGACCAGTTGCTGTTATGCATACAATATCTTCGTACCGTGTCATAATCTGACTGACTGGCACATCGGGCACTGGGGTATCGTCCTTGTTGTCGATGAACGGATAACCTTGAAACTGGATCCATGATTCGTAAATGCCGCGCTTGCCAAATGCATCACCCACCCATTTGCTAAGCATGACTGCTATCATGATAGGTAGGACGTAGGTTAAGGCGCCAGTAAGCTCAAACATGATGACCACTATGCTGACAGTCATGCGAGTTGTGCCAGCCAAAGCAGATGCGGCGCCAATGACGGCGTACGTACCTGGTGTGACACAAGGTATATCCGGCTCACAAGAGGCGAAAGCGATGAAGTTCGGATGCTCGCGTTGCCAGACCTCTACTATCAGTCCGACCACACGACCATACAAAGCTCCGACTGCCATGGACGGTAGGAGGATGCCAGCTGGTACTTGTAGGCCAAATGTGATGGTTGCCAGCACGAAGCCGATGAATGCCGAGAGCAGTAGTATGAAGATGACTCCCGTATTGGCTATGCCCGCCTTGCAAAGACCCAGATAATCGTCGTTGACGTCTCGGCATTCTGTGAAGAGGTATTCGACAAGTTCGCTAGATTGTGCGCGCAGAAACGTTACTGGGAAGCTAATCAGCGCCGTGACGAAAGCAACCACGACCACTTCGAGGACAGGGCGGTTCAGGAATGGATTCGAAGTTGAGGCGCGCCATCTCGCGATTCGCATGTTTAGCTTGATGAACATAGCGCCATACAGCCCGCCAATGATGCCGATCATCGAAAACGGCAGCAATTCGAATGCGTGCCAGCCGCTGTGGTATGTGACTTGGTAGAGGACAAGCTTGCCAGTCCGGAATGGGTCGAAAGCTTGCAAAGTGACCGCGGCGACCATAGCGCAGACGAACGATGCCCACATTGTCTTATCCGGGAAGTAATATGAAAGCTGCTCCAAGCTGAAGAGCACGCCACCAATGGGCGAGCCGAATGCCACAGATATGCCAGATGCTGCGGCGGCGGACAGTGTTTCTCTCTTTCGCGCTTCGTTGCCATTGATGCCGTGAAATAATTTCATGAAGAGGTTGGCGCAACAGCATGCGACATGCACAAGAGGTCCTTCTTTGCCTAGCCACATGCCTGATGCGACAGCTAGACACAATCCAAGGGATTTGACCACCAATGTCCAAACTCCTAGAAATCGTCGAATGACGAATCCTCCCAGCATCGTCTTGATTTCTGGTATACCGCTCTGCTTGGCGTATAGCGAGTATCTATTCACCAGCAAGCTCGCGCATGTCGCGAAGAACACAGACAAGAGCACAAACACAATGTACTCGATGATATAGCTCCCACCTTTGTTGTGCACACCAATCGATGAGCTCCACGTTCTCCAGTCGGCACACTCTGCAAAACTGCCTGTACCCCAGCAGCAGAATGGCCGACTGAGGTAGAACTTCCCGCCGCTTTCGACATTGCTGCACATGCCCTGCTTTAGATCGCCCATCCAATCGCTGGCGACATCAATACCTGCTGCTATCCCTCCCACTGATATACCAGTGGCAACCAGAATCCACCATACCTGACTTGCATCGGCCAGAAGTTTTAGCTGACCAAGAAGGCCTGGTGTATTGTCAGTAAGCTGCCGTAGTCGTGTGCGCTCTTTGTTGTACTCGTATATCCAGTCGATGGCTGTGAGGTTGTCGTAGCCTACTCTCCTCCCTGGGCCCTCCACGTACCAGTCCAGGCCTGCTGCGTCCTTGGCATCATGTCCTCCTATTGTTGGATCACTGGTGATGTTCAGATACGACAGGATGTTGTTAGTCGTAGGGTGAACTCGTCCAGTATGAGCTGCGTCCGACGGTACGGGCGTGGCATTGCGACTGCGGGAGAAAGGCGAGGGTAAGAAACGAGATGCGAAGGATGGTTGAGCGGCTTTGTTCTTGCGCTTGAACGAGACACTATAGCTGTCAGCATGTGAACCACACTCAGCCCCTCTCCCACGGCGAAGCATACCCTCCAGTCAATGTGTCGGTTTCGTGCAGTGGGTCATCCTCCAGCAGCTCGTCCGGCTGAATTTCGAATCCATCGTCGGAATCATCGTCGTGGTCGGGAGAAGTCCGGCTAGAGGAGGCTAGGGCGGGCGCGTGTCCGTCAAGGTGAGGCGACGAGCTCGACATAGGGTATGGCCAATCATCGAGACATCGTATTGTCGTTGTTCTATGATTTATTAGGCAGCCTAACGGGAGGTTCGACGCATGTGAACATGCTCGCTGACTAAGCGGCCTTATACAGACAAAGGAGGATCCCATGTGCACAACTCTGGATATCTCTGCACATCTACGCTCAGCCATATCGAACGCATATAGCCTACTGGTTGTGAATGCTGAAGGCTTTCTGCGTCGTCAAGGAGATGTCGGAGATACGACTGGACCTTTGGTATAGTACTGCCCTTTTGTACACCATATATGGATATCATACAGACACCTGTTCCGACCAGCTTTCATGCGTGCTTTATAACGCCAGCAAACGCCGCAGTAGCAAGACACCTACCTTCTACTCCATCTTGACAACAGCACCAAGTGCCTTCATAGTCTCAATCATCTTCTCCGCCTCCTCCTTCGGCACGCCCTCCTTCATGACCTTGGGAGCGCTCTCCACGAACTTCTTGCTATCCACCAAACTCAAACCTAGCATAGCCTTGACCTCCTTAATCACCTTCGGCTTCGATCCAGCCTCGAAAGATTCCAGCTTAAGGTTGAATAGTGTCTTCTCCTCCTTCGCAGGGGCTACCTCTTCCGGCTCCTCAACTGGTGCGGCTGCTGCTGGAGCACCGGCGGCGGCAAAGCCACCCACGGGCATATCGGGAATGTTCAGTCGTGACTGATAGCACATTAGAGTTATGATTGTTGGTCACGGACGGCGAGAGACTCCTGTACCTTCAAGCTCGAGACAAGATCGGCCGTCTCCAATAACGTCAATTGCCCTATTTGATCCACTATCGTAGCAATCTTAGGATTCGATGATGCTGCCGTAGCTTCTGTAGACTGCCATCGACTTATCACTTGCTTTCGTCTTCGAGTCGTCAAGGCTGCTGTGCATCGTGTCGTTGATTGGGTTGATCGAAGCGTTCGAGCGCATTGCCGCGCGGCATATCGGCAAGTAAGAGACATCTGTTGACAAGACTGTGATAATAGTAGATCGATGATACTTTTGGTGGTTGGTCTCGTGCCTCTTCCAATGCCAAACCGGCAGCATCCCCCTTGGGGTTAGCTCAATTCTGCTAAAACCAGTGCTTGGCGCTATCGAAGGAAATCTTTGCGGCCATTCATGTCTTTAATCGTCCAACATATCGCCTCTCTACATCTCGATATTGCGATGCTCGCACTAGATTCATACGAGTAACATGGAGTGCCATTGGGATACTGCGCTCTTGCAGCGAGTAGATGATCTCCCGCCGGAGCTTTTGCAAATCATACAACAAGGTAGCAACGAGCAATATCTGCAAGCCATTACCAAGGCGACCCTCGATCCACGATACACGACATTACTTCTCGCGCACTGTGAAAATATCTTTGCACATATCTGCTCGTCGCTCAGAACCTATGGCAGTCTTGCAGCAGCGGTTGCCGCATTGGGTCGTCTTGTGCCTTTCGCGCCATTCCTTGCTCCGTATGCTATACGACTATTAAAGCGCGAGCGCTACTCCTTCGACTCCTCGGAATCACCTGACGCAGACTTACTTTATTTACTTGGCGTCCTTCGTCTTCTGAACCATGACCCAACTTCCTTCCGACCACACATCGATCTTGCCACTATACACGGCTTACTTCGTCATCAGAGTCGACCCATCGCTTATCTGGCTATCAGGATTCAGCAGATATGTCTCGACGGTGCAGACCACTGGTTCGAGCAGACGGTGAAACGATACCTTGGCGAAGATACGCCTGCAGGTGATATCAGTGGTCAATGGGACGACAAGGTCATTGACTATCGCTTTTTGACTCTTTGGGAGCAGGAGAGGCATGAAGCAGCCCACGAGCTCATTCGTTCTGTGAGGTCGCTCGATGCGAAGAGTACTTCCCCTACTCGAACACTGCCCAAGGATATCTTCCTCCATAGTACTGCTCTTGTCGGCAACGTTCTTTTGCCACGGGAAGATCAATCGAGCACAACCGGCGCCTATATCGTCGTCCCAACTATCACTACAGACCAGAACATGAACAAAATTGCTGCAGCGTTGAAGTCGAACCAGCCTTTGCTTCTTAGTGGCCTAGCAGGATCTGGGAAATCACTGCTTGGACGTCACGCAGCCGCTAGGACTGGAAAGTGTGACGAGATGGTGACACTTCACCTTAACGAACAGAGCGATGCGAAACTACTCATCGGTGTGTACACTACGGGAGACTCATCTGGCTCGTTTCTGTGGAGGGCCGGAGTATTGACTACTGCGGTTCAAGAGGGCCGCTGGGTACTCATTGAGGATCTTGATCGTGCTCCGAATGAGATCATCGGCACCTTGCTACCCTTGATCGAGCGGCGCGAGCTGTTGATTCCGAGCCGCAAGCAGACGATACGTGCGGCGCCTGGCTTTCGTATTATCGCTACCGTTCGGAGCACTATCAACCATTCAGGTGCTGAGACTCGACCGCTTAGCCACATGCTTGGTGCTCGACACTGGCAGCATGTAACCATCGACATGCCACCGATCCATGAGCAGACACAGATCGTTCAACAGCTGCATCCTTCACTTTCGCAATTTGTGCCACAATTCATGGCCGTCTATGAACGCCTGCTGTCAACGCGGCTCCGAGCTGTGTTGATGGGTCAGAGTAAGACGGGAGTGCTTCGCGCTATCAGCCTAAGGGACTTGTTGAAATGGTGTGGCCGAGTGGTGAACTTCTTGCACCAGAGGTCGTCCTTCACCAGTGCAGATCTCGATGGTATCTTTATGGAAGCTGTGGACTGTCTGGTTGGTGCACTACCCGATGGCCAGGCTCGAACGGCTCTGGTGGCAATCATTGCCGAAGAGCTACACATCGATCCACAGCGTCGCGACTTCTTACTCGCTGATCGCGACGTGCGATACGAAGTCGACAAAACGCGGATCTCCATGGGACGCTACAGCCTGGCACGCATCCAGTCGCAGCGTACGGCTGCGCAAAGCACGTTCTCGACCAATCCACATACTACTCGTATGCTCGAGCGTGTGGCTGCAGCGGTGGTTAATCGTGAGCCCCTACTCCTGGTCGGCGAGACCGGTGTCGGGAAAACCACAGCAGTCCAACATTTGGCAGCACACCTTGGAAAGAAGCTCGAGCCCTTCAACCTATCGCAGCAGAGCGAAGCTGGCGATCTACTCGGAGGCTTCAAACCTGTCACCGCGCGAAGTCTGATCGTGCCTATAAAAGACGACTTCGATGACCTTTTTAGAGCGAGCTTCAGTGTCAGTAAAAATCAGCAATTTCTCGAGCTCCTTGGCAAGCAGATGGCTAAGAGCAATTGGCCGGCCGTGTGCAAGCTTTGGCATCAGGCGCTCAAGATGGTCGATCAGCAGCGAACTACATCGTTGCCCAGCAGAGAAGGTGGCGCACCAAGCAAGAGACGCAAGGTCGAGTCTTCGACGGTTGTTGATTTTGTTCGCTGGGACGCGTTGGCCATCAAACTCACTAATCTTGAGCGCCAACTTTCTGCAGGTAATGATGCATTCGCTTTCAGCTTTGTTGAAGGCAACATCATCAAAGCTGTACGCAATGGTGACTGGGTATTGCTTGACGAGATCAATCTGGCATCGCCTGACACGCTGGAGTCGATTGCCGATCTTCTCGACTCAGCATCACCTTCGATCTTGCTGACCGAAGCTGGCAACATTGAACGTATCGAAGCCCATCCAGAGTTCCGAGTGTTTGCGGCCATGAATCCCGCAACAGACGTTGGCAAGAAGGACCTTCCTCCAGGTATCCGTTCGCGGTTTACAGAGCTTTACGTTGAATCCCCAGACAAAGATATCAAGAGCTTGCAGAGTATTGTTCGCTCCTACCTTCGGTCAGAAGCTTCTGCTGACGTCGCGATCTCGCTCGACGTCAGCACATTGTACCAGAAAATCCTTGCGCTTGCCGACCAGAACAAGCTCGTGGACGGTACTGGTCAGAAACCACATTTCAGTCTTCGCACCCTGACTCGGACCTTGAGCTATGCTACGTACATTGCCTCGTTATGCAGCCTTCGACGAGCGCTCTATGAAGGCTTCCAGATGAGCTTCCTGACATTTCTCGATGTTGAGTCTGCCCGTTTGGTTCAGCCGCAACTTGAGCAGCACCTATTTGGCAAGCGCCTGAACGTTCGCGCTGAGCTGCAGAAGTCTTTGAGGCAGCCAAGCGACGGACGCCGATACATACAGCCATTTCCTGGCAGTAAACACTGGGCACGACAGGGACCCCTCGAGCTACAGGACGAACAGCAATACATTCTCACACCTTTCATCAAGCGGAATCTGGAGAATCTCGTCCGTGCCTCGAGCACGAGACAATCGCCTGTGCTTATACAAGGGCCTACGTCCAGTGGCAAGACCAGCATGATCGAGTATCTGGCGAAGCGCACAGGCCACAATTTCGTGCGCATCAACAACCATGAGCATACCGATCTACAGGAATATCTTGGCACGTATGTCTCTGGCTCTGATGGGAAACTCCAATTCCAAGAGGGTGTCCTTGTCAATGCACTTCGTAAAGGACATTGGATCGTGCTCGACGAGCTCAATCTTGCTCCTACAGATGTACTTGAGGCACTGAACAGGCTATTAGACGATAACCGCGAGCTGTTGATCCCAGAGACTCAGGAGACCGTGCGCCCTCATGAAGACTTCATGCTGTTCGCTACGCAAAACCCGGCGGGCTTGTACGGAGGTCGAAAGGCTCTATCCCGTGCATTCCGCAATCGATTTCTTGAGCTGCATTTCGATGATATTCCTGTCGATGAGCTGCAAGAGATTCTTCACCGACGCACGCAACTGCCCGAGTCGAGATGCAAGCGCATCGTGTCTGTCTATCGCGAATTGTCCGTCCTCCGTCAGGAGAATAGACTCTTCGAGCAGAAAAGCTTTGCCACCTTGCGTGATCTCTTCCGATGGGCACTGCGGCAAAATGACACCATCGAGGATCTTGCTGCGAACGGGTTCATGCTGCTGGCAGAACGAGTTCGCAAGCCTGAGGAGCGTGAAGCTCTAAAGAACATCATTGAGAGGGTCATGAGCACAAGCGGACCACGAATCCGTATCGACGAGGATGCTTTGTATGCTCCAGACAACGCTACAATACAGAAATACGACATGTATGCGTCTTTCAAGGGTGTGGTCTGGACTAAGGCGATGCGTAGGCTGTACGTCTTAGTGTCTCGAGCGATCGAGCACGACGAGCCTGTGCTTCTGGTAGGTGAGACTGGTTGCGGCAAGACGACCGTGTGCCAGGTGCTAGCCGAAGCACTCGAGCAGCAGCTACATATGATCAATGCTCATCAGAATACCGAGACCGGCGATCTGATTGGATCTCAGAGACCTGTGCGAAATCGAGGTGTCAATGCGAATATGCTTCGTGAGCGTATACTGGCTTCTCCACCTATGGAGAATCAGATTGTCGACGAGGCATCCTCCACCGATGTCGTTCTCGCTTCTTACGATGAAGCTCTGGGCGCCCTACCGCAGTCAGACAAGCAAGCATATGTAGCTTCCGATTTGCACGCTGATATCACGAAATGCCGGACACGGTTCCGGGCCTTATTCGAGTGGGTGGACGGCAGTCTTGTGCAAGCCATGAGAGAAGGCACACTTTTCCTACTTGACGAGATATCTCTGGCCGATGACTCTGTACTGGAACGCATCAATAGTGTGCTGGAATCACAGCGCTCTATTCTGCTAGCCGAAAAAGGAAGCTTAGACTCTTTCATCACTGCAGCACCTGGCTTCCAGTTCTTCGCAACCATGAACCCTGGCGGCGATTACGGCAAGAAAGAGCTTTCGCCTGCTCTACGCAATCGCTTCACCGAGATCTGGGTGCCGTCCTTGTCTGAAGAAGAAGACATTGTGCAGATCGTGTCTGCCAAGATCACTTCGAATGCCACAGCATATGCCAATGCTATGGTTACGTTTGCGCAGTGGTTCAAGCGGCGTTATAACACTTCCGCAAGCGCGTCGATCTCGGTCCGAGATATCCTAGCTTGGGTACAGTTCGTCAACATCTATGCTTCAGCAGACATTGCGACAGCCATCATACATGGCGCTGCTATGGTCTACATAGATACACTCGGTGCCAATCCTGCAGGCCTTATGACGCTCACCAGTGCTAGCCTTGACGAGGAACGGTCGGCTTGCTTGACGCAACTGAGTCTTTTGCTACGGACAGACGCCGCTGCCATCTACGCCGCACCAACAAGTGTGAGCCAGGACGAGACTTCACTTCGGATTGGCCCATTCAGTCTTCCAAAGCGCGGGAGCCACGAATACTCCGACGCAAGCTTCACCTTTGACGCTGGAACTACGCGCGTGAATGCTATGCGGGTGATGAGAGCTATGCAATTGTCGAAGCCGGTCATGCTCGAGGGCAGTCCAGGTGTAGGCAAGACTGCGCTTGTCACAGCCATTGCAGCAGCCGCTCGCGTATCTCTTACACGAATCAATCTGTCAGAGCAGAGTGACCTCCTGGATCTGTTTGGCTCCGATGCACCTGTCGAAGGCGCTGCTACTGGCACTTTCGTTTGGCGCGATGCTCCTTTCCTTCGAGCAATGAAGATTGGTGAGTGGGTCCTCTTAGATGAGATGAACCTGGCATCCCAGTCTGTGCTTGAGGGCCTCAATGCCTGTCTAGACCATCGAGGTGAGGTCTATGTGCCTGAACTTGGTCAGACATTCATCAAGCATCCAGACTTTAAGCTATTTGCTGCCCAAAATCCTCATCATCAGGGTGGTGGGCGGAAAGGGCTGCCTGCATCGTTTGTGAACCGCTTTACTGTGGTTTATGCAGACGTGTTTCGGTCTGAGGATCTACTGTTGATTTGCCGGAAGAGCTTTCCGCGTGTCGATGAATCTTTGCTAGTACAGGTTGTGAGACTTGTGAACCTCATGGACCGCGAGATCGTCCAGCGTCGTCGGTTTGGCAGTAGTGGCGCTCCTTGGGAGTTCAATCTCCGCGATACGATGCGCTGGCTCAATTTACACGTATCTACCAGAGGTCTGATGAGCGCTGCTAGCATCCGTGACTGTGTCCGGATGGTCTTCCAGCAGCGATTCCGCTCTGGTCTCGATCGTGATGCTTTCGATAGACTGTTCGAAATGGTGTTCGAAAGTCCATCCTCTGCTTCGGATATGTTCAGCAGTATCTCATCGACAGATCTCCAGCTTGGCCTAGCACTACTACCACGGCAGCCCACGCAGGCCCAGTATCGGGACGCCTTCTCCGGACTTTGCCTTACGCCATCTGGACTCCGTGCACTGGAAGCTGCAATGGTTTGTGTTCAGCACGGCTGGCCAATCATACTCACTGGACCTTCTGGTTCGGGCAAGACGTCTATGATCCATAGTCTTGCTTCCGCGACCGGCGCATCAGTGGTTACACTGGCCATGAATGCGGAGACTGATGCTATGGATCTTGTGGGTGGTTATGAGCAATCTGATCCGCTACGCCAAAAGACGCAGGCTTTATCGGAGTTACGGAAATTTCTGAGTCGACGTGCTCTAATGGATACCAACGATCGAACCTATATGGCTACAACTCTAGATCTACTCACCAAAGTCCAGTCAGATTCACAAAATGAGCCAACGTCACGATTAGCATCCCTAGCCGCAGTACAAAAAGTTCTTGGATCCGACCGCGAAGCCTCCTCTCTTATGGACTGCCTCCTCACGACTACTGACGAGGTCCAGAAAGCAAGTTTCGAGTGGAACGACGGTCTTCTCGTGGAAGCTCTTGAGCGAGGCAAGTGGCTTGTATTAGACAATGCTAATCTGTGTAGCTCTTCTGTCCTGGATCGCTTGAATGGCTTACTGGAACCGGACGGCAATCTGATCATCAACGAGAATACTCAGTCAGATGGTAGCCCACGCGTCATTCAGGCACATCCCGACTTCAGGATCTTTTTGACTGTCGATCCCCGCTACGGCGAACTTTCCCGCGCAATGAGAAACCGAGCAGTTGAGCTCTATCTTCTACCAGGTGAAGACGAAACGAACAGCACAGCATGCTTGCAGCCTCTTCACCATGAGTCCTCAACCGCGCGATTCCAACAGCTTAAAGCTCTCGCCAAGGTTAAGCCCACTGCTGATGACGCTCGTGAGCTTGGTAGAGTTGCGATCGACCACCTGGGTCTTCGTGATCAAAACCTGCTACCAAGGTTAAAGCAACAGCTACAAGCTGGTCTATACAAGACGTCCGCGGTGACTACATCGTCTGCTTCGTTGCAAGACAGCGTAGTGAATCTGACAGACTACTACCGGTCTGCATCAAGCCAATCGAAGGCGTCTGCTGACCTTGCACGTGTACAGGTCAGTCCTCTAGCCTTCCCAGTAAGTACCGCAGTAGCTGATGGTAAGGCCCTTTCTCAGACTCTTCACCCTCTCAACAATCAGCCCCTCGTCCAGCAGAATCAACAGCTGTTTCTGCATGCCTCAACGCTTGCTTTCAAACATGACTATGGCTTGCGCGTGGCTGATTTCGCTGCTCAATTGACTACAATGAGAGCCTCACAGCCACTGATCCGTCAGATCGAACGCGCAGAGCGCACAGCTCTAGGCAGGCAACAACGTGGTAGTGGCCAGAAGGCCCTTTTATCCATGGGAGAAGCCACAGTCCACTCACTGACAGAGCTTATACGGATGTGGGATCTGACTGCCTCTCAAGACACGATCATCGCTAAGAGAGTGGTGACCTTGGTATGCGGCTATTGGCAATTTCTGATGGCATCGATTGCGAAGGGCGAGGAAGCAGCACCTCTTCTGCGTCCCTGGCTATCAGGCTTGCGAATGTGGTTGATTCGAATGCCGGCTGAACGTGACAGTGTCCTGCAAGACGTCACCTCACAGCTTGGGCACGATTTGGACGGTCTTATCGGTGTCTCCACGAGTATGACGGGCGCCGCTGCTCTCGTACTGTGGAAGACCTTCAAGCCATCAATGCCTGCCTCAATGGAAAGATTGAGCATAATTGTCCAATTCGAGGCCATCGTCAGCGACTTTGATGCAGCTGCTAGACAGTTCCGCCAACCTGTCAAAGTGTTGGCTCGGATGCGACTAGCTTTCGCAAAGGCCCTCCGGATGATCCAGCATCAAGATGTGGACACCATCGACATCACCGACAAACTTCGCCAACTACTGCCAGATCACGGTAGCAATGCTAGTCAAACAACACAAGCAGGTGTGCCGCACTTCGCCAGTGTCTTCGATTGTATAGCAAGACACTTTGCACTTGTTGCACCCGCACAAAAAGAGTTCGTGGCAGAAATTGTATCAGAGATGGAAGTCTTGGCACTACAAAAGACCAGCGCGGGAGGCGTTGCTACACCGGTACACACCGAGCGACCCGTGCCACGTAACGATCTGCAACTGCTTGGGCAGGTACTGCCAGATCAGGATCTTATGGAAGACGGGTCACCATCGATGCCACTGCTGATCATGCAGCACGCGGCCACAACAAGCCAAGTTCCGTTAAGAGACATGCACCTGTTGGAGGAGGAGATCGATGTGCTAGGTCGCGCCGTTGGTGGACACGCTCATACAATCATCCTTAGCCAGCTCGCAGCACTCAATGCGCTGTTGCATCGACTACTGCAGGCGCTACTCCAGACCCTTATCAAAACAGACCGGGCTGATCTGCAGTCACTTGCGACGACTCTGCTCAATCATCTCGAACATGCAGACGTGACTCATGTAGCCTCTTGCGAGTCGGGAATCCCAGAAGTCAAGAACGCTGGTCTTGATGTGGACTGGCTAAGACCCACCATCATGGTCGTGGTCGATCATTTACGCCGTGCAAGCGATCAGGGATGCGATGAATACAGATCGTCATCTAGAGCATGGAAAGCTTTCGGCCTTGCTTGTCTCGTCTTGTACATACCGCCTGAACCGTTCGATCCTCTTCTGCAGCCTCTGATAGAGCAAGCGGTCTATCGACACTGTCACAAATCACACCTACAAGGCCTTACTGCTATGAACGACTTTCGAGGTGCGCTTTCTGGAGAGAGGGATTCTTTGCGTGCAAGGTTTCTGCAGCAGGATACCAACCTCATAGGATCAGAACCGTCTGTTGAGAACATATGCCGTCCAACGGCAAGCGCGGTACTTCAGCTACATCAGGAGATGGACACCCTTGCGCGCGCTATTGCGCCGTTGCTTCAAGATGAGTCAGTCGACACGGTAGCTTGGAAAAACATTGCACGCATCCGGTCAAGATTGACAACATCTTATCGGGAATACGGCGACATTACCGGACCTGCCATTGGCTTTGTTGACTGTCTGCGTGTGGCCCACTATCTCGCAATGCAGAGCAAATTCAGCGAGCTCTCCCCAACCATCACAACTCTGAAGGTTCTCGTTCCCTTCTGCGGAGCCGAGTCCGAGCCGTGGATCAATGGTCGTAATTTCCTACAAGCCTTTTCTCGCACCATGAGCCACTCAGATACCTTGTCTGCGCTCTCTGCATTCGCCATGAGATGCAGGTGTAGCCCCCTGAGTGGCAACGATGATGCTTTGATTGGGGCCATTGATCAACAGTTCCAACGCTTCTACAGCGAATGGAAGCTTCAATTGAGCGACGACCAAAAGCGAACTGCGGCAAGATCGAGCTTGTATCGATACCAGGGTACGCTGAATGACGAGGACGCCGTATCTGCCGAGGAACTCGAGGCACTGTTCCCTACGGCTGATGGAAACGCTCCGCAGACCAAGTCTACCAGCTCAGACCGGGCTGCGACGCTTGCGCATTTGCATGGATCGATGTTCCGGCCTGGGAGTGTGGCTGAACCGGCTTCCGTCTTACAACAGTTGCGTGAGAGCGCAGACTGGCTCTCAGCACACGGGAACATACTCGAAAGTCGGGCATGCATTCCAGCCATGACCGTTGCGCTCCAGTCATTGAAGGCCAGTATGTCGCAACATGAGACACAGGACAATCTGTACAATATGTACACGGACTCCAACCTGCGCGAGATGCGGAAAGCTGCGACGATCGTCTCTCGAGTGCAAAGCCGGTTCCTGCAGTTGCATCATGCTTGGCCTGAACATGCGACCCCTGTTGAGGTCGACAGGTTGTGCGATCAAATCTACAATGTTCCTCACAGCGAGCCAATCACTAAGGTGCTACCTATGCTCGAGAAGCTGCATGCAAGCATCACGCAGTGGCAGCAGATCGCAAGTCGAGAGTTCAGCGTTCTCGAGATGCTGGAGGAGATCGTGAGTTTGATCGTTTCATGGCGACAACTAGAACTTTCAAGCTGGGCAGGCCTACTAGATCGTGAAGATCGCACAGTGTCTCGAGATGCTCAGTCCTGGTGGTTCATCGCCTACGAAAGCATTGTCGCATCTGGCCACGCGAACGAAGAGGACCATGACAAGATGCAGGCCCACGCCAAGAGTCTACTGGCTATTTTGGAGGTCTTCATCACGAAATGCGGTCTGGGCGAGTTCGTCCATCGTAAGAAAATGCTACGCGATTTTGAAGCTCACGCAGCATTGCTTGCGCAGTCGCTAAGCTCGTGGGACGTGATCCGCAGTGCTCTGCAGAACTTCAATGTCTACTTTGCGAGATTCGAGCAAAGTATCCTCGGTCGTCTGAGCAAGGGCCGCGCTCAGCTCGAGACAGATCTGAAAATGGTTGTGCAATTGGCAAGCTGGAAGGATAGAAACATAGACACACTTCGTCAAAGCGCTTCTTTATCACACAAGAAGCTCTTGAGATATGTGCGCAAGTATAGGAACCTGCTCGCTCAGCCGGTTGGACCAATGGGCGTGGAGCAGATGTCAGGGCTTGACTTGGCACAAGATGCCAATGCCACCAAAGCTGTGGCAATGCCAGGGTCAGCTATAGTTTCGCCTGTGATTTCGAACAGCAAGATCTGGTCTGAACGTCCTGCTCGTTACCAGAATATTGAAGCCACAGTGAGCTTGATGCGTTCTAAGACAGCAAAACTCGCCTTTGAAGATGTGGCCACCAGGCTGGCCGCTTACCGCGTCGAGATCAAGGACGAGATCAGTAGTCTTCTGAAGGAGACACCACCATTGCTTAATACGGAGACAAAGGACCATGTACAGGATCTCAAGCGTCGTAAACGTCGCTTACTTGCAGATGTCATACGCGCTGTCCAAGACATGGGAATCGCAAAGGGTCTTGGCGGAGATGCGCTTGCGCGGCAAGCATCCCATTCAATCGTCTTCTCTTCAATCCCGACTTTCGACAGATCACATCACAATGCGCATGTACATGAAGGCGAGCACACCTTTCATCTGTTTTTGAACATTCTGCCTGCTGTCCGTGAAGCTGCTCGTAAGCACTCCGAGGACCTGACATCCGCTGAGGCACAACGCTGTATGGGCCTGTTGGAGAGCATGCTGCACACGATTCTGAGGCAGCGCACAAGATTGCAACACCATATTGGCTTGGCGATCCAGTTGCGCACTGTGCTACAACAGCTTTCGGCCCTCGCGACGGCAGATGGTCCTACTGTCATGACACGCTCCTGGTCTAGACCCGATCTTGCGCAACGTATCGTCATAACCGGAGTCATGCTGCGGAGCTGTGGCCAATTGATCGCCACGCAAGTAGGATTGGCAGGCCATGATCCTCCAGAACTGCTAGGATTATTAGAAGAGCGTGCTAGAGCATTAGACAATCTGCACGCCGCATTGCAAGATGTTCTGACTTTGCCGGCTGGTACGTGCAGCGAGGCAGAGACTCTTATCTACGAGAGACTCTTGTCAGTCAGGCAGCGAATCAACCTAGACGTCAGAGAGATTTCAAGATCAGATGCTGAACTGGAGCCGCTGCTCGAGCATCTCCTTACATGGGTCGAACCTCCTAAGACCGCTCTCGATACTGATGATCGCGAAGCAATTAGCATTGACAACTGGACAGTGACGTTGATGCGAGCGTTAGATGCCGCACTTGCTGCCGCCGAAGCTTGCGAAAAGACCTTGTGTGCTGCCCCTACGGATAGTGACGACAAATCATGGCTGGTACGACAGCACACAGCTAGACAAGCTGCCATGCAAGGACTCGCAATGCCGCGCGTCCTGGCGGCTATAGCTGAGAGCCTGGCTCAGCTTCCGCATCTCATCCAAGTCGACGGTTCCGAGCTGCGAAATGCAGCTAGCATGATCTGTCAAGTTCTCCCAATCCTGCGGCTGTACGTGACCGTCGTCAGTCGTACCGTGAACGAAGAAGCCCTCGAATATCATGAGACTGCTGCGCTCGCCTACCAGCTTACCGCATCTTTCGAGCAACTCGCACAACGTGGTTTCTGTACGCCTTCTGAAAAGGCAGAAGGCAAAGATGACAGAGCTGGAAACGTGGAAGCGGGCACAGGACTCGGTGACGGGGAGGGTGCTGAGGACATCAGCAAAGATATAGGCGATGACGAAGACCTATCAGAGCTCGCCCAGGAGCCGCAAGCCAGCGGGCAGAAGGAGGATATAGAAGACCAGCAAGATGCTGTAGATATGGCTGATCAAGAGCTGGAAGGGGATATGGGCGAGCAGCCCGAGGCCTCCGAAAATGGTGAAGGTGAGGGTGATGAAAATGGTACTCAGGAAGACTTGGAAGAAGAAAGTGGCTCGGTAGATGACCAAGGCCCGTCGACTCTTGATGAGAAGATGTGGGATGAAGGGCAAAGCGCGGAAGCCCCAGAGAAGGAAACAGAAGGGAACAGAGGCACGAGTACTGATGATGCTGCAGTCGGTGCTGAAAAGTCCAACGACGAGAAGAAGGCTCAAGAAGGCGAAGAAGAAGGAGATGAGGTCGTTGACCAGCCTCCCGATGAAGATGATCGAGTTGCGCAAGATCAGACGGAGCAGCTGGATCCACACGTTGGCGAAGAGCAGAATCTCGAACTCACTGACGATCTTACGGTAGATGGAAAGGACACGATTGAAGAGGCAGACTCTGATGTAGATGGTGAAGACGAGGATATGCCCGGTGATCCAGATATAGCTGAGGGAGATACGGAGGATCGGGATGATCTGGACATGGACGATGAGGGTAGTGTAGTGGACGAAGCGAGACCGGGAGAGGACGACGGCGGCGTGGAAGATGAGAAGACTGCGGAAGCCGCCGATAGCATTGACGAGGAAATGGAACGAGATGAGTCAGAAGATGTTCTGATGAAAGAAGAAAAGGAAGCTTTGCACGCCGATGAAGACATTGTGGGTGAGGCTGACAATGGTGGAGATCCTGACTCCTCTGATGCTCGACCTAACGCTGCAGCCAGCAGCGCGCAAGACGACATGGCTGAGGGCGCTGCGGAACGAGAGGAGAATGAGGACGCTAGTGCGACCGGACCTCAGCGGAGTAGTAAAACCGAGAAGTTTGGCACTGGCTCCGAGGATATCACATCGAAGCAGGACCAAGTACCCTACAAGCAGATTGGGGATGTTCTGGAGGAGTGGTACAGACAACATCGCCAAATCGAGGATGCTCAGCCTGAAGTCGAAGACGCAAGACCAGAGCCGGCAGATGTCGATATGGCTGATTCTCGCTTTGAACATTTGCTAGACCAGGATGCGACGGCGGATACACAAGCACTTGGTGCGGCGAACGCTGACCAGTCGACAGCATTGGACGAGAACGCCGGCTTGTCTGTCAACGGGGAGGATACTGATCTTCCACCTCTGAACGAGAAGTCAAATGAAATCGACCAGACCACAAAGGCCGAAGAAAAAGAAAACCAGGTTGCACCAAGCGACATGCCTCGTGCGGACAAGGATTCTAAGGCCTTCGTTGGTGAGCCCCGCAATTGTGAAATGGATGTGGACATGCCCGACGATCTACCACTCCAGGAACAAGATCACCTCGAGGACGTGGATCAGCAACTGGTTCATACACACTTGGATGCGGATGATGTCGATGATGAGCTAACTATCGATCAAGCACGCCTTTTATGGGCTGAGCACGAGTCCAGCACACGGAACCTTGCACTTGTGCTTACTGAGCATCTGCGCCTGGTGTTACAGCCGACACAAGCCACGAAGATGCGAGGAGACTTCCGTACAGGCAAGCGTCTCAATATCAAGCGCATCATCCCGTACATCGCCTCATCATACAAGCGTGACAAAATCTGGATGAGAAGATCCGTGCCAAGCAAGCGCTCATATCAGATCATGCTTGCCATCGATGACTCCGAGTCAATGGCGGAGAGCGAGAGTAAGCAGCTAGCATTTGAAACTGTGGCGCTCGTGGCAAAGGCAATGTCCATGCTCGAGGTTGGAGAGCTTAGTGTGGTGGGCTTCGGTGAAGACGTCAAGATTGCGCACGACTTCAGCACGCCTTTCACATCCGAAGCAGGCGCTCAAGTTTACAAGCAATTCAGCTTTGCGCAGACTAGGACCAATGTACGCAGGCTGCTTGCAGAGTCTATCGAGCTGTTCCGCGCTGCAAGACTGAAAGCAGCCGGTTCAGCGAGCGAGCTGTGGCAGCTTCAGCTCATCATTTCCGATGGTGTGTGCGAAGATCATCCATCGATACGTCAGCTCGTCCGTCAAGCGCACGAGGAGCGTATCATGGTTGTATTCATCGTGGTGGATGCTGCAGCACAGAAGGCCGAGGCATCGGGAGGGCCGAAGCAGAGCATACTTGATCTGCAAACGGCGGAGTTTGTCAAAGACCAAGCGGGAGAGATGCGGTTGAATATGGTCAAGTACCTCGATACTTTCCCGTTCGACTATTATCTGATTGTGCGTGATGTTCAGGAGTTACCGGCGGTACTTGCGGGGGCGTTGAGGCAGTGGTTTGCTGAGGTGGTGGAGTCTGGATAGGCGTTCGAGTAATATTCATTAGAACTATAGCAGAATCTAATTTGTGAGATTCAATCGAGAGGTGATTCGTATACGTGAGGCAGTCGTTGGGCGCAACGTACCAAGCGCATGTTTTAAGTCGGCCTCTGCCAGGGTATCCTACTGACTGACATCTCATGTACTGATGGCGCTCGGGCGAAAGTACAGGGCCATATATCTATTTTGTTTCTGCGAGAAGCAAGGATTGCTTCTATGGTCTAGTGGTATGACGTGTCCTTCACAACATCTACTCATGTAGATCGTTACGGAGGTTCGGACAAGGTGTAGGTGTTGCCCATGACATTCACTCGTCACATTCATGACACTGACCATAGGTTTAGCCCGGGTTCGATGTAAGCTCAACTAGATCACCGTGTCTTGCAAAAAGACTGCATTGCTAATTTCAGCAACAGCCCCGGTGGAAGTACAAATCAGTTCGTTGAAATTGTGAGCCGACTCGTAACAGAGTCAAATCTTCTTTTTATTTTGCTTTACATTTCTGACTGATCAGGCCCTGAAGCATCGGATACTTTTGTACCGGATCAATTACGCTATCCCGGCCTTCACCACTAATCCGCAGCTACTGCGTAAGGCTGTACACTTTCCGGGTCAAACGCTGCGCCCAGAGTAATAAGCGATGCCGCCTATCGTTTATCGCCTAGCTCGGCGTGAAGGATTGGCCCCCAAACGATGCGACCAAGGAATAGCTGCATGCATGTACCCATTGTACGGCTGAAAGCTGTAGCTTGATTCTGTCATGACAGCTCACATATTCCATCACTGGAGGTGTTATGGCTGCCAAAGATGTGACTCTGCCATTGCGACTGGTCATATGCGTAGACGGCGGTACTAAAGCTGGCAGTGGTCAGTCGACCATTCAGCAGATTGTCGCGAGCGTGCAGAGCGGCAAATGTCTGGACATTGGCACGACCAGCTGGTGCAACCAACTGCCTCGATACTTCAACGGAGGCGAAGATATATCGACAGCCAGCGTACTCGGTCACGGGCATGTGAAACAGATACAAGATGTTTACGAAAACTGCTGCCAGCTTAAAGGCGATAAGGATGAGATCTGGCTATTTGGGTACGGACGGGGCGCATTCATCGTCCGCGCTGTCGCAGGCTTGCTGCACCACTGTGGTGCTCTCAACTCAGCTGGCCAGCCGGAATTCACCAAAGACTTCAAGAAGCTGCTAAAAGAAGCTGAACTGCGAAGTGGTCGCCGGTCAAGCCTGGCGCTCAGCCCAGTCTCATCAGCATCAACAGCGGGCGTGAGAGCAACGCCTCGCATTCGCTTCATCGGAGCTTTCGAGACCGTAAAACCAGGAATCGGGGACTCGACTTTCGATACATCTCTCAATGGCTCCATCCAGCACATGCGCCATGCTGTCGCTTTGCACGAGGATCGTAAGACCGCAGAGTATATTTACCCAGAGGATCTGTATCGAAATAAGCTCCAAGATTCTGGTCGCAGCTTCACGCAAGCATGGTTCATCGGCAGTCAGCAAGACATGGGCGGTCTGTCAAAAAAGGCAGGACTCTCCCTGTATCCTTTGCAGTGGATGCTGCTCGAAGCCAGACGCTGCGGGTTGGCAGTATCAACTACACCCGGTAGTACGCTCGCCCAAGTCGTACCACGTGGCGATGAGAAGAAGAACAATAATGCCGCCTGGTCATGTCGGACTGAGAACGGTATCGATATCGTCATGCATGACTTTAGAACGGTGCATGCTGTCGAGGACTACTCGGTACGGTTAGGAAGCCTAGGAGCTCGTATTGGCACAAGCTTGCCCACAAGTAAAGCTCGAGAGCCCTTCCTACCAAGCGGTGTCCTCAAAGGATGGTGTGACTGGGCACCACAAGGCACAATCTTACATCCTTCCGTCTACTTACTCTTGGACGAACACATCAATGTTGCGCTGGAGACGAAAGAACTCAAGCTGCAGCGGAATCTGAATGACTGGAGAGAAAAGATGATGGGCTCGTACAATGGCGTAACTAACACTGGGTTTTGGCTCGATGAGGACACCGACGATTTAGACCCTGGCGCAATTCGCGTGTTGGTATGCGGAAATACGGGAGTCGGCAAGTCAACACTCATCAATAAGGTCTTTGGCGTTGATGTCGTAAGTCGTCCCTCATCACCTGAAACCCAAGTATACGGCTAATCGGCTTGTAGACTCAAAGCTCTGACCGATATCGAGGTATACATGATGTGCGACAGGAGATCACTTTCGAAGGTCGACCAGATTTGATTCTTCATGATTCCGGTGGGTTTGAGGCTGGCGCTGACGAAGAGTTCCTGGCCATCGAAGCTTTTCTCAAGGACAAATCCGAGGCCAACGTCGATGTTGCGGATCGTGTGCATGTCATCTGGTGAGATTTTAGAGTGTCTTGGGCCGCGGTGCAGCACTAATACAGTCGTCATAAGGTTTTGCATCGACATCAACAGTCCTCGAACCTTACAGACAGCCACGGAAAAGTTGTTCAAAGCGGTGTCGAAGTATGCGAACGACGTTCCGATTGTGGTGATCGCCACTAAGAAGGACGACTACCTCGATATCGAATTTGGTACCCACCGAAAAATGCTCAAGAAGGACGGCAAGCCATTTGACGAAGAAGCGTGTGAGCAGTACGCTGAAGAAAGACTCCGTGAGAGAGTGGACACGATTCGTACTGAAATGCAGACCGTCGAAGGCGGTAGGCTAGATGCCTGTCTGGCGGTGGCCCAAGGTATGTTCAGCACATAGTGTTGAGAGATATTCCACTGACACATGCAATAGACGACGAAAGCTCAATTGCGCATCTCAGCAAAACGACATCGAGTTGCTTCGATACTGACAAAGTGCGTCTCCTCTACATCAGGGCGCAAGTCACACGTATAGACCTGAAGATCGACATGGCTGTATGTGAAGTGATCAAACAGTACAAACGACTGATCCGAGACGCCACAGGCGCGACGTTTGCACCCTTCGGCGCTACCATCACACGCAAAGTCTCGACCAACCGAATCATCAAAAGCATCATCAATTGCTTCGGGCTCCCGACTGTCAGCGCGGATACAGCGGTGGAAGCGCTTCGGGCGAACGTCTGGAACATGACTGGTTCGAATATTGCTCTGGCGTTGGCGGAAGCTTTACAGTGTATCGGTGTCATCGGGACCGTATTTGCTGCGGGTATCCCGGCCTGGGCCGTCACGGGTACCATCAACACATCTTATGTGGTTCCGGCCACTTGCAGATTGTTCCTGATCATGGCCTGCGACCTCATCCTCGTGCTCGCGAGGAGTTTCAAGGAGGTGACGTTTCGGGCCAGCGGCCAGCCCAACGAGAAGGATGTTGGTGCAGCAGCGAGGAACTACAGAGTCCGTGGATACGCACAGCACGTTCACAGCGAGCTGAAAAAACTTGTGCCTCGCCGGAATATGCTTGCTAGCTTCAAGCCCGAGACGATCCGAGTTGGGTTTGAGAAGGTACTGGCGAACTACAAAGACGGACTGATGGTAGGTGGTGCTCGTGAACAGGTTTCAATGGATGAACCAAGCTGACCACCCACCCAGGAGGACGTTGACCTACCTCTGAAGGCCTCACGCTTCAGTCTCAGCTCAAGTACGGCCACGGAAGATGATCGCCTGGATATCGAAAGCACTGAGGGGAGTGATTCTCTGCTCATCACCGACTTTCAGGAAGCCCGAACTGCGCTTGTAGAGCTCGAAGCCAGTCAACAAATCGCGGAGATGGATGACAAGAGGCAAGTACCTGAGCTGCCAGCAGAGTCCAAGCCGATCGAACTCGATGCAGTGAGTACTGTCAAGGTGGAACTACAAGCGTGATTTCTTCGTGCAGGGCAATCAGTGCCTATATTGTCACAGTTTTGGATGTGTCTAATGTTAGGCTGGAGAGGATAGATTTGGATATTACTCTGTATAATCTGGTAAGTATTATTCTGCACATCACTGGCTGCACTATTCTTCGTGCTCTTAGCGGAGAGGCCATGATAGTGCTTGACCTGGATATACACTCAGGTTATCCTCTGCAAGGTCGGTTGTGTGAGGCCGTTCTTTACGTGTACCGACTGTCAATGCACGGCGGTCAACGTACGGACCGTCAATGTACGGCCGTCCGTTCGCTATACAGCTATATATACGGCACCGTCATTGTACCGACCGTCAACGTACGGCTGTCATTTTTGCGTACGGCCGTCAATGTAGTGACGGTCAATGTACTATCGTCCATGCACGGCCGTCCGCTCACCATAGAGCTGTATGTACGGCATCGTCAATGTACAAACCGTCAACGTATGGCCGTCTGTACGGTCGTCCCCGTCAATGTACGGACCGTCTGTACGGCCGTTCTTTCGTCAATGAACGGACCGTCTGTACGGCCGTTCTTTCGTCAATGAACGGACCGTCCATGTACGGCCGTCAATGTACGGCCGTCAACACGCGGACCGTCAATGAACGGCCGTCTTTCCTACGCACAAGTCCGTCCTTTTCACGTACGGCAACGTCAATGTACGGCCGTCCGTTCAAGAAATATAGAGTCATTCATCGGGACCGCCCGCAAGGCCATGCATATCGACCTCTGCAAGCCGATCCGGCTGCTGAAAGGTCATCAGCTCCAACAACATTCAGGGGATGGTGAAGTCTTACTCTAGTCTACAGCTTCCAGTGACTCAGCAAACACAGAGCCTATTCTTACAATATTCATACACACCCATATCATACACACCCATATCATACAACCCCCCTTCCACCCACACCAAACACCAACCTCACCCCTCTACCCATAATCCCCCCCCAGCCTCTGCAGCACAGCCCTCTGCCTCTGCCCACTCATTCGCTCAAACCGATCAACAACCATCGTAAACGTCCCCCTCCCGCCGGTCAAACTCCTCAAATGCCGCAAATAGCCCACCATCTCTTTAAGCGGGACACGTGCGACTATCTGCCTTGTCCCATTCGCGTTTCCTAGCAGTACGGAGTTCGAGGAAGAAGAAGTAGATGTTGCGTGGCCGCCAGCGAACGGGTCCGGAGGGGCGTAGATTTTCGAGGGGTCGATATCGATCCTCGCAATCGAGGAAGTGGAGGTTGCAGCAGTGTCGCTAGAATCTTCGGAGCTGAGGGAAATGACGCTCCCGCCTCGGGCGGAGGAGATATCATGAACAACGCTCCCCAGACTCTCCTCATTAACTGATATTGTGACCATCATAACAGGCTCCATCATCACCGTCTCGTTTATCTTGGCGCTACTCCTTAGTGCTGACTGCACTGCTAGCCGAGTAGCGGAGGAGAGCGCTGCTGGAGTCGTGCTGGGGAAAATGTGTTCTGCTGGGTTGAAGGTAAGGTTGATCTGGGTTGAGTGGACTGGGTAATTGTGTACTGGGCCCCGGGCACAGGCAGCTGAGGTTCCGGTCTGTAGGGCGTGGTGGAGGACTGTGTTCAAGGGCAGATCTTCAGGAAGACTCGGATGGTCTTCGCTGGTTGAAGTGCCGTCGGCATTAAGTGTCGGGGTAGTAATGACAAGGCGATTCCTATCCGCCAGCTCGAAAACATGCCTCTGCTTCCCCACTGCTTCCGACATCCCATCTTCAACCGCAGGCTCCACAGAAGCCGTAGCAGCAGCCTTCGACCACCTGCCCCCAACATCCCTCTCAAACACCTCCGTAACCTCACCACTAGGGACAGTAACAGACTCCCGATACCCAATCTCGATCCCACCGATCCTCACCTTGGCTTTCAAATCCCCCACAAGCCTATCCCTTGCAATCTCCAAATGCAGTTCTCCCATCCCCGCCAAATGCGTCTGCCCTGACTCCTCGTCTACCGAAACGTGCAGACTCGGGTCCTCCCTCAACAACAACTCCAGCGCCTCCCGAAGATTCTTCTCCTCGGCCAAAGAACTAGGCTCAACACTAACAAAGAACACCGGAGGCGGAACGTTGATAGGCCGTAACTGCATCCGATTAACCGGCGCCGGCGGGCCATTCTTAGGATGCGCGCCCGTATACGAAACAAGCGTATCCCCCGTCCGCGCGAACTTCAGACCGGGAATGACACCTATCTGACCAGCGGGGATATTTTCTACGTCAACGGCATCGTTGGCGTACATTTTGAGTAAGCGTTGCGCACGCTCGGTATTCTGGAGGATGGTGTTCCAGAGCGGAGCGTTGCGGGCAAGAGTGCCGGAGTAGACGCGGATGTAGACTAGGACGCCGCGACGAGGGTCGGAGACGACTTTGAAGGCTAGGGCGCAGGCTTCCAGGTTTTGCAGGGCCAGGTTTGCTTTGTCCTTGCTTATGGCTTTCGAGGAGGGCTTGGTCTGCTCTGTTGTGATTACTGTGTCGAGCTTGCCTGATAGGAAGGCGGCTAGACCACCTCGAGTCTCCGGGCCTAGCTTGATTTCGGGGTCTGGTCGTTCTTCTGGGTTGGGGAGGAGGTCGACTACGGCGTCTAGGAGTGGTTGTACGCCTGTGTTGCGGAAGCTGGCGCCCGCGAAGACCGGTACTACGCGTTGGGGGTGCTGGTTCACTACGCAGCGTCTCAGGCTCGCGGTGATTTCAGCAGCAGAGATAGCCAAATGATCTTCATGCGCCTCGAGGAACTTCTCAACCATAACATCGTCGTGCTCAGACAACAGCTCGACCAACGCAATCCTCGCCTTCTTCAACTCTGCTGCTAACCCAGCATCCTCCATCTCAAGCTGCTGCAAACAAAGTACATCAACCTCCTTCCCATCTCCACCCTCCGCATACCCCAACCCCCTCAACCCAACCACATCTCCCACCCCTCTCAACCTCCCCACTTCACTCCACCAAGGAACCCCACAAACAGCCGGCCAAACCCCCAACCTCGCCCCCACCTCCCTCACCGTCCGGCCAAAAGCCGCACCCTCCCGATCAAGCTTATTCACAAACACGATCCTCGGGATCTGATACTTCTGCGCCTGCAGCCACACCTTCTCTGTCTGGGCCTCTACACCCGCTACACCGTCTAGAATACATACTGCGCCGTCCAAAACCCTCAGGGAGCGGAGGACTTCGAAGGTGAAATCTGCGTGGCCCGGGGTATCTATCAAGTTGATGTTACATGGTGTTGCAGACAAAGCTTTGGGATCGGTACGTTCCTTCGGAAGCCAGGGGTTTGCCCCCGAGGGAGGCCAGGTGAAGGAGATGGCGGCTGATTGGATGGTTATTCCTCGTGCGCGCTCGGCGGGAAGGAAGTCGGTGACTGTGCTGCCTTCGTCTACATCGCCAATTCGTCTGGAGTAGCCGCTGTAGTAGAGCATGCGCTCTGTGGTTGTCGTTTTGCCGGCGTCAATGTGGGCTATGATGCCTATATTTCGCGTCTTGGAGATCGCGGTGGCAGTGGCAGTCTTCGCCGCCTCATGGCCGGCTGTCGGAGCTGCATTGAGGTGGGATGAAGTTGTGATGTGTCTGGTGGTGGCGGCGTTCTGGGATATGTACCTGCTAGCTACCAGGCCATAGTGCTTTCGGGTGATGCATCTCAGCACCATGCCCAGGATGTCAAGCGAGTGATGGCACAATATAAGATCAAGGAGGGTCTCTTATCGTCACAGATGGAATCCATGTTCGTCTTGCATATCTCCCTGGGACAGCCAATTTGATAGAGCGGCTCTATTCCGCACTCTCGCATCCCAAGCCAAGCCGTGACGTTGCCTCCAGTCCGAACAATACGAACCGAACAACAATGTCGCTTTTGCGATGAGTCTTGACCGAGACCCCGGACGATCGAGTACCTCGTCCTACAATTCCAACGGCAAAGCTCCAGCCGCCAATCTACGTTTCCAGCGCCGCACCTCTGAACGCGCCTGGTTGGAGACATCGCTAAGAGACGGCACGATGGAGTCGCCCAGTCCGTGGGCCAGTAGCCCGGATGCCTCGCGCACCAGTTTTGGCGATGATGGGAGGGTGAGCAGGCAGGATTTGCCTGGGCCTGCTATCAGGGAGGAACGTGAGCATGAACATGAGGGTGGAAGTGGAAGTGGGAGTAGCGGGCAGCAGTATGCCTATCAGCCTAATCAGCCTGGGAATTGGTCGCCGGAGCAGCAGAATCAATGGCAACACCAACAACAGCAACAGCAGCAGGCACAGTACGGCGGCCAGGAGAGGATGTCGGCGGAGGAGAACAGGCGGCCGCAATCGGCGAGGTATCATAATGCGCCTCCACATCATCAACAGCAGCAGCAACATACCCAAGCTAGGCAGCAACACATGCAGCAGTACAAACTGCAAGTCAAGATCACGGGACTGGAACGAGCAGGGAAGAAGGATCCCATCTTACGCTTCGACGTCTATGTAAGCACCACTACCACACTGTCAACCATAACCTCACCTGCTAACACATCTCAGACCAACCTCCCCAAATTCCGCACCACCCAGTTCCGCGACATCCGTCGCACTCACGCCGAATTCGAAAAACTCGCCGCCCACCTCGTAGCCTCGAACCCGGAATCCCTCGTCCCTAGCGTCCCGCCAGCCAGCACCTCCGCCGGCCTCGGCACAGACGAAGACGAGAACCGGACCAAGACGGCCCTCCAACGCTGGCTCAACGTCGTCTGCAGCAACGACGTCCTAATGCGAGACGAAGAAATGGTCTTCTTCGTGGAATCCGACTTCGGCTATTCCCCAGTCGTACGGAAACGTCAACCAGCGACCGGCGTGCGAAGGAAAATGCTCAAGCAATTCGCACCGCCTCCGGACGACACGCCGGAATTACTCGAATCCCGACCAGTAGTCAAGGGCTTCTACCTCGGAAGCATGGACGCCCAGCAGAAAATCGACAAAGTCGTCAAACATCGTCGTTCCTTAGGTGTAGCGGAGAACGATCTCGGGACTAAAGTCTCCGCTTTAACAGCGCAGGAAACACATCCGGGTCTAGCGAACGCGTATAGGAAATTGGGGAAAGTGATCCAAGCCCAAGGAGATTTCCATGTTGCGCAGGGGACGGCGGAAGCGACGACCTTATCTGATCCGCTGGCGTATCACAGCAGCGATGCCTTCATCGTCAAGGAGACGCTCACGAACAGACATATCTTACTGCGGGAATTCACGCAAGCCCAACAAGCCACCCGCTCCAAGCTCTCCGCCGCCGACCGCCTGAAAGCCAGCTCCTCGGTGAAAAGAGATAAAGTCGACGAAGCCATCTCCGCCCTCGACGAAGCTCGGAGTCACGAAGCTTACCTCCAACAGAAAACCTCCCGCGTAACCTCTAACCTCTTAATGGAGAAGAGGAAATGGTTCGCCCGTACCGCCGCTGATCTCAGGGCTGCGATAAGAGAGTACGTCGTCCGGGAAATCGAAGCCGAGCGCCGCACACTGGCGACGCTTGAGCAGGTACGGCCCGATGTGAGGAATATCGATGCTTCGGGCGGACTTTCGCGGTTGGGACGCGAGGCGCAGATCGCTCTGAGACGCTCTAGTTTGGCGTCGAGTCAGGGGCCGAAGGGGGATGCGTGGTCTGGTGTCCCACGCAGGCCAGATGGGTTGGGGAGGTCGATTTCGGGGTCTTTTGTTGCTGGTACCGGGGTTGCGGGTGGTGAGGGGGAGGGGGAGGATGGTGGTGCGGAGGGTGCGGAGGGGGAGGGTGGTGAGAGAGTTGAGGGCGGCAAGGGGAAGGGAGGGAGGAAGAGGGGGGTCAGTAGTGCGGGGTCTTCTTTGGGGAGGGTGAAGGAGGATGAGGGCGAGGATGAGGATGCGGATCGGGTGGATGCTAGGAATGCTGCTTCCCGGCTGGCGCAGACGACTTTCTAGTCTCTAGCGTGGTATGGCTCTATCTTGCGGAGTGGGACGAGTACTAGTCTGTGAAATGAATCTTAGGGCGGGACCTCTTCAGAGGGAGGTTGGATGGGATGATGCTGGTACTGAACTGTATGCATATATTTATGTCGGTGCAGCTGATCAAAGACTATAATCGGCAGTATCATCGATTACGAGGAACTAATGATACCGTCAGAACACCTTGACCAGCAAGTGCACCCCGCCCCCCCCCTCTCTTCGTAACCGACTCCCCATCCCCAGGTCAACCAACCGTTAATAAATCCCCTGCGTCCGATACTGAAAAGTATCATAAAGCCGCGTGTAATAACTCCCCGCACTCTTCCCCACCAACTCGTCCACAAACTCCCTCGCACCCTGCTCACTCCTCTCAAGTACAAACCTCGCCCTCAACGCCGCCATAACGGTAACGACCCCGCCACCATAACAAGGCTTCCTGCTCTCCCTCCCCATCAACTCAACTAACGTGACAATCCGCTCGGCCTCCCTGCGTAAAGCCTGAAAAGCCTCTTTAATCAGGTCCTTGAACAACGTGAACGGTGCCCCGTCCACGGGACCGAGAAGCTCGAGATACTCGGAGGTGAGTTTAAAGGGCGCGGCTTCGAAACCCATGTTCCCGGGGGAATTATAGAGCATGAAGCCGAAATCGATATGAATCACATGGCCCTCGGAGTCGATGAGGATGTTTCCGTTATGGCGGTCTTTGAGTTGCAGGATGTAGGAGATGATACTGTAGGCTGCGAGACTGCGGACGAAACAGTCTATGGCGGCTTGGTAGGCGGGACTGTCCACGGGGCCGAAGGTCTTGGCGTAGTGGTCTTGGAGCGTGGCGATGCGTTTCTTCGGGTTCGTGCCGGCGGTTATTGAGGCGAGGGTGAGGCTCCGTTTTAGGGAGTGGAGGGAGACGGCGTTAGTGATTGTTTCGATGAGGCCGGAGGATTCCCCAGTAACCAGGATCCGCATATTCTTCACCCAGACATCGACTTTGTGCTCGGAGAAGATCTTGTCACAAACGGCTATAAGTTGGCAAGCGAAAGCTTCTTGTCTCAAGTCCGCTCCAGTCTTGACGATGACGGAGATAAGATCCCAGTTCTTGACCCAGCCATAGGGTGACGACCGTCGAATTCGCTCTTTCTTCTGCTCCCAGGCCTCGCCAAAAGTCGCGGCGGATGGGTCATCTCGGTCTCCGTTCGCGCGTTGGATCCCACCAGTCATGGCATCGTTCTCCATCCGTGCTGCTCCCTTACCTGAATTGACAGCCGGATCAGCGGGAACATCCAGCTCATCGTTCTCGATATCATTGGCTCCAGTCTGCGCGGCTGCCGCACTGGCTTTGGCCATGATCTGGTCAAAGTTCGGTGTACCTAAAGCATCGTCGTTCAAAAAGCTCTGTTCTTCCAGAGACTGCATGCTGGCAATGATCTTGGCCTTGATGGCAGCCACTTCAGTCTTCGGTCGTTTGGCAGCGCTGAGTTCGAGTTGAGCTAGCATTTGTGACGCCATGCGCATGTGATCGGCCAGTGCGGAGACGTCTGACTGTGTTGGATTCTGAGGCTTGATATAGGGTGAGCTTCGCAAAGCTGGGCTGTCAGAGCCCGCATCTGGTCCTTCAGAATTGCGTGGTGTCGCCAGACTAGGATCTGAAGATATCGTGCTCACGCCACTGGAAAGCCTTGGTGGTTCTCTGGTACCTCGCATTACAGGACTACCACTCTTTTCAAGATTGGCATCTTTGAGTAGTGCTGCACTGGAGAGATCGCCGTTGGTAGGCTCAAGAACACTATCGCTGGTTGTGTCATTCTGTGAATTTATGGCGGCTTTTCGTGCAGCGTCGGACGTGTCGAACAATCTCCGTTTCGGCTTGCCCTTCTCGGAAAGTAGTTCGGCAAGGAGCTGTACGTTCTGCTCACTCTCGGAATCAAAATCAAAGTCCTCTCGCAGCACTTCTAACATGAGTAGATATGGAACTTTCTCAGCACTGTTCAGACTTGTCGCTTCGGCAGGATTCAGACGCACGATGCGGTGATGGCGACTTCGACTAGCTGAGCCGTCTATTAGAGTGGCCGGGCAGATGAGAGGTATGTCGACCTCTGCTGGTAGATCCTGAGCGATGAGGGCCAGCTCGGCTCGTAGCGCACTGAGCCGTGCAGGCTTAGGCACTGACACTAGCCGAGATGAAATACCTTCCAATGCGGCCAGAAATTGCGTCTGACTCCGAAAGTAATTCTGCCGTAGCATTCGAGTTCTGTGTGATCGTGACACCGTTGAAGGTGTCGTAGGTCGTGATGCGTGGGAATGCCGCCGTGGTGGCTCGCTCGGTCGTCGTGGTACGCCAGCTGAAGTGGGCACACTCGCAGCGGGTGGCACGTCTTTGTGTACTGGTAGTGAGGCCGTACTGCTGAAAGCCTCACTATTGCGTATCGCAGCAAGAGACTGGCGATGCGAAGAAGCCTTTTTGCCATCTGTACGTGGTGTGATGGGCAGTGTCCGGGGTGCTGCAACTCCGCTGACGTCTATCGCAGACGGTCGTTTCGGTCTTCGTGGACCAGCTTGTTTCGAATCGCTCGAGCCCGGACGCACTTTCTTCGATGTGCTTGTGCTTCCTGTCACGGTTGCGCTCCTGCCTAACTTCTGTGCCGGTGGCAGAGCTTCGGATATGAGATCCTCGATCGGTCGTGGTCGCCTCGCCTGCGCAATGGCGAGTGGTCCGGCATGCTGCGGCAGCACTGGTAGGGCTATACCCGCTAGCACCAAGCTCGAAAGGACGGTGACCGGCAAGACATTCTCTTGTATCTTCTCCCGCTTCAAAGGCTCTCCGCTACTGAAGACTATCCTCTGCACTTTATTGTAAAGTCTGCGACAAGTCTGAAAAGCATTCGAGGCCGGCTGAGGAGCTAGATCGTGGAGGTAGGTCTGGAAGAGCCAGAATGTCTGTGGACACCTTCGCGATCAGTCCACATCCCTCGCTTTCTCTCTTTACTTGCCACCCCTACGTACCAATAACGCTCCATTGACCGACTCTTCACACAAGTCTATGAGGAACTCCTCCAAGGCCATTGATTCATTATCGATCGAGATGAGCAAATGGCATAATTGCGGCAGAAAGAACTCGATCTCCTCGTAGCTGAACTGTCGTAGCTTGCTGCAGAGGACATAGTGGATTCCGACATGCTCGGCGTACCTCCTAGACACAATATCACTAATCAGCGACCTGATATTTCAATGCCATATTTGGCAGGTAGCCGAATGAACTCACGCAAGGTAGGCGACGGTCAGGGAAGGGTCTTTGTTAAAGTGCTCGGACTCGATGAAGCGCTCGAGCAGATTCCAGCTCATGTCCTAGGTCGTGGATATCCAATACAAGCCATATGTCATCTTTCGCTGGCCATGGGGAAAACAAATGTCTTTGTAATTATGCTGCTCCGTTTGCTTCGCCCGTGCTTCGTGATCGCAATATTGGAGGTCTGGACAGGTCGCCCTAAGTCTCTATTGTTTTCTTAAGGCTCTTCGGCGTTGCGGCCGTGGGTGGTAGAGAAGGAAGTGATTGACATGTGCGATTCATCCGAACTCGAGCTCGCTACTTCACCACGCGAAAGTCAGGGCACTTCCGCTTTCGGACAAAGCCCCACACACAAAGGGTCCACAGTGCCCATATACCATAACCACTACTCAGCCTCAACATACAAGATGTTTAGGGTGCAAGGTACTAGTACGCACTAAAGCTAATCAATCAGGCTACGATTTCACCCACCAAACACTCAGCTCGAGATGAATTCTGGAGATTGTAAACACCTTCTGAAATATAGATCGAGTGTACCAAAATCCGAGAACATGACCCTCCAGATCTGGCCAATCGCTCATGCTCCCCGAACACCATCGCTTTCCTGCGAACTGTATTACAAGAAGTATTGGTGAGATAGATCGTACAATGCAGTCTCCTCCCGCCGAGGCGGACCAAGCGACAGTTCCCTTCTTTTACTCTCCAGCGTACAGATCCACCACAATATTAATCGCCGCGACCAGAATCTCAGCAGCAATAAGCACAATGACGATCCACTCCAAATACTCGCCTACACGCCTCCGTTAGAAAGGGATTTCTCGAATAGAGGGGTAGTGTCAAAAGGAATGAGAAGCTTACCATGCGTATGACTCAACTGATCCTTCAAAACCGCCAACAAATCCCCCACCACCGACACCCGCTCCTGCATCAACTCCACCCTCTGATCCATTTCGAGATAACTCCTCACAGCCTGATAGACCGGCTCGAGCTGCGGTTCCGCCCACATGAGCTCCGGAGCATCGAGCACACTTCCTTGCAAATGGATGTTGATACGGAGGATAAAGAGCTCGCCGATCTGCATATTTATTTCGCGGCGTGTGAGGCCCACGCGGCCTGTGCGGGCGATTTCGCCGGGGAGGGAGGCGGTGGTGGAGATGGTGGCGTCGAGGAGGTCTTCGTAGAGGGATGTCTAGAGTCGTCAATGTCAGTTTCATGCGACTTTCCATGTTAATTTCATGCTTTCTTGCTCGCTTGATGACACACCTTCGTGCTCTGCGCCAACGCATGCGAGATAGCGAGTTTAGTCATATAATCCCTCTTCACCTTCAACGAGATGAAATCATTATATATCCTCGCCTGGTACTCGCGGGTGTAGTAGAAATTAAACTCTTCCGTCTGGACATCGTCTTTCCCAAGCTTCTCGAGCTCGAATTTGGAGAGTTCTTTGAGGAAACGCTGTTCTTCTTTAATGGTGAGGCCCCAGGTTACTACCACGCCGTATTCGAAAAGGAAGATCTCGGGGATGTGGATCGTGGTGTCGAAGTCGGGAGTTTCGGGGCGTTGGAGTTGTTGGGAGGGTAGATCGGTGGTGGAGGATGAGTGGGTGGGGTCGAGCATGGTGTCGTCTGTACTGATCGGCATCGAGTTTGGTTGGGACGAGGTAGGTCCAAATGGGCTATCACTTGAGCTTCTTATCTCGTCTCGGAGATCTATGAGGTCTTCTCGTCGTCGCTCGGCGTTCTCCTCGACTTCGATCGCGCTGTCCGAGAAGCGGCGTTGTGGTTCGCTTCTTACCGCCGCCAAAGCCTCTGCTTCTTCTGCCTCCTGTGCTGCGCTACTTCTTCTTCGGCCGCTACTGCCTTCTTGCCTATATCGATAGGGTGTATATATGCATTCATCGAACAGCTTAGGTGCCGCACTCTTCGTCTTCGCTCGTCCTTTCAAGAAGCGCATGAGGTCGTCCATTTTGTAGCTCGCCGCCGTGCAGTGCGCGGTCACGCGCGGCAGCTTCGCTCGATCATCCTTGCCCAGCCGTGCAGCGTCTCGTCTTGCTGTTGGATCTTTTATGCGCGTGAACTGACTGTAGACTTCCCTCCCACTCTCCTCATCCGGACCTTCTTCGCCGACATCCGGATTTGGGAGCAGCTTCAGCTTCTGCGCTGTTCGCGTCGTTCTCTGCGGGCCGATCTTGCTGGCGGATACTTGTGGGACTATGGACAGAGGTGCTCCAGAACTGTTTCGTCTTCGGAGCTTCGAGTTGAGAGCCGATAGTGTAGACTGTGAGCCATCCCGGGGCGCAGTCTGCCCTATCGAGTTCGCTGAGAGTGGAGCTGAGCCGGTTGGGAAGCCTGGTCGTCGTCGTGGTGGGCTCGCTGCCATCACTTGGGGATTGAAAGTCACCGACCGGGATGGCTTTCTCGGCGTCTCTTGTGCATGGGTGGGCAGCAGAGGCGATGCCTCGCTAGGGTTGCTGGGAGCCATTGCGAGTATCAATGGTTCTAGATTGTTAAGAGGATATTTGACGGTACGTAGGACAAGCGAGTCATGTCTTCCACGTGCTTGGTGATGCAGCAGGACCGCGACTTACAGCTTGGCAACGGTCCGCTACAGCTCCAGTAAGAAGCTCGGAGGCCAATTTACAGCACGGGCCACAAGTCGGCGAGGACAAAAGTCGAAGCTGCTTTCTAGTATAATGAGCTTCACACGTGCAACATATTACTGGGTGCACTCGTCGCGGCTCAGAGTAGTCAGCGTCGATACTACACCATACACATCGTATGGTGAAGGCGATAGAGAAAGCCTCTTCATCGACTACAGCCACTCAAGGGCAGAGGCTCACCGGCATGCTGTTTCCGATCGAGCAGTGCCGAAGCTATCATACACCACTCGCCTCCCCATCACGCCGCAACGACAAATGATTGCGAGAGCGTTCAAGCACGATGACTTACTTGCTTTCGACTTGAAATCTCCCTCGTCCCGACTGCCCGAGCAGAAATGATCGACAGGCATGAATTCCTAGTCCGACAATCGAGACCGTTCTACGCCCCCCAGAATCGCGATGAGCCCGCTGCGCCGCGATTGATGTAGTGTGGCGATTTCTGCAAGAAAGTGCTAACTAGGTGGAACGATCATTGCTAAGCGGTCCCTCGGCATATACATCGATACCCAACCAAAGCTACCCTCAGCTTGCTCAGATCGTCCCCAACTGTGTTTATTCCGGAACTGCTATAAGGCGTGCCTGCCAACTTGTGACTTTGCCGGCGTGTTCGGCCTGCTCCGCGAACAGTCTCCATTGCCCGTACAACTTTGTCGCTATGCTTTCGCAACCTGCGTACACCCTTGCCCCCACCGATCAGTTTCTACTGTTTGGTGACAGCATAACACAGCAATGCTTCTCGCCAAACACGGCTTTCTCGTTCGGTGCAGCTCTCGCGGACACGTACGTCCGTCGACTGGACATCGTCAACCACGGCTTGTCAGGCTACAACACCACACAGGCTTTGCAAGCACTGCCGCTATGCATGCCCGAGCCGGAGGTGACCAAAGTGCGCTTCATGACCATCTTCTTCGGAGCCAACGATGCTCGGATTGCTGGCTCGCCTGGCGGACCGAGTCAGACCGTCCCTCTCAATGAGTTCAAACGGAACATCAAAGCAATGATCCAAAGTCCTAGCGTGGTCGCTCATGAGGACATACGCATCATCCTCATCACCACGCCGCCCATCGATGAAAGAACACTATCTCAGACCGACCACGAGAAGTATGAGCATCTGCCACGGAACACGTTGCGCCGAACGGCAGCCCATACTGCTACCTATGCTGAAGCCGTGCGCTCGCTGGGAGTAGAGCTGGACATACCTGTATGCGACATACACACCGCGATGATTGCACGAGCGGGTTACAGTCGCTCAGCCAGCATCTCCTCCGACCCAACATCATCATCAACATCTACCACGACCAGAAGACCATCGGCCTCAACATCGCGATACCCAGCAAACCCGTCAAATGCGTCCTCATCGAGTACGACCGCTACAATCATCACGACAGCCACCTCCGTCATAGCCTCACCAACCCCAGGCTCCCTCGACTCCCCAGAAAATCCCACCCTCCAATCCTTCTTCACAGACGGTCTCCACTTCTCCGGTGAAGGCTATCGCGTCCTGTTCGGCGAAGTGATGTCGTTGATCGAGGAGACGTGGCCGAGTCAGATGCCGGCGAGACTTCCCCTGCGATTGCCGCCGTGGGACCTCCGGCCGGCTTGGCAGACGGCTGGGGAGGATCTACCGGAGACGCGGAGGGAGAGCGGACATCGGCAGTTTGCTGGTGGTGGAGGCAGTCCGGGTGATGAAGAGGGCATGAGGGTTGAAGGGACGTTTGAGGCTGTTGTGAGGGAGGTGAGGAGGCGTGCGTGATCTGGGTGAAGAGAGGGAGAGTGTGCTGACGGAGGGGATTGAGACGGTTGTGATTTTGTGAGGGAGTACTCTGCGGGTCTGGTAGCAGAGATGGCGTAATGGTGGGCTGTCCAGACTGATATTCATGATGGAGGAGATGCGTTACTATGACGGCTTTCTCGTACCACTCTCTTTGCCCGTACAGCAAGTACAACTGTTTTGACGGCGTGTGTATACCTCATCATCAATGCAGCTGACGACGACCCGATGCATGCCAATTGAGGCTGTACGGCCAGCAAACCCAATGCCCCACCTCTTCTCCAACTCCCGGCTCCAAATTGCGTGTCTTCCACGTGCGTCTGTATGCACCACCTCCAGCTTTCATTATCGTGAGACATGTTCCTTTCGTATATTACAATGTGCACTTGATCATTGCTTCGAACGGGGCCCATCGCAGACGCCACGGGACGGATCATTCAAGCCTCTCAAAACCTCGGGCTATCACAACAGCCATGAAGTCGATGCAGCGTCGCTTCGGCGGCATGATGAAGAGGTCGGCGGACGAAGCAGACGTGGGACAGATCTTGACCGAGTTTAAGCAGGTGGACGAGATGCTATCGCAGGTAATCATAGGCCATAACACGCAATACCACTCCACTGACCTGCCACTGACGTACTCCAGCTCACCAAAGACCTCACAGCCTACCGCAACAGCTGGGACGACATCCTAAAGCTCCAGTACGACTGCAGCGAAGCCCTAGTCACCCTCTACAAACCCATCGGCCCCCTCGATGATCCGGAACAGCGGAGTCAGCCCACGGAGACACCGCAGGGATACATGCAGAAGTGCCTTGGTTTGCAGAAACTGTACTCGGAGTTGAAGACCGACTTACTGCAGGAACTGAGTCTCATCGATCAGAAACTCATCCGGCCCGTGGAGACGGCGAGAGAGGGGATGAAGATGTTGCATAAGACGCTCAAGCATCGGGATAACACCAAACTGGATTACGAGAAGTACATGAAGCGGGTGGAGCATGCGGGGAGGAAGGACACGAGGTCGGCGAAGGAGGAGGCGGCGTTGGCGTCGCATGAGCAGAATGCCACACAGGCCAAGATCGACTACCAGACGGCGGACGAGCAGGTCAAGCAGACATTTCCGCCTGTGATTGATGCGGTGATGGAATTATCCCCGTTCCTGCTGGCGAGCCAGATTATGCTACAGACGACGCTCGTGGGACAGGTGTATACCGTTTTGGATCGATATACCAAGACCCATCGGATGTCAAATCCTGCCCCAGGCAACGAGGAGATTGTGGGTGTATGGGAGCAGGAATTCACGGGTTTCAGGAAGGAGTTGGAGCAAGGGCTGCAGACGATCAGCCAGGGGAAGGTGGTACATCAGAGTATGGATCTGCCTATGGAGAAAGGGAAGACGTACACAGGGCTTGGACTCAGGAACAAGGCGGGTGGGGCTACGAGTAAGGTTGGGGGGATGATGGGGAGGAAGGGGAGTGCGCCGCCGAGTGTTCCGCAGAAACCGAGTTTTGGGCGGCAGGGGAGTGCGGGCAGTGGGCAGTTGGCTATTGGGAATGGAGATGGGAGGGATTATGGTGAAGAGGAGGAGATGGCGCCGCCTAAGCCTCCGCGACCGGGTGGAGCTGGAGGTAGCATTCCTGCGACAAGTCCGTACGGCATGCCGAGTCCAGGGATCCCCGTGGGCAGCAAACCACGGATCCCATCTGTCACATCCCCTCTAGCTCCGCCCTATGACCGAAACTCGACCGGCACCCCCGCCTCCTCCTGGCTACCAGAAAAACCACCACCCTCCTACGAACAAGCAGCAGGCCAAGCCACACCACCAAGTCGCTACGCCACGCCCTTAGGCACCAGCGCAGCCATCTCCCCACCCTACCCCACCAACACCAACGGCCCCGCCCACGCCATCCCCTCAAACCCCCAAGACTACTTCGCCGCCCACCGCCGCATCTCCCAATCCTCCGCCATCTCATCCCTGTCTTCCACCTCTGCCGCCGCAGCGAAGAAGAAAGCCGCCCCACCTATCCCGGTCAAGAGAGTTCCGTCACAGCAGCAAACGGCACAGTACGTGACAGCACTGTACGACTTCGAGGCCCAGAATGATGGGGATCTGGCTTTTAGGGAGGGAGATAGGATTAGGATTTTGGTGAAGACGGGGAGTGTGGACGATTGGTGGGAGGGGGAGTGTCGGGGCCAGCGGGGCAGTTTTCCGGCGAATTATGTCGAGGTGTGAGGAGGAACGGGATGGGTTGCGGGGTGAGAGGACCACGTGAGAAGGGGTATGGAGCACTGCGGTGCGGGGGCTTGAACAGATCGACTGTTAAGTTGGGTATGCACGCTTGGAGGATCAGAGAAGATAAGGTCCTGTTCGCAAGCAAGTTCTTGCTGCTGCAAAGCAAAGATACAGTATCCCCGCCACAGTTTCTGATAACATGATGCGATACATACAAGCCGCGGTCGTGAAGTCTTGAACGTCACCATTCGTCTGAGAACAGACTCATGAACTAGTCTCATACTTCGACCGCTTCCTCAACCCCGCCCCACACTTCCAGAACAACCACGGTATAGGCGCCATAGCCAACGTGCAAAACCCGAGCAGACTAGTCGCCCATCCCACGCCCAGCGCTTTGTACATCTGCAGACTGAACAACGGGAACACTGTACTCATCAAATACCGGGATAGCATCGCTGCTCCGGCCGCCGAGGCGCCGTATAAGGGGCCATAGGCGTCCATCATGAAGAGGTTTGATGAGGCGTAGATCAGGAGACTGGAGGAGGCGATCGTGCATTGGAAAATGATGGGCACGATCCAGTGAATTTCAGGGCGGGCCGTCCAAGCGAAGATGAAGAGCGAGATGGGAAGGCCGAAGGAGCCGATTAAGGCGGGTACGAGGCGGTTTTCTGGCGGGAATTGATCGTCTTCGGATGGTTTTTGTTTGCGGAACTTCCGGAGTTGCGGTTGGTAGACGAAGTAGTCTAGTAGGAGGAGAGGGATTGGTGCGGTTCCCGTGCCGATTATGAGGCCTAGGAAGGAGAGGCTTTGGCTGGTGGTGGAGAAGTGGTAGTAGTGTTCGTAGACCCATGGAGAGGCGATGACGAAGGTGTACATTAGGCCGAAGAGGAAGCCGTTGTAGAGACAGACCAGCGTCACGATCGGCTCCGTCAGCAGCATGTGTACCGGCCTGAAGACCAGCGTGGTAGCGAAATACCGCACGTTCGCCGGCAGCGATCGTGGGATCGTCGGCGGCCCCTCCACCCCCAACTTCTTCGCCCGCCGCCGTAGGATGGTCTTCTTGTACGACTCCCGAATGAACAGGATCGGGAGATAAAACGCCAGCAAGAAGATGATCGTCACCCACTGCGTCCACCTCCAACCCTTGTTTTGAGTCACAAATCCACCGATCAGCGGTCCCACGTACGCTCCAAACGTCGGCATGGAGTAGTAGAACGCGAACGAGATCCCGCGGTACTGACTAGCAGCATAATCCGTCAAGGTTGCGGACGCATTGCCGACAGCTGGAGCCGCGAAGACGCCTGCGAAGAAGCGACATATGATCAAGGTTTCGATATTCTTCGCGAGTCCCGCGCCGAGAGTGAAGAGCGCGAAGAGTGGTGTGTTGATCAGCAGGACGATTTTTCGACCACTTGTTTCGCTCAAAGGTGAGCCGATGAGGGGGCCGAATGCTAGGCCTAGGTTGTAGAGGGATAGTGGTAAGATGGCGACTTCGTCGGAGACATTGAAGAGTTTGGCCACTTCTGGGGCGCCCGGGCTGTAGATTGAGGCGGCGAAGGTCGTGACGAAGGCTAGCAGTGTCACGGCTGTGATGGAGTAGGTTTTGCGCGCCAGGGAGAAATTCCTTGGGTTTGCTGGGTCGTGGGTTGAGAGCCAGTCTTTGGCGTGTGTGATTGTTGATGGGGTTGTCTCCGGGTCGGGCTGAGCGATCTTGTCATCCATCAGGGCCATTGGATAGTCGCCAGGGCGCCGACAGTGCTTTCATGTCGATGTCCATGATGGGCGGATGTTCGGCTTCATGTATTGATGTAGACGATGTCCTCGGTGATGTCGCTGGACAAGCCGCCGAGGTCGGGCGAGTTGTCAAAGTTGAAGTTTGGGAATGTGCAGGGCGTGGAGAAAGTTTGAGTCGCGAGAACCACACGGCTGGATTTTGTCATCAATTAAGGGACATTATGCCTGCTGGTTCCAATGACGGCCGTTGCGGGACGTTACGCAGATACAATGGCGACTTGAGAGGTGAAGATGAGATCTGTCACACTATATCCTATCGTATCATCATCCCAAACCCATCGTACTGCTGATCAAGACACAGCCTCTCAATGCCCATGCCCACCCAACCCAGTAAGAAGAGGCAAGAGCATTCCCGCGACCGTGACAAGGACATCCACCACCCCGCCGCCCTCCGACACGCGATGCTTACTAGCCGAATCATTGCCCATACCATACCCATCCCCCTCTTCCACGTCCAAATTCCCAAGCCCCAGATACCCATTCCCACCTACCTGCCCATTCCCATCATGCTCATGACCTCCCGAGGAACTCTCAAGCATAGTATGCACAGCCACATACAAGAACGTCCCACCAGAAAATAATAACAGCACACCCGTCGCGAACTGCGTACTAGCCGGTTCCCTCCCACTCATTGCGCTAGACCCACCAGCAAACATCTTCGCCACAATCCAGGTCCCTATTGCGCCCACGGGCGCTGCGAGAGAGAAGACGATGAGATGGGCTCGGGCCATGCGTTTGGAAAGACCTTGTTTGAGGAGTACGGCTGTGAGACCGAAGGCTGCGGGTGCTTTGTGCAGCATGAGAGCCAGGAAGATCACCAGTGTGAGGCGGTTGCCAGTATTGGTGTTTGAGGCGGAGGAAGCTCCTAGCGCGATTCCGTCGGCTGTTGCATGGATTAGGAGGCCTAGGGTTGTGGAGTTTGGTTTGGGTAGGTTGGCCGTGGACATAGGGCCAGAGGAACTCTCTTGCGTGGGTGTCTCTGCTTCGGCGGTATTGTCCGCGGAGTGGTTGAAGGATAGAGAGATTAGACTTATGCTGAACCGGCGCGGTTTTGTCTGGGAGCTTGCGAGGGCGCGGGGGAGAGTGTCGATGAGGTACATCAGGACGAAACCTGAAACTAAGGAGAGGCCTACCCATGCATGTGGTTCTGGGCCGGTGTGATCGTGGTCGTCTTCTTCGTCTTCGTCATGGCCTGTCTCACCAGCGCTCGTGCTTGGTATTGTAATATCTTGTGCGGCTGACTGCTCTGTAGTCTCCCAGACCGCAATGTTGCCGTCCACGCCTAAGGAATCGAGTACATCGTCTCTCCGCTCATGATTTGACCACGATACCGCCGCTGGCTTGCTCAGACCTACATGCCTTCTGCCCTGAAGCACCGCTGCCCTTCTCTCGTGACCATGGCCATGTCCACCTTCCTTGCCAGCGCTGTACAATGTCTCCACACCCTCCGGTATGATCACGATCAGTGATGTTCCTACTAACACACCAGTCCCTAGTGCGGTTATGAGACGGAGTTGTCGCTCTGATAGGGAGAAGAGGAGAGGGAGTATGCCAGCGAGAAACGACCTACCTTACGCAATCAGACTGGCTGCTATTGCCTACTATGAGATGAGGTTCGAGACTCACGCTATCCCCATGACTGCGCATAGCAGTATGAGCATTAGAAGGCCGCCAGCTGCCATGTCGGGCAATGTGTATCCTCCACGTGATTCGTGAATGTGCTGTTATTGCCTATGCGACTGCATTCTCGAGTCCAGCGATCACCTTATCACCTTTGTAGCTGAATGGACTCGGTGCAACAATAACTTTAGCTGATCGGGACTTGGAGCTTGGACCACCACTTTAAGATCACGACGCGAAGCGCGTCAAGCTCACAGCTTCACTTCACAAGGACATCTCCCTACACAAAATTACCAACACCGCCCCGCAACGCCAGCATGGAAGTCGGCGACGAGCTTACGGCGGAGATCACGGCACAGGTGGAGGAATGGTCGACGAACAGCACCGCCTGCACGACCATCCACCTCTACAATCCGACCACGAACACCACGACCGCCTTCTTCCAACCCGAATTCACATACCCCATCTTCGGCGAGGAAGAGGCGATATTCGGCTATCGTGATCTCAGCATCGACATCACATTCGCTGCTCACAATCTGCGACCGCATGTCAAGATATCGCACGGCAAGAAGTTCCAGGCGCACGGCGAAGTGAGGCCGACAGACGTCAAGGCTGCCTTGGCGGACTTCCTTCCCGAAAGTGCATTTGGTGGCGGTGGGAAGAAGGATGTGCTGCGGGATGACGCAGCGAACGAGTTTGTGCCGCCAGGACGAAGGATAGCAGAGTACTCACGTGATGGCATCAATCATGAGATCTGGTGTGCAAGTCTTGCGGACTCAGCGGCGAGAGAATTGCTGGAGAACATGCAGATCCTCATCCCACTTTTCATCGAAGGCGGGTCGATGTTACAGCTGGAGCATGACTGGAGCACCAAACGATGGAAGCTCTTCCTGCTCTACCGACTCGACCACAGACCCATGCCGAAAGCATCGCCCTATTCACTGGTGGGCTATGGGACTTCATACCGCGTCTCCACGCTTCCTAGCCGAGCGGACCCTCTCAAAGAAGATGAAGATGCTTACACTGAGAAGTCTCTTGACAAGCTTGTCTCCTCCGCGGACAGTACATCCTCGCCTCTCGACCTACCTAGCCGAGAACGGCTCTCCCAGTTCCTCATCCTGCCACCGTACCAAGGTGCCGGCCACGGTCAACAGCTATATAACACAATGTACAGCCACCTCACCATAGCCGCGAACGTTCACGAGTTCACCGTTGAGGACCCCAATGAAGCGTTCGACGATCTGCGAGACATCTGCGACCTTCAACACCTACGCGCGAAAGTGCCTGAATTCGCTGCACTACGACTCAACACAGAACTCAAAGCTACGGACTTACCCGCCACCTCCGACATTCCGCTCGATCTGATTCTGTCCTTGATACCAGAAACCCGAACACAACTACAACGAAAAACGAAATTGACGGATCGCCAACTCAACCGCCTGATAGAGATGCACACCCTCTCCTTCATCCCCGCCTCCAACCGCTCCCGGAGTAGAATCACGAGAAAGCTGAAGGCGAGCAACGAGTTCGATCGAGCTTTCTACCTGTGGAGATTGATGGCTAAGCAGAGATTGTACCTGCACAACAGGGATCTACTCGCGCAGGTCGAGCGGGTAGAGCGGGTGGAGAAGTTAGAGGGAGTTCTAGAGGGTGTCGTGGAGGGATATGTTGCTCTGCTTGAGAGGGTGGAGAAGATGGGCGGCAGGTCTGAAGACGCAGATGGTGAGCGTGAGGTCAAGGGGGGAGCTGTTGCGAATTCTATCCCGAAAGGGAGGAAGAGGAGGGTTGTGGATGAGGATGATGATGAAGAGGACGAGAGGGATGAAAGCGAGATGCTGGTGGATCAGGTGCCGACGATGAATGGGAAGAAGAGAGTTAGGATGTCGTGACCTGGGCCGTGATCGTCCGGGGTTATCCCAAGAATCAGAGAGCTTCAAAGAAGTGAAGGTGTACATGATTATACTGTGAACTTAGCAAGGCGTCTGGGAAAAAGACCGCGAAGATAGTATTGGTGACTCGCGGAATCGAGGGTGATATTCCATAACACAATCACGGCCACGCCAGCTGTGGTCCTTCGTCGAGTGCTCTTCGGCTTACTATATATGCTCAATCTTCCATCACGACACTCCAGTCAGATGCATAGGAGTTCGAGCCACTTATATCCACAACCTGATCTGGTCTCCCTCGATGCTACTGCCGTTGGCGTCCGTCGCTTGTGGCAGCCTTCGAAACCCAGACTGGTATGCTACCTCGAGTCTATTGCAGAAATTTGCGCTCGAAGGCAGGCCCAGGACTTGAAGGTGCTCCGAGATCTGGAAATACGGCGATATGGCGTAGTGAGGTGGCTGTTGGATCGCTGACGCAGTAGTAATCCTACCGCGGAGACTCACTTACGAGCAAGTCCCGCTCTCCAAGTTTGGCTCAACAGTCAGCATTGGTTGCTTGCTGACTCTCGGACTACGTGCTCAAATAGAAGTCGATCGAGAACGAGTTGAGCCTACTTATGCTGACCATGCGAATTCGTGCATTGCACCCACACCTCCCACTGTTCTCTCCAGCTCGATTCGCTCTTCACGCCTATCCGCCTGCGCATGACCATCATGCGTCGCGTGCGAATGTAGAAGCTACCAGGATTTCGGTCGGGCGCCTGGACCTGCGCGTGACGCCGCTCCATTCACTTACAGCTTTGCAAGCTCGCACGGACTTTTATGGGGCTGAATCGAGATTAGTGCTTCCGCGCCTGGAAAGACGACCTGCAGGAAGATGTTGCACTTACTTACTTCCTCGTTCATGTTGGACAAGGTCCCTACTTCTTGAGACACGGATGTGGTCACATGAACAGTGTACACAATGCTCTTGGTCCTGCCAACAACTCTCAGAGCAATAATGATGATGACGAGACGAGCCTACTTGAGTTCGAAATCAAGGAACACGAGGATGATGAGGATGACAGCGAGGCCGATGATCCTGGTGAGCTGGACCAGCATCGCCCAAGCACTCCGGCACTCATCGAAGAACAACGATCCCGGGGAATGCTGGAGCCTTCCGCGGCTCGTGCTAAGCCACAGGTGTCTAGTCCCACGGCATCCCGCTTCACACGGATGACCAATGACCAAAGCAGCAACATCAAGTTGAGCATGCCGTAGCCCTTCGGAGTGCACAAAAGACCAGGTGTGAAGCACAGCAAGCATAACGCTGGCTCAAGGACCTGGGGTAAAGCGCCTGACCACTCGAACGGCGATCCGCTCAAGGCTCAAGAAGATAAGGAGAAGCGCAGGATCGAAAGGATAAGAAGGAGGAAGCTTGCTCTTGTATCACGTCCCGCACGCTACGAAGGTAAGCACAGGTGGGCGACGCCTCTCAGCGCCAGACATTCGATTTCTCCGTCAAGACTTCGATCGATGTGTCGTCTATACAGATGGCTCTTCACAGTCGTCCAAAGCATCCGGACTTGGCGTTGCTCACTATCGTCACAACGGGATCTGGGACGGCCTCTCTATCACGGTAGCGCCCGACGATAACAACAAAGTAGAGTACCAAGCCATCACGGCGGCCTTGGTAGCCGTGCTGCGGGTTGACCTTCTTCGTGCTGGCCAGAGCGCCCTCATCCTCACGGACTCTGAAAGTGCCTTACGCAAGATCTACGAGAGCGACCTTCCACGTCGATGGGATGAACAGCAACAAGTGTGGCTCTTCAGGGACGTTCTTGACCCCGTCTCAGAGGCACCACTTGAGACCGAAGTCGAGTTCGCTCACACCTTTCGTCGCGGCTAGTGTGCTGGTAACAAAGTCGCTGATAAACTGGCTGGTTGGGCCTCTGCAGCGGCCGACATGGGTACTCTGCCAGGCCGATTCATCGGATACGAGCAGCCCGAGATGCAAAATGTGGCAAACTTGGCTGAGGGCAATCTGAACAGGCTGATGCAGCAGTACGGGCCTTCGCCAGCAGCTCCAATAGGCTTCCAGCCCATGCACGCAACGCCACCATGGAGTTACCAAATGCTGGAGCACCTGCGAGTGATTGCTGGGATGGCATCACAGTATTTCACACACCTCCACAACCTCAGCAATAGTCGGAGCCTACTGCCCCCAGCCCAATTCAGCTTCGGCCCCGTCTCTCCCGCGCACGCGACTATATCTGCGATCAAGCAAACTTCCTTTCCGACTTTACAAGGGATGGATCACACTCAAGCCGTGAAAGACGCTCGATCTGACGAGCTACCGGCTGGCAACTCCCGTCGAGCGGCTGCACCAGGTACAGTGCCAAGATTGGCTAAGGTCCAGTTGCCAATGGATGAGGAAGAGACAGGACTGACAGGCGCGTTCGAGTTCGCTGACGACAGCAGTAGCCGGACCCTTTGACGAGCTTTCCACCTGGCTCGACACAGCCATCACCGAACCTATCATTGATCGAGGCCAACCAGCGCAGGCGAGAAAATCGAGCTTGCCGGTCTTTCTACATCTGCAGTACGAGAAGCAGTTCAGAGGAGACAGCCGTCAGCCTCTGGAATCGCAGGATCGCAGAAGATTTTGACTTTCGTGCTATCAACGGTGACAGTACGGAGGATTTCATAATGAGCAACAAGCGACGCAAGTTTACTTAGTGGTACTGTTGGATCCAGAGACTAGTACCAGGTCCGTGACAACGGGGAAACAGCTTAAGTTTTGCTGCTGCCACAGAAGCAGATCAACATAGCGGAGGCTGACAAGTTGACTCGCTTCCGCGAGGTGTATCCTGCGATTCGCTGTTCAGGCTGAAGCTGCCTGATGCTTGTTGGTCGTAGAATGCAACATGATTATGCGCAGCTTGAAAGCGGAGTGGGAAGGCACTGCAGCTTGTATGCTAATCTCGATCTACTATTGTGTAATGTCAGTTGCCAAAAGCGTCTCCCTGAGTACCTGGCAATCTCGATGGCATTTTTTGAGTACCTTGGACTTCACGGCTGATCTCGCTAGCGTATCACCCTCAATCCTCGTATTGGGTGGTATAGAATCCAAGCCCAGATCGACATTCTCTTCATTCGCAACATCTGTGTACCTTTCGCCCGTTTCCGAAGCTCCTTCAATGACCTCGAATCTCCACAAGTTGATAGAGGCCATCAGTCTTAGTTTCATCCTACCCTTATTAGCGTTGAACCCGGCAGAGCCACTGAGTCCGTCATCACGATGCTGGGGAAATGGCCCAACATCTATGTCCACATCTATCATCGAACTAGTTGCGGGCTCCTCTTCCTTGATATCACCTCCCAGGGGCAGAGCTCTATTCCTACAATCACGATAGGTCTGCTCTGCCGCGACCAGTCTGTCGTAGTAGTTGATCATCATGGTCCGCATCCCTTGCGCAACGTCATCCTCAGTCCCCTCAGGGTGAGTCTCGAAGAACTTTTTAGCTTGACGCCAGTATTCACGGCGGTCGCGACTTTTCAGGAAGGCGTCCCAAGAATCTCCTAGCGCCTCATGAGCCTTATCATACTTCTGCCAGAGTTCTTGCTGAAGACGCTGATCATCCGATCCCAGCGGCGTTGGCGCTGGCCTTGGATAGTAGTTTTTCAGTTCCCGTTGGGCGGCCTTGTAGCGCTCTTGAACACTCAAGCCATCAGCTCCACGCTTTGTAGGCAAAGAACGGCGGCGAGCATCTTTTGAGAAGGTCAAGAGCTCGTGCCATACGGCTGGCATGCTTTTCGTAGAAGCCGCTGATATCGTCTAGATGGCGCTGCTCGTTGACCGTCGGCACTGGAGGGACGCCTTTACTTGGTGAGGCATCTGTGCTGGTGCGAACGCCTGTGGTGGTTGATTTTATGCCAGTACCGATATCCTTCTGAGTTCGGATTTGACGTTTCTGAAGAGCTGACTCAAGGGCTCGAACAGCGTTCAAAAACATTGTCACGGCGTTGACCGAGCTCGGTGGCAGTAGATCCTTCTCTGTTCCTCTCGTGAAAGCTTCGAGAGGCTCTGCAAGGCCAGTGTGTGCGTCGTGGAGATTTTGCCATGCTTCGGCGCAATCGCTCCACCCTTGCAGACGAATCTTCGTGGCTTCGTTCAGTCGTCCTTGCCCACCTCCCGCACTATCTCCATCTTCGGAGCCAGGGCAAGCCAACACGTGGAGCCCACCAGCTGCTGCCAGCACACGGGCATTGCACATCCGCAGCTTGGCCGTTGCATCCAGCATCCCATCGTACCGTGCCATCGCCACCTCCGGCTTCCGTGCCAAAGAGACCCTGATCTAGCGGATGGACTTTGCTCGCGTGGTTGGGCTCTTCGGCTTCGACACTCGAGGGCCATTTCCTGGTGCGAGCTGTGTTGCCCAACATCTCCTCACAGGCCAAAGAGACAATCCCAGCCGACGCAGACGTTCTTTCATGGGTCGTAATAAGTTGGGCATTGTGCGAACATAATTTAATCGCAATGTCGTCTGTGTCACTATCAGACTCAACGACAACGCTGCCATATTTCATAGCTTCATCCCGTTGAAGACCTTCCACCAGGACTCATTGCTTGCCGGAACCGTGACATGTGCCTTTGTTCTTTGTTGATTTCCGCTCTTATGGGCAGCCATCCACTGTTTCACGCCCATGTGTCTGTTAGGGGCATCAAGCTGTATCGGCGCACGCTCGATCGTCAGTAGAAGCGCTGCTTCTAGCGATTGCCAGCACAGTAGATGTCTAAGGGGAACAATTTGATCAGCACGAGGATACCTACCGACGCACATGTAACCAATCACTACGACCATTGCTTTGGTTGACAACGAGTGCTCTGCTACATCTATTGTTCTCGCTCTTGAATGACGAGACGTCAGGTCTGAGCTCCATTAGACATCTGGTGCCCTGAAATAGACATTCAGGTGGAGGATGATGGTGTTAGAATCGAAATGCTTCCAAGATCGACATATCTTGTCATCATTGATTACGGTGTACTGAATATATACACAATAGCCCTTCACCACCATCGTTTAACAACAACATCAGTGTGTTCAATACATGGGTCTCTATCACACTTTAGATAGATTTCAGAAGAACCGACGACCATGTCTCCAAAGACCGTGATAGTAACAGGTGCAGTCAGTCTACATCCTCTGCTTACTCCAATCCGTTCGCCACACCACCCAACTAACTGACACACACCAGAACCGCGGCATCGGCCAAGCCATCTGCAAACTCATCCTCCAGCGCTCAGATCTCGGTCCTCTACGTCTCTACGCTGCGTCAAGATCTGGAGCTAAACTGGACCTACCTTCGAGCAACAAAGATCAGCAAATTCTGTTCCCAAAGCTCGACATCACCAGCTCATCAAGCATCGCCACTTTCGCCGACGATGTCAAGTCATTCGGGAACGCAGTCGATGTCCTGATCAATAACGCTGGTGTCAATCTCGATAACGAGTACGGACCTGAGAATGCCAAGAGGACACTTGATGTGAACTACAGAGGCACGCTTGAGGTATCCAATCCCCCTATCCGTGTCATCGTTGCCAGCCTGCTGATCCTGTCTGCCGATAAAGATGTGCCAAACCTTCATCCCTTTGATGGCAAAACAGGGCCGTATAGTGAATCTCTCCTCCGTCGCCTCGTCCCTCAAACCCTACAGCTCAGCAACGCAAGCCCGCTTCCGACATCCCCAAAACACACTCGAGGACCTAGACAAGATCGCCGACGAATACCTCGTAAGCCAACCCCAAAAACCAGTCTCTCCAAAACCAATCAAATTGATCCACCAAGCTAACACAAACCCACCAGACCTCCGTAAAAGCCAGCACAGAAGAATCCACCGGTTTCGGTCCGCCCCAACGCAGCTACAGCGTGTCCAAAGGCCTCGTAAACGCCTTCACCGCCCTCCTTGCACATCAAAATCCCTCCTTACTAATCAACTGCTGTTGTCCCGGCTGGATAGCAACAGACATGGGACGACTGGTAGGGAGTCGCAGCGTGCAACCGCCCAAGACGCCGGAGGAAGGAGCGCGGATTCCGGTGAGGTTGGCGTTGGATGAAGGGGACGATGTGAGGGGGTGGAGTGGTAGGTATTGGGCTAACGGGAGTATTCGGAGTCGGGAAGGGGGGGAGGTACAGGAGTGGTAGAGGGGGAAGAAGGGGGGGTGTATATGTTATAGCTATTTGGCAGAATAGAAGGAAGGTGAGGAGTGTATGTATGATATGATGGTTTTTCGGACTTTCGTGGTTTCAGTGGGTAGCGTATGTATGTATCCCTCCCCTTTTCGGTCTCCATAACATCATTACACGCACTCCCCAGCATTCGAGGGAAAAGTGAAAGCTAAAACAACCATGTGTGTGCAAAAAGCGACCGATACGCCTTTGCCTTCCCACCCATCCATCCCCGATCCAGTGTACAATCCATACGAGAGAAAACGGTCAACAGAGCCATATCCACAACATCCATCAACCTCATCATCCTATCCCCATCCCCCACCCACCATCTCAACCAACCAGCCTCCTAATCCACTAAAAAATCATACTCTTAACCGCATCCCTCGCCCTCCCCTTCGTCCTCGGAGCCATCGGCGGCGTCCCAGCCCTGCTCGTCTCCGCCCTCGCCATCGGCGGTGGCGGCGGTCGCTGCGTCGGCGGCCCCTTAACAGGCGAACCCGGCACGCTCCTGCTAGCAGTAGCGAAAGGAACGGATTTCCGATCCGAAGGCTTGCGCTGGACGGCAGGGCGTGGCAGAGCCCCGGCAGCAGCAGCAGCAGCAGTGGCGAAGTCCTGCGTTTCTGTCGTGCCCGTCGTCACCGAGAACTTCGAAGGCGAAGACGAAGTATCCACCGACGACGACGCTGTGGACGCTACGCCCCCAGCAGCAGCAGCAGCCCTCTCCCTCGCCAGCACCAAATCCGTCCATTTCCCCTTCTTACTCCCCTCAGTAACAGGCTTCCCCACCACCTGCCTCAAAGCCTCCATCCACGAGTCCTTCTCGCCAGCCGAATCCGAGTAAAAATCAATCGTCTCCCCATTCGCGAACCGGATGCGAAACCCCTCTTCCACATACTGGTACCCCTCGTCCTCCTCGGCGAAAGCGGATTTTCTTCTGCCCTTGGCGCTCACACCAGTGACACCATTGGCATTGGCTGGGTTGGAGACGAGGGTGGATTTATCGTCCACAAGCCTAGACGCCTTAGCCAAATTAATGACGGCGCGTTTCTGATGCGTATGTTCGTGATAAGCCGTCAACCGCGACCCCTGAAGCCGGAAGAACCGACGACGCCAGTGCGTGCAATCGCCTCCCTGTTGGCTCAAACACCCCTCATGCACGACCTCCTTAATCTCAACCGCTTTATTAATTTCCCGTAGAGCGGAGCTCATACTCTTCGGCATATCCTCATCCCCCGCACCCCTCGGCTTCGGGACGTACAGGAGTTGAAGCTCGAGTTTACCCACAACGTAAGGAGGTTTCCGTACAGGTCCGGCGTGGGTGCCGCGTTTACTCCTCACGGAATTGACGACATGAGTGTCCTTTTCCAAAGCCCATTCGTTGTAGCACGGGACGTCTACGGTCATTTGGCGGCCGAAACAGCCATGTTCGTGGGTCTTGAGGTTGATGTACGAGCGAGCGAAAGAGCCATCGGCCGCGTTGACGAGGTCGTGGAGCATATCCCATGCCGTAGGCTGGATAGTAGCACGTTTGCGTTGGGCTTCCTCGCGAGCTCGTCTCTCCTCAGCTTCAAGGGCTTCGCGCTCCTGCCTCTCGCGCTCGGCTTTCTTCTTCGGGCTGGAGAGGAAACGGGAGGCGAAACCGCCTTTTTGGCTCTTGAGGCTCTTGGTAGGACTAGGCGGTGCTGACATTGGTGGAGCTTTGGGTGGTGGGGGGAGCTTAGTCGTGAGGGTGAGCTGGAACTCCAGATCCTCCTGCACCACGAGCTCGAATTCCTGCCCGATCGCTGCTTTCTTGCCTAGCTCCAGGTTGGCGGTAGTGACGCAGTGAAGACCATTGTCGAGTGTCAGCTGGAAGTACAGACGATCGTTGCGAGGCATGGGTAGATCGAGCTCCTTCACGCCCACGACTTTCACGAAAAGCCGACCACGCTCGACACCCTCGGCGACATCATCGTCCAGATTGCTAGTGCCGGCTGCATAGTCCTCATCAACCACCCCAAGCGCACTCTCCTGCCCAGGAAGCGGAGGCGCAGGCGCCTTCATGTAGCTAGCACCTTGTGCAGAAGCATTACGAAGACTCTTCCTCCTAGCCTTGCCATTCCAGGGCTCAGTCTTGAGGAATTGCTCGGCGCTCGGCTTGCGAGGTGAATTCCCTGCACTGCGGGTGCCTCGTCCAGGTCGTGCATCCATGGTAGGCGACATTGGTGGTAGATTGTTGCTGTCCATAGATTTATCCGTATCGTTCGAGAAGTTGCGGGCAGAAGCGACGATGACTTTCTCGTTCTGGCGCAGGAGGTAGCCCTTTTGCTGGGAAATGTTAGCACCAGCATAAGAGCATGAGTAATTGGGAGGAAAACAGCAACGTACTTTCTGCCCCTCAATAACCCTCTCAAACTCCTCATCAAGCCCAAGCATGGAAGCACCTTCCACTCCACCCGACTCAATCTCCGCAAACCCAACATCGAGCCTCAACTTCCCACTCTGGCGACGACGTTCTTGACCAACATCCCTCTTCTCCCCAACCCCAATGATAGGCCCAGCCTTCTCAGTAGCCGCGGCAGAAGCCGTCGCATCATCAATCAAGATCCCTCGTTCTTGAAGGTAAGTACTCGGGATACTAGGCACAGCCGGCTCCTCCTCGCCACTAACAGGACGGCGCTGTCCAATAGCTTCCAGATCCGCGCGAGAAGCCGAAGGTCGGGATTTCAGCTTCCCGCTCGTCTTGATAGTGGATTTGCGCTCGGGGACAAGAACTTCTGGAATGGTCTCAGGCTGTGGTTGTGGCTGCAACTCAGGTGCATCGTAGAGATAGTCGTACTGCTCGTGATCGTGAAGAGTACTGACATCGCTTGTTCTGTGCTGCACGATGGAGTCTGGGGTACCTGGTGGAGAGATCACCGGCGGCTTGGTGTACGGGTTTTGGTACTGCTGCGGCTCAGCAATGATCGCGCTCGGTTGCAGGGAGGGCACGGCGTTGAGGTCGAGTTTCTTAGTACTGTCGCTCGACGCTGGCGGCGACGGTGTGATGTACTGGCCCATACCAAAATCGTAGTCATCAACAGTGAGATAGGCGGGCAGACCGACGAAGCTTGGTGCCGCGACAACAGCTCGCGGAGCTGGCTCTGGCTCTGGCGCGCCGTAGTCCTTCATGGTGAGGAGCTGCATGGCATCCTGCAACGTCTCCTTGCCATCAACCTCAGGCTCAGGCTGGGCATAGTTGAGCATGGTGCTCTCCGCCTCAGGCTCCTCAGAGTACTGGCTAGCGTCGTCCGGGGCACTCTCTGTACTCATGCGGCGACGGATGACTGAAGACTGGCGGTCATAGTCCTCCATTCTCGACGGCGAACGAGGAGGTTGGAGCTGCGCAGTATCAATCGCCGGGATCGCGTCGAGGTCGATCTCATCGTCGTCCGTGGGCTCGGCTTTGATTAGGACTTCGTGTGTCTTCTCAATGCGAACAGTCTCGACACGAGTCAGATATGTCGAGCTAGTCTCCCTACTGTTCTCCCGAGACTGAATCGGCTGATCAGGATCCATCTCAGCAAGTTCAGCATAAGTAGGCCTAGCCTTGGTCTCTCCACCGTCATACACCGAAGCATCATCGTCGCTCTCGTCCTCAAAATCATATTTCGAGCTGCGAATCTTGCGAAGGATGCTTTCGCGCGAGATGCGTGGTGGTGCAGCAGCCAGATCCGGGAGATCACCGAGCTCCTCAACCGTGACGGCCGGGGTTATGATGTCGCTCTTCTCGCCCGTGTCGAGATTGGTGATTACAAGCTCCTCGGGAATGCCGCGCTCGGTGTCAGCAGAAGAGTTCGAGCCTGGTCGCTGCTCATGCTCGGTGGTCGAAGGCTGCATCATCTTCATGATCTCGTCCTTGCTGCATGAAGGGCGCTTAGCCTTCATGAATCCTGGTAGAGGTGGGAGCGGCCTCGACTCGCCATCAGATGTCACGCTAGTAGAGCGTCCGATAGGTGGTCGTGTAGGGCTTGGAGACTCATCAAAAACATCATCGTCTCTGTTGATCAAATCCGTGCGCGCTGCTTCGGGCGACATGCGCGACCAGTCTTCTGGCAGCACGACTGGCGTCTTATCCGCATTCTCAAGATCCTCGTCGAAGCTATCCTCGCGGTCCTGTTCGACCGAGCTGCCACGTTCGAAGCTGTAGTCTTCTTGCTCGTAGTCTTCCGAGTCCCAGCTACCCTCACGAGATCCAACAGACACAGAAGGCTCGGGTGTCTGCTGCTCGTACTCGTTGATTTCTGGCGGATCAGCGTGGAATGTTACGCTCTTGTTGTGCCTGTGTAGTGCCCTCGGCGTAGAAGCTCGCTCGTCATCAGATGGTGCACCTTCGTTGAACTCCTGAGCTAGTCCATATTTGCTGATGCGCGACAGAGAAGACTTGGTTGGCGATGGGCTGAACTGCTTCTCTGGACTGTACGGCAGAGGCACTTCTGCAGCCTCCATGGTAGGGCTCAAGAAAGGCACGTTGAATTCACTTCCGCTTCTCTTGTGACCATTCGATCTCTGCGGGCTGCGAAGTGGATTGTTCTCCTTCTTCAGACTGTCGTATCGCGTGAAGCTGTTGTTGGCCAGCTGCATGCTGAGCGGCCTATTAGCAGTCGGTCGCTCTACAATCGGTAGTGAGGTGGGATCGTAAGCGTCCTTGGTCTCGAGCGCGAAGATGTTGCTGTTCTTGACACGTGCTGACTGCTTCAGGCGCTCGATACTGGAACGTCGAGTGGGTGAGAGTGATGGGGAGGGTGAGCGATCGGGTGTGTTCTCGTCGAAGCGAAACGGCGACATCCTGTCCTTGAATGGGGATGGCGAAGCCTTCGAAGGGAACTCCAAGCTGTTCTCTGTATATGGTGATGACTCGCGTGAAACGATTGCTTTCTGTGGAGTAAACATTGACATCAGCATGATATGTTAGCGAAGGAAGGACGATATCGTGCTTACCCTGGTAGCCTGATTGTAGCTCGGGGAGTTGCGACGCTGGCTGGTGTTGCCAATCTCAGCGAGCGGCCTCGAGGTGGCCATCTTGTTGGGAGAAGTAGCAGGCGTGTTGCCCGACTTGGATATGCGTAGTGGCTGGACCTGGCGCACCATGACTGTCAGCACGCGACACAGCACAACCTCTCACAAAACAAGGCTACAGCTGGATGTACTCACCGAGTCCATAGTGGAAATAGTCTGCCTCGGTGGAATGCTGTCACCAGAGCGGTGGGTGGAATGCGCAGGCGCCTTCGCTTAGAATTTGATTGATCGGGCGGTGTTATACCGATGTTGCGTAGATCATACTCGTCGGGTAACGAGAGTATGGAAGATGAATGTTCACACGACCAGCGCTTTTGTGATCGCTGAGAGTGAACTGTTTGCGATGCGATGTGGACGAGACTTGGGCTTGGTCAAACACAGCTTGAATCATTGGCCCGTGTTTTGCATCACGCGTATACCCGTTGCATCGGCTGTTGTCATGGACGACACGGCCGCCTTTCCCCATCGGATCCGATTTTGTCTCGACTTTAAACATTTCGGGCAAAGGAGGAGGAGCATGTGGCTGACATGTGCGTGACATGTGAACAATCATGTTTCGCCGCTCACCCTCTATCTGCCCGTTCTGCGAGGCCAGCGCCATCTCCAAGGCTCTGCGATCACAACCGCAACAATGTCGAGGGGCGGCGACGCTGCAGAAGCGCAGACCATCCCGCATGACTCTATCACCCAATGCCAATGTTGCCAAAGGGCCGCCACGCAGTACGACGAGCGAGAAGACAGTGCGGCATACTCGCAACAGTCCCTTCGGTGGGATGAACATGACGGAACCCCCTCGAAGATCAGCTGATCCCAGGAATCGCATCTCCACCGCCGAGCAGAAGCGCGGGAGCAGGTTCACCAAAGCTTCGTCGTCGTCGTCGGAGAAGGACAAGGAGAGGAAGGATCCCATGCGAGCGTTGAAGATGCAGCGAGCGTTGGCGAATGTGTCGTATGAGAAGCGGGGACGAGTCAAGCAGGAACTGGCGGAAATGGACAGCTTTGAGCAATTCGATCTATTGCCCACCATCAAGGAGTCCGTCGTGTCGCAGGCGCTGGGAGGCTTGATCGATCTCTCGCCCACGCCCATACAGCGGCTCGCCATACCCGCACTACTCGGCACAGAAGATGGGAGGCGACGGAAGAGGAAGCAGGCGGATGTGTCAGCATCGAAGGAGATGCAGCAATTCCTCCTAGCCGCCGAGACTGGATCCGGCAAGACACTGGCCTACGTCCTCCCCATCATCGACGCCTTCAAGCGGGCTGAGAAGGCAGAACAAGAAGCAGAACGAATACTAGCAGCCCAACAACAGCACAACGACGCACTAAAAAAGCATTCGCAAATGTTCGAGCTCGAGGGCCCATCAAAAGACGACCCACACCCCTCAACCGGCCGACCACGCGCCATAATCCTCCTCCCCACCTCCGAACTCGTCTCCCAAGTCGGCGCCCTCATCAAAAACCTCTCCCACACCATCAAATTCAAATCCGCCATGATAAGCGCCAACTACACCAGCACCGTAATCCGCAACCGCCTCTTCTCCCCCGGCGGAATCGACATAATAATCTCCACCCCACACCTCCTAAACAGCATCACGACCTCGGACCCTAACCTCCTCTCCCGCGTTACCCACCTCGTGATCGACGAAGCGGATAGTCTACTCGACCGCTCCTTCTCGCCCCTCACGTCCGCGATCGTCGACCGCGCAACGCCTAGCTTGCAGCAGCTAATATTATGTTCCGCCACCATCCCCCGCAGTCTCGACACCTACCTCACCAAACGCTTCCCCGCGATACACCGTCTCACAACCCCAAATCTCCATGCCATTCCCCGACGCGTCCAGCTCTCCGTCGTGGATATCGATAAAGTTCCCTGCCAAGGAAATAGGGATTTAGCATGCGCTCAAACGATCTGGGATATTGGCAAGGAAAATCCGCTCGAACAAGACGAAGACCACGACAGCAGCAGTAGTAGTAGTGGAGGAGGCGAGAAGAAAATCCTCGTCTTCGTCAACGAGCGGGAGAAAGCGGGGGAGTTGGCCACATATCTCTCCTCGAAAGGGATTGATGCCACGGCTCTATCGAGGGATAGCGACGAGCGGAGACAAGCCGAGATCCTCGCCGCGTTCACGGGGGCAGTACTCCCCGCTACCTCGCAAAGACAGCAACAACAACGAGACCCCAGCCCGCAAACCCCACCCAATCCCTCCCCCACCATCAGCCCCACCATCCGCCGCGAGCTCAAAGCAACAAAAGCCCTCATAACAACCGACCTCCACTCCCGCGGCATCGACACTTTACTAGTGAAACACGTGATTTTATATGACGTCCCACACACTAGTATAGATTTCATCCATCGATTGGGACGGGTGGGGAGGATGGGAAGGAGGGGACGGGGGGTTGTGTTGGTGGGGGGGAAGGATAGGAGGGATGTTGTGGCTGAGGTTAGGGGGGGCATGTTTAGGGGGCAGGCGTTGATTTGATTCGATGTGACTTTGGTTATGGGATGGGGGATCCGGTGTGGTGGGAGTTGTGGGGGAGGGGCGTGTGAGAGATTCTATGTATACTACATTGCATTATAGACTTACCGACGTTTCTACCCTCCACACTGCCTACAATGTCCCCTCTATCTGATCTTGTCAGAGAGTACCATCCGAGCCGGATTTTGAAAAGATTCGACCCCCCATCAACATCGCGGGAATCGAGCCAGGTCGGTCGGGAGCATCGCACCCTGGCACCCATGCAGCCAGTAATACCGTACCATACGAATCCGCCTCCATAATGCAGCAGGACAGACCACCAAAAACTCACATGCCTGCCCGTGACGGCTACATCAAAAGCCGTGAGCAGTCCAATCCAATATTGTCGCTGCATAGGTGATTTGGACACAACACCCCTACTAAAAGTCCTAATAGGTTACCCAAACCCTAACCCTTCGCACATGGTCCGCGCGCTGCCGAGGAAAAATCAGGTCTAGCTGGTAATCGATATTGAGTTACCAGCACGGGAAGCAATGCGCGACTTTGTGACCTAGTAGTAAGAGAAAGGAAGGAAGGACTGAGGCTGCTGTGTCATGTTCGGGCTTTGAATTTTTGAATTGGGGGGGGGAGTGGTGAAAGTATCCGACGGCGATTTTCGTAAAGCACGAGTGGCATGACAACCAATATCCCTTGCGCTTGAAATCGAGGGATCGGACACTTCAGCAATCGGTGCCATGTTAAGGGGGCCACGTCCAGGCCATACCATAGGTGGGACTCGTGGATGAGGGGTGGCGTTAGCCAGATGTTTACAAAAGGGGGGGTAAATATCCCTTCCTTCCAATATCATACACAGGCTTCCATCATACGAGTTGTCCTCCCCCCCCCCCCAAAAAAACGCCATCGCTATGCCCTCAAAAAAAACCCCCCCAGACCACAACACCCAACCCCCCACCACTCTTCCACAACCAACCCACAGCTCACTCACCCCTTTTTCTTTACAAATGCATCGGGGCCAAACTCAAAATCTTACTCCACCCCTTCTCCCGGATCTCCCTCCCCACCACCCCGCTCAACCGCGACCCAATGGGTTCCCCGCCCTTGTTAACAAGCACACAAGCATTATCGTCGAACTTCACCACGCTACCATCCGGCCTTTGGTACTTCTTCGCCGTGCGGACCACGACCGCGTGCCGGATGTCGCCTCGCCGGACCTTGTTGGCTGCTGAGACGGACACGCTACCGCCGGGTCCGGATTCGGGGCCGAAGTTGCGTTGTTTTTGCACGACTACTATTATTTTGTCGCCTGGGAGGGGGGGGGTTAGTGGATGGGGGGTTTTCTTGGTGGTGAAACGGGTGGTTGTTGTTTGGGGTGGGTGTGGGCTGTGCAGGATGTGTCTCGACGTACCGACTTTCGCATGTCTTTTCATCTTCAACACCTTGACGCATTCCGCCACGGCGGCTCCGGAGTTGTCGATGACATTGACCATTGTCTGCTTTGCCCGTCAGATCATATCCACTACTTGTCCCAGCCGGTATTCTGCTCATCCACTCCTCCTACTGGCATCCGTACCTTTAGTTGAATCATCTTGCCACCTCCTCTGCGAGTCCTCCTGATTCTTTGATGAATCGCCCTATCCCAGTGTATGCGACGAGTGATTGCTAGAGGCCATGTTCTGGTTCATCCCGAAGTTCGATGGCTGTTCGGCGCTTCTTCGGCACAAATGCCGCGTCCGCACCCGCGCCCGCTCACACAACCCTCAACGATGAATGCAAGACATGATTTGACGTTGATCAATCCACTGCACAGCGAGGCCAAAAACTCGGGCATAAGTGACATGTCCGAACAGCTTGCTCCTCCAACTCCGCCATTAACATCAGAGACTCAATGGCATAAGTATCAGACTGTTTCTAATCTCACAATGGTCAAACCCATTCCTTCTATCTCAACCCTTGCACTACCAGCGGCTATCCACAATCAAGGTGGTTCACTCTCTACCCTTCGCGGACATCGGTGTGCCCTCCCCTGGCTTCGGGGCGATGGGCATCAGTTTTGGTTTGGGAACCAACCTCACTCTTGAGCAGGCCGAGCCTGTGTTACTGAGGGCCATTGAGCTTGGCTGTACCTTCTGGGACACAGCTGCGGTGTACAGGGCTGGAGTCAATGAATCACTGCTAGGCGAGTGCGTAAGCGCTACCATATAGAGCTCGTCCATAAAGCACAGTATGGCTCTCTAACTCCTCCACGTTTTCTCTCCAGATCCGGAAACATAATGTCAGGAACAAGATCTTTCGTGAGGATCAAGTAGTCCATGTCTAGCAACTGACTACCACTAACGTTACGAACCAGTCGCGTCCAAATGTGGGTTCGCTTGCTTCGAAGATGGTGCAGTCACAAACTCTGCCGCTCACATCAAGAAATACATCGAAGGAACCATCGAGAGGCTGGGCTTCACACCCGACCTCTATTACTTGCACAGAATCGATCCCAGTACGTGCCTATCCGCCTTTCATACAAAGGTGCAGCTAATACAGGAGCAGAGACCGACTTGGCAGAGTCAATCCCAGCCTTGGACGAGATCCGGAAAGCAGGGAAGACCAAGTACATCGGATTGTCCGAGTGCTCGGCCAAGACGCTTCGAAAGGCCAACTCGAGTACGTATCCTAGTTAGGTTACGCAAGGCCAGTGAGTGTACTGACAGCCTGCTTTAGTCGCCAAAATAGATGCTGTCCAGGCCGAATACTCCGCATTCGAGACACTACACGAGACGGATCACTTGATCAACGCTGCCCGTGAGCTGGGTGTTGCATACGTCGCATACAGTCCATTAGGACACGGCTGGCTGGTGGAAGCCTTCGATTATGCGTCCCCGGAAGACTTCGCACCTGATGATTTCCGTCGCGGTGGTACGTAGCTCTACCATACTCGTAATTTCACCTTACACTGACGTCCTACCCACAGCCCCCAAATTCCAAGGCGAGAATTTCTACAAAAACAAAGCCATCGTGGGGGAGATCAAGAAGCTGGCCCAGCGGAAAGGGTGCACGCTCCCGCAAGTCGCGCTCGCATGGGTGGCTGCGCAGGGCATGATTGCGATTCCGGGTACTACGAAGCCGCAGCGTCTGGAGGAGAATTGGGCTTCGAGGGATGTTAAGCTCAATGATGAGGAGCTGAGGGAGATGCAGACGATTGTGGAGAAGGCGAAGCCGGAGGGGGATAGGTATGGCGAGAAGGCGCAGGCTATGGTTGGGCATTGAGGGGGGTGTGGGAGATGGGATTGTGGGCTGTGCATCAATCTGGAAGTGGACTCTGGTGGTCATTGTGGTCCTAGCGGCATCCTACATTCACTTCGTAGTCTGATCGAGCTTTGTAGTCTATCATGGTGCATGATACTGCATCTTCATCAAACACTACTGTACTACAACATCACTTTATGCAAGCGCACAGACACTTTTTCTGCACGCACTCCCGTGCCGAGAAAACGCGGAGGAGCCGCAGGAACGAAAGAGACAGAGCAACTGTGATTGGCCGATGCTTTTGGAGGCTGGGTTTCTATTACGAAGGGTTCACGCGTGTCCCTATTGTTGCATCGTCCACAATACCAGGCGGAGTTGACTTTAGGAGGAGAAATTATTCGGACTGAATGTCTGGTATTGTTGGCATTCACTGCGCGGACGATCGAATGGATACAATGGACGCACGGAGCGGTGTGGTTGATTGCTAGGCACTGGAATGAGGCTTGATTCAACACGCGACTATCCTTCAGCTGGACTCTCTCCCTACCTGGACTTGCACAGCCTTCGACCACCGTCTCTTCTGGCCATATTGTCTGCCCGGAAACGATCTTGCCATAGTCACGTCTACAACGAGAAAGGACGAGTTCACGAAAGAGACACAAGATGCCACGCCAGGCCGCCGATCTCGAGGAGGCTCTCAACAAGAAGGGTGGATTGACCCTTTCGCAACTGCTGAACTACGATGACTTTATCACGGACGCGCTGGTCGACCGTGTAAGTGTTACCTCCAACTTCAACATGGACCCTGGACGCTCAAACTGATCTGTAGTGCTGCAGGTATGGTACTGGTCTACGATTCGGAAGATGAAGCCTGGGTTCCACGCGACTCGCGGAGTGTCAGAAGAAGAAGTCTGCAAGATCGTACAGTTCAATGTAGTCATCGACAAGGACGCCAAAAGTGCACATGGTAAATTGTTGGAGCTGCCTGGCATAAAACGGTATCATCATGGCTTGGGTACCGAGGACGAAAGGGAACATTTTCGACGACATCTACGCAGATATGTTAACATCTATCTTCCGGAGTGTCCATTCGAGGTTGCTACGACAAACCGATATACCATCATGACTTCAGAGGCTGCGGCCTTCGCTCGAAAGCGGATAAAGAAAGGTGAAGCGGTCAGGCATCTTACTGGAATCCAGGTCGAGTTGTCGGAAGAGCAGGACAAGGAGATGAGAGCGGGCCGTACGGACTTCAGCATCGTCAGATCCTCTCGTCGCAACCGGTCCTGTCTGTTTCTTGGCCCTGCACGCTTCGCCAATCACGATTGTAATTCTAATGCGAAATTGAACACGACAGGAGCTCTTGGTATGGAGATCTGCGCGAAACGTGATATTGCAGTAGGCGAGGAAATCACTGTTGATTATGGCGAGAACTACTTTGGTGCTGATAATTGTGAGTGCTTGTGTGCCACTTGCGAGCAGCACCAGCGGAATGGATGGGATCCTCGCGGAGCGATTCTGAGGAGCTATAGCGACGACGAAGATTCCGATGAAGATGCCGATGAGGCGAAGGAGGTCCGCGTACGACCTGCAGAGGTGTCGAAAAAGCGCAAGCGAGGCGAAGATGTACCCAGGCCTTATGTCTTGAAACCAGAGTCGGCGAACAGTCGTGGGCCTGGCCGACCTAGAAAGTACCCACTGCCTCCTGGCGAGACGATGAGCAAGTACAAGAAGCGGCGAGCGCATGCTGAGGCGTTAGCTCGAGGCGAATCAAGACCGAGCACTTCTGGAAGCGAGCAGAGCAACGATATCCGAGTCCGATCACAGCATGAGGCGCCGTACGACGATGTTCTGGCCAGAATCGTGCGGTTGCTTAATATGGTCGGCGATAGAGCCATGGCTGAGCAAGATCCCGAGTATCGCCAGCCGCAGAACGAATGGGCAGACGACACTCGTCCACCGGAGATCGCAGAGAGTGAAATTGACGAGCACGACGACCGGGTGCCTGACTTCGACGAGGACCAGACGTACCATAAGAGCGACCTTCAAAAGTATCCTGGCAAGCAGTTTCATCACAAGGGCAACGCTTGGTATCGTCCTGGTCCGGATCCGACGGGCAAGTTCAAGACCATCGTAGTGCCGGATCCAAATCCAGGAAGCAGACAGCCACAGCCTGCTGATGTGGAAATGGACGACGTTCTCGAAAACGAAAATGAGGAAGAGCCAGTCGTGCCAGGAAGTGCATCACACCACCCACGAGGCTCACGTAGTCGGTCGAGATCTTCCAGGGTGGTGGGTGACCTTTCGAATCTGCCACGCAGTTTGCCTTACGTACAAGCCTTTTCGAGGAGCCCAGAACGAGACACATCGGATAGTGGCCGTAGAGGAGCCATCGCATCACCTCGGAATGAGGTTGAGCCTGCTGCGTTGTCGAGTGTGAAGAAGGAACACAGTCGCTCAAATCTAAGACAGGTTCTGCATGCCGCATCGACTGATATCTGGTCCGTACCGGAGTCACCGGAGCCAGAGTCCATATCGCGAGCCAAAGGACGGGAAGGTGTGTCCGGACAATCGCTGGACGCTGTATCTGCCGGGTCTACCTCTCCATCAAGTCGTGGTCTGGCAGATAGTTCCAGCAACGAGAGCTTGGCCTCGAGTGCGACCAGCGAAGAGACACATGGTCACAACGAGGTATTTGTGGCTGGTAGCATTGCCCAAAGGATTTGCGATTTGTTGACTACGAATGCTCCCGCCGAGGAGGAGACCATGGAAATCGATAGCGATGGTGAAATGATACAAGTAGATGAAGCTGAGACCCGAGAGACCGCACCCGCACCAACACCAAAGCGTGGCCGCAAAACAGAAGCAGAACGCCTGCGAGAAGCAGACGAGGTCTCCCAATCACGATCCATGACCCCACGCAGAGGCAGACAACGAACCCGCCAAAACATATCCACGCTCCAAACAGAACACTCCATAAACCCAATCGCCAGCATCGAACTCGAACAAGAAGAAGACGACGACGAGCCCCTCTCCCCCGGCGCCCGCCGCGGTCCCCCCCGAACCCCCGGCGACTACCACCTCTGCCGCGCCCTCCTAGCAACAGCCTACCACCGCTGGGTCGAATGCCGCAACTGCGACCAATTCTTCGTCCAATCCGAAGCCTACTTGACCCGTATAGCCTGCCCCCGCTGCGAAAGGCATTCCAAGCTTTACGGGTACTACTGGCCCAAAACGGACCGGGAAGATAAATTCGATACCGAGAAGCGGATTACGGATCATCGGGAGATCCATCGGTTTATTGATCCCGAGGAAGAGAGGTTCGAGCGGAAGGGGAGGAAGACTTTGGCGGAGCTTGTGAGGGAGAGGGAGGTGGAGGGTAGTACGGCAAGGCAGAGCGAGGACTCGGAGGGGAGTTTTTTGGAGGGGAGGTTTAGGGGGAGTCCGAGGAGGGGGGCGGAGAGGGGGAGGAGGACATTGAGGAGTACGATGTAATTCCCGTCCTTCTTCTTGAGGCAATTTTGATTGATGTGGTTGGATTTATGAGATTCGTGCGTGTACGATAAGCTGAGTATCTGATACACCATCTTCACCGGAATTCCTACTATCACTGTCAGCTCTCTCTACTCTTCTACTCTCGTCCCGTCGTACAAAGGATACGGGACAGCGCTGTTGACGTGGTACGACCAGGCAGCTCTGACACGGGTAGCTGCAGTTGCTGGGCTGGGAGTGGATCGGCGGATGACTAGATCTCGGATCATCGTGCCTTAAGCTGAGGCGTTCAGAGCGATCCTGGCGCCGGGTCTGTTTGCTGCGGTTGTTGCTTGTGCGCTTCTGCTTTCTTCCTCGTACGCTTCTGCTTGCTGACGTCTTGACCGTCTTTTCTTGTGCTATCCTGATTGGTGTCTGAAGGGTATCGAGACTGCTTTGACTATATTACCTTCGGGCTCATTGGTAGCCATAGCTATCTGTCGAACTGACTAGAAGAACTTTCGAAGCAGTCATTGCGAGTCAGACTTCTCCTCGGACAAGACGAGACGAGCATAGGTACTACTCGCTTCAACGGGCCGCAACATGGGCATCGATTGCTCCCGCCCTTGCTCAGAAACAGTAACGGAGTTATATCTCCCTCGCGGCTACGACTCCCTACCATGGCGCCACAACGCCAGAGATTGGTCGGTATGGGATTTCGACCGCCTGGGAGAGATCTTGAGCGAATACGGCAACTGGGAACGAGGACGAAGAGGTCGTGGAGTCGGCTCACCACTACCTATACCCATGGCCAGTGGCATGCCAGCCCCTCCCTACGGCTTCCCGAGTATCCCACCAGCCTACATGCCTGCGTACGCCCCCATGCCAATGCCGATGCAGATGCCACCCTGGATAACGCCGAATTTCGACCAGTACCCCCCACAAGAAGAATATCGCAGCTCCGGCCGCAGACATCGGCAACGACCAAGCATGTCCGACTTTGAACGCATGCAACAAGATATCAACGATCGGTTCCGGTCGATGGCGGAGGAGTACCAGAAGAATATGCAGGAGCGAGATGCGTTTTTGTTTGGGAGCGAGAGCGAGAGGAGGCAGGAGTTGTATAAGCAGAGGATGCTGAAGATGTTTCAGGAGATGGTGCCGCAGTTGGGGCAGTTGGTGGGGATGGCGCAGATGGGGGGTTTAGATGCGGGGGGTGGATTAGGTGCTGGGGGCCTAGGGGGTGGTGGGCTGGGTGGAGTGGGTGGGATGGGGATTGGTGCTGGTGGCATGGGCGGTGCTGGGATGGGTGGTTTGGGGATGAATCCTATGATGGGTCAGGCTGGGACGATGGGTATGCCTGGCTATCCCGCCATGCCAGGCGCGAATCCGATGGCTGGTGTAGGCGGCCCAACTCCATTCAACAGTCCGATGATGGGCGGCATGGGAGGCATCGGCGGCATGGGAGGAATGGGAGGCATGGGAGGTGGGATGATGGGTGGTGGGGGGCTACCTCCATTTGGAAGAGGAAGGCGAAATGATCGCTGGAGTGGTGGCGGGGGGCGAAGAGGGAGAAGAGGACGCAGTAGTTCTTTCGCTGAGTTTGACGATGATGACGATGATCTCTTTGGCGGTGGAGGTGGAGGTGGAGGTGGGTTTGGTAGAGGGCGAAGGAGTCGTGGGAGGAGCAGATATGATGACGACGAGGACGATATGCTAGGGTTCGGCAATGGTGAGTAAGTGTTACCATTGTCTGCCTACCTTTTCAGCAGCGCGTATGGCTAACAGGATTGTTATAGATTTCCGTAGACCACGAGGTCCAGGGCCCAGACCCGGTCGTGGTGACGCAGGTGGGCCCTCGTGCGGACGATCCAGTGGCGCGGCATTTGGAGGAGGCCCAATGTCGCCGCCTTTGAGGCGTGAAGAGCGTGATATATCTCCTATCTTCGCCCGCAGTAGACCAGACATCACGCGTCTGCAACCTATGCCCACCAGATATCCATCCCCCACAATGGCAGGCGGAAGACCAATATCATCCATGATGTCGGATCTCCCTCGATCCGCCCTACGCAGCCGAGGAGGACCACCAGGACTCGACCCACTCGACCGCATCGACGACGATTATCTTGGACCAAGCAGCTCACGTATGGGTTCGGATGTCGGGCCAGGACTAGGCATGCCCATGCCAATGCATCCAGACATGGGTGGTTCTCCCCTCCCGCCACGAAGGAGCCCAATGTCACCACTCAGTACCCAAGTCCACGCTGGCAGTCCACCACCACATAGATTTGATAAGCCGAGTGTACATTTCGATGCAGAAGCGAGGTTAACCCAGTCTAGATCGTTCGAAAAGCGGCCAGCTGCTGATGTAGAGGGAGGGCCGGGAGGGATGCCTGATACTAGGGATGTCAGTCGAAGATCTTGAGTCAATGGTGATGAAGTTGCGAACGCAGCGTTTGCTTGTGCGAGTGCGAGTGCATTGACGAGCTCAACGACAAACCTCGTGACATCGACATATATCGAGTTGTATGAGACATACTGCTATGACCGACGAAGACGCCGAAAAGTCTGACGAGAGAAGGGACGTGTCCATGATGGAGTCCTCTTTGTTCTTATATATTGAGCAGCGACCAGCGCTTGCTCACCCCCCAGCTAGTGAAACAAGGAACTAAAGCACATCTACAGGATCTGAGCGTGATTATGCTCGCTCGCTCATGCTGCCCAGCATTACCACACTGTTCATGCCATTATCATTACTCTTCTAAACGCTGTTGCAACAATATCCATGCCACCCAGCTCTCCTCCCGACACAAGACTGCCAGCCGGATGAGAGAAACCACATGCCTCGCCGCCACAAAGTCATCATCCTCATACAGACTCCAGCACGCCTACACCATCCCCACCCAGCTGACCCGACCGAACCATCTCCCACTCCATCGTCAAGAACTCAATCTTCGGCACCTCAAGCGCCTCGACTTTCTCTTCAAGCCCCACAATCTTCGGCTTCAGGCCCGTCCACCACTGCTTAAACTCAAGAAAAACCATCTTAACTTCCGGCTTCATGACCCGCGCCATCTCACACAAATGGATATCGATCATGCGACCGAAACCCTTCACACGCGCGACCGCGGCTTCGCAGTCTTTGATTTCTTCGGCGAAGTGCTTGGTATAATAATCCCAAGATACTTCGTCGAAGCCTGGTAGGACTGCGGAGATACTGTCGGCTATGGAGAGGGGCGATAGCTCGGTGTTGATTCGTGATAAGTCGGGGAGGGTGGCGGTGAGCTTGGCGATGGGCCCAATGACTGGGGTGCCGCAGCCGAAACTGTCGAAGGGTGTGTATGGAGGGGACTCCATGCCGATTTCCTGTTTCACGTGGGTGATTGGTATTTTGCTGGTGGTGAGGGTGAGACTTTCCAGCTGCGCGGCTGGCATCGTGAAGATAGGAGTTGGAGCGATGGGCGAGTCGATAGGAGTCGGCTCCGCACCGACAACAGCCTGCTCAGATGCACGCCTAGCGAATCTGGTCGGGTTGCTCGGATATGCCGCTTGCATAGCTCTCGAGTACGACGTCTCGATCCTTGCCAGAGTCGTACAGAGTGCAGCGCCAGCCTTCTCCCAGTCTCCTCCCTTCTCGCGCAGGATTTCCGGCAGGCGCAATGAGAGGTCCTCAGGCATGAGCCATTGCTCCAAGTGCGATTGGTCGTAAGAGAAGTTATCGACGCCATAGTCGACCATCTTCGACTGCTGGGTTTTGCCGCGCACATTGTCGATGTAGATGTGGAAGGATGTGTCGTTCCTGGCCCAGAAGGGACGACGGTGTTGGGCGGCGGCGCTGCTGGTGCGTCGTCTGAGGTGTCCTGGTCTCGCAACGCTATCCATGGTGATCGATCGTGGGTCCGTGATTATGGTTGTTCTGTGTGCTCAGGTGTAGTTAGGTTGTGTTTTGTGTGTTGTTCCGTGCAAGCTTTGCAGAAATTATATGAGCCGTGGAATTGCAGGGACGTTTCAGAATACTTTTCACGAGCGCTCCTTCCTTGTGAACGACTGACGTCGATGTTGTTTGTGGCAGTCACTACGCACGTGCAGCCGAGCCGGTGGTCAGAACCCTAGTCGTCTTTTGAGTGGATCCTATAGGTTGAGTGAATGGTCTTCACACCTGAGTAGGAGTGAATATATTGGTCTCTGATTCGCCTCGCTAACGTGCTCATGTGGAAGTGATGATAGTAAAGTAGGTCGAGGAGAAAGTTTGTCTGATTCCCGAGTTTATCAGTGGCAAATGTCCTTGTGTGATGATGCAACTCCCGTTATGTAGTGCTGTGGTTTGTTTCAGGATGTAAGAGACGATAGGACAGACAAGTTTGCACGCTGTACCAGAATTTGATTATGCAGGCTTCCGTTGGCGAGTGCAATGGCCGGTGATAAGATAGAGTGATGGAATGGTAAGGGGAATGAGGTAGATCTTAGATACAAAGAACCTCCCCAAGCCGCAATCGACTGGTATGCAATGCGTCACACTGTGGTTGACTTTCCTTGAAAGAGCACGTGGAAAGCATGAAACGGCATCAGACTTCCAATGCCCTGAAGTTTGTGCGCGCTGCCGATGAGAATCTACTTTTGTGTAATGCTCAACGCACTTCTATGTTCGCTTGTTACATGTTTGCGCTCTGTTTCGCCGTGTGTTGTACGCTCGTCACTCGAGTCTGTACAAAGCGTCAGCCAACAATGAAGTGATTTGCCGTGGCACGAGCATGCAGTGCATAGCCGTTTCCGGCCTGGCATTTCTGCGCCACTCGAAGTGCAGCAGATATATGTTATTCCAACATACCTTTCGATGATGTGCAGTCCAGATGCTGTCTCCACTATCGGCGAGACCTCACCAGGCTGCAATACGAACGACGCCTCCTCGAACTCCTTTTGCATGTCTCCCTTACCGAAGAAACCCCTGTAGAATGATCAGCGGCGGTATACACAATGAAGGGTATCTGCATCGGTGGCTTCGCTATACGCGTGCCACGTGTCGAATGGGAAATGTGTTGCTGAAAGTGGGATCGGAAGGACTTACAGGTCACCTCGCTTCCTCGCAGACGGACAATCGCTCTCAGTGGTAGCCAGGTCACCCAGACTAGTAGATCCGCTCTTGATCCGGGCTTCGTAATCTTGAATGATGCCATACGCGTCGTCCTTTGACCTAGTAATTTGTGCTTGTCGCCACGAAGCCGGCCGGCGCGAGTCGCGATGCTTGACGAGTAAATGTGCACATCGAATCTGGCCACTCAGGTCCTTGGCTCCAGCGTTGTCGGGACGCACATTGGCGGTGTGATACTGACCCATGTAGGTCTTCAGCGTCTCACTGTCGGTGTCTGCTGGTGGCTCCCATTTGGACTCCTTGGTAGCCGGGTTGAAATAATATGGCAGATTTTTGCTGTTGCTGTACCTGACTTCCCAGCCGGGCGGTAGTCCTGTAGCCTGCATTCGTCGTCAGTTTACCTGTTCCTCTGCTGTGTGTGGTACAAGACTCTCGAAGCGTAACGCATCCGTCGACTTACCATTGTGGTGGATCTTTGTGGGGTAGCGAGGTGGAGTGGATTGGCTGCTGGAATGGGCGAGGGCGTTGTCCCCACAAACTTGTCCCTGAGCGAGCTTCGAAGACTTTCAGAGCAGAGCTTCTCCAGGTTTGAATAACGAATTGATCAATTCCAAGCACATGTGAGTGAGCGAGGCTGCGGTGAATAAGAAAGCGTGAGAAGGAGCGTGAGCACGAGACCGAAACACCAAAGCCCCGCAGCAACGATCGTTGGCGCGTCACCCGGCTCCAGCCGCTTGCCGAAACTGGCCTGGTATGCAGGAACAATAAGATATCGCGTCAATCTTGAACCCTTTCTCGTTATTACGTCTGACAAACACACCGACTTACACAAAATCACGACTTGACGTTCACGATGGCATCCTACGACGAGATGGATACCGAGACTGCGCCGGAGGACACCAGCAAGAAGACCATCAGCTTCCGCTTCTGTCGCGAGTGGTATGCGATTTGCGCCTCCATCAATATTTGCTTGGAAAATGACTTGACTTACTCAACAGCTCCAACATGCTCTATCCCCGCGAAGACGACATCCACAACGAGCTCATGTTCGCCTGCCGCATGTGTCCCTATAGCGAGAAAGCCGAATCGACCTGCGTCTACCGCAACGCACTGAAGGAGGAGATCGCAGAGACAGCAGGCAACACAGACGATGTGGAGGATGATCCTACGGTGGGTAATGACGATGACGATGACGATTATTATGAACACCCCGAATATTCCTACGACGCTACCATGGGTGGCGAGGATGTCTATGGCGAGGAGATTGCGCCGGAGATGTGCACGCTCTGTGGCAAGGAGATCCTATGTCCCTTCTGCGGCCAGCCCAGCGCGAACGGGATAGCTCTCGAAGCGCCTGATCCAGGCTCGACCGAGAGCAAGCAAGACGAGGAAGAGCAGGTGGAGAATGAGCGGCGCGAGCGTGCACTTTCCGGCGCCACTCTCCTTCGCACATAAGACGTCTCAATTTTCACGATCACGAGCCCACGATTACGACTACCTCATATGACTCATGACAAACTGCGCTTTTTCGCTTGTCGGCAACATTTTGCTGACGAGTTCTATGGTACGTACAGCTCCCACACACTGACCAAGAAGAATGCCCGACTTGCCACGAACGCGACGCCGTTTTCTTCCAAAGTCAACAGCGGACCGCTGAGACCGGCATGGTACGCTCTCACTCTCTACTGCTGATTTTAGGATGCATGAAATACTGACAATTATCTCCAGGCTCTCTTCTTCGTTTGCGTCGCCTGCAAGCACGTGTGGTCGACACTCAACCGAGGGCAATAGCGCGGCTCCGGTTACAGGTCGGCCACATCTCTCTCGTCGCATACAGTGGTCGCGTCGCCCACGAGCAGCAAGACTGTTAGTAACGACTCGGGCAGTCCGTCGGTGGGAACTTGCGCTACATTGATGGTTGGGAAAGTGCGAACTGGAACTGATCCTCGTTTGAAAGAATGGTTATGATTGATGAGGGTGATTCAATGTGATAGAATTGTCACTTTAGCAAGGTGTTTTGGTTTCTAGCTAGTCGTTGGCATCGGTACGAGCTGCTTAGAATCTGGTGTCTTCAGGAAGATGTCCGTACTGAGACCACAAGAGTATCCTGCCATTGATTCGTGCCTGTTGTTCTTTCTCTATCTTCCTACTCTCGTACTTTCGCCTTCAGCTGCGCCACTTCACTAGTCAACTGCTCGATCTGTTTGCCTTGCGACTGCAACATGCCTCGGATCTCTTGCAGCACTTCTCGTAGACCACCAGCGGCTGCACTAGCTGAAGGAGCAGGATTCGCACTCGCGTTCCCAGTAGACGTGTCCTCAGCTTGCCTCGACTCATCGGTAGGCTTTGAAGTCAGCGTCTCCTTCGGCGCTACAGTCTCACCAGTAGAGGCACCGCCCACATGTCCATTCTCGCGCTCGTGTGACGCTACCGGTGCAGGCTCAGGAACACCACTGCGTACCGCCTCCCTCGGCTTCTCCTCTGTCGGCTTCTCCTCTGGCACGCCTCCTCTGGGTTCTTGTCGCGAAGCGAGTGCCGCATGTGGTCTCTCGACAGGTTTCTGAATCTCTTCGAATGGCTCTTCCTCTTCTTCCTCCTCATCGGCTTCGCCATCTTTGTCTGCGAATTTGGAGGCCATGGCCGACATCGACTGCTTGTTCTCTTTCATGGTCGGCATTTCTCGTGCTGCAGCAGGTGCTGGTGCGGGCTCTGGCTCTCGTGCGATCGGCGCTGTCGATGTCTGAGGCGCAGGCGCCGGTGCTGTTTTCGCGGGTGCAGCTTTTGGCGCTTCGGAGGCAGCATACTCTTTCGGCTCGTTGCCCTCAAAAACGTCTTCCATGGAGAATTTTGGAGGTAGTCCAGTCTTACCTTCTAGCCACTCCGAGCTCGAGACTGCGGGTTTGAGGCCAACAGTGGGTGGATAGATGTCGTCCTGGAAAGTCTCAGATCGCCGCGGTACGATGAAAGAGATGGGTTCGATGATCTTGTCGTCCACAGTCTTGTAGGCGCGCATGACCTCATTCTCATGCGTGTTCACACCGCGCTTGGGCATGAAAGCCAGACCTCGCTGTGGGTCGCCAGACTTGTACTCGGACAGGGGCTCGAATTTGTTGTTCTCGTACTCGAAATAGCGGATGTTGCCGTCGCCTTTGCCACCCACGAATAGAATCTGGGTGCCATCATCCCAGAAAGGCATTCCGATACCCGAGCTCGAGTCTAGGAACATGAAGTCGCCACCCACTGGTGTGGTAGGGTTGCGCAGATCCCACAGACCTAATTGTCGCTCGCTCATTTTGCTGAAGCCTGTCGTAGCCACTCTATCGTGATCGCCGAGCCATGTACACCTGCTGCTCTTCGCTCCCGTGTGGCCTGCGACCTCATGGGCCGGTGACTCTTGCCGTACGTCCCAGAATCTGAGCTTCTTATCGCGAGACGTTGTCACAAGCATGCTGCCATTCGCACTCCACGAAAGACTCTGGACGATGTCGGTATGCTTCAGTGTGAGCTTCGGCTTGCCATCTTCCAAATCCCACAGCTTGACAGTGTAGTCGCCAGAGCTAGAAGCCAGAATATTCTCCGCAGCAGGGTTGAACAGAACGTGTCCCACCTTTCTTGAGTGTCCGCTCAACTTGCCAACAGGCTTCACATCCGCCGGCTCCTCAGCATCGGTATGGAGACTAAAGTCATTGGGCACCTGCCATAAGAACACTTTGCAATCGTCTGAGCCCGAAGCGACTATATCGTCGTTGAAAGGATTCCAGTCGGTATCAAGCACGGTCGCCGTATGGCCTCGGAACAGCGGTATTTGCTCGGGGACTTTGCCTTTCTCTTCCAATGGTAACACAGCAAATGCGCCGCCTCCACTGGCATCCCAGTTCACTGCCAGGTACTTTGCGTTCGCTTTGATGAGATTTGTGTCCCAAGCATTCTTGCTGATCCGTAGGTTGTCGTAGCATTGTTCGCGTCTTGTTGATCGGCCGAAGACGTGCCCTACAGATATAGTCAGTCTCGTTGTATATTGCTGTGTTGTAGCGCTTGTGCTGACGGTATTTGCTGGCCCGCACGAAGCGCCCAGACATGGTCGCTGCCAAGCAAGGATGCTACGTCTATACGCTGATTGTATGGTCTTCGAAGGGAACGAGATCGTGTGTAATTCAAGTAATCCAATGGCTTCGAGTCGGGGGTTAGTGTTGCGTTGTGCTTCGTCTCGTGCTTGTCTTGTCTTGGTGGAGGAACCTCGAGCTTCAGCCGCAAGGGTCTCTGGTTAGTCTTGGCAACGCCTTTGCGGGTGACTCCGTAGTGGCGTCTACTTCGAAGACATTACAACCTCACACAACACTCCTCCCTTTGCCAACAGAAAACGGTTGGAGCAGCAGGCACACGTCAGTATCCGCCACAACAACGATAATTCGCAGTATGGATGCCTTCCGCCACTTACTCGCCTTGCCAGCTCGTTTACACGAACCGCAGTTACCGTAATGCGAGGCCGGGGGCTCGGAGGAAAAGTCCCGCCGCAATGCTGCGAGGTTGACTCGACTATCACGATATCACTTCGGACAGTCTTCGTATAACCATCTCGCAGTCATGAACTCCATTGGGATCAGTAATCACCAAGGTATCATAAGTATGCTTTCTGTTCGCATTTCGTCCAATGTCCATCACTTCTACAGCTCCCCTCAATTATTGGTAACGGGCTTGTCAGCATTGAGGACATCGATCACTCCACAATGTCCACCCCAACATCTATGCGAGCCTGGCAATTCAACGCCATCCATAACGGTCTCGAGAACAGTGTCAAGCTAAACACAGTACCTCTACCCGCTCGCAAACCAGACCAGCATCTCATCAAAGTCCTCTATGCCGCAACGAACCCGTTCGACTACAAACCCGTAGAAGTTGGGCTCATCAACCGCTTCATGATGCCGAAGCCGGCGACTCCAGGAAGTGACATCGCCGGCCGCATAGTCGTACCAGCTGTAGGTTCGACTCTCAAAGCTGGCCAACTCGTCTTCGGCGCCTCCGTAGACAAGACGCTCTTCGCTGGTGGTGGGTTTCGTGAACATACATTATCAAACGATAAGCAACTCGTCGCCATCCCAGAGGGTGTCTCAGCCAAAGCCGCAAGCACGATAACGGTAGGCGGCATCTCGGCCTACCAGACCATCGTCCCGCATGTCAAGCCTGAAGACAAGATCTTCATCAACGGCGGATCTGGTGGCGTTGGCACGTTCTCGATACAGATCGCCAAAATCTGTGGATGTCACGTCACCACGACGTGCTCTACAGCCAATGTAGAGCTGTGCAAAAGCCTGGGAGCCGACGAAGTCATCGATTACAGGAAGCAGAACGTGATCGAGGTGCTGAAGAGCAAAGGGCCTGTTTTTGACCATGCAGTCGACAATGTGTGTCACGACTGGAACCTCTACTGGCAGTCTTACCGCTATCTCAAACCTAACGCAAAATACATCAATGTCGCTGCAGCGCCTACATTCAGTTCATTCTTGAACCCTATCAAGGCTGGCCTTCCAGTGGTCTTGGGTGGCGGCAGACGAAAACTTGAGGGCTACTTCGCGCAGCCGGATGCGAAGCAGTTGCAAGAGATCGCTGGGTGGGTGGCAAATGGCAAGGTCAAGACTCTTATCGATTCGGAGTTCACTTTTGAGCAGTTGCCGGACGCTGTAAGGCGACAGAAGACCGGGAGGGCGAGAGGGAAGATTGTTGTGGAGGTTGCGAAGGATGATCGGACGAGTGGATAGACTGACCGGTTGAGATATGTTTGATTGCACTACTTGCCGTTCTTTAGCTTTCTAATGAGATGTGATTATAAATGGTGTTGGGGATCGATCTCCAATAGCTCGGCTGCGGTTACGCTAATTCCTGACAAGCGCTAATTGCTGACAGTCATTCTGCCGCCGTTACGTGCCTTCCGCTCTACAGAGGGCCGGTTTCTGTTCTGCTAGTCGTGTATATGCCCAAGCATTAATTGCAGACATTCAGTAGGCCCTTGTTCTGTGTCGCAGGCGCGTAAATTGCCCGCATGTTGAGACCCTCACAGATTCCTATGATTCTGTGGACTAAAAGCTGACATCTTCACGAGACTGAAAACACTCCTGGGTGTGGACGAGACGGGTTTACCTGGGAGTATGTGAGGTATAAGTATCGAGCTATGTATGCGAGCTCACAGAAGGCACCCATTCCCTTCACTACCCTTCCTGTCCACCTTCAGAACGACTCTCTGCAATCATGCAACAAGCACCAGTCCTGTTCCTTGTTCCCGGAGCCGCAACATATCCTGCCTTCTACGATGACTTCAAGCGACACGTCTCCTCGAAAGGTCTTGTTTTCCATACCGTTCAGCTCCGCACCGTGGAAGCTAGGACCCCGGCTGCTACCCTCGCCGATGATGTTGAGCTCGTCAGAAGTCACCTAGCGGATCTTTGCGAGCAAGATCGAGATATCATCCTGATGGCACACTCGTTTGGCGGCATGCCGATGACAGAGGGTGCGAAAGGCTTCGCCAAGGTTGATCGTCAAAGACTAGGCCACAAGGGAGGTATTGTCCATCTGATCTACATCACATCTATTGCCGCAGAGGTCGGCGAGTCCATGGCATCCACGAATGCCCAGCCAGGACCCGATGGGCCATTAGTCTACGACTTCATGGTGGACCATGTAAGTCCTTGCGCCGCCACGTCATGACGGAGAAACCGCCGTACTGACAAGTCGACAGGTCGAGTATACCGGTCAAGATCCGGAGCGCAGCGCAGCAACGAATTTCAATGCTTTGCCACACGACCAGGGAGTCGAGCATGCGAAAAGAATGCCTCTGCATTCGAAGGCTTGTTTCGGGACGCCTCTGACATACGCGGCATATGCCTACATCCCGACTTCGTACATCAGAGTACTGCGGGACAGATGTTTTCCTCTGTGGTGGCAACAGCGACGTATCGATACTATAGAGAAGAGTCGCGGTGGCCCTATCGATGTATACGATCTCGATGCGGACCACTGCTTCATGGCATCCTACCCGCGAGAGGCTGCGAAGATTGTCGGCACGATTATGGACAAGCTGAACGGCGGCGGTGTCAATCAATGAACCATGTTCTATAACGTCATATAGCAGAGGTCGACTTCCTGTCAATAGAACAAGTAACCCCATTTCTTCCCAAAATCAGGTCCGATGATCCAGGCATTCGGGTCCCAGCCCGGCTTTCCAGGCTTGATGCGGAAGCTATCCATGCTGAAGAGATCGCAGAGGAAATCCTCTTCGTCGATTATGCCAGCCATGGAGATGAAATTATCGCGCATGTTAGCGAATGGGAATCGATCGATCCACGACGGGTGGAAAGTCGTCAGCTGTAATGCCGTCGGATGTAGTGTGGCAGGTATGTCGGGGCCTTGTGGCAATGACTTCCGTGGCGTGTTAGTGCTACAACTCAAGCCCATCATTGCGCCGTTGTGGAAAAGAGCAGACCAGACCGTGATTGGCTCTGATTCCGTCGTGAGGTTCTCCCGTCTTGCGTGTTGGGATACCGCGATGTCCTGTGTTCCACGGCCGGAGAGGGCGCCAGTGGCTAGCGTCAGTGATGTTGCAGTACTTTGCTGGCTAGACTCCGTCAGGGGCAGGAACACGGGAGTTACTGGAGCGTTTTGGGAACGGCAGGTAGTGCTCTGGGATGCATCATTGATCGCGCTTTCGATTCTAACTCTACTTTGCACGAGGCGCTTCCGCCGTTCACGTTGGGCCATGCGGTTCTGTATTCGACGTCTTTCGACGGCATCTTCAACACCATACCAGCCATCCATTTTGGTGGTCTGGATTGTGTTCTCCCGATTGTCGTGGCTGACATGCGATGCTTCAGAACGTCCAGCTTGGATTCCTAGATGCTTTTCGTTTCCACGACTGGGACCCTCGACCAGGACGAGGTCATACCTCGACTGACCATCAGTGCCGGAGGCTCAGACCGCCTGACCAAGCAGTCCAGGCTCTGTATCAGTCGAGCAGCATCCCATGTATTCTCGGAGAAAGAGAGGTCGAGCAGGATCAAGATTTGATAAGCAATGGTGCTGATTCAGAGGGCAGCACTTTGTTTCGATCCCTTCGGCAATTCGTCGGTTCGCGTGACATCTCTGTCTCCACTTCACCTCGTGTTTCTCCTCTCAAAGCTTGTCCATTGCAACATCATATTGTACATGCGGGGAAGTATGATAATGATACCCCGAGCAAAGAAGTGACGATCGTCTTTGATGCACCAATGACTTTTGCTCCATTACAGCCATAGTTCGGCTAGCGGTCCCAGCCATGGAGCACTTATCCAGGTACTGATATGAATGTCCCCCGCCTCATTCCTCTCGGTCAGCACTTCCATTTCCAAGCTATGATGAAGGCAGTCACTGGTATACTGGCAGGTCTTGTGCCATTGGCGCTCGGCCAGGGGGGACTCGTGATCAACCCCCAAAAAGCAGATGATGGCACAGCCGGCAACTCCATGCCTGTGGATCTGAGCAGCCTGGTCAACAATCGCGGCTTTGGAATGTCACCAGGAGATGCTAACTACGATGGACTTCACTCTGGGTATCCCGCGCAGTACCTCCCACCAGCCGACCTGACCTACTCTGGTGTGAAGTACAACTTTCCGCAATACAAGGCAGCTGGTAACGACAATGTTCTGGCCCAAGGACAGATCTTGACGCCGCCCAAAGGTCGCTATTTTAGTGTACATATGCTCGCTGCGGCTGAGTCTGCCATAGCCACCGGATCCGTGAATGCCACGTATGCGGACAACACGACCTCGTCAGGACCATTGCTCGTTGATCCGGTAAAAGACTGGCCATACCCTTACGGGGGGGATATCATCTTCCCATACTCTCTCACAAACGAGAGTATTGACTACAACAGGTCCATGATCTTCCAGACGATCAACTGGCTTGACTCCTCGAAGGAGCTAGTCAGCTTGCAATTACCGAACGTCAGCATTGGGGCTGCGAATGGACCAGGCGGCGCGGCCGAAGATGCTCGACTACATATCTTTGCGGTCACTCTCGTAGAAGCCAATGGCACCGGCATCGAGCTGGAAGTCCAGTATGCCAGGTCCACCCAAATGTGGGTCGAGGGGACAAACAAGACGCAGATCGTCGAAGTCACTATCAACAACATTGGCGATCAGTGGGTACTAGCCAACAGCAGTGTGAAAGTCTCTGTTGACGCCGCTGGCCTCAAGACCGTCACGCCTGCAGTCATCAACAGACTTCGGCCAGGAGACCAAGCAATAGTCCAGATCGGAGTCGTGAATAGTGATGGCACACCACCAGGCACAACTGGTCCGGCGACGGTCGAAATCTCTCTCAATGGCGCGCAGACAAGCTATCCATTCAACGCCACCTACGGTATCGGCCAGTACGAAGCCACGTATGAGAGCATATACAGTCACGAATCCCCCATGTGGTATAATGACGCAAAATATGGGATCTTTATCCACTGGGGCGTCTACAGTGTGCCAGGTTGGGGCAATGTCGGTGGGCGTGAGGGCTACGCAGAGTGGTACTGGTGGGACATGAATCAAGGCCCGAACACAACCGGACAATTCTATGAATACAACCTAGCCACATACGGACCTGACCATGTCTACGACGACTTTATCCAGAACTTTACTGCGAGTATCTTTGATCCGAAAGCGTGGGTTGATCTTTTCGCAGATGCCGGGGCAGAGTACTTTGTGCAGGTCTCGAAACATCATGATGGGTATGCCATCTTTGATCTGCCAGAGAATGTTACAGAGCGGACGAGTGTGAAACAATTCCCGCATAGGAATCTGCTACAAGAGCTGTTCGATGCGAGCAGAGAGCATCAGCCTCAGCTGCATACGGCAACGTACTACAGTCTACCGGAGTGGTTCAACCCAGCGTATGCTGGGTATGGCTTTGGGTCATGGTGAGGATTCACATAGATGCTGGCCGATACACATGCTGACCCGTCCCCACAGGCCAGGGGGAAACGCAACAAATCCTTACACAAATGCCACGCTACCTTACGCCGGGTTCGTGCCCGTCGAAGACTACGTCCAAGACATTATCCTGCCACAGATGCAAACCCTAGCGGACATGGGAACGGAGATCATGTGGTGTGACATTGGTGGTCCAAACCTCACGGCAGAATTCGCTTCTTCATACTTCAATAACGCCGCGCAGAAGGGCAAGCAAGTGTCGATGAACAATCGCTGCGGACTCCCTGGTGATTTTGATACCCCAGAGTACGCAAAGTACAACGCCGTACAAGTCAGAAAATGGGAGAGCAATCTTGGGCTAGATCCCTTCTCTTACGGCTACAACCGTGCTACACCAGACTCGGCATATCTCACTCCCCAAGGTATAGTAACGAGTCTGATGGACATCATCTCCAAAAATGGGAACTTCCTGCTCGATGTCGGACCCACAGCAAACGGAACCATCATTGCTATCGAGCAGCAGAACCTTCGTGCGGCCGGCCAGTGGATCAAGGAACATGCTGAGGCTATTTATGGGACTCGCTACTGGTTTGTGACCCCCGAGGAAGGCGATGCGGTTCGCTTCACGCAGACAAGCGACGCCTTCTACATCACTACTCTCTATCCACCGAATGCAACACTCGTTCTAGACAGTCCAGTACCCTACGTATCAGGAGATCAAGTGACGGTAGTAGGTGGCAATATGAGCGGAACGGTCGTGCCAAGCATGCTACTCAGCAATGGCAGCCTGCAGCTCACGATTCCCCAAGCAGTACAAAGCGCTGACCGGTATAGCTGGGTCTTTAAGATACCGTTTGGCGGCGTGGCAACTGGGACTACTGGTGGAGTCAACTCTACTGGTGGATATGGTGGTAATGCCACGGCTACGTATGGTGGCTCTGGTGGTCCGGCTCAGCAGACGACGAATGATGGTGTGCGTCAGGATGTGTCTTCCCTAGCAGCTCTATCCGTAGTCGTGGGGGTGGCTGCCTTCCTGATGTAATGAGAACATGTAAGGATACGGGGATGTATATACAGCTGGTGACGTGAATATGACCAAAAGTTGGTACCATTTCATGCCTTTCTATCTATACCCTTCACCAGCCCAACGCAGTGACAAAGCAAGCTGCGTCGTGGGAATCATGTCTATCAATCTTCATCCCCAGAACGCCATGGCAGCCACAACATATCAAGCAGGCCGTCCTCTTCTCATACGACTCCATTAACTTGTGGAACAATGGCCTCGTTCTTCGTGATCTTCCCCAGCAGACCGGCCGCTGCAGCGATGAATCCCAAGTACGGCTTGCTCGGTTCCAACACCCGGGAGAGATATTCAGGATGGAATTGCACACCCACGAACCAGGGATGATCTTTCAATTCAATGACTTCCATCCTCACGCCCGTCTCATCCTTGCCGATGAATGTCAAACCTTGATCTTGCAGCTGATCAATATATTTCGGGTTGACCTCATAACGGTGACGATGTCGTTCGTCGATGCTCTCGTTCTGCAGGCCATATAGAGCTCGCAGCTTCGACCATTCGGTGTTCGGCTGCCAGAGGGTAGGGCGACGACCAAGACGCATCGTGCCACCTAGCACGCCTGGATGATGCTCTGGCATACTGATGATGACCCGATCTTCATCTGCATCGTCAAACTCGAACGAAGATGCCTGAGGTGTTGGAATGTTGCACATTGTGCGAGCAAACTCGATGACAGCGATTTGCATGCCGAGACAGATGCCTAGATATGGCTTCTTGTTCTCACGCGCCCAGTTCGCGGCCCCGATCATGCCTTCTGTCCCACGGCCGCCGAACCCACCAGGTACTAGAATCCCGGACGCAGTGGACACATCATGCCATGCTTTGAAGAACGTCGCTGGGTCAGTTTTATTGGCGGATTTCTCCAGATGCTCAGCATCGACGTATTTGATGACGAGCTTTCGCTTACATCGCATCGCGGCGTGCTGAAGCGACTTCGTGACAGACAAATAGGAGTCGGGCTGCTCGAGGTACTTGCCGACCAGTGCGATTTCGACCACTTCGTGTAGATTCTGCAGACCCATGGTCAAATCTCGCCAAGTATTCCAGATATGCATGCCCTTCTCCTGAAGAGCTGGCGCGATCGTCACCTCCTTCAGCTGCAGCGTGCTGGTCATGAGAGGCACCAGGTTCTGCTCGGACAGAAGAATTGGTACCTGGTACGTTGAAGGCATATCTCGAACAGCCAGCACATGCTCATTCGATACTTGGCAGAACCTTGCAATCTTGTCCGTCGTTGCTTTCTCCAAAGGATGCTCGCACCGACAAGCTATAAGGTCAGGGATCAGACCCGCACTCCTGACTGATTTGATAGCCATCTGCGTTGGCTTGGTCTTCTGCTCGCCATGCACGACTGGAATGTAGGAGACGTGGATCTGCATGAAGTCCTCTCTCCTGCAATTCCGTCGTAGCTCTGTCAAGGCCTCGACAAAGGGCATGCCCTCGATATCTCCGATCGTGCCTCCCAACTCAATAATGCAGACGTCCGGCTCCTCCTTCGTATCGTCCACAGGCAGCTTCGCAACTCGCACGATCCACTCCTCGATACAGCCTGTCACGTGCGGCACAACTTGCACGGTTTTGCCAAGGTAATCACCTCTTCTCTCCTGCTCAATGACCTTGGAGAATATCTTGCCGAGCGTGATGTTGTTCTCACGCGTCAGCGTGATGTTGAGATATCGCTCGTAATTGCCCAGGTCCAGATCCACCTCACCGCCATCGTCCAGCACATACACCTCGCCGTGCTCTCGGGGATTCATCGTTCCAGCATCAACATTGATGTATGGGTCGATTTTAATGCTGGATACCTTTAGTCCCATAGTCTTGAGCAGCAGACCTGCAGAGGAGGCAATGATTCCCTTGCCCACACCCGAAATCACACCCCCTGACACCAGTAGGTACTTCATCTTGGTATACGTTGGCCTCTCGGTGGCCCAGCATCAAACAAATGACGGGGAGAGATCGAAGGTCCAGTCGAAGTGAGACGCGCGAAGAATTTATCTGGAGAACGCGAGCTTCACTAGCGCGTCTTTGAGAAGCTTCAGTGCTACTAAGCGCAACAAGTCTTGAGATTAAAAGACTGAACAACTCCCTGCTTACGAGGTCTATAGGAGTATCCAATGCCAATCTTGCTAGATTCAATAGGCTCCTCGAGCGGATCTGTTGGCTCGTCTAAGTAGAATACTTGGCAGCCGCAATGTCAGCCTGTACTGCGTTCTCCGTCTGGTCGGAAGGGTAGCCTTGAGTCATGGCTCCTTCGTAAAAGGTGCCAACAGCAAAATTACTATTATCGCCTCCCACGCCAAGCACAATAGCACCCTCCTTATGCATCGGATTGTAGCCTGCGGGACGACCACCACTCCAGAATGTCGACAGAGTGCTACCAGCACCCGCATCACCGCCACGAATAGACCAGTGATTACCCAGCTCGCCTTTGACGATAGCAGTCACAAATCGATAGTCAATGGTCGGATTACCAAAGAAAGAACTCGCACTTGATGAGCTGGCCCAGAGCCCGTTCTCGAGATCGGCTAGGATCCATGGACCGGACCCAGCACCTGACTGTCGACCTTTACGGTTGCCGAAGTAGACAGTTTCCATATGGCTCGCACCAGTGTCGTTGTTGCTCGTCTCCGCATTCCCGTAGTCAAAACCTACGAACACAATCAGAACTCTTCATGCGGCAGTTTACATCGGTGTGAGAACGTACAACAGCCACCATTATAGTGTGTTCCGTCCAGGACTGCATAGATGCCTTCTGAAGCGTCGCCGGTGGCAACTCCAGATGTCTTGTCGTTCCTGTAGCCCATTCCGGATGTCACGTAAATACCGTAAGCCTTTTTGCCATTGAGGTGGATCTGCGCTTCGGTAGCGCTGGATGGCACTGTCAAGAACAGTGTAAGCATAAGTCGTCGCATGCGAGATCTTTCGATGGGGTTTATCTCATTAAACTCGGGTTAGTAGCCGCAGACATGGTAGCAATGATACACAGCTACAGTGCGATGATCTTACGGTGGGGCTAGCAGCGTCGCCTGTCAATAGGCGCCAAGCTGTGATGTATCGACAATAGATGTCCGCTCCTTCCAGCGTTCCCAGTGGAAACAATACAAGTAAGGATGCAGTGGCATGAAATCTGCTTACGTACTGCGAGATGTCAGCACGAATACTTACTCTGTGTTCTCTACAGACCTACCAGTCGTATCCGCCCGGTCCAGGACCGCTCGCCTCGCCACCAGGAGGTGCAGGCGATAAGTGATTCCCCCGTCCAGACTGATCGTAGATGATAGTGATCACACAAGATGTACTAGAGCAAAAAGCATCTTGACTGCTAGCATTGACCACGCCTCCGGCAGAGAGTGGTTTGATGCCTTGTGTCTTGCCGTCCGAGCTGCGTTGTACCTGATACAGTGCTCCAGCGAACGCACTGTATAAAGCACGGGTAGTCGCATGGGCAGCCACGCAGGGTGTGTTGCCTCGAGCGTAAATATCACATGGTCCTGCTGTGACCAGCTGGGCGAGCGAGGCTATGGCCAGTAGTGCTGGAGATGTTCGAGGAGATGGCATGCTGCGCTTCTGAACGGACAGGACGAATGGGCAGACTATACTCACTTCATTGTGGTGGAAGGGCGGAGGCAGAACATGATATGCCTCTTGCGTATTGGCATCTTTCACGAACACAGACTGTCGTCTGCTGATCGCAAGCAGCCTTAGTCGTCATATTCTAAGGTGGTTGCCATTTCCGTCTTGTGGCCTTCCGCTCTGCGTTGGCGGTGGGCTTGAAGAAGTAAGCACGCAAGAGCTCTGGCTTTTACAGCTTGCTACGATTGGTACAGTTCCTGAATGTGATGGTAAGCTCTGCATGTATAGGCATCTCGTGATGCAGGGTGGCCGATCTTGAGCTAGTGTGGATGGGCATGCGATGGCTGAACTGATGGATCAAGCAGCATATACGTGCTTCGCGCAAGGTGGCGTGATAATGTCATCATCTCCGACGCCTCTTATTGATCCACGATATTTGCCGCGACCAGCAACGTGCTAATGGAGTGGCAGGTATCTGAGATAGTGCCATACTCATCACAATCTGCCATGCTACCCATGTCAAGTAGTTCACACTGACGGAGGTTGAAATTCAAGAGTTTGACGAGGGCCAAAGCTCACCAAAGCCGGGCTTGTGCCAATAGTCGTGGTCGACGGAGCCTGTTATCTTGTCTATCATCCTCCAATGCGCTCTTGGCACTTCACCAACGAAGGTAAACAGCATTCATCTAAGGAGACGCTAGCAAAGACCTCGGGTCTTTACGACGGACTGTTATATGAGGACTCACCTCTTCAGCATGATGTTCGCTGTTGCGAAGAAGATGAGCGCCGGCAATTGCAGCCGTATCCCTGCATGATGTTCATCGATGCCGTCACAACAACAGAGCGGAGTAGGAGGTAAGAAAGGGTTAAGTACATCCTTTCCTTTCTCCCATACATACTGAGATCAAAGCACACAATGAAGACCTTCACAACCTTACTACCATTAGCAGCTCTGACAGTAGCTATCAAGCATGATGGCCCAGCAGCTCAGATCCCACTCGAGCCGTCGACCGTCCTTCCAGCGGAGCCATTGACTCTTGACAAGATCCCACTGTTGGGCTACGGAACATGGAATGTCAACGGTGACAATGTGTCCGAGGCAGTATCATGGGCCATTCAGACTGGCTACAGGCACATCGACTGTGCAGCAGCATATGGCAACGAGGCCAAGGTTGGCAGGGGCATTTCTGATGGCTTGATCAAGGCTGGCCTCACCCGGGAGGATCTGTGGATCACTAGCAAATTGTGGAATGACCAGTATGTATCTGCTTAACCGCGTCCTTCCTCGCATCTGCTGATAGACACAGCCATGGTACCAATGCACCAGAACGAGGTCTTGAAACCACCCTCCATAATCTTGGCGTTGGCTACCTTGACCTCTACCACATGCACTGGCCAGTGTCTCAATCAATCCTCGGCAGCAACAGTATCGAATACCGCGATACCTGGTCTGCGATGGGTCTCCTGCTCGAGAAAGGTCTGACCCGTCACATCGGAGTTAGCAACTTCGACCCCGAGCAACTCAAGGACTTACTGAACCACACTTCGCATCCGCCCTCAGTGCACCAGATGGAATTACATCCCTACCTGCAACAGGAAGACTGGATCAAGTTCCACGAGAAACACGGTATTCATGTCACAGCCTACTCTCCTCTCGCTGGCTCAAACCCAACCTACGACAAAGGCGAGCTCACGCAGCTCCTCAACAACACTGTCTTGACCAAGATCGCTCACAAGCGTGGATGCACTCCAGCACAAGTCTCGTTGGTTTGGGGCATGTCTCGAGGCACAAGCGTGATACCGAAGTCTCAGCACAAGGAGCGTATCACGGAGAACTTCCATAGCTTGAAGTGCGAGCTGAAGGAGAAGGACCTGAAGAAGCTGGACAAGCTTGGCAAAGCTCACCATCGATACAATAACCCGAGTGAGGGCTGGAAGGTTGATCTGTACAAGGGTCTCGAGGACAGCGAGGGCAAGCACAAGTCGCGTTCGTAGAGCAAGAGTATCTGCGAGATGGTTGTTGGGCTTATGAAGTCCACGAGAAGCTCATGACAGCGACGACCATTGTAGCGTGAGCGGATGTAAATTTTTGAAGATGTACCGCTGCTTCCAGCGATCCTAAAAGCGAGTGTACTATAGTGTTCTTACGCCGGGGTCATGTATCGTTCTACCACGCCGGCCACTAGAGGAGCGAGGATGGACGATTGAATATTCAGCTTGATATCGACTAGTCAACCAGGCATGAATGAGACAAAGGATATCGTGACATTCGTCAGCTACTCTACGATGGTGCAAGGTGGCAGTCAAGTAGAACAGCCTCACCAGTACCAAGCAAACCACTCCAGCCGCCTTCTCCACACCCCCCTTCGGCCTAATCTTCCACCCATTACAGAAACCGAAAAGTTTGTCTCCATCATTAAGGACGTGGTGCATCAACAGAATCGCTCGCTCGTCTAAATATGATCCAATAGATGGCTTCCACAACGCTAGACAAGGCAGCTACGCTACAAATATGCTAATGCTGGTGCTCATGCATGCGAATGATGTTGCTATGGCCGCCGCTCTACCTGGACGAGAAGAAAGCGCAAACACCTTGAGGGGCCGAAAATGCCGCTCCATGCACGCTGAAATGTCATTACAAAAGGTCGTCCGGTGAGATTAAGTGGCGAGAAGGAGGAAACCAGAAGGCTCCCGACACTTAATGGTTCGAAACATGCATGGCGAGAAGTGGAAGTCGTTAGAGGAAGGATGATCGTCATGTGGGCTCCATCGAGCTGTCGATGCCAGAGGAGATGTTTTCAAATGAGGAATATGCAGGTCTACCTCGCCACTTAGCCGTCCTGCACACGTGTCCATGGTTATGCTGTGTAACATTTCGAGCTGTAACAGAAGGAGGCGCAGCATAACACATATGCTGCATGTGCTGTCCGCTGTTGACCGCCCACTCCTGTCCAGAGGGACCTCCAGACGCCTGTTTAAGAGCCTCGTCGCTTCCTCTTCGGTAAGTTCTTCTTGTTCGGTTTGCTTTTCGGGCTCACACCACCGGTCGACTTACTCGTTGTGCTGGCACCACCCTCTGCGTCGGACTGCTCGCTATCATCATCCTCCGAGTCACTCTCCTCCTTCTTGGTCTTGCCCTTGCCCTTGCGGGCTTCGGAACCCTTTTTCACACCAACATTCAAGCCTTGCCTCCTAAGTGCTTTGAGCAGAGCACTACTGGCCCGCATACCTGGAAAGTCCTTCGCGGTGAATACAGCAAAGACGTCACTCATGATGTTTGCAACAGCTGGAGACGACTGGCCTGGGAACATGTTGGTCGGATCGATGCGAATGAGCTTCCACCGCAGTCTATACTTGCCAGGTGACCGGCAGCTCAGATCTGGAAATACGAAGAATGTGCCAGCCACACCGTGCTCGTCCTTGGCTTGGTACGGGGAGGCGACCAGCGTGCCCATGAGTCTGCGTGTTGCTTGCGTGTAGGGCTCCGAGCCTGGAACTTCAGTATCATCCCGCTTGCCATCAGGTGTCATGAGTGTGCACGACAAGGCCAGCATTGCGGGATGGTCGTCCTTCGGCGCACCAGTCTCCGGGTCCGTGATCTTAAGTTCGAGAATTGGCGGTGGATCGATCACTCTACGATCGCGTTCGCCAAAGCCACAGGCTCGAGCAGCTGCGGGTTGCTGTCTTATGATCAGGCTGTACTTGAGTTTCGGCGCTGTATTCGTGCTGAAGGGTGGCGGCATAGGCGTCCGTGGCGATGTCCCTTCTTCGTAATAGTGGGTACTTGGTGACGATGACTGACTAATGCCGGCAGGACTAGATCGATATACCTCACGAGGTGCATAAACACGATTGTGGTCGACTCCAAGTTTGCTGTGATGGATACTGGAGCTGTTCGACTGTATCGTCTCCAATACTACGCGAGGCGCGAACGGTGGTGAGCCATACACAGGTTTCGTGAAGTCTATCCGTGGAACAGACTTGTGAGGTTGATGGTTATGTATGTCATGATGTGATTGTTCAGCCCTTGTGGGCATCCGAGATGTATCTCGCGAAGGTTCCCAGACGGCTGTGGGCTGGGATCTGCCAAAACCTGAAGCTGCAGCAGATCTGGATGGATAGAGCTGCAAAGGTGGAAGCTGTATGCGTGGTAAGGGTTCGCGCCCGTATGTCGGAGGCCGATTCGTATTGATGTCAGGTAAGGTTGGACCACGTCCTCCAGGTCGGCCCAGGTAGCTTGGTGCTGGTAGTCCTGATGAGGGTTGCATAGGTATCGAAGAGGCTGGTGTTGTCGAGTGGAACGGTGGCTGTAGAGGCGTTGGACGCGTATGGTCTGCCATTGATAGAGACCTGACTTGCTGCCAACCCGAGCACTTCCGTCTCCGTCTCTGCGTTCAGAGCAACATGCAAAGTCACTCTTGACTATTGGGCATTTCAAGATATCCTGAGGCACCAGGGCTTAGTGGAGAGCGTCTTCCTTGAACACTTGATGCTGGTTGCGAATGGACCGATGCAGATAGGATACGTATCTCCAGCATGCACAACGACAATCAAGTTTGTGTGCAATGCGCTCTGTCGTGCCACCCTGTACGGGTATGTGGTGAAAACTCGGGTTCGTGCAAGCGACAGTTTGTTTGTGAACCCAGAGTATCCGCACGGCCAGTCAAAAGGAGTACAGCAACCTATAACTAAGTGAGTGATATCAAAGCTTGACCAGAAAAGAGCGGTGGGCTTCTGAGACTCAAGACAGGCGCGATAGACAGTAGTAACGCTATGCAGCGACGTGATGCAGGTGGCCATTTTGGGGGCTTTTGTATGAGATACCGCGTAAGAGTAGCATATTTTGGTAGCGAGGCCGTGATTGACAGAACTATTGTCGGGCTAGCTGTGCATACCCTGGCTCCTACCGTTGCGACTCGTGCAGCATCAGCGAGCGAACATGCGATATCGTGCTTCATCTTCGGCTAGTTGTGCGGTGGGTGCTCTGGTCTGTTGGCAAGATCGGCCCCGGCTGAGAATCGGACAGAACTCTCTACGCGGCGACCCGGCAATCTGGGTCGTGTAAAAATTGTGTGACAAGTGCGAAGTGCGAATCCTGGTACACGGTCAGAGATGCATGGTGCCGCAGGATGCAATTGGCCGCATGTTGGCACACGATTCTGCTTCGTTCACAGAGCCGGTCAGGTGTGCATTCACTTTGCGAGGTGGGGAGATGGAATTGTCCTTGCTTTTCTGTGCTTTGCCTCGAGATTTGTTGATGTCGTATCATCTTTTCCTGGCTAGCGGATGCTACAGGTCCGTGCGTATTCCACCGTCAATTAGGAGGCGCTTCTCATCAGGAGGCGACTGCACGTTATGATTGCTGACAAGCATGCGACACGCGCTCGCACAATTTGAGGCCGCGGAACTGTCGTCCCAGATCGATTTCTCATTGGTTCATTCTGAGCTCGAAGCAGTCCAAACTCGGGTACTGTTGCTTCCCTCATGCAATGCGAACAGCTATAATGCATTGGCCATGTAGTCAACGCTCGACTATCATAACTTGTGCACGCCGAGTATGAGTACCAAGGCATGATTGTAGCAGCTTTCTTTGGCCTTGCACTTGGTACATCCACACTTGCACTCGGCACAATAGAAGAGCATCTGAGAGCTCTATCAACTGTATCGGCACATACCAGTACCTACTTAGACTACTGCACACCCATGACAAGCTTATGCATTCACTATACCGTTCACAGTCCGTATCGTCTTGGCAGCCCTGATTCCCTGGCGCAAAACATCTTATCCGACCGTTGTCCGCAGAGCATAGCAATCTCGCTCCCAAGGTCATTGATTCTGGCATTGTGCTGCATGCCCGTACCTCGTATACTGATCTCTGGCTAGATTGAGTGAGCGGCTGACCACGGTCACAGCGACTGAATACTCACGGACAGCTCCAGCGAATCCGATGCTACGCCGAAGGCATGAGATTCCGGCCGCTCGGTGTAGTGCACCGTCTTTGCGCTCGAAACCCGGCTGCGGTCTGCAGTAGCTGACAGGCAGACGAGCGAATGAAAGCTTAGTACATTGGGTCAATCTCCTCTATTGGTCGTGGGTAGGCGGAAACCATTCACGGCAAGTATCGACTCGACCGAGCACGTGGTAAATGATGGAGAGTAACGGCCAGCCACAAATCCACATCCGCCTGACAGGCTGACGCCAGTGCGCCGCTCGCCTAGCATGGGCGGACTTGGCAGTGGATTGTTGGACTCGTACATAGTCGAGGCGTCATGCCCGGCTACCACCGTGCGAGACTACTAAAGTCGGAACAGGTCGTCAATACGGTATACGTCTCTACGCTAATGTGTATAAGCAGCTCGGCTAGGGTAAGCAGATCTCTAATCATCACAGATGCCTACCGTCGTTCAAAGCCTGAACTCGGGCGGCTCATAGATTGCCTCCACACTCTCCAAATCGGAACAGGACGTCAGAAAGTTCTCACATGCACGCACAATACGCGGTTCCCACGTATTCAACGCAGCAGAACGACCTCATGCAGGACAGCCGACCAGCGAGAAGCTCGACACACTCCGATTGCTATCACCGACGAAAGGAGACAATCGGTCAAAGTTCGTTCCCCACTACGTGCAGATGGGTGTTGTGTTGAAACCCCGTTTCGCTACGGTGCCGCTGTGTACCGAAAACATAGATCGGCGTCTTGCAGCTCTTAAGCGCTATGCCCCGGAACCGCTCAAAGCCTTGGAACAGGGTTGGAGACGTCGCTTAGGTGCCGAGAGTCTTCGACATGGTCCACCTGAGACATCTGGGCAGTTTTCCCATCCTGAATCCTGATCAAGGACAGCACACGCCGGACATCAGCAAGGACGACCGTGAGTCACTACAGTGCCCTGAGACAGCCTACCAAACTTACTGTTTGCCGGGAGTTGTGAACTGTAGCATGGTGTTTGGAATGTGACCCATTGAAATGTTGCCCTCCATTCGTGGGAATGGCAGCAATCCAAGCCCAGGATGCTCCATATTCGTACAGCGTGTGGAGTCAAACTCTAGTGCCGTGTCCGTAGCCTCTCAACTGGGCCCATGATCTGCAACATATTGATCGTCAGCTCACATGAACAGACATTCGTCCAAATTGGTGGGTGAAGGAGCAAATGCCATTGGAGTTGACTCCGTGAAGTGATAGTACCGGCATGCTCCTGCAGCTAACCGACCTGCTCCTCAATGTGGCACGCAGGAAAAATCTGCACGTCGTCGTTTCGGTGCAGCAGATGCTACATGCAACTCGTGAGAGCACCGGGATCGACACCTATACGTATGCAAACCTTTACATATCATGCAGCTAGCCCTTGACAGCTCTGTCGCACAGTCAGGGTCCGTCGGCGAAAATGGTCATGATCAAGCAAACACTGCAGACGCGACTGTGTGCACTGTACCTGCTGGTGAGAGGAGCCGGTTTCGTTCTGCTTCGCTTTTAAAGTGGCTGTAAAGGATTTCGTGCAGGGAACGTGTCGCGCAGTGTCAGCAGCACACAGAGTGTGGTAGAGCTATAAGCGCGGCATCGATCAGTATCGTCGGTGAGAAGTCCGATAATAAGCCTGGGCAGCACAGTTGCGTCGAGCGCCTTTGTCTCTTGCGAAGATGATGTCGAGAAAGGGGACGATTGAGTTCATTCATCCACGTGTGCGCCACACTGCGTTGGACCCTGCGGCTCAAAGCCAATCTCGCGCGTGGCGCATGAAATCGTTCCACTATGATGTCCTCAAAAAAGGTGAGTTCAATAAGTACAACACGACTGTTACATTCATCTGTTGCATATCGTGGCAGTGATATACCAAAGATAGTACTGGAATTACCACCTTAGGCAGCAGAGAACGATGGCCGGTCATTATCGGCCACCTCCCTCCGAGTTCAGAATCAGACACAATGCGGAAAGATCACGAACAACACACCATGAGGCCGACGTGGTAGTAGTGGGTGCCGGTATCCTGGGATGCGCTGTAGCAGTTGCACTGGGCAATCAAGGCCGTAGCGTCATTCTCCTGGAAAGATGGCTGAGACAACCAGATCGTATTGTTGGCGAACTACTGCAGCCAGGGGGTGTGGCGGCACTTGAAAGGTTGGGCCTGCGAGAGTGCTTGGAGGAGATTGATGCTGTCAAGGTGTACGGATATGATGTGATATACTATGGCGAGGAAGTGGCAATACCATACCCAGTCAACGCGCGAGAAGTCGGTGAGGAGAAACCCGAGGAGAAGTCGCATACAGATGAGATGCGAGGTATGAAACGCAAGAGACCGGAAGGCAGATCTTTCCATCATGGCCGATTCGTCCAGCGATTACGAGAGAAGGCTATGGCGCATCCCAATATCACGGTCGTGGAGGCTACGGTCACCGAGCTTGTAAAGTGCGACTATACCAACATGATTCTTGGAGTTGAAGCAATGGTGCAAGGAGAAGCAGACTCCTTCTTCGGCGACCTCACCGTCATCGCAGACGGCTACGCCAGCAAGTTCCGCAAACAATTTCGCACAGATGCGCCGGTGGCAAAGTCGAAGTTCTGGGCCCTTGAACTCATAGATGTGCCACTGCCAAAGCCAAACCACGGTCATGTCATACTAGGAGACGGTGCTCCGGTACTACTGTATCAGATTGGCACACACGAGACTCGAGCACTGATCGACATACCGGAGAACACACCTACCGCCAGTGTTGCAGCAGGCGGTGTCAAGGGTCACTTGAAGAACATCGTCTTACCCAGCTTGCCAGCGGCTGTGCGGCCATCTTTCGAGCTTGCTCTTGAGAGAGACAAGCTACGCTCAATGCCGAATTCGTTCCTTCCACCGACCACTAACAAGACTCCGGGCATGATACTGCTGGGAGACGCCATGAACATGCGACATCCTTTGACTGGAGGCGGCATGACAGTCGCTTTCAACGATGCTGTTCTGCTATCCGAGTTGCTCGACCCAAAGGTCATACCATCTCTGGACGACCGGAAGGCAGTCTTGAGACAAATGCACACCTTCCACTGGCGAAGAAAGGGACTCACCAGCGTCATCAACATTCTCGCGCAAGCACTATACTCGCTCTTCGCAGCCGACGACACGCAGCTCAAAGCGCTGCAGATGGGCTGTTTCCACTACTTCAAGCTTGGCGGCCAATGCGTGGATGGACCTGTGGGACTACTGGCAGGCATCATTCGACAGCCGTTCGTGCTATTCTATCACTTCTTCGCTGTGGCACTATATGCGATATGGATCTACATCACATGGTCTTCAAGCGTGCTCACCATGCCGCTGCGAGCAGTCAGCAGTGTGGGTGTGTTCTGGAAGGCCTGTGTGGTCATATTCCCGTACATCTTCTCGGAGCTGCAATCTTGATTGTTTCCAGACGTAGCGAAGGCGTTGTGTTGAGTATTTGTATATAATGGGTGTAATGAATAGTGCGTAACACATTGCGCAGTCCAACTACTGTTAACCTGGCTCATGATTCAGACATGTATTCAGTACAGTATATGATGTGATATGGAGATAGAAGTTTGTTACCGTGCCCAAGAATCATACAGCCGTAAAACTTTTCGTTATGCACATGACATTTGGCCAAATTTATTCACGCACTCAATCGTCATGTCCAGCACAGACTCAGCCGCTGGTCCCGGACCTATGATAGCAGTACTTCTGGAAGCAAGCATTGCAACCAGCAGGCAGACTAGCACCATCCTTGTTCTGCACAGCACAAGCCAAGCAAAACGGCCATCCAGCAGTGCCATTCTGCGTACCAATCGCATTACCGTTAGCGATCATTGCATCGGTCTCAGGAATCGTATATTCGATTTTGAAGGTCGATTGACCAGAATTGTAAGTATAGCCCACGTTGGGTAGAAAGACGATAAATGTCGTGCCGGTCTCATTGCATCCGAAGAAGGTGGCGCGCTTATTAAGTCCTTGTGATACGAATGTCGACACAGGAGGGATATAAGGCATCTTCGTCAAGCCGACTGCTTTCGCATTCATGTATGTTTGGAGGATCTCGGTGCCATTGGGATAGTTGTCGGTCGTATCCGCCGAGTTGTCGTTGACTATCAGGACATCGACATTGCGAGCGGGTTGGACGAAGGGCCTGTTTGATCTAAGGTCAGCCTGTGGACTCTTCTCTCACATTAAGAAGGATTCTGTGGGATCAACTCACCAGATAGGATTATTCTGATCGGTTGCTCCTCCGTCAACCATTGTAAGCACACTCTGCGACTGTACCTGTGTTGAGCGCGGGTACTTGAAAAATGGATTCACGTATACACCAAAAAGATCCTGAAAGTCTGGCTGATGACTCTTAGCGACAAGACCTTCAAGGACGTTTGCAAGGCCAGAAGAGGATGTAGTGTTGGCAGGCGGAATGACCGCGCAGGCAGCGAAGAAGACGTCGCTGCTGGTGCCGAAGATGTAACCAAGATTGTCATATTGTGCTGTGCAGACTCCGGGTTTGGTAGGAGAGCCATTCGTCAGTGCGGAGCCCATATACTGTGTCAATCAGCAGAAGCCTCAACAATCGGACTAGCATCGATCCTTACCTTCGTCTGTGCAAATGCTGAAACGCCAGTGTCCCAGGATCCATACTCGTAAGGATGAAATTCGTAAATGATTGCATTGAGCGGCGGCACGCATTGGCCTTGCGAACCATTCACATTCGTCGTGGTGATGATCGGATATGGTACATTATAGCTAGTGAAGTTGCTGAATGATGTAAGGCTTGACAGACGTGTTGCAACGCCACCGTCGGGTCCTTGCAGAAGCTGGTAGGATATCAAACGTCCGTAAGGATCAACGATGGTGACGTTGTAGCCAGCAGCCCCCTTCGCCACAATGTCGTTGGTCACTAGGGCGTACTCGGTTAAGCCAGAAGACGAAAGCAGATTTGCTGGTACAAGTGGGGAGTTCTGAAACGCTTGTTCCCAGAGATTCTTCTGCAAGTAAGAGACCGTGGGCCAGTTGTTGCCGGCTAAAGAAGACAGGAACCAAGCACCACCAGATAGTCCGGACTCATAAGTGAGGCCTTGGTACAGTCCACTGGTGTTGTAGTTGCTGTCGCGACCATCGAGGGCCTGAATGACTCCGGCGGTCTCGAGTAATGCGCGGTAGCCTCCACCACTCGAAGTGAAGCCGACTGTTGGCTGTGATGAGGTGTTGAACGAGCCTTGCTTCTTCAGCCAGGCAGCCAAACCTTTGTCTGCATTCGCCTTGCGAGCCGAGATATAGGATGACTCGCTTGGATTGAGACCACTTGCCGGGCGGACCAGTGGGGAAGTCGGGCAGGTCGTTGTTGTCGGAGCATAAGGATTGGGCAGTACGGCGCGCTCGTCAAGCTGGACAGCAGGTGCTGGTGCTGCTGTAGCCAGGGCAAGGATGGCCGCGAAGGCGGTGGTCAACGGCAGGGGAGCCATAGTTTGGTGGTAGGTGATGGCGAAACAACAGGAAATGAAGAGAGAAGTGAAGTGAGTACTGAACAGCCTACATGCCTGGATTTGCCTCGGAACCTAGTCCATCATATACCCTTCCTAGCATAGCTTAGACTACTGTCTCGCCGATCACACCCATGGCCTGGTCGATGTCTGGACAGTAGGAAGATCAATTGGCCGGCTCATGGTGGACAAAGCAGACTCGCCTGTGTCCGACATAGTGGCGGACACAATGCTTTACTAGGCACTCCGTGCCACCCAATAGATCAAGCACGACTGCGCAATGCCTAGCTTGCCAGGAAATAGACGTGCGGGATGGCCATGCAGGCACCAGAGAAGCGTAAACTTTACAGTCGATGGAAGATGCGGATTGCCGATCTCGAGGCTAGGCTATGGCGTCGTAATAATGTGGCGGAGTCAGAAGACAAATAAGAATGGAGTGATGATGGTAGTGGCATGTGGGCCGTTTCAAAGGCTTGGAGCTGCATGTATATGTGAATGTACTCATGTCTCCGGGTTTAGAAAAATCATTCGTTCTTCCGCTGAGGTGGCGATCAGACGAGAGAAGCTCGCCGCCGTTCGGTCCGTGCATCGAGACGTCACATGTCTACCACATGACTTTGGATGAGCAACTACCGTGTCAAGCAATTGGCAACCAAGTGCCCAAGTATTCGAACGAGCATGCTCAGACTGCAGCAGATTGTGTAGCATCTGCTAGGAGGCTGCGCTGCGCGTGGGAGACCAGATGGAGTCTGCTGAGGCAACGTTGTGGTGAATGACGAGACCCCGCTCGATCGTGAATGAGGTTCTCATGCATGAGTCTCACACGATACTTTGACAGCGAAGAGTGCAGATCAGCCCACACTCACTAGCGCTCGTCAACACGTACTCATATGCGCTGCTATACTGTTTGTGAACTTCGTTTGCGAATGGACAAGAAGGTAGGGCGATCGTACCCGCCATCAGAGGCACGAGTGTGGGACGGTGAGAGGGACCTCAGACCCAACTAGAACACGTGTCGGTGGCAGTGCAGAAGATCAGGCTTGAAGATGGCTGAAGGCTCGAGTGGCAGAGGAGATGGGCTGCTGGATATGGAGAAAGAGTTGACATGCTCGGTAGGTGTTCAGACAACTGGGCGCAGAAGGGCACTCCAGCTGATAAGACCGCTAGATATGTACAGATATACTATACCAACCCTTGACACTACTTGACTGTCTACACACGTTCTGCGGACCATGCCTGAAGGAATGGTTTGCATGGCAAGCAGAATCGGTGCACAACAGCCGCCAACATAGAGCACATCCATACACATGCCCGTCATGCCGAGATGGAGTGCGTGGGACAAAAGCAGACTGGCGATTGACCACTTTACTCGAAGGCTACTTAAAAGCCAATCCAGATCGTGCCAAGAGTGAGGTGGAGAAGCAGGAGTCACAAAAAGTGTATCAGCCAGGCGACGATGTGATGCCCAAAGTACAGCCTAGGCGGGACGATACTGACAGTGAGGAAGAGCGAATGATCTCCCAAGCTCGTGACCTCAGTATGGCTGAAGTTGATCCGGAAACGGCACGTCGGAGAGCGCATAGGGCGCCGCGGTCTGGCAGAGAGCACAGAAGACAGGGCGAGAGAGGAGATGGATCTGGTCGCTCGCAGCAGACCGGACAGCGCCAGCTCTCCGAGGCACAATTGCGACAGCATGACGCTGGTGGACCCCAAATCGAGCACCAGCCTTCGCTACGCAGTCTTTTGAGTGCATCGCCGATCGAGTCATTGGATGTGCAGCAGGAGATACTGCAGTCAATCTACGCGGAAGGCCTGCTCGATGGTCTCGATCTTGACAACTTGACGCCGGCGCAGGAGGATCAACTCACAGAACGAATCGCGGAAGCATACAGGCGTAGACAGCGAAGGAGAGATCGTTCTGACACCCGGGATCATGGTCAGCAAGGTGAGCAAGTGACACAACCTTCGACAGCAGGAGCAGAAGCCCAGATGCGCGATCGTCATCATGCCAGGACAGTGAGTGCATCAGCACAGCAATCGCGACCGAGACCGCCTATTTCGAGACCTCACTTGTTCGAGCAAGACCGGCAATACTTGGATGTGCGACATCAGCGGTCAACAAGCACAGCAAGCCAGCAAAGTAATCGCTCAGCTCACGGCAGAGATGGCTCTACAGCTTCAGCGGCACGATCGGCCACTGATCTGACGGATCAGACGAGGACTGACGAAGGTCGTCGCGAACGGCATCGAGCATTGTCTAATAATGCTAGAAGTATTACTGATCCGGAAGGCCATCGGAGTAGTGTCCACCGCATGCGTGCATCATCGACGACCGAGCGCGAGACACGAGATGACACGGCTCTTGCCGCGCGACCACTTGAGGCAGTAAGGAGACAGGACATACCGACCAACAACAGCTCGCCATCTTTGATCGTGGTCGCGCCACCAGAAACATCGCCGGGAGAGCGTCAGATTATACGACCAGCAGACTCAAACGCAGCCTTCGCACCCGAAGCTGTCCCCACATCGACAAGAATAACCACAGACCACCAGACAATACGCCCAGCTCCCTCAACCTCAGCTTTCGCTCCTGAACCCATCGGCAACCTCGACCTGACTACATCCTCGGCACCATCCATCAAATGCGCCCGCTGCCCGACGATCAATATCCAACACGACCTCCACTACCACTGCCCCAAATGTCGCTCCGGCTCCTTTTATATCTGTCTCCCCTGCTACCGCAACGAACAAGGCTGCGATCACTGGTTCGGTTTTGGTTTCAAGACTGAGCAGAGGTGGTATGCTCGTGCGCCTCCAGGTGGATGGTCATACCGTGATGAGCCGCCCCATGTGCTCCAGCCACGACGTTACACCAAGCCCACCGCCAATACTACTACGTCCACACCGTACAATGGAAGGAAGAGCTTAGAGGACGGCGCATTCTGCGAATCCTGCCTCAGCCCAGCGAACGACTGCTACTGGTACTGTCTCGACTGCCTAGAAGGCGCATGGGGCTACTGCGACCACTGCGTGCAACGAGGCCTCCATTGTACTCACCCTCTACTTCCCGTCGCACACATCAGTACTCTCCGCCAACCCTTTGCCGACCCCACGCGAGCGACTTTCGTACCCATGCCGCATCTGCGTCCCGACAGCTATGTTCTCTGGCCCGTGAGCACAGACTGCGACATTTGCCATCGCAAGATCTCAGCGCGCGACCACAGATTCCATTGCTTCCGGTGCAGTGACGGCGACTATGACGTTTGTACGGAATGCTACTACAACCTCACCGCCACCGGCAAGATCAGTACGGAGAATGGCGCCAATGGATGGAGAAAGTGCTTGCAAGGGCATCGGATGGCAGTGGTTGGCTTCCAGGATGTTCCACACGGAGGTCAACAGCGTATCATCGTCCGTCCTCCTGTCGGTGGCTGGCGGTACAAGGACGCCACTGCATCACCGGGCGCAGATCAACCGTTTCCTCCCGTGAGTATCAATAGGACCGATAAAGCTCTGGCAGCATATAATTACTTCCCTCGTAACCACGGAGCAGATGATCTGAGTTTTCCGAAGAATGCGGAGATCACTGAGCTGCAGGAAGAGACGGCCGAGTGGTATAGTGGAATCTATTGTGCGAGGTTGGGATTGTTTCCGAGCAGTCATGTTAGGAAGACATGATTTCACGATGCTGGATGCACGGTAGTATATGGATGGACGATAAAGTGTATTTGACGTCGATCGTGAGAAGTGAGGTCTGGGGGGGTGCGGATGCATGTGGACTTCTTTGATACAGAGCTGGAGATACGCTACAGATCGATATCGTCCTCAGCGTCACAGCCACGTCTGCTGCCTGTAAAGGCCACCGATGTTGAGGTGAGTTCCTGCTGTTCTCAGTATTGTTCATGTCACGACACGGCCTTTAAGGCGTTGTAAAGATCTCTGGAAGTCATGCGAGCAGATCTGCTTCAATTATTACCTTCGTCGCTCGACTGTGCAATGTGCTCATCTGCTCGGAAACCAAGGATCTGGACTCGGCTGTTTGCCTGACTGTGCTTGCGATGCTCCTGCAAAGGTCTGAGATGACTTCGCACTCCCATACGACTGATGTGAGGCGGCGGTCTGATACGATTGCTGTTGTGAGTTAACAATAGCTTGTGTGCTTTTGCCGTAGGCTGTCGCCTGGGGATATGCAGGCGTCGTCACATTCGGGCCCCGATGGCCTTGGTGCTGCGAAGGCGATTGCGAGGGCCCCGCCACCACACCTCCAGCAGCCGCAGTAGTAGGAGCAGGAGCGGGCGACTGCGAAACAACCTTGCTTTGCCGCTGTTGCATCGCACCCATGGCCTGAGCCTGCTGAGCAGGATTGTACTCCGTCGCCGGCCCAGCCTGCGAGCCTTCATAAACACACCCTGATTTGCCACTTCTGACGCAGTTCCCACAATTCGGTCGCGCCTCGTCGCACTGGAGAGGGTAAGATCCATTAGCTTGTGCACCGTCGGGGGAAGAGAGATCAACCTCTTCAAGGATATACGAATGCGCATCTGAGCGTACCTTCTTCTTCGAGATGCGGCAGTTGCTGCAGCTTGTTTTAGCGCGTTGAGGGCCTGTGGAGGCGTAGACGATGAAGTGCGTGTGTTGTTGGGCAGGATAATTGGTTTTGGCCACGGGTTTGAGAGTGCTGAAGAGGCCTTGAGATTGCGGATGAGTCGCTTTTCCTGCTGGTGGTGCGCCGAGGTAGGCTTGTGGGTTACTGTAATGGTTTTGGAGGCCGCTGGGTTTCGAGCCTTGTCGAGGGATCGCGACTGGAGCTTTCGGTGTCGCGATTGGCGGTTGGTTTTGGTAGCGTTGCGGCTGGTAGGGCGGTGGATAGGGGGCGTTTGGTGAATAGTTCTCATGACCAGGAGGACGATAGCTTGAGGCTTGAATAGGCGGAGGCGCTTGCCAGGAGGGTAAGTTGTACTCTACTGGCGGCGGAATGGCATGAGTCTTCGAGTTGCTGTTGGGTGTGGCATCTGGGATCTTGGCTGTCTCGCTCTGCTGAAGCAGCTCAAAGAGTGACAGTGGTTTGCTCGATGATTGTGGCGATTGCTCCACCTCACGCTTGCGCTTCAGAGACTTTGTTGCTGGTGTGCGCTGAGGGGCAGTTGGAGGAGCCATCCGTGCCGGACCTTCGTATGCGGTCGATTGATCACGCAGCTGGCCGAGCAACCCACCCGTGTCCGGCTCTGGTGCTGCGACCGGCAGATAGTTGAAGTCATCCTCGGACTGTGAGGTGCGCTGCCTGGGCGGTGGTCGCGGCGCTGGTCTCCTGTCCGCGACGCTGGGATGAACAGCATAATGTCTGTAGTATACATCCACGCGGCTTCTGATCAAGCTGAACTTGACGCTCACACTGCCTTTGCAGTCATATGTTGGCTTCCTTGGACCCCTCTCACCTTCGCCTTTCAAGTGCTTCTGTGTCTTGGTGAAGCCATTGGCATGCCTGTCTTTATTCTGCATGCTGTCCTGACAGATGTACGAGAAGCGCAACCCTCCTTCATCCTTGGCATTCCAGGCGTTGTTGAAGCTGTACTTGAAGCCGTCCACGGCCTCAATGCATTGTACGATGGCACGTGACGCTGCCCTCTGCACGATCTGGCGCGCTTGTCCCTCGCCTGCGCCCAGTATAGCCGCTATGGAAGCTTTGGGTAGAGCGGAGCTCAGGCCGGGAAATCCTTCGCTGCCATCCGTCCACTCCGTCTTGAAGTCGGTGGGGAGATCATGTTGTCCTCCGTCTGCATAAGGGCCGATGGTTGGTCGCAATAACGGTACCACGGCATTTTCATGAATCGCGAGTTCGCATGTTGAAAGCTCGGGGACTTCACTTTCGGCGCATGCTTCGATTTCGTTCCTCAATGCCGCCGTGAGGTCTTGCAGCGTCTCGTACAGGCCATTGGCTTGCGATGCGCGGTAGGTGAAGATGCTCTGGCCGTTGTTGTAGTCGTGGGCGCCGCCAGCTCTCGAACCGAAAGATACGCGTGCCATACTTCACGAATCAAGAGTAGACGCGTAAGTCGGGGTTGTGATTCTAGAGGGGTATAGATTGTAGGTGGGAAGAAGCTCTATGCGCTCGTTATCGCAAGGGGGCATATTAGTGGTTTTCGTGCACGAGCCGTCTGAGTAGTCACGGTCTAGCGTCTGTGTAGCCTAATAATATTCGTGCCCGCACCTTCCTCAACTCTCATTTGCCATCACGTGACCTTAAGATAAAAGCATCTTTGCTGTAATCGCTACATACTTCTCTACTGGTCCATTGTTACCGAAATGAGCATTTTGAATTGCGAATCGCGTGGCAACGTCAATCATCACTACATGAAAAGCAGCCGGCGCACTCGTCGACCAGATCTCGGACTTCACCATTCACATCTCGTGGAACAATGCATGTTCCGACACGTCTGAAGCACCGCCGACCTTCAGCATTCTCACGCTCGTTGAAAGAGACTAGGTAGTGGCGGCCTGTCAGCTGGCAGCAGGAAATGTCCCACAGCCTGTGCCGTGCCTTCGTGCCATGAGAATGCTGAGAAGACTTAGGCGGTGCTAATGCTCTATGCTGATCTTAGAATCATTGCGACTGCGCGTAAGGTACTGGCTCGGCAAGATCATGGATATCGTTGTGCTACTCGACTCCATGGCTCGCGCATGTCTCGAGCGAGTCGACACAAATGTCTCATCCTCTCCCTAGACGGCATCTACACAGGTTTTATTTGTTGTTGTGAGCAAGACCATCTCGTCTCATGATCCGGCACCGATGCTACCTGTAGACTTAAAACCTGTAGAAGACATGCTTTAAGACTTTAGAAGGAGAGACTTGTCTTCGCTACTGCTGGACTCTCTATTGCCCTGACAGTCACAATATATGTAGTCGTCCTACCCTCTCTTATCCTCCCGTTCTAAACAGACAGACGACTCACACTGCAAAACAGCATCTTGACAACTAATACATCGCATCCACCCCCTTCACATCGTGACGAAGCGTGGCGGAAACGACGACGACGACAGCGAGTCCACTGAGCTGCGCTCACGGGATCCGAAACGCATAAATCTGGTATACACTCAACCGACTGTTGCGCTTACAACCGAGGAGCAGTTCAGTGACCATACTCCGGCACAAGGAAGTATACTCCCTTATGATTACTTCCATGGTCCGCCCATTACCAAACGTGTACAGGCTCGAATAGCAGTTGGTACTGAACGTACACCGCGATTCGTTTTCCGTGCCTGGCGATTCAACGAAGACTATCGGGTGATCGACACCGTCGACTCGATAACGCCAAAGGCTTTCCGAGGCCAAGATGACCCTCCAAGATTCTTCGGACTGTCGAAGAGCGCCCTTGCCCATGACGTACTACTGCATCTCAGACAACATCAAAATCCATCGGCGTTCTCGAGCTGGACTCACTCGCTACACGGGGCTTTAGAGAAAGCCAGAGAGCCCACGATTGAGGCTCGTGTGGGCACCTTCAGTACTTACACGTCGGTAGTGGACAGCAAGCGCCTACCGTCTCATGTAATCGTCATCCGTGCTCATCTCCTTGCTTGCCTGGACAAGCGTATACGGAAGGTGCCAGTTACCAGGCATAAATTTATGGCTTTCGGCGTCATAAAAGGCGAAGCACTTTCCACAATCAGCTTCGACAATCTCTGGTCAATGGAGCACGGCTGGTTTCAAGCTCATCCCAGGTCGGTTGATGATGCTCAGCTCGAGTTAAAAGCAGGCACAACAGCTTAGCTCGTCCCTCGGCCCAGCTTCGCGTTACCAGTCACCGCAATGCTGCTAGCCAGCTACACTCACAACGGTGACGTACAGCATGCGCGATTGCGCCATGGGGCCGTGTGTCACCATACGGAGCGTCTGGGCGGCTCGATCGGCATGCTACCGCCCAAAAGTAGAGGAAGAAGACATTGCTGCAGCACGGAAGGTCGGGGAGAAGTTCGGAGAGGATTTCTGTGTGGCCGTGACCCTGGCCATTCTCTGCCAGCAGCAACGTAGCAAAGACTTGTGGCGTGATGGATGAATTCCAGAGCTCCCATTGATTGCTGCGGGCCTGGAACGATGCAAGAGGCCAATCGCACTGTGTGAAAACGCCACCATCCTGCACGATCTGGTCTACACCAGAGGTTACCAAGACAGCGAGCAGTTTATTCGACTGTTGCGAGCGCTGACGAAGTATTGGCATGGTAGGGGCGCTCGCAATCGATCCAGACCTCGGCCGCTTGCTAGATAGACTGTGTAGGTGCGCGCAATGACATGGAGTGAGGATGAGACCAGATTGGAGAAGTCCGGCATGCAAGGTGGGCTGTAGGCCAGGCAGGCGAGATTATAAGAGAACAAAGGCGAGATCGAAGTAAAGAGCGGGAGCGATGGGGGGATGGTTACTGCCAGAGGAGCGAGGGACGGGCAGCGTGATGTAACGTAGTGTAGGGCAGGTCGAATAACATAACGCAACTCGCCGTGGTGACAAGCCTTTCCTCCTGCTTCACCTCCTCAGTATAAGCCTTTATGCCAATGATGTCACTTGTCGAGAATGCTTTCTATGGAGGAGGCTGCGTTGCTCGCGTCTGGCTTCGTGGCCGTTGTCGAAGAGGTTGAAGTCAAGCGAACATGTTGTAGAGGCCGGCTTTGGGGACTTTTTGAGTCATCCTGGCCAATGGCAAGCCAGCCATTTCTACAGATAATTATTTGAGCTTTGTGGCAGCGACGCCAACACTACATCACATCTCACAATGTTGGCGACGACGCGGTTACGAGCTGGTGCTGTGCGTCCAGCATGGTGCTCGCGGGCACAATGGACCTCCCTGTATGCCATGACTGCCCAAGTACTTCTCGCAATATGTACGTCCATACTAATGCGCAAGCAGGCGAGCATTCTCGCAGTCGAGCAGCAGATCACAAGCGACACCCGTCGACGATGACCTCAAAGGCCTCAACAAGATCTCCCGCCACATCACACAACCCGTCGCGCAAGGAGCATCACAAGCCATGCTGTATGCGACAGGCATGACCACCGAGGATCTGTCGAAACCCCAGGTCGGCATCTCCTCCGTCTGGTACTCTGGCAACCCTTGCAACATGCATCTCATGGACCTCAATAACAGGGTGAAGGAGGGTGTGAAGCAAGCAGGACTGATACCTATGCAATTCAACACAATCGGTGTGAGTGACGGCATAAGTATGGGTACCAAGGGTATGCGGTATAGCTTGCAGTCAAGAGATTTGATTGCGGACAGTATAGAGACGGTTATGGGCGGACAGTGGTACGATGCGAATATCAGTATACCGGGTTGCGACAAGAATATGCCTGGAGTGGTGATGGCACAGGCTCGTGTGAACAGGCCTTCTATTATGGTCTATGGTGGCACGATCGCAGCAGGATGTGGCAAGATGCCGAAGAATGAGAAGCTGGATGTTGTGTCGGCTTTTCAGGCGTACGGCTCGTTCCTGTCTGGCGACATTACTGAAGAGGAGCGAAGGGATGTGATCGAAAATGCTATCCCAGGCTGTGGAGCATGTGGTGGCATGTATACTGCGAATACTATGGCTTCTTCCATTGAGGTCATGGGCATGAGTCTGCCAGGCTCTTCTACCAATCCGGCCGAGAGCAAGGCGAAGCAGATGGAGTGCTTAGCTGCTGGACCGGCCATTCGAGAACTTTTGAAGCAAGATATCAGGCCGACTGACATCTTGACAAGACGAGCATTCGAGGATGCCATGGTGCTCATCAACATCACTGGTGGTAGCACAAATGCCGTCCTCCACTTGCTCGCCATCGCGCATAGTGCTGGTGTCGAGCTAAGCATTGATGATTTCCAAGCTGTTTCCGATCGAACGCCTTTCTTGGCCGATCTCAAACCCTCTGGTAAATATGTCATGGAGGACCTCTTCCGCATCGGTGGCACACCTTCCCTCGTCAAAATGCTACTTAAGGAAGGCCTTCTCGACGGCTCTCGCATTACCGTAACGGGCCAGTCACTCGCTAAGAATGTAGAGAACGCACCAGACTTTCCCTCCGATCAAGAGATCATTCGACCCTTCAGCAACCCCATCAAGAAGACCGGTCATATTCAGATCCTACGCGGTTCGCTGGCACCCGAAGGCTCCGTTGGCAAGATCACGGGCAAGGAAGGCACAGTCTTTACAGGCAAAGCTCGCTGCTTCGACGCTGAAGACGACTTCTGCAATGCGCTTGAGGCTGGCACTTTCACGAAGGGCGAAAAGACTGTTGTCATCATCCGCTACGAAGGACCAAAGGGCGGACCAGGTATGCCAGAGATGCTGAAACCCAGCTCAGCGATCATGGGCGCTGGTCTCGGCAACGATATTGCTCTCATTACCGACGGCCGCTTCTCTGGCGGCTCGCACGGGTTTTTGATCGGCCACGTCACTCCTGAAGCACAAGCTGGTGGGCCTATTGGGCTTGTGCGCGATGGCGATACTATCTGCATCGATGCTGATAAGCGTGTCATTGATATTACGGATCAGTCGCCGGAAGAGCTGCAGAGACGGAAGCTGGAGTTCAAGGCGCCGCCGCTCAAGTATCAGAGGGGTACGCTGTATAAGTATGCGAAGAACGTTACTGATGCGAGTCATGGCTGCATTACGGATTCGTGATGGGGCTTGGAAGGATATGTGGAATCCTGCTTGTTTCGACGTTCGTGGAAAGGCTACGTCGTGTCAGAAAAGGGATGTATGTTCAATGTACGGCTATCAGATGTACAGGTATCGTTGACTAAGACAGCTGTATTAAGACTTTGGTAACAGCCACCACAATGCACTGCATACCAGTGCTACGCAACGCTGATCGGCCAACCTAAACCCTTCCTAGTCAGCCAATGTGATGCTTGCCACGACATAAGTGAATTGGTGTCCATCGGCCGTTTTCATGGAGCAGCTCTAGGAAGGATACGCACTGGAGGAAAGGTTTTCTACTTTAAGAGGCAGATGGCCGTGGCGGAAAGGATGTACACTAAATGTGGCCGCTGTCACAAAGCACATTCACTCTGCAAGCAGTAGTTAGGCACGAAATTGATCACGATTGGGCAGCGTTCTCCTATCCGGCTCGCTGCATTGGATAAGCAATCCGGACCCTAGTACGATAGGCTACTTCGACGACGGCCTTTATGCCAGCATGTTCAGCAGTCCTCTCGCCGGAAGCGGCCATCGTCATGCCATTCACCAAGGTAATCTTGTGAATACCCGAGGTCACGACACAGGCAAGCACCCATGAATGCCTTGCGATCCCCAAACACACTGCGCAAGATGGCCCTAGCTTCTGCGAAAGTACCAATACATCTTGAGCACCGCCCACGACTCCTATTTCTTCCTCCCTCTCTCCTCATACTACGACTCTGGTTATGCCTTCAATCCGAGTGGCACGGTACGCCTATACACGCGTTAAAACCTGCAGGCTCTCGGTCCGGTCCCTTGAGTACGGTTCTTGGATCTCCATACGCATGGAATATATGGGCAACCACTGTCGTGCGTGAGTGCCCCGATCTCCGGACGTGGTAGCAAAGGGAGGGACTCTGGAGATGTGTCAGAACGTTCGAGAATAGGTGTCTCAGACTTGTTGTGATACTGCACTGCCTTGTCTCCCTTCCATCTTCTGACCCCTGCACCCCATCGCACCTTGGCTATGCTGCTGAGTGGCCAAGGGAAAACATGCGAGATATTGTGATGCGTAACTTTAGGGCTTAAACACTCCCAAGTGTCCTGTGCTTATGGAAAGGCCGCTTGTGCACGATGTGGGCAGAGAATAACTTTACCGGAGGCTTGGTGGTCACGATCAATGGGAATGAGGCACGATCAAACTGTTCTCGAGGTCTACATCAGACGCATGATCAGTCTCCGTGAACGCCATATGAAGTTCCGTATTTTTCAAGGCAAGTGAGAAGGCCATAAGCTACGAGCAAGCTATAGTATTGGTCGGCAAGTAGCTATCTAAATGCAGCATATGCGTGAGATGGACGAAAATTGATCAGATACGTTCACTGGGCGCGCTTCTGCCAAGCATTTCTGCTCTCCATTCTGCTTTCCTGCCCTTTTCCGGTCCAACAGCCTTAACATCACACTTCACCGACTGCTACTTTGACCTTGATTCATGCTCTAGACGTTTTGCTCAAATGTCTGAATAGAGGCCGCACAGGTTGGCGGTGAGAATTGCAGACTGTTCCACCATTGTGGTCATGCAGGTCGCCGCGCTGACACATAATCGAGAGGGCGAGCAAGTTCTATTGGACCACATGAGAACAAGTCATAACAAGGCTCGCGCAATACAGGTCGCCCAACCAGAGCCTCAGACATGTGGTTGTATTACCTCTAGGCCACGGTGGTTGTCGGATCTACTATGGCCAGGTGACTTGACTGACGGTGAAGAGGAGGAAGGTGTAAGGTATAATAACAACCCCTGGAAAATGATCCGTGCACGCTATTCCGGGCACATAGCCCACACCTTCGTCGAACCGCGTCGACGGCTTTGGGCGAAAGCTTCATGAGGTGCTGATTACGCGAAGCATGTTGGAGTCTCTAGCAGGTACGTTCTAATCTGCCCAGGGATCTCGGTCGAAGCTGAGCGTGATACGCTGACGTATCGCCCTCCAGTGTCAGTGCCGCGAGAAGGACTGCTGGGACAAGACGGCCAGTGAAGTCAGAGTTGCTTGCATGCCATTGCATGAAGTCGTGTATGTTACATATCTTAGTACATGTTTTCGTGCAAATTACCTCGCGCCAGAGAGAGCAGAGTTTCGATGTAGACAGGAGCATGTCATATTCCAGGCTTGACGACACTGCCATCTAGCTTCTCACCTTCCACCTTCGAAGCATCTTTGCCACCTTCCGCTCTGTATGTCTCTGCAAGACCACGCTTTGGGTCCTCGTCCGCTAATCCAGCCGCTCGTCGGACCTTGAGAACTTCATTGCGTACGGCCATCGTGACGTCGATTCGGAGTTGCTCTGCCTCTTTGCCATATTTCAGCTCATCGTCTTCAAGCTCACCCACACTTTCGATGCTGCCGTTGAGATCCATTTCCGGCAAGAGATCGATGCGTTTCCGCCTCGCCCGCTCTTTGAGGTTCTGCCACCTTTCTCGATACGGACCGAAGATTGCCTCAGTGTCCACCAGGTCCCCAAAGCTGACACTTATATCCTTGTTGATTCTCGGCATTGGGCGTGGCCATCCTCGTTCGTGGTTCATCACTTGTTGTGGTCCATCGATCCACATTGGCACAACATCAGGACAAGGGTCCGCCTCGAGGATAAGACGTGCGACACCCCATTTGAAGTACCGCATGGCCTTTTCAGGATGCTGATGGATCATACCTTCGGGGAATATGTGAACCCAGCTGTGGCGTCTGCTTGGGTATGCCGCGGGTGCTGGGAAGGCATCGCGGCCGGTGGTACTGTAGGTCAAAGCTGCGGATGAGAAAGGATCGCTCGGTGGAAAGGGGGAGTGGTGCGCGGTTGGTAGCAAGGGCTGTTGGTCCGATGGTCGAGCAGTGCCTTCCCAATTCTCTGGCGCAGTGTTGGCGAATGGGTCGGATAAGAGTCGGATCACTTGGGTCATGGTAGGCTGAAAGACGCCGCCGTGTGGCGAGTATGCTTTGCGGTGCGTTGGCAGTGTGTTGCCGGTACTGAAGAAGTACTCCAATGCTCTATGAGGATGTCGTGATCAGATTCGTTTGCACATGTCATTGAGTCGTGTACCATGGCGTACCTGTTCTTGAAACATATATCGTAGCTGCCAAGTGACCATCTCATGTTGTTTGGGTCCCAGAAGTACCTGTTCGGTAACACACCCCATATCATAGGGTCATCCATTCTATATTGCTATACTCAGAGACATGCGTCAGATTGACGGATACGGAGGGGATGGGTACGTACACGCTCACATGGTTGGAAACTGCATGAGAGCGAGTCAGCCTAACCAGACCTTCCGCATTGGGCAGGCACGCAAGCTCGGTGCCTGCCTGGATGAAAGGGGAGACCTACCAGTCACCAACCCTCTTGTCCGCTTCTTCTCATCTTTACGGCTGTCTAAGATAGCCAGGAATCCATCAAGACCTCTCGTTTCCGTCCTATTGAGGCCGTATAAAAAGGAGCGGCAGAGAAGTCCGACTACACCGATGTTGACTGCGCTGCTCCATCGCCAGGGAAGTGGAGGTTGATAAGGCCGCTCTTGCGCCGACATCTGCGGTGAAGAGCGGACGAAAGTGGATGACTAGGTCATGAACGAGTGTTGTGGAGGAACGGTCGCGGAAGAGATGATGAACGCGTGACACGTGCTGGAAGTTTGTACGTGACGTCGAGCACGGTGAATTTCGTACGTATAGCCCACCGTGCTGTGATTCTGAGATCATTCCGTGACCATTCATCGATTGTTCCCTTTCTGATTTCGGCAAGCACGAGCATGTCTCATAGTAAGTACTCCTACTAGCTACCATGTGCATCCAGGTACTGATATTCCAGGCAAAAGTCACTTCACTGCCCATGAGCGCAACGAAGTCGCCAACCACTGGGGGTCGAAAAGCACGCGGCTGACTCGAGATTCCTTCTTACCGTTTGGGTCATGCCAATTATGTCTCCTTCCAGCCCGTGAGCCCGTGAGCTGTGCCGGACATGGACACTTTTTCTGCCGGGAATGTGCTCTCAGCAATATCCTGGCTCAGAACAGGGAGCTCAAGCGCCTGAAGAAGCAAGCTGAGCGGAGAATTGCTGAAGATGCCGATGAGAAGGATCTCGAGGACGCTGAGAGCCAGGCGAGAGCATTGGAGGAGTTTGAGAGGGTGCAGGCGGGTTTGAGCGCGAGGAGTGGTGGACGGGCTGGGCAGAGGATCGTGGGCAGGCGAGATGGCAAGGTCACAATTGAGCAGGATGCTGAAGGCAAGGGCGCGAAGCGCAAGTTCGAGGTTGGAGAGGACGAGCTGCTACGACTGGCCAAGGAAGGTGTCTATAAACGTCAAAGGCCCGGAGATGCGAAGGACAAGAGCGAATTACCTAGCTTCTGGGTGCCGAGTGAGACGCCTGGTAACAAAAGGGCTGACCTCAGAGTGATCAAGCAGCAGCCATCGTGTCCAGCAGCTGCAGCCGAGAAGCCACACGACTTTACGCTGAAGACCTTAATCACTGTCAACTTTAGCTCCGACAAGGCCAAGGGCGATGAAAACAATGATCAACCCACGTCACGAAGCTGTCCAAGCTGCAACAAAACGCTCTCAAATAGCACGAAAGCCGTCCTCGCCAAACCATGTGGTCACGTGCTGTGTGAACCATGCAGCGACAAGTTCCAGCGACCACCGGAGAAGTCTGCCCACGATACAGAGCTTGATGAAACTCTCCGATGCTATGTTTGCCAAGGAGACATCACAGCTGGACGCAAGGTGAAGCGGCGGAAGGACGGAGACGCCAGTGAGAAAGAGGGTAAAGTCGAGCGCGGCCTCGTGGAGCTCAGTAGTGATGGGACTGGGTTCGCTGGTGGCGGGATGAACATGGTCAAAAAGGATGGTGTTGCATTCCAATGCTAGTTCAACAATACGCCGATCATGACATACGATAAACAAGCTTCTCACCACCCACCGGCCTCATCCATCCTTCATTCCTCTCCACCGTCCGGTCTCCCATCGTGCCAGTGCCCAGCAGCGTAAATCCATCCTCAACAACCTTCTCGAATCCACCAGGCATGATTCTTACAGGCACAGGCACAACTTCTTCACCCATAGCCCGACCTAGCCACGCATAAAACTCCACCGCAAAGGCCCTCGCGGCTTGTGAAGCAGGCAGGGTGAACTTGTGATACTCGACCTCGACACCTAGCCCTTCCCAAACGGCTCCGTAGATCGGCTCGGGCACGTTCAGCTCAGAAGTATCAAATGGTGTCCAGGCCCCAGCTTCTTTCGACCGAACGATAGCCATCCCTTTCGCTCCCTTGCTCAAGGTGGAGGCGCAAAGTTGGACAGTATCGCCTTCGGATATGGTGTCGTAGATATAGTGCATACCCTTTCTTCCGGAGAGAGTGCGGACTTGCTCAGGCCAGTCAGCGTCACGGTAGGAAACCAGGTAGTCATAGGAGTATGGTGGAGCTTTCAGCATATCCCAGCGAGCCTGTGATGCCGTGCCAAAAAGTCGCCACTGCTCCTTGACCCCAGGTTGGGTGCGAGAGCTAACTCGTACGAACTGTGTGGCGTACATGCCCACGGAAGTAGCGGCGCTGTAGACCAGGATATTCACGTCTTCTCCTTCAATTCCACCTCCTCCCGCATCAAAAGCACTAGGAAAGTCCTTACCTTGCTCCCCCACCGCAGCCTCACGATCAAACTCAAAAGGCGCCGGCAAGCCCAGTCGATACCACATCCCCTGCGCAGCCGTCAACGCCACCAAACTCACACCCGCCGCTTCCTCCATACTGACACCATCCGGAATCTTCCACACAAGATCCCAAGGAATAGTGACAAATTCCGCAAAACCTCCTGGTCGGTCGTTGCGGGAGCACGCGCCTTGGAGGAAACCTGCTACGCGATCGCCGAGTTTCAGCGTACATGCTGGGCTTGACGCTGAGGAGCTAGAGTGGAGTGAGACGACTGTGCCGGCGAAGTCGCTGCCGATTACTCTTTCGCTGTTCTCAGATGCGAGTGGGTGGGCGACATAGAGTGGGTCGATGGGGTTGAGAGCTATCGCCTGGACTTCGACCAGGATTTCACTGGGTTCTGGTATAGGCCTGGGTATATCCTTGACATTCGCTGTACGCGCTGCGACGTCGAGTATGAGCGCCTTCATCTCGACGATCTAAAGTCCATCGACTACCCAGAGTTGCCTTGTAGCGGGGCCAGCATTGGGTCGGAGAGTTGTTGTTTAAAGACAAGTAATCTTGTAATGTTCAGACCACACTCTTTCCTAGAATGGACTATGTGGTCCGGGCGTATTACAAATATTATCGTTTGTGTTACCAAGCTCGCGCCCTTCCTCTTTCCTGTACAGGTCAATGGTATGGTTGTGTGAATCGACACTAGTGGCGTTCGTGCAGCAGCTCTTGCATGATGCAGGGCAGATACATACATACATATCAATAGCCACGGTAAGTCACAAAGCAGCCGAAGCCGAGACAAACGAAAGCTGAAATACATGATCAATCAAGATGCGGACAGAGGTCACAAACAATGCGAGGTCATGGCATAGGCATTATCACTACGCTACCTCCCATCCCCTTCGTTCAAGACAGCTCTAACAGTACTCTCAACACCCTTCACCCCATCCCTAACCTTCGGATCCCAATGCAACCTCAAAATCTCCCCTTCCCACACCGTAGCAGCAAAAGGATTACTTCCCTCTACACTCTCGCCTCTCGGGTCGAAAACCCCATCCTGCCTCCTCTCCTCTGTATTCCACAACGCAGCGACTCTATTCCCATGAGTCTTACTCACCTGTTGAACCAATGCCATTACAGCCGTAGCAGACTTGGTTGGAAGGTGGAGAGCTAGAGTGTGCAGTTGTTTGAGGAAAGCTGCGAGGCGGAGGGGAGGGACTTGTTTCGTGTTCATTGGCGGTAGGAGGACGCTTTGGAGACTCTTCAGGAGCAGGACAGTGGTAGTGGAGACGTTGACTTTGGTGTCTTTGGCAGTTGAGGCCGGTGTCGCGAGACCATTGGGGTCGGCGAGGTGCGCGCTTTTGGCGCTGAGTTCGATGTCCGAGTTCATGGCTAGGGGGAGCAGTGTGCGGTAGAGATGTGTGATGAAGAAGTTGAGGTCGAGTTGCAGACCACTCGCGCTCTTTGCCACGTCTTGTTGGCCTTGCAGGAGTGCGAAGGCAGTGATGATGCAGAGGAGGCGTTCGCGGGTGATGTTCCGTTCCGTCGCAGCGTCGACTTCATCTTCCGGCTCTTCTTCACCTTGTTCATCTTCGTCGTCTGCTGGCTCGAGAGATGCTTCGGCATGTAAGATCAAATCTTTGAGCACTTCTAGCACATCGCCGAAGAAGTCTTGATTGATCAGGTGGCTGTATCTCGCCAGACCTTCTAGCACTGCACCCATGAGATGGGGCGTCTTTGCCTTTAAGATTCGGAAGTACGCCACGAATACCAACTTCAGCGTCTCAGCCTGACTTTTATCTCGATCTTCGTACGACACCACTGCATCAGCTTCTTGCAATTCCTTCGCCACTGCCTTTCGCTCCTTAAATATCTTGCGTTCTCGTTTCGAGCGGTACTCCCGATCTTTCTTCTTAAGCTTCTTAGCCGGTACATCATCTTCTCCATCCGCTCGTTCACGATCAATACTGTTCGTGCCAGCTTTATGTGCAAACTCGGACAGTAGCCGCAGATGTAAGAAAGTATTCAGCACATTCTCATGAACATGATAGTTCTTACTCTTCATCATCTTCGTGAGCTGTGTGACGGCTTCAAGGGACGCATGACCTTCTTCGTCTTCGCGGAAGAGCTGAGACAGAGCTTCGGCGCATCTCATCGTCTCTGGTGATGAGTTTCGTGAGCTGAGCTGCCGGACGACGATGGCAATGACTTCATTGCGACAATTGAAATGTGGGACAGTGGTCAAGAGAGTAGCCGCACATACCACTGCTACGCTTCGCATCTGCTTGTCCTTGGCTAGTTTGTCGAGCGCGAGGACGTAGCCCTTGAAGCCCGAAAGTAGTGTCTGCTCGAATGCTCGTAGTCTTCGGACTTCCTTGCCTACTTTGGCGTCCATGTCATCTTTCCCCAAAGGTCGTATCCGATACCCAGGAATGATGTCCTTGTAGACTGCAAGCTGCGTGCCCATGGCTAGCTTCTTGACAGTGACATTACGGCTTTGTGCTATCTCTGCCAGTTGTCCGAGCTGTGCAATGTTCTCTTCTGGACTCTCGCTGATATGGCCCGCTATCTTGGCCAGATCTTCTTTTGCTTGTCGGATCTGCTCTTTGGGAGGGACATCAGATTGAGCAACAGGCTTTGGCTTGGATTCCAGGTCAGCAGCTCCACTGTCCTTTTCGTCCTCGTCGCTGTCCATCGAATCATCATCGTTCGCACCTTCCGCCTCTAGCCTTGCGACCTCCTTCAATCTCTCGTCTTCCTTCCAGTCATCGCCGCTCTTGACCAGTAATCGTTCATCTTTGTCCTTTTTGCCTTTTCGTCGTTTCTGCTCATAACTCTGTTCCAGGTCCCAGTTTGCAAAGCCAGGCACATTGTCTCCAGACGGACTGAGTCGCCGACGTTTGGCGGCAGGTTCAGTAGCCATTTGCGCAGACACAGTCCTGTATGCGAGTGAAAGATAGAAGTCTTGAAGCATGGATACAAAATTTAGCCTTCCACGGAATCTTGGCGAACTTTTTCACATGCACAGTTCGAGTCGCATCTACAAGACTTTCGCCGATAAACAGTACGATACTGCATCAAATCATCGCAACGATGCGCCCTCTCACGGACACGGAAACGAAGACTCTCTTCACCAAACTCGCCAACTACACTGGCCGTTCCCTGAATAACCTGCTCACCGACACCGCCCCCTCCACTACCTCCGGCGCGAACAGCACACCCGACCGCTACGTCTTCCGCATACAGAAAGACCGCGTGTACTATGTCCGGGAATCCCTCGCCAACCTCGCTACTTCCATTGCCCGTGACAACCTCCTCAGCCTGGGGACATGTCTGGGAAAGTTCACCAAGACGGGAAAGTTTCGCCTGCATATTACAGCGTTGGATGTTCTAGCACCACATGCCAGGTACAAGGTCTGGGTGAAGGCAAACGGGGAGATGCCATTTCTGTATGGAGGACACGTTGTTAAGGCGCATGTTGGGAGGTGGAGCGAGGATGTGCCGGAGCATCAGGGCGTGGTGGTCATGAGTATGAACGATACTCCTTTGGTATGTTATACTAATCGAGTATGTACGCACATTGCAGTGGAGCTGACTCTGTTCTCAGGGCTTTGGTGTCACTGCCCGCTCGACAGCTGAGGCCCGACGACTGGATCCCACAGGTATTGTGACTTTCAGACAGGCCGATGTTGGCGAGTACCTGCGCGAGGAGGACACCCTGTTCACGACTTAAGCTGGACGCAATAACAATTTTTTTGAGTCAAGACTTGATGTAGGAAGCTCTGCATTTTGAGCTGATCAGCACGACGCCGAACTGCTTTTTTTGCGCCGGACCATCGCCACCTGGATTCGCTGGCCACGTCCTGCCACGAGGTTTGAGGGCTGCAGGAACAGAACGCTTGCACTACACACCCGTTATAGATCCGCCCGGCGATGGACCTCATAGGTTTTCATCAACACACCTCGTCCAAGAGCAAGCCTGCTGATCCTTCACGACGCCTGGTGCCCCTGGGAACGACTACCAAGACATCTAATCATCATTCGCAAAGCCATAACGTAGCAAGACTACCTGCCTGTTTCGTCACGGCATCGCAGCCTGTCACGGCCCGCAAACCCGGATAATGTGTATCTAGCGTTTAGCCGCATCATCAGAGCCGCGCCACCCCACGTCAACTTTTTGAAAAGTCCATATACCCCGCTGTCAATAGTGATGCAACCAAATAACAAAAGCAGTATATAGAGGACGAAGATACCGAGTACTTGCTGTATCGTTAACCACGAAATCCTTCACCAGCTACATCCATATCTCATACTCAAGAAGCACATCGTTTCACATATCAGACAGTCAAGCCATCATGCCCACATACGTGGTCACAGGAGCGAACCGTGGCTTGGGCCTCGAATTCGTCCGCCAGATCTCTCAATCGACAGATAATACTCTCCTCGCCTGCGTGCGCTCCAGCAACAGCGACCTTGACGACCTAGAGAAAGCCGCCTCGAACAACGAGAAGAACACTCACATCCTCACCTGCGACACTGGGCACCTCGACTCGATCAAGAACTTCGTCTCCCAAGCCAAGGAAAGTCTCGGCGGAAAGAAGATAGACTTCCTACTCAATAATGCCGGCATAAACAGCGTCCCACACCAGAACTCTCTCTCCATCGGCCCTGAAGACCTAGATGAGCAGATCCGCGTGAACGTCCTCGGACCCGCCAAAACAACCGAGTTCCTCCTCGCTGCCTCTTTACTAGATGCAAAGGCGAGGATTATCAACATGACTTCCGGCTTAGGCAGCATGACACAGTCCCTCACCATCACACCCCGGAAATGCGCCACCTACTCCATCTCGAAAGGTGCAGTCAACAGCTTGACCGTCCAGCAGAGTGGCGATGTGAGGGAGAAGTTGGGTAAGGAGTGTGTGGTTATCTGTATGGATCCTGGGTGGGTGAAGACGAGGATGGGTGGGGAGGGAGCGGTGTTGGAGCCGGAAGAGAGTATTGCGGGGATGTTGAAGTGTATTCATGGATTGAAGGAGGATGATAATGGGAAGTTCTTCACATACACGGGAAAAGAAGTACCTTGGTAAGTTTGGCTGTCGCGGCGGAGCTGGACTGTTGTTGGTGGTTCGCATGGTGTCTACAACAATAATGGATCACAAGTCTTGACCATTTTAGTTTGGTTTGTGAGCATACGTTAGTCAGCCAATCATTTGACGGCCAAGGCTAGGCGGGTTTCGACTCCACATCTCACTTCTCCTTGACTTCGTCTCTATTCCACCTCCGCCTCGTAGACCAGGGACAAAAAACCAGGTACAGAGGCTCGATGCTGCACGTACCTTGCGGCAACAGTCAAGCTAAACACAATCAATACTGCTATACCCAAATCTAATGCGGCCTCCATGCAATGAACTCGTGCTTCGACCATTCTCCCGAGGATCATCAACTTGGCGCCCAGGCACTATCTCGACGACTATGAATCTGTCTTGGCTGCGATCTGTATGGTGCTCACATGTGCGGCTGTGAGTGTGGTATATGGCCATGGACGATAATGTTACAGTGGCGACACGGCAGAAGAAAGGCAGCGTGACGAGTGTTAAGTATCCCGCATTTCACTCTCCATCTCCGTTGGAATCAGCAGCGTCTCCGTTGAAATTGTTCGTGAGCATGGTCAATCTTTCCGGTCTGCTCTTCGCCGTTGCAGCATCAGCAACGACTATATCTCAGATCACTGGCAATAGATTCCAATCTCCATTGAATGGCACAGGTACAAAGAGCACAATGAGATGGGGAGATGGTACGCTGACACGCTGCAGCTGTGACGAATGTCACCGGCCTCGTTATAGCTAAAGCCCCTAACGGGTTCTGGCTGAGAAGTACCACACCAGATTCAGATGAGCGCACCTCCGAGAGGTATACGGATCTCCAACCAAGTCTACTTCGAGTCACGCTGATAGCACTAGTGTCTAGGCTTTCGACCGTGGCAGGACTGCGAACCTTACTGTCGGAGACATCATCACACTCGATGGCCGTATCACTGAGTATAGAAGCTCTAGCACTTATCTCTACCTCACCGAGCTCGACAGCCCTAGCAATATTCATGTGACGTCGAGGAACAACGCCGTGGTGCCTTTGGTCGTTGGTCGTCCTGGTCCAGCTGCTGCACCTCTACCTCCTTCGCCGCCTCCGCCTCCGCCACCTGGCAATGGACCTGCTCCTCCGCCTCGTCCATCTTCGCCTGCTATCGGGCTGGGGGAGCCCGTCAAGCGTACGAATCTACGGCCCCCAACTGAGGAATTCAGCGGCCTGGACAACGGCGATGTCTTCGGTGTGCCTAACGATGTATCACGTATCTCAGCGGTAAACCCTGCTCTCGAACCGAGTAAGTACGGACTGGACTTCTGGCAGTCTCTGTCGGGATAGCTTGTGCAATCCGTGGTGTCCGTGCTCTAGGAAGACCAGCGGACACCTTTGGCGACCAGTGGATCTATGGCGATTGGCGCATCTCCGGCCGCAACTCTCGTGGTGGCCTCACCGTCAGAGGCAGTGACTCGAACCCCGAATCTCTCATCGTCGGCACTCCTCTGGATGGTACCCGCAACGTCAACACCACGAAGCTGGGTGACGAACTCAACGATGTCACTGGTACCATTCAGTACACGTTCGGCTTCTACAATCTGCTCCCACTCACGGGACTAATCATAAAGAAGTCGATACAGCCAGAGATTCGTATATGGTTACGATCACCCGATAGTAACCGTAAGCACTACCGCTTACGCTTACTCGAGCACAAAGGCAAGTACGCTACTTACTTAAGGGTCTAGGTAAGCAGTGTTAAGTAACTCTCTTATAGCCGCCTAGTAGGCCTTAATCTATTAGCCCTCCTAGCACAATTAGCTAGTCTACTTGTTATAGACCTAATATTAGTAATAATAATACTCTTATATCTATAAGCTTAGTAAAGTAATTATACTAGCGATTTAGTATAGCTTTAGGCTATTAATACTACTTAACTTTAATATACTTATTATATACCTATAGTATACTAGGGTTAGAGCTTGTTAATTAGGTAATATCTTAATTAAGTAATTAGGTAAGAGATTTTAGTAACCTTTTTATAGGTTAGTAACTTAGGTTAAATATAAACTACCTAATTAAGAAATATCTTTTCTATATATATAGAAGATTCGTATATAGTCGCGATTACTCTTAGTAATCGTAATCTAATTATAGTTATCTATTATAAGTATAATCTTAATTATCTAATCTCTAGATAATAAAGTATTTCTATATCTAGAAAACTTCTAAATTCTTACTTCTTACTCTAGGTATTATTCTTATCCTTAGTATTATATACCTATAGTATACTAGATTAAGAGCTCGTTAATTAGATAAGTCCTTAAGTAAGTAACTATATAAGAGATCTTAGTAACCTTTTAGTAGGTTAGTAACTTAGTATTATAGATACTATTATAATAATTAGTAGAGTAGACGAGTAGATAGGAAGGTAGGAGCGGAGGCTTCCGCTCCCGTAACTAATATAACTAATACTCCTTCGATTAGTCGGATTAGACGCTACTAACTAAACTAACTGCGCTACGATTAGTTAGATTAGTTAGTATACGAATCTCCTATATATATAGAATAGACGTTTCTTATATAGGTAGTTCGTATTTAACCTAAGTTACTAACCTACTAAAAGGTTAAACCTTAGAGTAGTTACTTACC